AAAGGCTTTATTATATTTCTAGTCTAGATCTTAGGTTACTACTAGATAGTTTAGCCTTCTTAATAGTCTATTAGCTAGGTTTATTACTTTTAGTTAATATTTAATAATAAAGTTATATTCTATTAGCTTTTAGTAGGAGTAAACCTATCTTTAGTTTAAAACCTTTATATCTATAAACTATTTAAGGTTATAGTAGTCTATTAAGAGTTTAAAGGATATACTTTATAGGTAATACCTCTAGTAGTTTAAACTTACTACTATTACTAGTAGTTTCTTATTATAAGTATTATATTTAAACTTAGTTTAGTTTAATTTTTTTAAGAAAAAGTCTACTAGTTTTTAAACTAAGTTACTCTTTTTTTAGGTAAATAACTAGCTTAGTATCCTAGATACTACTCTACTAGATATATTAACCTTTATATATATAGGTTAGTCTTACTTAAAGTAGGTTAGGATTAGTACCTTTAGAAAGGTATTCTTAAGCTCTTAAAAGGCTCTTTAATAATTATCTTTAATATCTAGGCCTTAACTCTTTTTTTTTTATTACGTATAGCCTTTCTTAGCTATATTTAGGCCTTTTTAAGTTAATTTTATTAATAGGAGTACTACTTATAAGAATTCTTTAATAAATCTCTAATAGTAGTTTATAAAGCTAATAAAAATATAAATATTATATACTATTTATAGAAGTAGCTATTCCTAGATAGTTTATACTTTACTAATATTAACTTTTACTCTTTATAGGTATACTATATACTTTAGGAATTTAGTTTCTCTTTTATACTATTTATACTTACTTAGCTTTATAAATAGCTTAGCTTTACGTAATCTCTTTAATACTTTATAAATATAAGCCTTATATTTTTCTTTAGTATTTAAGAAGATTAGAATATTATTAAGATATACTATATATAATATATCTACTAACTCTTTAAAAGCTTAGTTAATATAGGCCTAGAACTATATAAGTATATTTATAAGGCTAAAGAGTATAATAGTATACTTAAAATAACTATATTTTATCTAAAATATAGTCTTTTACTTATCTCCTTCTCTTATTCTAATCTTATAGTAGGTATCTCTAATATCTAGTTTTATATAAAACTTAGCCTTAGCTAATCTATTTAATAATTCTAAAATAAGAGGTAAAAGGTATTTATTCTTAATAGTAACCTTATTAAGGCCTTTATAGTCTATATAGAGCTATAAGGTCTTATTCTTTTTCTTTATAAAAAAGATAGGTATACTTACTAGTAACTTAGACCTTCTAATCTAGCTCTTCTTAAGGTAATCTATAATATACTTTTTTAATACTTCTAGTTTATATACTAAAAGGTTATATAGTAGCTTTAAAAGTACTATAGCTCTCTCTTCTAAGTCTATAGTAAGATTTTAGGGGCTATAGTCTAGTAGAATATTTACTACTAATTTTAATATAGTATTAGCTAGATCTATATATTATAGAGGCAGTAAGGTATCTTAGACTATAATAGAGACTACTTCTTCTATAAAATTTACTATATATACGTAGATATCTATCTTTAGACTCTTTATAGTATAGTTAAACTTATCTACCTCTTTAAGTATAATATAAGTATATAGTATTATATACTTAGCCTTTATACTATAGAAATATATGCGCCTATTAAGATACTTTAGCTTTAGATTATATATATTAATTTAAAAGAAACTAAGGTAAATTAGGTACCTCTTTAGGTTAGCTATAATAAATAGTATATTATAGTATTATTCTTTTTCTTTTAAGTCTGTTATAGTAATACCTATAGTTATTATACTATATAAAGTAATTTTACTACTATTTATAGCTTCTATAATTAAACTTAGAAGTAGAATAACTTTTAGGTTTTATTTTTTAGCTAACTTTATATTAATAAGGTTAAGTTATATACCTCTATTTAGAAGAGCTTCTATAGCCTTTAATTAGCCTAATTTAGCTTATATAGTAAGGAGTTAAGCTAGTTTAGGAAAGAGGTAAGACTTTAGTATTCTTAGTTCCTTATAATCTTCTAAGGCTTATATATAGGCTACTAGAAGAGAGCTTACTTTTATTAACTCTTTCTTTTTCTTAAATTTTCCTTAATAATCTCCTTAAACTTATTATTAGCCTTCTTTTAGTATTTATTTATATAGTAGCCTAGCTTATTATAATAGTAATAAGTAATTCTTTTTTTATTAAAGGATTTTCTTACTTTTACCTTATTAGAGGGTTTCTTTTTCTTTTTATAGGAAAAGAGAGTTATATTACTCTTCTTTAAAGAAAGTAAGTTCTCTTAATTACTCTTTAATAGAAGTCTTTTACTTCTACTCTCCTTTAGTTTATAGGACTTTTTATCTAGTCCTAGGTACTAGTAAATAGTATTAGTATATTCTTTAACTAGTACTAAGTTATTATACCTATCTATAAGTAGAAGGAGTAGGTTATACTAGATCTATTTCTTTAGAGATATAGTAAACTCTAGTATCTATATTAGAAGTAGAGTAGCTAATTCTACCTATAATAGATATAAGTAGTTTAAGAGTTCTATAAGGCTCTATTTATAGTATTACTTATAATTCTTTACTATATTATAGGTATTTTAACAGTATTTATTAGGCGTTTTAAGGGTATTAAGTATTTTAAGCTTTAAATTAGCCTAAGTTAGCTCTTATAAAAGATAACTACGCTTTTATTCCTCTATATAGAATTTCTAGATTATTTTATATATCTTTAATATATATATTACTTTAAAGTTTACCTTCTTTACCTCTATAGTAAACTTAGTAAAGTTATAAAGATAATAACTTTTATAGTTTCTTTCTTATCTATTATAGCTCTACCTATTATCCTTATTAAATATATATAGTAGTTTAGGCCTTAGTAGGTTTACTTTTAGTGCTGCTATAGTATATAGTACTATACCTATATTAAGAAGTAGCTTTAATACTACTATAGGATCTCTAGCCTTATATTTAGCTTTAAGGTCCTATAGCTACCTAATTTATAGCTTATCTGCCTAGGTTTTCTTTTATATAAGTAGAGCCTATAGCTCTTATTATATTTATTTCTTAATTATAGGTAGTAGGATTAAATTATCTATAATTAGCCTAATTAGGTCTTCTTAACCTTTAATAGAGAGAGTGCCTTATTATTATAAGTTATTACTACCTATTAGAGATTATAGTAGCGTATCTTATTTTACTTAAGATATAGGAGTCTTTATATTACGTCTAGACCTATAAGTAGATAATTTACTAGATATTCTTACTATTCTAAGCTACTATATATTAGAAGTAATTTAAATATAAGACTTAGTTATAGTAGTAATATAGTATAGTAAAGATAGAATAATAGTATTTAATATATAATAAGATAAATTGCTAAGGGATCTATATTCCTTTATAAGGTACTTTTATCTATATATATAAGCTAAGAGGCTAGGGCTAGTGTAATAGTATATAAACTACCTATTACTCTGTACTTACCTAATACTTAACTTTAAAAAATCTATTATAAGCTTACTTATAGGTAGTACTAGCTAGCCTTATATAATTCTTATTTTAAAACTTTAACTTTTATCTTCTACCTAAGCTGCTACTGCTAGTAGGCTTAGTACTTATTTTTAATATTCTAGTATATCTATTTTAAATCTAGCTACTCTTTTTATACTATTAATAGTACCTATTTTATACTCTTTATAAGCTTCTAAATCTTAATTAGCTACTTATAATAAAGCTTACTATATATCTTATAATACTAGTAAGGTATTATATAAGTATCTCTCTTTAGTAGATAATTATAAATAATAGTTTTATAATTCTTATAGTATTATACTACCTATATACTACCTTTAAGGTTAGTATTATCTTTTATAACTAGCTAAAACTTTATTAGGTAACTAATCTTTACTAATATAGTGCCTAGCTGCCTCTATAAGGCTGTTTTAATAAGTTCTTTACACTTACTTAAGTAATTATATACTATTTAAAGCTAGTAGTAACTACTATAGTACTATTTTTAGTACTTATAGCTAAGCCTATAATCTCTTTCTTAAGCTCTAATAGTACTCTTAGCCTTCTTTAATATAGTATACGTTGCCTTTAATAGTAGCTTATAGTTATAATTCTTAAATAATACCTAGTTCTATAAGCTATCTAGGTTTATACTAGTAATAGTAGCCTTATAGTACTAGTACTTATAAGAGATATACTAAAAAGTATACCTATATATCTCTCTAATAAAGTAATTATAATTAAATAGTAAGTTATCTATATTATTAATTATACTAATTAAGACTATGCTTTACTTATTATTATTACTTATATTAAGTAAATTTAGGCTAACTTTAAAAGTAGGTATTACTAGCTAAGACAGCAGCTTTATATTAAAGTTAAATAGTAATAATAACTATAATAGTAAGTATAATAGCGTAAGCTATACGCCTAGTAGTAGTAACAGTATTAATAGCATTAATAGTAGTAGTAGTAATAATAATAGTAATAATAAGATATAATATAATATATTAAATAAAATAAATAATATAATAAATTTAGTATACTATAATATAAGTTTTAATAGTAATAAGCTTTATACGTATAAGATTTAACTAATTAATTAAGCTTTAAATAATAATAAAAATTACTAAATATTTATTTAGTATTAACAGTTAGCTGTTATAATACTGTAAATCCCCCTAACTAGATATACTATATATAAAATTGTATAGTAGCTGTTAATTACTAGGTCTGCGTAACACTACTGACATTAGCTGCATATAGGCGGCTTATGTGGGTGGTGATTAATACTTATGTGGGTGGTAGTTAACCGCTGCCCGATCAAGGCTCTGGCAGATTGTCGTGTCGTGTCGTGGGTCCGACCCATGTCACGCAGAACGAATGCGCGCCGTCCCTGGCAATGGCGGTGAACAGGCATCTACAGAACAAAACACGGTGGGCATGGAGGAGCCAGCTGCCAGCGAAAGCGAAGAGCGGCTCTGACGTGCCAAGCATGCGGGGCGGGGCGGCGTCTCGCTGACGTCGAGCTTCAACACCACGCAGACATCGTGACCCTCGTCACTAAGCAATTTGCACCGTCGGCTATCCACGCGCCATTGTTCCCAGAACCGCCCAATATGTCACCGCCCGCCATCATTGCTCCTTCCATTCTGTCGGCCGACTTTGGAGCGCTGGGCAAGGCCTGCTCTGACACTATCGACCAGGGCGCAGACTGGCTGCATGTATGCACGCAGTGCCAGCAAGACCAGACACGACTCGACTGACGCGCCCAGGTCGACATCATGGACGGCCATTTTGTGCCCAACATGACATTTGGCCCGCCCGTTGTCACCAAGATCCGCTCCCACGTCGACCGCCCCAGCAACGCATGTGGGAAAGGCACTTTTGACTGCCACATGATGATTGCCGAGCCGCAGAAGTGGGTGCGAGAGTTCAAGCAGGCCGGTTGTGATCTGTACTGCTTCCACTACGAGGCTGCCGTTTCCTCGACTGCTGCCGACTCCCCTGCTGCGACTTCAGACAAGAAGACGTCGCCCAAAGAACTGATCAGATTTATACACGCCGAGGGAATGCAAGCTGGCATTGCAATCAAGCCCAGCACTCCAGTGGACGTGCTGTGGGAGATACTCGATAACCCCGTCAAAGAGGAGGTACCCGATGTAAGTGCATTTCTCCCTACACGTCCTGTCTATGACTCCCTCCCCAATCGGTGAAGAGTGCCTATACTTTATATCAGCACACCCGAGAGAGAGGTCTGGAACACGGCCGCCCAATCGCAAGGCTGGTGAGGCTGGCAAAGCTAGCCTTACTGGGTGGCGCTTAGGCAGGTGAATCTGCACAACACCCGCCCGTCTTCGATATCTCCATCTCTCTCTTGGCCTGTCACAAATCTCGTAACTGCGGTCCGGCTCCTCCCATTGAGTATTCTGTTCTCTACCCGCTCCGCAGGATGAACAACCTCAGACCGCCATGGCCTACACGCACAGCCTCAATATATTGTGTGATTTATTGCTGACTCGTCCAGATGGTCCTGGTCATGACTGTCGAGCCTGGTTTTGGTGGCCAGTCCTTCATGGCGTCTGAACTCCCCAAGGTCTCAGCGCTTCGACAGAAGTACCCAGAGATGCACATCGAAGTCGATGGCGGCTTGTCAGAAAAGACTATCGACCAGGCTGCCGACGCGGGCGCTAACGTCATTGTTGCTGGTAGCGCTGTCTTTGGAGCAGCCGACCCAGGGGAAGTAATCAAGAAGCTGCGAGATGCAGTCGAGGGGAGGAGAGGGAAACTCTGAAAGCTTTAGCAGGTGAGTCCCAGTCGAAAGCATCATGGTGTTTGGGGCATGTACATGGGCAGCGTCCATAAGCTATGACGACTTACGTGTAGATGAAATAGACGGTAAACAAAAAATACAAAAATCAACAGCGCGACAATCTACGCTGCTCATCTAATCAAAGCTTAGTTATGTTTACCCCCGGTACCCCTGGAGATTGTATCAGTCGCCCCGTACGCTGTACAGGTAGCGAACCGACAAGTTCTTGCAAGAAGATTACAGTACCACTTACCACAGAGACAACAGTTCATGTTCGAGGGGAACGGGATAGTGTTCCGTGATTCGTGCTTTTGATGATCCTGGTTATTCATCACTCAGTTATGTGCCTCAATTTTGACGAACGCCACACTTTCGAGAGAAGGAGAGAGACGCGCGTCGAAACCGAATTTCGCCGCCAATGATCTGCCTCCACGCTCCGATCTCGCAAAGAACTGCCAATGCGATCATGGATTTCGCATTAATTCTCCGAAACTAGCGTCCAAGTCAGTCAATTGCGAAGGACAAGGTGATGGAACATATTCATCTCGATCATATTCGATGCGCACCTCCAAACAGCACATGTGGGTTTTGTACTTGACATTGTGTTTTTATCCTTGGACACATCGATTGTTCCAGAGTGTTCAAGACCAATTCCATCATCGCAGGCTTTTTACGCTTGTGTGCCTTGTGTATGGATCGGCATAGCAGCCATATCAGCCGCCATTCCGGCAGGCATCTCGATCCCAACAAGCTGGCTCGGGAGCTCAGTTCACTTGAAATTAACGGAATTTCAAGTGAGCGCAAACCGCCCTTCTGCAGGTACCTTGATGCATGCCCTATGTCGAGTGGCAGAATCATATTGCGTGATAACCGTCAATAATACGTCGGTTGAGTCTGATGCGGGCTTTTGGACTGACGCACAACATAGGTAGATGATATGGCAAGCTAGTTTTTCGCACTCTGAGTAAGGGGATGTTCCGAATTGACTGCTGGAGATCGACAACGCCCCAGATTCAAGTCAACACACTCCATGGGTTCCCTGCACACGTGGATCATATGGGGGTGTGCTCTTGATGTACCAGTTTCCTGTCATGGTTCTGGTAGTTCAGCCGCGTTTCGACCATTGCAGGTCGCATTGTCGATGGGCTGTTGATGCGCGTAGAAGACATACCGTTTACGTTCGTGTCATCACACCTCAGCCTCGTTTCTCGACTTCCACGTCAGCTGTGGATACCCCCCAGTTTCAAGATACCGTTAGCAACGATATGAAACAGAGACACATCCGACCAATGAACGCCTTCGATGTGACGACACGAATAAAGCACTTTGGAAATTCACGAAACGCTGGTTCGGAAGAGCCTGTCCTGTCTAGGGCCAGCGACAGGCATCGGGTAGATGACAACCTCCAGGCCTTGAGAATGCTTACGCGGCTTTCATCAAGCCCTCTGACGGCGAATTGTTTGCGCTGTGTCAAATCCCTCAGGGTACTAGCTACCATGATAGCAGAGGCTCTTGTATAAGTACCAGGCAGATGAACACTGGAATCATCATCCACCAGCCTTCACTTTCTTCACTTCAGCCTTCAGCTCCACGCTCCTTCCTTCCTTTTGCACCGGTTGCATTCATCGTTTCTGTACAGCACTGTGTGCCTTCGTCTCGACGTCTATCCTTAACATCCCTTTTCATCCCACGAACGAACAATCGCCAATATGGTTGCCTTTTCTCGTCTCACCTGCACTCTGGCCGTCTGCGCCCTCGGCTCCGCTTTCCAGAGCGGCGAGTCCCACGCTCCCTTCCCGACCGGTGTTATGCCTTCGGGCTCCGGCTCTGCATCCCCCTCGGGCTTTGGAGGTCACCACGGAGCAGGTGGTAAGTTTTAGACATGGAAAGACGTACAGCAAAAGACTGACATCAACCTCTAGGCCACGGTGGACAGCACCACAGTGGATCCGCGATGCCAACTGGTGGCTTCTCGGGCGTCAACGCGGCTGAGGCAAAGGTTGCCGGCCAGCGACCCAGCGGCGGATTCCCAAGCGGGTTCGCTGGCTTCCCGAGTGGTTTCCCAACCGGATTCCCTACCGGTCTCCCTAGCGGATTCCCCACTGGACTCCCCAGCGGTTTCCCGAGCGGTTTCCCCTCTGGAAGCCCAACGGGCTTCGAGAAGCGTGCACCTGCACCGTTCCCAACTGGTGGCTTCCCCAGCGGCGCAGCCCAGCCTTCTGGTCACCATGGTGGTCACGGTGGGTTCCCATCGGGCTTCCCCAGCGGCGTAGCTAAGCCTTCTGGTCACCACGGCGAACACCACGGCCACAGTGGACACCCAAGTGGAGCCGCCAAGCCTACAGGCGGATTCGGCGGCAGCCTCCCCAGCAACATGCCCACTCCCGTCTCTGGACTCGAGAAGCGTGCTACTCCCCCGGCTCACGTCTCCGGAACCGCTCCCGCCCACCACTCGGGAAGCCGTCCCTCCGGTGGCCGTCCCTTCGGAACAGGACGTCCTTCGCACGGCCCCAGGCCCTCGGGCATGCCTTCGGGTATGCTTTCAGGCAGGCCTTTCGGCACCGGCGTCCCGCACTCCGCGCCCACCGGCTTCGCTACCTCGACCATCCGCGGCGCTTAGACAAACAACATCGTTGACTGAGAAGAAACATAGTGGGGATTTTGGGGATGTTTTTGGTTGGACTTCATTGTACAGATATGGCGGGATATTCACTTATACATTCTTTGCGGGCACTGGTTGCTGGGGCTCATATATTTTGGAGAATTGATTTGTTGGCGGTGTAAATTGCTTCCCATGTGATTGTGCGTGTGATTGTGAACTTGAGGAGAATACAAAGGGATTTCGGCAAAGACTGGGGATGATTTTAGACTAACCTTGAAGCAGACGACTTGTAAACACATAGTTACGACTACACTTCGCCTATACGGCTCAGCGGTGCTTTTTCTTAAGTCCTGTTGAATCCTACGGATAGAGTGGAAGATTGTGTTTGCGTCCTTAAAAGCACCATTGAAAGATGTCCAATTGGGGGCCTCTAAGTCCCAGTCTAGCTCCCTGACAGCTAGCTGCATCTCCTCCGCACTGACGGCATCGCCTTGAGTGCCCTGGTATGCGCTCAGGACAACGACACGGCGGTATCTCCCTACGTGCCAGACGCGCTTTTCGCGGTTGTGGATACTCTTCTTCGCCGTATTGTATGTCTTCTCTACTTCCAAAACCTTTGCTTCCGCCTGGCTAAGCTGCTGGGCGTGTTGTTCGGATTGGCCTTGTGCTTGGAGAAGCACGTTCTCGTTCTCTGCTGTCTTTTGCTGGAGCATTGCAGCACAGTTTGCCTCAACTTGGCGACGCTCGTCTAGATGTTGAGCCTCGATCTGTGCTCGTTCCTGCGAAGCAGTGCTTCGTACCTGTTGGAGGTTGACGCTGTGCTGCGTTTGTGCTCGAAGAAGGGTCGTGTTGTGCTGGCGAAGGGTGGCAATGCGCTGCACTTCTGCCTGTTGGAGACTGGTATCGTACTCGACCTTCGCCTCTGAAAGCTGTTGTGCCTGGTGGATACGCTCTGCAGTCTCGCGCTGCAGACGGCCACTCATTCGGACCGTCTCAGCCTTCGAGACTGCAAGCTTGCGGCGGAGAGTCGAGAGCTGGTCGCGCAGCAACCCAGTCTGCTCCTGCTGTTGGTTCGCTGTGAACCGGAGAAGATCCCGGCCATGCATGCTCTGGCGATGGTAACGAGCGACCAGACCCCGGAGCGCATTGCGCTGGCATTGATAACGGTTCAGCAGCTTTGAACGCGTCAAACCACGCTGCTTCTCCTGCTCCAGGGCTTCATTCAACGCGTCACCGACCTCTGCGGCAACACGAATGGCTTCGTCGCGTTCTTGCACGCAGTCTTGGTACTGGCTTGCAGTCGATTGCAAGGACTCGGACAGGTCTGCGTTGACGGCTTGAAGGGCATCTCGGTCTTGAACCACTTGATCAAGCTCTTGTTGGAGACTACGCGCCTTCTCTGCTGTTCGTGCAAGGCTGACCTCAAGCCCACCCGTCTTCGTCTCGGATGCTAGCTAGGCATCCTCGAAGCTGCCACTCTTCTGGCGGGCCTCTATTGCCTCTACGGTTGCTTGGTCGAGTTGCTGCTGCAGTGTAGCTACAGCTGCTGCAACGTTTGCATCGTTTGCCCTCTTAGTGCCTAGGAGTTCCAGCCGGGAGACATTCAGCTCCCGTTTGACGCTGTCAAACTCAGTCTTCAACTCGTCGTATGCTCCATTGAGCTGGACAATCTCACTCTCGCGCTCGGCAACCGTGTCGGTAGCTGCCTGGAGCTCATGCGTTCTGTCATCGAGCTTGGTTTGGAGATCGGCATATGCTACGTTGTCTTGCCACTGCGCCATTCTCAAGGAGCGAACAGCCTCTTTCTCACGTCTGAGCTGGGCTGAAATAAGTTAGTTTCTGCATGATGATACTCCGGAATAGTCTTTACCATTCGCGCTCTTGATCACCTCCAGCAGCATTTTCCGCTGGTTGTCGGCCTCTTGAACAAGCTGCAAGTTGTCCAGACATTCTTGAAGAAACGTTGATTCGTCCCCGTTGGTCGCACGTTGGGACCCAAGTTCATTTAAAAAGAAGACAATCCGAGCTTGCACTCGATCACCGTGGGTAGCCGTGATAGCGGCTGTGGCTGTCGAGACGAGCTATCTGAGTGGGTGGCATGGCGAGGCTGGCTATGTAGTGCGTGTACAAGATGCGTAGGAAAATTAGAAAACTCACTAGCGTGGGAGATTCTCGTGGGTGAACTGTACTTGAGGGTCACGCTAGCTTCATTGAGCGACGTTATCGACGCAGCTGGGTGGGACTCGAGTTCTGGGACGTCGACGTTTCTGCTGGAGTCTAAAATCAACGTGTTCATGAGAAGACCGCCATAAGAAAGTCAACGGGCTTAGGGTTTGCAGTGATTGGCCGCTCATCACGCTGTCTCAATCAGTATAGAAGAATACAGCATAGTTGTATACTTCTAATTCGAGTCACTTGATGTCACTGGTGGTTGTCTACATGATGTATGTGGCACTACTGCTCGAATACCGTGCCATCAGTCGCGTCTGACTTGCATACGTCGATCCCAAATTCTGAGTAAGGATCCATGCCATAAGCCATGTAGGCGAGGCGTATACTAGTAACACCCAAGACGCTCAATCTTCACAGGAATCCTGCATGTAGCTGTCAAATCTACACAGCCTTCGCCCTGTCGTACTCGCCTCAACTAGCAGAAGTCATCTTCTCCACATCGCCGCCCTCTTTCAACTTCTTCAAACAGCTCCCCTTCGCTACCATCAAGGGCCTTTCAAGGCGCTGAGTTATCTATGTCCACAACTACGAGAAGGAAGGCGAGGAGAGTCTCCTCTAAGTTGGCTCAGACACATGTGAGGATAACGGTGTGGGTCGAGACTTGCAGTCTATGAATGGGCCGACCTCACTTACAGACTACTCCCTCGCCACGTCAAGATTGCTCTCGAAAGGGGCTACACGGAGACTTGAACTGCCCTCTTGTGCTGGAGCAAGACCCTTGTCGCCTCCCTAACGCCAAAAGTTCATCAGTTGTACCTCGGTATCGGGGGTGTGTTCAAGATGATTTTCTATGCGGCCTATTCCAACCCCATGGGTCTATCCTGTGGTACGCCCTAATTTTGCGACGTCGTAGCTTTGGGCGTGGCTAATCTTCATGTAGTGTGAGATTGGGTGACCGTGCAGTAAATCGACACCTTTGCTGGGGATAGGTATTTGGTCCGCGAGCATTCGGCTTGGTTCTATTTGGACAAGCGCGCAGTCCATACAGGACTATAACTTGGGGTTCCCATCGATATTCTGCTCCCGCGATAGGCTTGCATCTCCGTTACGTTTCTGCGTTTGCTTGTCATTTGTCTCCCGAATACGAGACCTATTCCTGATAACACCGTCGCTTACCCCCGTGCGATCTTGCGGCAACAAGCGCCACCCCGAAGCGTCGTACACGCGCCCCACTAATAGTTTCATGCTGTCGATAGCCTTGAGGCAAGCCGTATCCTCAAGTAGGATGGTCTTGGTGCGCTCCAACTGCCTCGCCGTCAAAGGGTACCGTCTTGGCCTTCTCATGATACCCAGGGTTGCTCAGTGCCTCTTCGTTTTGCTTGATCGAATAACACAACACATCCCTGAATAGAGTATGGTCGTCCGAGGACGGACTCATCACGAACAGAGGTTCGCCGGTAGAGATGCAAGCTTCTGGTGAGAGGGATCCGTCTGGGGCAACGCCTGCGGGGGTTAGCAAGTATCATGCAAGCCGCATCCAACCGTCTTACTCGACCTGAGAGTCTCTTGTCCACACACCACATGGTGGTTTGTAAGCCCAAAATCATCTGCCTCTGCGCAGCTTTTCCCCCTCATACGGACGACCATACCCATGGTGCCTGTGCCGGGTGAGCCCTTGCAACCAATCGACGCGCCCATGTGAACTAATTCTTCGTAGGCTTTTCCAGTCACCACCGCGTTTGGCGGTTGTTCCATATCCTCCTCTTCCTGCTCGCAAGTCTTGTCATTTGATGCCACAGGATCTGGTGCTGCAGGCTCCTCGGTCAACGTCGATAACCGCTTCGAATACAGCAACTCCACGCCAAGAATGGGAATTGCCAGCTTTTGGATCGTGGGCATGACGGTATCCCACCACTGTAGTGATTCAACATCGCTGGCGCTGATGACGATTGTAGGTTTGTCAGGGGCACTGGGTCTTCTCAGTCCCTTCCGTACAACATCAATCACTAGCCAGTGTCGTCAGTCTACTGCATTGTACACCTGCTGTGAGATTGCGTTCCACTCCCCAATCACACCTGTTTCATCACTGGTGATCGCTGACGTCCGTCGCCCGCGCTCCATCGAAGAATCAGTGATTTCGACTATCAAATCGAGGCCCTCAATCCTGGCAAGGAAACCATCTATGGCTCTGGGCTTTTTAGTCCATTTCAGAAACTGACCTTGGTGCTAAGACATTGGACAGAACCAGGAACGTTGGCGGTTGGTCGGCGTGGGGCTCTCCGCGATGCATTCGCTTGCCGAAGTTCATGTATTCAACAAGGACTCCGTTCTCATGTAGGATTTGTCGCAGGGCTCGAGAAACATTCCCAAGTTTGGAGATGTCGTCTGAAGAGGCATGGGTAAAACCGAGGGGAAGACAGAGGAAAGTCCGTGACCTGACGTGATAGTTAAGTCTTGTGTCTAGCTGCATGCAGAGCCGTACGTATGCAGCATCTGCCGTCAGATCCATGACTAGGAGATCGTCCAGAAACGTATGGGTGAAAGGGCCGGACCGTCGGAGCGTCGGCCAGTAAACGGGAAGCTAGCAACGGAGACGTGGACTGGAGCTTTTCGAAGAACGTTCGAACGACTTTGTTTGTGCTGCTCGCTTACTGTACGCTTCAAGGAGATCTTTCAGGGCATAGAGCGTTTAGGTAGAAAACCTGGTATGCAAAGGGAAGGTGGGGCTGGAACGGAGAGTATTGCTGGGCTACAAAAGGCCCGGTCGAGCATGTAGACTTAGGATGCTGCTGTTCTAAAAGCCAAGTTCAAGTTTTAACGAGCGCAGCTTCCAAACGTGAAAGCGGGAAGAGCACACCTGCAGGATGTGGTGGCCGCATTCCACTCACGTTCACTCTTTCCCTAATCATCACCTGATCACATTTCCCCGCCTTTCCTCCCTCGTTTAAACTCTGCTTTGGGGCGTGCGGACACACACTCACCTCTCCACAGACGTCGAATTTCGCACGTTACTGCCGTCCAGCTCCGCCCCTCACCCCACATTCAACATTGACTATGGAACCCTATGCCGAAGATACGAGGTTACCGCTGCAGGCTGAAGGCGTGTACAACCCTATATACGAGAGTATAGATTACTGTGCTAATCTATGCAAGCCCCAACCGAGCATCACACGCTCGCGCAATCTGTCCGCCAATCTCTTCCCCAAGCACCGCCTAGACCAGACAGTGGCGATACGACCGTTCACCATGGCAAGACCAGCAAGTACAATTGGGCAATCCGAGATTCTGAAAAGTACAAGTCAGCCAGCGCCAGACTCGAGAGCCTTCCCGACCCACGGGTGCGAGAACGTCAACGCCAGGCCTTCGACGACAAGCTTGCCGCTTACAAATCCTTGGAGGAACAGCTCGAAGAAAACGCCAAGTTGTGCTTCCTGCCTGATTCAATGGTGGACGATCTCGAAAACGCTGACGATGAACACCTCCTCAGCTTTCTGCCACCCAACATGAGAGTGCAACTCGGCCGCCAACTCTCTGCTCGATCCGAAGACCTTCCGCACAAAGTCCCAGACAGAGCGTTCGCAGATAGCACCAAAGCCTTCATCGCTGCACTACCGCTTCAGTCACGCCCTTTGTATGTTGAGGCCAGCACGCAGACCACTGCCCCAACCCACGTAACTACGACAACAGCCAGCACCCAGACTCCAGACGCCGCGGACGAGTCAGCCCCGGTCAACATGGTTATGGCCACTGAGTCGACTCTGACCGCTCGCTCTGCCTTTGGTGAGTTCCCGACTCAACCTGTCCCTTCTCCGACAGCCGCCCTTGCTTCTTCTATATCTTTTAGCAACAATACTAAGCCAATTTTAGAACACATATAGTAGTAGTAGCTGCTATGGGATATATGGTTCTGCAATCCTAATACCCTGGAGCGAACCTATCGAGGAGGACTAAGAGCGTGGAGCGTGGAATGGGCGTGCAATCTGCCCACCATCTGTTTCTACTTGATCTGGACCATGAAATGTATCGTGTGAGGCTTGAAATTTGCGGTGGGATTCTTTATAGCCAATCTATCCATCGGTTCATCATCACCTTTCACGATGTTCAGTTCCATTAAATGCTCTGAGAATCTGGGTTGTCTCTCGAGCATCCTGCACTTCTGCATCACCATCATCGCCTATCTGGAGAGGCCGACGAGGTGTAGCACAGAATGTGGATGTGAGACCATTAGGCTTCTCTCGTACGAAGGCTATGCGACAAGATTGCCAACGTAGAATCACAGCAGTGCGTGTCCGAACATGCGATAATATCTGACGAAGGTCGAGTTAGTATGTATGTTTTGGTGATGAGAGGAGACATGCTCAAACATTCAGATTGTACCTGGAGATGGTGCTCTAACGCACGGAAGGCGTTTGCCATGCCCAGTTCCGTCTCGAGGGGCTCGGTTGCGGTTGTGACGAAGAGTAACTATAGACATGTTGTATGGGACAGACCTGCTCCCTTTGAAGTAACGTACGTCAGGTTCACATATTATCAAGGCAACGGAATGCGAAGCAAGAGTGGTTCACCATTGCACAGATTTACCGTGGTACGAATCAGCAAGGGCAATCAGTCAATCAAGCGGCCCACTCGGTAGTAATGGGGGTGCGAAAATATATTATCTAGACTATGCAATATTACTTGTGTAAATGTACATTCTTCAACCCATTTCATCAATGATCCGTCTTCGGTCTTGTACGTCCGCTTCTTCCTCCGACGAACATTAGTCCATTTATCAGTAACTGAGGTGTAGCAAATCTTTGCAACAGCTGGACAACTACATGTAAACTATGTGTAGAACTTGTTTGCTTCGTTCTTCGCTAGTACATGCCCAACCTGACTGATTTAGAGCAATCAATCCCGTAACTCGAATATCTTGTGTGCTCAGTACGACGCAGCTTCATCCCCGGTATCTCAAACAACCTCGAGCCTGGCCATTATTGCTTGCGACATGTCGACATGTGGGGCATAAGTGACTCTCCATCTAATGTCTCTTCGTCTTCTAAGTCGTCTCCTTCTTCGGGCATGCCGTATACGACGTTCTCGTTCACCTCCATGTCCTCCTCGTGAGGCGGAAGCGCCGGATGCCAGTTGACTGCATGAAGTTGACCGTTGTCGTCAAAAAGATCTTCGTCGGCGGCAAACATATCGTCATCGTCGTAGAAAGCGGAATAGTACTGAGAGCGATCCTGGACCTCTGCCGATATCTGTTGATGGGAGTGCTCCACGGCGGCGCCGCCCGCGATGGACATCTAGAGAAAGTATGAGTACAGTGTGTTCGTTCAAGTATTGGTGATGCTTACAGCCTATCTGAACTGATCAAAGTCCCACGAGGCATTTCCTCCCATTTCGCGCTGCAGAGTCACGTCGGGGTCGACGACTTTGGAAGCCTTGCGGGATTTCTGGCGTTGCTTCAGGAATATTCTCTGCTCGATGCTGCTGTCAGCGTACACGTGGTACATCTGGACGTCTTGAGTCTGCCCAATGCGGATAGATCGGTTAGACCATTGGTCCCACAGACGTGGGTTACAGGTAGGTATAAGGTGTACGATCCCATTTGCTTTGATCAGGGTCAGTCCGACACCACCGCTTCGGCTGGTTATGAACATGATATCGAACTTGCCCTCTTCAAAGTCCTTGACAATTTCCGTGCACTTCTTCAATGCTACCGTTCCATCAAACCTGGCAACTCGGAGAGCTTCTCGTCCTTGGAACGCCTCTTTGAGTGCATTCTCTGCAACGTCCAGCGCAGACAAGAACTCTGCAAAGACCAAGATTGCACCCTCGTTGAAGTTCCTGCGATGACTCTTGACAACATTGACGAATGCCACCATGCGGGAGGAGCAGACCCAGGCTTTCTTGGTGCATTCCTGCACATACGCGCGGTTGGTCTTTGCTGTGCTCTTCAGCACTTGTGCCTCACTTGTGTTGAATTTGGCAGCGAGCTCTGCCATCTTCTCGGCAGCGAGCTCTGCCATCTTCTCGGCAGAGAGTCCGGCGTCTGTCGGCGTGATGGCGAAGTCCTCATCGCCAAATTCTCCGTACCGGTATTTACGGCACATTGGGTGCGCCAGAAACAGCCGTGCTGTGACGGTGTCTTTGAAAGGTTTTCCAGTCTCGCTCTTTCCGTCTTGTTCGTCTTTGTTCTTGTTCATCTGCCGTGCGGTCATGTCCCAAAGACTCGTGGTCCGATCCTGGACCTCTCTCTCAGCGTCAGTGACTTCATGATGAGCCAGCCAGTTCTTGCCCGGCTGGTACTGGGCGACGGACTTTCCATTGAAGCTGTCGGTCGTCTTCATGCGGATAGTGAAGGCTTGGAGGGATAAGGCGAGAATGGCGTTGATGTCCTCGGCCAGTTCTGCGGCTGCCGTATCACCTTTCATCGGGAAAACGAAGTGCTGTTACATGAAAGTCCCCGTAGTCTCATATCACCACACTCGAGTCACTTACGCTCTTGAAGAAACCACTGTCTGACTACGGAAAGACGCGCAAGAAGCGCATGATGCTCTGGATATCGGTGTACTCGTTCTGAAACGGCGTGCCCGTCATTGGGAGTTTGTGTACGGCCTGCAGTCGGTTGGCGGCCTCGAACGTGTCGGAACTCGAGTTCGCGATCCTGTGCGCCTCGTCTAGCACTACCACGTGCCATTCGATCACAGGTAGGACGCTGTCACACCGACTAGGCTTGTCGTGAAATTGAGGATCTTCGAAATTGGCGAAGAATCTCTGTCTGTTTCGCTGCAGAGTCATGTTTTCGTAGCGGAGCTTCTCGTATGTGGCTATGACGACGTCGAACTCTTCGAGTTCCTCCATCGTGTACTCCGCCTTACTTATCAACCACGTCAGCAAAATCTGGCCACCGGGCGCACGGCTGGGGACTCACGGTAAGTGCAGACGTTGACAGGTGACTTCAGCCTCATGTTCTACTCAGTCGCCCAGAGAGTCACGAGGCTTAACGGTAACAGAACGAGGTGGGGCTTGTATGCGATCCTCTCGCGCGTCGCAAGAAACGCTACCTATGAGTAAAAAATGATGCAACGGTTGTCGTAGAGCGGGAAACTTACCAAGAGCGACAAGCTTCTTGTTCATCTCCATCTCCAAGGCTAGCAGCACCCCAATTCCACCATTCTCGTAGTCTTCATCAATGAGCTGAAATGGCCGGGCATGATGACCAAAGAATGGCAAGTTAACGGCCTCGGGGGTCGTGTTGGTGGACGTAGGACCCGCGGTCGCCGCGGACCTTTTGTTTTTCCCCTCGACTATGAGATCGAACGCGAGTTGCATCGGATCGTGCATCGGATCGTCGCCAGCGGCTTCTCCTACAGCGGTGATGTCGAATATCAGCAATGATCCTCACATTCGGCCAGTTTCTCGAAAGATGCGCGACCAAGTCTCCATTGTGATCACCGGGGTTGTGTCCTTAAACCTAACGGCCTTTTTCCGCTTGTAGTTTATTAGTTGTCCGAAGAACCTTATTTTGGCGTATGATTGTAGCAAGAAGGTGTATGTATGAGACAGTTTAAAGTACGCATGAAAAGCAGCGCTAGCTTTGGCGTTTGGACCTTGCTATATACGTCACGTTTGTTGTTCTTTCACTCCAACCTCGACACCTCGCTTCGGTGAAACAGTAATCGCCACCCAGACCAATCGTCGCTAAGTAAGAGAACCTCAAACGTCGACCTTTTGCCATTAATTAGGTGAAAATGCCCGCCGTCTCACTCCCGGATTTTCAAAACAACCCCGCCACAGCACATCTCAAATACGATACAATACCGACTCCCGCGAGTTCATTCCATTCTATCACCCCACCCCCCTCGCGGTCTTTTCGCAGCCCGTGTCTATTATGGTAACGAGTACATATCTGCTCGTGGCGACAAATAGCTAAAACTACTAGACCGATGCCATGGAATGGCAAGGCGACTACATGGGCCCCGTCGCCAAAACCGAGATTCCGCAAACCCTCAATGCCCGCAAAGCGTTTCTGAAAGACGTCTGTGATGTCTACGCTGTCTGGCGCCTGGACCGAAAAAACGTTAACAGGACTGGCACCGACAAGCCAACTTACAAGCACAAGGTGCAATTTGCATGTCTGATCAAAGACAAGTTCTGCGTTGTTGCAGAAAGCGACATCGATGTGGACACTACAGAGTTCGGAGGCGGGAGAGAGTGGAAGGCAAAGGCCTTGGAGCATTGGTTGAAGCATAACAAGGATGCTGTGCGAGAGTCGCTCGTCAAGAAAGGGTTGACAGCGGACACCGAGGACGACATGGCCTCGTCTAGTCCCGAGGCAACGGCTCGGCGCGCGGCTGCTTTCACGCGACACGACGTGGTCAACGACAGTGTCCTCCAGGCAATGGGCCGCGACATCCAGGAGGCCGCGGGATTCACTATGCCTGTTCCGATTCGCATTGTGGAAGGCATGTTGAAATTCGCACGAACCTTGCGAGTCAGCGCTTGGATTGACCCATTCTACACCGAATGGGTCATGGTGACCGGCCAGGCTATTCCGGTTCCCAAGATTATCCCCAACAACCGCACCAACAACGACTCTAGCGAGAGCAGCGAGAGCGACAGTCAGCCCCCAAAGAAGAAACAGAAGATTCTTCCAAGTCTGTTTCGTGATGCGGACACGCCCGACAGAGTACGCGAGACTTTGCTCGAGGCCCAGAGCGTTGCCATCATCGTAGACTTGGAGCAAAGCGGTGATGAGATGGAGGAATGAGTGGATCATGCGGATTCTAGGAGTGAGTCGAGTTGAAAAGAACATAGCTTTCCGGCCTCTGCTCCCTATGAGCATGTCTATTTTTTGGATGGTTCGAACATAACCACGAGGCTTGGATGCGGGTTTGAATATCCCAACAGTACGAGTGTGCGAATTCATATCCACGATGTTTCTGCGCCCTTCTCGTATGCATCCACTGTGACAAGAATTCTTGGTTGACAACTACTCTTTCTTTGTGTTCCACGCTTGGAAGCCAATGACTTGGATTGTGTGTGATGAGCTTACAGTGGTCATTCTACTCTGCTAGAACACGTTACAGTCCACCCACGCCCCAATATTCTGCTTCTTGAATGGTTACATATCGCTGAGGCGCACTCATAGCACAAGCTTTGGCTGATAATTCCGTCCAACTCATTACATCTCATGGTCTGGAGCCTACTGTGAGATCTGAGTGCCGCATTAGATGCATATCAATATCATCGTATCCGGAAAGGCGTGCTGCCGCAGAAGTCAAAATATCTCCACACTTGTCCAGAGGTGTCGAGATCTTTCGCTGTTCAGTTTGGATTTCCCCTTCCCTCTGTCGAAACCGTGAAACCATGTTCCCGAAAACTCACCTGAGGCCGCAATTCACATGAAATTCCACGAGCGAAACCAAACCCAGGACGTTCTCGAAGCGCCAACATGCAGCCGCTATCCTTGATCATACGTAACCGCCGCAGGGATGTCAGCCATAGTAAGGAGAAGACATTAGACTTACAACAAAGATGGGAAATAGATATGCTTGGAGTGGTCGGGAGTCTTCTGCAATGTAGTAGAGCGCCTACTACATGCCAGAGTACAAATGAGCGGAGCTGGCGTCGACCAAGGCTATCGATCTCGAGATAGAATGATTTCACCAGTTTCATATCCACTAGCCTTTACCAATCATGAAAACTATGTCCATGGAGCATACAGAACCTTCAGTAGTATGCTCTACCTTCAAAAGAACGAAGGGCGTGACAGCTACACTAACATTTGATTTGCGATATGTAGTGCAAAGAGATTAACCAAAGATAATCTACTCTGCAGTTCACATCATAATCAATGGCTGAGAATCGCTGCGTTAGTCGCTGAAGTGAGACAATAATCGGTCAGGAAGCAGTGCTGGTAGAATCCCGTGATAACCAATGTCAGTCTTGATAGACGCGTACAGAGTATTCGAAGTCTTCAAAACACACTTCCACGGTGTTGAGGAATGTCATGTATAGCCTGGTATCCGTCAGCGAGATGTTGAGGAGAATAACAATGGAAGTTGCCAACCGTTTGCGAGAACCCATCCGGGCATTCATTCGAGCCCAGCACATCAAGACATCTGTCCAGCCCATACAGCGGATTTTGCTTCCCATCGCAAAATCACATGACATGGGAGATCTGTGATGTTCGGCTTGCTCATAATGGTTTTGTCGTCAGCCGTACTTTCCGAGTCATGACTTTTGTCTGTTTGTTGGTAAACGATGCCTCTGAGAGTACAAGCATGAGTGATTTCGATGATCATACAAGCTGATACTAACACCGCAGGCAAGTATTCGCTCTACTCATAGCACTCGCAATACTCAAGAATGCAAGACACCGAGCCCTACATGGCTAGGCTAGGGCATGGAAGAATTTTCCTGCTAGAGTAGACCAGAGTGTGCGGGAGCAGGAACGAGCCCACATTCAGATTGGATGGCGGATCCAGGCCATCTTGAATTACTATCGGAGGCGCAGCGCGGCATTGATCTGCCTTAACTTCAATATTTTGACAGGCAGAGGCAGCAGAACTTCGGAACAAGATGATACAGCGGCAAAGCGTAAGGTATACCATTGTATTTATCTTCAATCGATACTCCGGGATCATCCTTGATTGATTTACTTTCTTCGGAAATTCCAATACAAACAACGCTGGCTTACAAGTGGGTTCAACCACTACCGGCGCTACTCCTAAGCTTGAAGAACACTCCGAAAAGACAAAGAAAAATTGGACACGCCAAATCGTACGACACGCTCACTAAGGCACCCACATGGAGACGTCATCTTGGCTGCTCTGATCTGTAATTGCTGCACGAGGAAACACGCAAAGACCCACACCTTCCGTTTTCGCAACTACAGTTGCACAGATTCTCTCCCGTTGCACACACAGAGAGCAAGCGACAGGACCAGGTAGGTTAGTCTTCGTGCTTGAACGGTAGATCCGCTGGTTAAGACATTTTGTGTTTGCTTTCCTTACAGCCCTTCGAAAGTCTTCTGCCCTGGACTCAACATATGTCTTGAGTGAGTCGATAATGCTGTTGCGAATAGTGGCTTGAAAGGCATCAAGAGGTTTGTATACGTTGCTTGAGATGCACAAGACGATTGGGAGTCCAGTCAACGCGGAAGCAGTGGCGGGAATAGACAGTAGGTTGTTGCGAGTAGCGAGAATTGGGGCAGAGACAAAGCCTCGGTTGAGCTGTGATGTTGAAGTAGTCGAGGGTGTTGGCGATATCGAGTGTTGGGATCTCTCTACGTCCAGCAAAACTTGGGTTGACTCGTCGACAGTCGCCACGCTTGTTGGGTTCAATTCATCTTCTAGGACAATACCAGTCTGGGGACAAGCGTTGACAGACTCAGGCTGTGACTGAGACGATCGGGCAGCGATGAATGCTCCGAGATCATCTTGGAAACGTCGAAACTTCCTTCGTTCAATTTCGAGAGCGATGCGTGATTCGTCAAGTTGCTGTTGGGTACTATGGAGTAAAACAGTCTTCTCGCTAACGGTGGAGCAGAGACTGGTAATTGTTATATCAGACTGTGCTTGCTTTGCTCTCAGAGACAGGATGGTCTCATCTTGTGCTGCGATTGTCGACCTGTCCACTCGAATTAAACCTAAATGAATCAGCTGCTGAATGCTTCCGGTCATCAAGCTTCTTACCTCCAAGCTGCTCGGCCAACTCCACTAAGATGTGGTGCTCCTTTTGACTTTGTAGACAGAGCTGCGAGAGCTCGTGGATAAGCTTGAGCGTTTCTGATTCGTCACAACGGGCTGAGCGCTCGGCTTTGATCAAATTCATGCGATAGATGGCTTGGGCTACGGCCTCTTCCATGTGATCAGCCATGCTGGTTGCTCGATTGGTGTCTCGGGGGGAGGAAAAAGGCGTGGTGGGAGAAGCGAAAGCAGGGTGGAGAGAAAAATGAGAGGTAATAAAAAAGTTTGTGTCGTCATCATTAAACGAGAAGGCGCATCAATGCCTGCACAAAGGGCTAAAGCAGGCTATAGGCGAGGGGAAAGTAGAATAGATAAGAGTGAAAGCAGAATAGGTAGCGGTGAAATCTTCATGCAGCCTGAACTAGCCTGGTAGTCGACATACATCCGCTAGCCTCACTTCTACACATTCTCCCTGACGCACATTATCTTCTTCTATATAATCGCCATCTGCCAAAATCATGTCAATCATGGATATTGAGATGGCCGATTGCGACACCTCGAGTTCCCTAGCCTCATGCACATTCAGAGAAGCAGGCAAGCGAAAGCGTGCCGAAGACGATTTAGGCAATCGAGAGAGGGTCTACGACTTCGGGGAGCGCTTTGATGAGACTCAAGTGTAAGTAAAGCACAGAAGGTAGCATTTGAACATACTGATAGTTTTCAAGTGGTCAAGACGACAGGTCAGGCGATGGTGAGGGCATAGATGATGCCGAGGGCATTGATGAAAGCGACCTGGTTCACCTACCCATCCCGAATCACGCGCAGCAGCAAGCAGAGAACCTCGCTCGGTTCCCGCGAGTCAATTACTCAAGCGCTCTGGGACGAAGCTATGTATCACTGATTGACGCCATCTTCAGCGAAGAGCGAGTCCCCAACATCACCAACGCCAACAACAACGTCCAACAGCAGCTGTCACTTTGTAAGCTTTTTGCCAGCGTACCCAGAACCATACTCGAGGCTCTCTTGGATGGGTCTTTGGCACACAAGGATCTCAAAAAGCATGACGAAGAGATTCGTCAATACTACCACGATGTACCAGGCCTTCTCGCAGACCAACAACACGATTGGATCAAACAGAGCGAAGCCAAAAGTGCCCCAGCCCTGTACGCTCGAATGCTGACGAGCGAAGACGGAGAAGCACCTAGCCCGCAAGACTATATGGCGCTCTGCAACATTCTGCGAAAGTACGCCAATGGCGACCGCCATAGCGTCCTGTTGATCGACAGTGCACATAGTGATGTCGCCGAATCGAATGTCGTCGAACCGTACTATCTTGACGGCAAGCTCAAGCATGTCCGACAATTGTTCACATGGATCCGTGCGATTGAGCTTATGTGTGAAGCTATGCCGCGGGAAGAGTGGGAAACGCCGCACCCAGTACCACGCTGTTACATCGGATATGCCGAGAGCATCTTGGAATGCGATGCTCAGTACATGAGGAAGCAGTCATGCGCCTGGCTGGTGTCGTTGGTTGAGGCCGCTCTTGATGTCGTGTCTCCGTATAGAGGGTACCGGCTTCGCACCTACGCCATCTGCTTCTTCGCTGGAAAGGATGAAGTCGAGCTCGGCGAGCGGGCCTTTACGCGTTGCACCAACTCTTACATTTGCTACGGAGGTTTTAACGTAGCTCCGCCAGGCCAATGCCCCAGTGCTGGGTTAGCCGACTGGCATGCCCTGGAGTTGTGGCGAGAAGCACACACTCCGTTCCAGAGCAACATGAAGCACGAAGTTGGCAACCTGGAAGAGTTACAACATCAAACCGATACCGACCACCACCTTTTCTACATGCAGCTACGGTGTCAGGCTATCAACGCAAAGCAGGAATGCCAGCGCGGAGACATGGAGAACGGGGCTCTCATGGCAAACCTTCCACATACCTTAGCTGGGATCGAAGGCTTGGATCTCTCCAAACTCCTTTCAACAGTCGCCAGTCGCACTGCACCAAGGTCTTAGATAGAGGGTTCAGGGTGAGAGTAGGAAGAACAAAGCTGTAATGCAACAAGTCATGGATGGTAGGTGTGTGTTAGTATAATGTGTGTAGGTGAGAGAACTAGCTAAGGTAAGAGAATTAGCTACGTGATTCATGCCATATATACATGCCAAGACCCATGACATTATATGCAAGACGACCAAAGCCACTGGAAGGTTGAGGCCAACCACACCTGACCTGTTTGTCATCAAGAGAACGTCGTACTGGTCATTCGTCAAGAAGAGATCCTAGGCTGTTTCTCGCGGCTTTGGGTTGACCCATCCATCAAACCGCAGACAACAGAATCCTTTAGCCGTCAGGGCTATTTCTGTCATGTCAAGAGTGCATAGAATCTCAGAGAATAAGATGGCCTGTGTACGTTGCTCCTGTTGTATATTCGACTCCGCTTTCTGGCTGGTCTCTTTCTTGATATGCTCATTGGCGAATCGGCCTTTGCCTAGATGCTGCTCTAGGATTCCTACTACGCGTATCATCCGAGGTGAGGACTGCCAGTCTGCCTTTCTGGTTTTCATAAAAGTGTCGCGTCGCTCCTTCGCTGCTTGCTGAGGCCTTTTGGGCTTCGGCCTTTCGTCGACCGCCAAAAGATGCAGAAGCCATTCTTCGCGACGTCTGGTCTGTCTGCGATGTCTTCATCTCCGGTCTCGCCATAGCCGGCCGTTGCGCACGCGAGGTTAACTGTGCTGACTAAAGAAGTGGGGATAGATTTCCAATGGTGACGTAGAATGTAACTGATAGTGAATGTAGCAAGCCGGGACCTTACCTCTATCCGCACTAGTAGACCAAATTCACTGGGACAAAAGTATAGAGACTTCAACAGATGGTTTCTGCATTCTGCTGTTTACAGCTCTTTACGAGGTGTTTATAGACATTGTACATTCATCTGCATATCTACTCGATTTGCTGTGTAATGACTGTTACACAATGATGGATCTGGCATAGCACACGTGAGTTTTTTATCTTGGCTCTACTTTTACCATGTTAGACTCTATAGAATGTCACCCTTCCCCGAAATACAATCCTGCGAGTGATCAAGTTGTCCAGGAGCCATGCTAGAGGTACAGAGTACATTTCGTCCTACGTTTCGCTATTTATCCTCTTTCCTTTCCATCACACTACCTTAGGGACCTCCGTATCGTTTCATAGTTACAATATGTAGGTAGAGGAGTGACTCGTAAAGAACCGTAGTAGCGCGTGGCTGTGGGGTGTTGCACGTAATGTATCTATAGCGGCATAAAAGGCCAAGCAAAATACAATCATTTCTGCACGTTATTCCACCTTACTCGGCCCCGCCTCTCTATACAGCATCTCACTCACACTAGCACAAGTGACTGTAAGCAGCATCCCAAACTTCAAGGCATTACGTCACCCTGGAACCAGCGCTCGAATAGCTTTCCCGAACAAGCCTTCCACACTCATCATAGTCAATCCGACCACTCCATTCACGCAGCCTGCTGATCAATAGGACCGTAGGCCAACAATAAGGTTGAGCGAGTCTTTGCTGACGAAACCCAGCAGATAAGATTTGCGAGAAGTTGCTGGTTTCTGGCGTGTGACAGCTAGCAGTTGGGCCTGGTGAGAGAAGTTTGATTCACCAAGTTTCTGGCACGCTAGTGCTGCTAAGATAGATAAATGATCAATTCTTACTCTCCTTCTTCCCCTCTTCATTCCTACCTATTAATAACCTACGTCACTCCGATAAATAGGCTAAATTAGTTGTTGAGTTCAAGAAATATGTATATTCTGAACTGGAGTATCAAAAACAGAGCCTAAAGACTGTAGAAAGTAACGGAGAAAGGAATTATAATATAGTGAGATTTATGGCGAAATCAAACGATGTTTGAGATGTAATTATAGAGGTCACTTCCTCAAAGATTTACCCAATTCTACTTGTTGAGCTCAAGAAACTACATCTACTACAGCTCAAACTCTCAGTCAAGCGCAAAAGAGGGAAGTAGGCTGACCCCCGAAAATAACCCCCGAAACATTCTTGTGGCTCCTACAATCCACAAAATCACCCAATCTGAATCTACCAAAGAGTATGCTAGGCGTATACTGCCAGGACCTCGAGTTCAAGACTCTTACACTGATCAAGGATGTAGTTGTCGAGCTGTTGCAAACCTTTGCTACATTGACCCCTGGAATTTCAACTTATCAAGAGTCAGGCTTCTTAGTTCGCATCCAAGGTAGGTCGTTGCTAAGCAGTTATCATCTAGACAATTGTAATAGCAGTACGAAGCGCTTCATCCTAGACCCAAGCGTTGATTTTTCTCGATGGTGGGGGAAACTGGCAAACAAAGGCCTTGCCAATCTGGATCGAGAAGTTCGGTGACCCAGGTGATATAGTAAAGCCGCCACCGAAGCCGAAGCAGCCAAAGGCTTCGGCTCGCAGTACTATCAAAAGCCAGAGGCACAATCCGTCTGGATCGTCAAGGAAATCAAACCCTGCTGCGCGCTCTGACGAACTGAAGAGGCCGGCGTCTGGCGAGCTTGAACGCATCAACAAACGCGTCAAACCCGTGCACGACACGTCATCTAGCCCTCAAGTGAGAAACGCCCCTCGCTTCCGATCCCTCGAAGACATCGACAGGGCAGATACGTTCCGCCAATGGTACGATCTAGGAAACGACGTCTCGGCGACTATTGCATCGGACATGGCCGTGCTCCTCAAGTACGACACCGAGGCTCAACAGCCCCCGCCCGTCGAACTGCTGAAGAACATTCGGGGCAGAGCCCAGAATGTGTATCAGTCTTTGCCGCAAACCGACCCTAAGGGGATGTTTTCGGATCCCGATTGGACAGCCTGGGAATCGAAAGTGGTCAAGGTCCCAAAGCCTTCGGTGGTTGTCGAACAGCATGAGACGGGTTACCAGGGGCATGAGGCACTGCGTCGAGTTCTGCTCTTGGTCAAGGAGCTCAAGGAATGGCAGGCTAGAGGCCGCATTGCAGACGCCAAGATGACCGACGTGTAAATATCTTGGGTAGGCTCTGAGTTTTGATGTTACCACATCTACGAATCCGTGTCTTTGACACATACTTTATCTGGTCCTCATCTACAGGTTCAGGCTTTGGAGGCTTCACTTGGTGGGGATCACTTTTATGCAGATCGGAATGCGGCGTACATTTTCTTATTTTAGTTCTCTTCGATGAGTACTGAGTGATCATTTGGGACAATTCTTTCTATTCATGGCTATACTTCATAAGACCATAAGGATGCAGAGAAAAAGCATACTTTGTTCAGGATGATCATATTCATGAATGACTGTGACCCTTTCTATAAACTTTGGCTGATGATATGACCGCTTGTGTGCTCCGTTATATGATGCCGTCGGAGAGCAACTACTTACTAAATGGTAAGTTGCGCTTGGCTTCCAACAAGCTGGCTTCGAGTTTGTCGGCTAAGCTGGCATTCATGCGGAAGACGACCATAAGGTTGCATATGTGTTTGCCGATAATGGTGTCCACGTCTGCCTTGGCAGTTGTAGTTACCTCGAGCGCATTGCTTAGTCCTTTGTTCCTTTCGTTCGCGTCAATCAAGTCCTGCTGAATCCTACGGATAGAATGGAGGATCGTGTATGCGTCATTAGAGGCCCCCAATTGCACGTCTTTCAATGGTGCTTTTACGTCCCAGCCCGGCTCCTTAACAGCTAGCTGCATCTCCTCCGCACTGAAGGCATCGCCATGAATGCCCTGGTATGCGCTTAGGACAACGGTACGTGCCAGACGCGCTTTTCGAGGTTGTAGATCCTCTTCTTCGCCGCCTCATTCGCCTGCTCTGTTGTATTTGATGTCTTCTCCATGTCCGCGAATTTTGCCTCTGCTGGGTCAAGCTGCTGCTTGTGATTGGTTCGCTCTAGGAGGCTGGCTGGTCTTGTTTTGTGCGGCGACATGCCCACTCAAAGCAAACTTGAACGAATTAGCTGGTGGGGACTGCCGCTCGTCATGACCCTTACCTGCATGTTGATCGAGCAGTCTTGCCAAGCTGCGCTGTTTCTCTTTGCTGTAGATCGATAGGCTACCGAGTGTCGCGTGCAGGTGGAGAGGAGGCGAGTCAGGTGGAGGGAAGGCGAGTCGCGAAGGACGGTAACGCTGTGCCAAGCCACTAATCCCAAATGTGGCTAGTCTCATCGACCCTCACTCGAGCTCAATCAGCACAAAATCGTGAAATAAGTTGAGTTCGCTACATTTGGCCAACCAGAGCTGCGAGGATGGTATGTGTATGTTGTGTGGCAAGCTGGCTTCAAGCCCGAGAGCAAGATCCTGGATGACGGCCAGAATGATGGACTGAGACTTTGTCAACATTCACCATAAGCATGATTTCCAGTCTATTACGGTGTTTGATTCTGATGATGGATGAACTCGGTTCCAATCGGCGAATGTCCCGGAATTGAGGGCTGGAGATGCGTCCCAACCCGTACTTCTCCAGGCGGAGGATGAGGTCTTGGAGGGTCTGATTCTCGGTAGTCATTTCATTAGCGAACGTTGTTCAATCATGAGCCCTGGAAATTTGGTCCTTCAAAAAAGAATCAACCTGCCTCATAAAAAGTCATCATTCAGCCATGTTCCAACTCAAATATCAATTTGACAGAGGCAAGACACAACCACAGCTCCAGTCAAACACCACTCATCACGACATTACGGAATCTCCTCCCAAGGCTGCTGTAGGGTGTCCAGAGTGTCCACTGCTGGCTTGTATTAACATCGCTGGTGACTTGCTGCAACACCAATTCAGCTTACCATCCCACATCTGCCAGCCAACATCCGAGGCAGGCGTCGCGATTTGGAGACTGCCAGGCGGTTCGATGGCCGGAGATGTCCAGTCCGTCAAGACTGCCTCGTCGAGAATGGGGAACTGAATACCGAACTCGGTAGAACTGCCTGAAGCCACGCACATTAGTCTCATCTTACCGGATTCAAACAACTCCCTAATTATAGCATAACTGGCCACTTACTGTGATTATAATAGCTTGTATCGATACCATGGGATGTTGATTGCGGTGCGTTCGTTTCGACGTTTGAACTCTCACCACAAGCGTTGTGGCTCCCGAGAACTATACTCAGAGCTTTGACAGCCTTCTGTGCCTCCTTTGAAGAACTACTTGAGTCAAGCCATATATCGTACGATCGCTTGAGGGATGCCCAGATGCCTTCAACCATCGATGCTTCGACGCTCTCGTTTACCACACCATCAACATGCTGCAAGTAGAGGCAAAGAATGCTAGTTGCGAGAAGAAAGTCATGGTTGACCAGAGATGAGACTCTCCACCGTTCCTGGTATAGTTGGCAAAACGGTCGTGTTTCTTCTTGGAGCACATGTTGATAGTCGAGAAGTTTGAGCGCCGCGTCCAAACATGCTTGTTGGGAGTATCCATACTGCGTCATCATTGGCGAACAGTGCAAATACTTCCGATGTAGCACTATTTTGGCTCTGTGGAACATTATCTCTAGAAACATCTTTTGCATAATGATTTGTGGAGAGTCCAGAATGCAAAGGGCCATTGAGCGCCACTTGAGGCATGTGGGAATGGAGATGTACGTTTCTTGGAGCTTCTTGTCCATCTTCATCACATCGTCGTAGGCATATGACCTGATGTCGGTTGCAAAGTCCCATATAGAGCCAATAGTTGCCATGAACCTGGCCTTTACCAGGCGGTACAGCATCGGTGTGAGATCGGTCTCTGGTCGGCATGGTGGCATGTCTGTCGTTGTCTTGTTGAAATCACTGTCTTGCAGGTTCAAAGGCTCCGTTGTGTCGGTTTGCCATTGTTTGATCAACCGCGGGAGACCCATCTGGGTAGAAATGCCAATGTCAAGTTCGACGATGGTTGCCCAGACTCGTTTTCGCATCTCTCCCGTAAAGGCAGACATCGATTTGAAGTGCTTTGGGTCTCTGTGATACCCCATATGCATCGCAAGCTGAACTATGGTGCCCAAGAGAATACAAACACCCATTTCGGCATCATTGCGGGATAGCAGCTCAACGGCGATGTATAGCATGAGCGTCTCCAGCACATAAGGACCCCCTTTTGCGTAGTTCCCTAGAATAAGACATTGCACGATGTTTCGCCTGAAAGTTTCTACCATATTCTGAAGGTCCTGTTCCAACGATTGGTTTGTTGGGGTTTGGGAGCAGGGGTCTAATCTGAACTTCTGGAACTGAGCTGCGAGACACATGATGGTAAACAACAGACCAAGCCATATGACTGGCGTTTCTGATGGATCTCTCCAGAAGTCTTCGTACTTGGAACCTGTCAGCGAAAGATGAGCTAGCTGGGCAAAAGGACGTCAATACCTCCTCCAGAAACTGAACACTGTGCAGGACGGCTTGGTTGCGGGAGTCAGTTATCAACACAGTCGATATTACATCACACTAACCTGGGGACATTTCGAACGAACTGAAGTAACGCGACACCAACCGATCCACAACCTGTCGCGTAGGAACCGCTGCCAGCATCTCTTCTTTGGTTGCGAGCATTCTGCAGCCATACAGCAGCTGTGGACCAGTCCAGTCCGGAAAAGAGGACTCAGAGGGCCGATCGATCGCTGGAGACTCTTCCTCCTTGTCGAAATAGTCTTTGAGCTCTACAATTTCTTCGAGGATAGCGGCCCAGTGGGAACCATTGACATAGCTCGCCCCCGAACCAGTCAACTGCATGCTGCCGGAGTCAGAGAGAGGTGAGGCAAAACCTGCAGTTTTAGTAGCATCATCCAAGTGACCCGTGGTGCTTGACCGTCCCGGAATGACCAAAAGCTCCTGGCCAGCGTGACTTTCTGATGTTTTCTGCATCAAATCAACCACCAAGCTTTCCAGTTGCAGGATCCTATCCTGCACAGTGCGCGCCCGCTGCTCACCACCAACAGGCCGCGACTCGTTCGGTACGTATGTACAAGATTGACCCAGACCTCGCAGACCACAGGCTCCGCAGGGATACTGTCTGTCGCATCGCAACCTATCGAGATTAGGGACAGCCTTTGCTTAGAACAGACGAGTGAATGAGAAACTCACTTCCTCTGCTTACAAAGATTGCAGGAAAACTGTGGTCGATCCCGACGCCTGCTGGAAGGCAAGCGTGCTCTACCTTTTGCGGTTTTGCCAGGCCCCCATTCAGGGAGTCGGAGTTCGTCTTGATCAGACATGTTGTTGCGAGGAGTGATAAACTCGTTGCTAAGATTCGTCGATATTTTGGATCAGTCAGGCAACCTGTCAGGTCCACCAATCCCGCAACACGGCTCGTTCCTTGCCGGTGACCCGCTCCGGTGCTCCGCTCCGATGCTCCGCTCCATTGGCCGTCCTGTCAAATCCACATCTCCGTATTGGGTATAGCATACTAATCATAAATGGAGGTATCAGAGTCCGTTGACCCTTGCCTGGGCATTTAAGTCCTCTGTAAAAGCAGACCAATTCTCATCCTTTCAAACTCAACCCCAAGAGCGAACTGGCAGCCTTTGGTCCGAAAATGTATAAAAGGTAACCCACGAAACACCCTGGCAAATACTCATCATGGTCGTATCAGTTGCTGGTAGCGACAGAGACTCATCACTTGCTCAATCGTACACGAATACCAATGTCGTTGATTGGGATAGCCCCGAAGATTCCGAAAATCCCCTTCACTGGTCGTCCTCCAAAAAGAACCTACACATAGTCATCGTGAGCCTGTTTTCACTCACTGCGTAAGTGGTCTACAGTTGCTATTCCAACTATAACACTAGCACATCTTGGCTGATTCGTTGTCACAGAAACCTGGCCGCAACCATGTTCGCGCCCGGAGCACCACAGCTCGCTGAAGAATTTCACATCAAAAGTCCCACTGTCGAGGCCATGACAGTCAGTCTCTACGTGCTTGGCTTCGCCCTCGGTCCTCTCGTTCTTGCGCCACTCTCCGAGTTGTATGGTCGCCTTATCATCTACTACTTCTGCAACTTTGTCTACTTGGCGTTCACTGTGGGATGTACCTTCAGTACCAATGTTGCTATGTTCCTTGTTTTCCGATTCCTTTGTGGTTGCGCTGCCTCGGGACCCATGAGTATCGGTGGCGGTTCAGTTGCAGACATGACGCCTCAGGAGCAGCGAGGACGGGCCATGGCATTGTTTACTATGGGGCCAATCTTGGGACCTGTGGGTTTTCCCTTCTACCAAAGACGGTTCTTTACGCTGACAATCTAGGTTCTTGGTCCTATCGTTGGAGGCTTTGTTTCTCAATATGCCAATTGGCGCTGGACGTTTCGGATCATTCTGATATTGGTAGGCCATCCGTTGGTGTGCTGTGTTCGTGTTATGTCTCTAACTGATCACGTCTTTAGTCTGGGCTCATCTGCGCAGCCACGGTCATCTTCATGAAAGAGACTAACGCTGCCGTTTTACTACGGCGAAAGACCAATCGAATGCGCAGAGAAACTGGGAACCTCAAACTCGTACCCAAAGGTGCAAGGAGGGAGACACCCCGCCAAGCGCTCTTTCGTGCCTTTACTCGCCCACTCAAGATGCTCGTCTTCTCGCCCATTGTTCTGCTTGTGTCGCTGTACACTGGTGTGATGTTCGGGCTCATATTTTTGCTTTTCACCACCTTCCCGTCTGTCTTCCAGGAAGTCTACGACTTTGACGCAGGAACCGCTGGTCTAGCCTACCTCGGCCTCGGTATTGGCATGATGCTCGGATTGGTACTATTTTCCATCCTCAGTGACAAGCTCCTCGGACAGAAGCAGGGCGCCTCCGTTGTGAAGCCGGAACAGCGGCTCATCTTGATGAAGTGGATGGGCCCCATCACTCCTCTCGGCTGTTTCCTATACGGCTGGAGTGCTCAATACCATACCCACTGGATCGTGCCGATTTCGGGGACCTTCATCGTCGGTCTTGGATCTCTATTTGTCGTCATACCAGGACAGATCTATCTGGTAGACGCCTTTGGGGCGGAAGCTGCGGCTTCTGCCCTCGCGGCCAACCTGCTTGTCCGCTCTCCTTTCGGTGCTTTCCTGGTCCTGGCTGCGGCACCGTTGTATGACACACTGGGGCTAGGATGGGGGAATAGCGTGCTAGGTTTCATCACCCTTGCCTTCACGCCAGTACCGTGGCTATTTTATCGTTACGGTGAAGCCTTGAGGATTCGTTTCCCCGTCGATTTGTGATCGTGGCTGTCGCACATCCTCAATGAGTATATATGATTACTCTGAGCAAGAAAATCTACTTTAACGTACGTTTACCTTCAACACTGCTCTTCAATTGCGATCGTGTACCATATGGGATGCCCATCCTTCTGCAAATCGTTGTTCAAGATCGGTTTCTGCGTAGCCGAAACCAAGCTGTGCTCGTCCCAGGATGCGCACTTGAATCACCGCCCTCCTCTTATCAAAACGCTCTCCTCCTTGACTCCGAGATTTTCACATGGATCGTCATAGCTCACATCCTCAACATACAAATCCATATCTTCCTTTCGAGCATTCATCTTGATGATCTTGCACGCGAGCTGGCTTGATAAACCCATCTCCTCCATATATCCATTCTCACGCCACTCGGTCCACTCCTGGACAAATACGCGCTCTAAACCGCTAAGAGCGTGTAGAATCTGCCGACACGCAGGACGGATGATATACGACCTCGGGCCTGTTTCGTTTGAGTTTGCCTCCAGACACACGTCGTGAACCTGGACACGAAGAGTCGTGATAGCGTTGAGTTGGGCCGGCGTGAGAGCGGTAACAAGGTCCTGGAAGCGGTACAAGTGCCGGGCATCAAATTCATTCAGCGTGAAGATCAGCCGTGATGTTTCCAGCTGTATTTGACGACAGACCCCGGTCAAGGCGAGAAGGTGCTGGGGAGATTCCCAGGTTCCGAGAGGCTCAGTGGACGTACATCGAGTTTTGATGGTGAACGTGTGTGCACGGCCTTTGCTGAGGACGACGCGAATCCGCTTGAAACCGAGGACGTGGTGGTAGATCTCACTGCGTAGCTCTGCGGGAAGGCGTAGTAGTGCAGAGGCAGTTTGGTTGCGTTGAAGCCTAAGTATCGTCAATACTGTTAAATAGAAGAGAAAGGTGGTGACCGACATTGCTGCTTGTGCATCTCGAATCACCATCGAAATCGGATCGTCAAGCATGACTGGCGATGACTTCGGGCTGGAATATTTGTAGTGAATGTTGTTAAATCTCACGCGCTCAGCTAGCGCTGCAGTTATGCAGAAGATATATTTACAAAGCTTGCTTATATTGGCAATGCCATGAAAATGCAAGAAAAGATCATGGGTTGGAAACGGTGACGGTGCTATTGACGATGCCTGGAACACGTAAGCCAGACTGACGAATAGGGTTCCGACGCCCCACTTCTAGCTTTATCATGGTTAATTCATCGTGCTGCTACCTAGAGCTCAAATCCACCCGAAACATCAATGGTTCTTGGAGTTGCTTGAATGAGGAACGGCTGAGTTGAGGTGGAAAATTTTGCAGTTGATTAAAGGCGATCAAGGCATCAAGCTTCCCCTAAAACGTATCGCAAAAGCCTCTGACTGACCTATTCAGAATTGCTTATTCAGCTTTACACTACCTACTGTTCTAACCCTTTCTCAGAGAAAGACCCCTTTAGGATACAAGACATTGTCTGATCGTGCTGTTCTTGGGCGATGGTTGAGAGATGAGCATGATGCGCCGTTTGTGCGAACTACTTCGAGTCTTCCTGGTGCTTAACATGTGCGGTGGCCACCAGTAATCATGGTGCGCAAAATATGTGCGATGATCGCTACTAAATACTTTCTACTCTATCATTAAGCCGGAAAAGGTAAGAGTTTCAGGTCTTGAGAACCCCAAAGGTTCCGTGTCGTAAGGAGGTTCAGACAAGTTTGTTCTGCTTCAATCGAGGACATTGTTCCCTCGCTCGTTATTTTTTCCACTTGCAACTCGACGATTCTTGAAGTTACGAGCACGATCTAGTTGCCCTCATTAACGGTCGCTCATTGTACGGTTTACTCATACCACCTATTGATAAAAAAATAAGAGCGTAAATGTGTTAGGCAACTTTGTGTAATCGTGTAAATGGCTTGAAAGGTGTAGCAGCCTTTTCCACTATTTTCGTGAGTAGCCAGTTCCAGGATGGAAGTTGGAGCATGTTCATCAAAACAAGAAGACATCCAGTAACCCATAGACGTTTTTCGATTTACGACTGCGATGAGGATCTCATGGACTGTGGTTTGTTACAGCATTAGCTATCGCTCTCTCTATGCTCTCTTAGGACACACAATCGTCTCTTCCCAACATCTTCAAGGCTTCCCAACATACCTAACCCTCTTATCGGTCTAGGCTCCTATCCCGCAACGACAACAACTCAAGAACAAAACAAAGCGCTGCGTGAGGCATGCTACTGAACGCTGAACATAACGAGCTCTTCACGAGGCCGATGGATTGGATGTTCAGTGGCCCACAAGATTTCTACTCTGCGGAGGAAGTCCAGGCTTTCCTTGAGGCCACAAACGGGGAGCCACCGTGCTCTCAGGGATCCAGAATGGCGTTGCTCAAAGCTCTGAAAATACTTTGGCTTTGGGCTTTCATGACGAGGTTTTTTGATCAGGAGAAAAGAAGAAAAAGAGGGGACGGAGAAAGAGGACAGAAAGGGTTACATCCGTGTCGCGATGGGTCCTTGGCGCGATGACCTTGTATTTTCATAGTGACTATTTCCTTGCAGAAGGAAGGTCGCACCATTTGTGCCGATTCGGTGTTTTGATGGCATCTATCAATTCACGGTTGATGAGGCAAATGATTCACTTCTCAACAACCAGATAATAACTCATATACTCTCGCAGCACGTATATGAGGCCTTTCAGGTTGGCGATTGAAAATACACATGGTTGTTACATCGAATGAGCCAGCATAAGACAGCCCATAATATATTGAGGGACGACGCGTTGCACAATTCGGTGCTGTTGGAACACGAGGTATGACACAATAGGGCCCACACCTACACATGCAGAACACGTCGTCGATCCACCATACGGAGGTGGAGGATCGGAAGATCGAAGACTGCGAGAGATCCAGAATGATTTTGCACAAGGACGTAAGTCCCATAGGAACACGATCTGCTTGATTTCTGGGGAGAAAATTGGGAATGGTGAGATTCAGCGGGTCTTGAAGGACGGATATCGCAGCCTTCTCCTGAAATCTTTTGCAGCCATGCTCAATCACCCCCACGAGGACCCACAATGCATTCGAAGGTTGTAGTGTAGGGGTCTTGGTGGGATCAGTGCGTTGCCGCACGCCACCAGGATTCGAAACAACGTGCAAGATAACGACAGAGACGCTGAGAGGTCCAAGGAGATTTACTGATAGTCGCGACCACAAGAACAACAACCTACTTTGGAAAGTATCCCAAGCTCGTTCCAAAATAGAAGTGTGCAGCACGCGCGGCGCAAGTGCATGGCAACGCACGAATCACAACGGCCCAGGACCTGCAGCGTGGAAGGCGAATGACGCACCTTTTGAGAATCAACGGTCTGTAGAAGCGCCTCATCCGGCTTCCGAGCAATGTGCCGGCAGACTCAGTAAGGGAAACAAAGCCTTTCGCCATCCAAATTTAGCGCGTGCGCCAAGTCTCGCTAGGCGTGTATTCGGAGTACTCTTTTTGTCTTGTTGGGTGGTACGAATGCGGGAGCTTTGCACTAGAATCTGGTCCCAACACACGTCGGCTCCACCCGATAAGTCGCCGTCGATGTCAATCTCGTCTCAGCAGCTGCGACCCAGTTTTTCATCGACGACTGACTGGGCGGGGAAAAGGCGGTCGTCGTGTCGAAAAAGGACTGGCAATTTCAGGAGAATCCTTGATAGGTATTTGACGAGCAGCTCCCGCGCGGACGTGCGCAGAGCATCTATCTACAATCTACACCACATTACCTTGATCCGCCATCTTCTCTCACTTTGTCAATTATTTCCACTATTTCTTGTCCTTCACCGTCACCTATCCACAGCGAATCGAAAATTAGTCGAAGTTAGACAGTAGAAGCACTAACGACGTCATCCCGCTCGCTGGAGCTTTTTTTAAACTCTGCTTCACAAACTACGCAATCAATCTGGAACCATTGCCTGCCACACACACCACGTACATATTCAAGGCCTCGAGCCTGAGCGAAATCCGTAGCCATGACCACTCCCATCAACGAACGGCCCGAGCCGACCTACGACATGCACAGCAACACATTCCTTCCCACCCAGCGCTCTTCGGATGACGACGGCACCTTTGTTGGCGAAGATATAAGCCAGCAAGGCTCGAATAACTTGCGACAGCCTCCGGTTTTGCACAACAGGTCGCGATCAGGAACACATCTGACTGTCGAGACGATGCACGATCCCCACGCTTTCGACAGTGTGCAGTCGCCGTCTCAGTCGCGGGAGGAGGCTAGCAGGCTCGACGATGAATTGACAGTGCTCCAGATTGAGCAAGAAATCTCTAAGAACGAAAGACTGCAACGGGGCGAGTCCGTGAGCCGCTCGATGAACCGAGTGCGCTCTCGACGCGACGATCTGATAGACGACTTCGATGCGGCTACGAATCCACTACACGAACAAGCTGCCAAGTACAAGCCTCCGGAGAATCCCAGCACCAAGTTTTCCGTCTTCATCAAGAAGGTCCATGGCTCGAGTTGGCTAGTGAGGTACTTCACATACATCACTCCTCTGGTTCTCATAATCCTCATTCCCTTGTTGCTGGGCGCCTTTGTCTTCCCAAACGCCAACGTCGGTGGCGTGACACTCACCTGGTTCTGTATCTGGCTGATGATTGTTTGGTTGACGCTCTGGGCTGGCAGAGTAGGTACATCTTAATCCTATCCTGTCACACAAGCTAACGAGAACCAGCTCCTCGCAAAAGGCCTTCCCTGGCCAATCGGCACAATTGCCAGTCTTTTTACAAACAACAGCAAGAAGTGGAGAGACATGGGCAAACAACTCGAGCTACCAGCAACCCTGTTCTTCTGGTGGCTGGCTATCGAAATCTCGTTCCTTCCTACCATGAAAAACCACAATATTAATCGCCGTGACAAGAGCACGCAACATTGGCAGTCAAAGATGAACCAAGTTCTTGTAGCTTTCCTCGTCGGATTCATCTTGAATTTCGTCGAAAAGGTCATCATTCAACTCATCGCAATCAACTTCCATCTCCGAACATACCAAGACAGAATCGACCTCAACAAGTTCCAGATAGGAAGCCTTGCCAAGTTGTATAAATACTCCAAAGAAAAGATCGCCATGGAGGACTCCGAATTCGAACAGAACGATATTCCAAGCGGCGCCCGCACTCCAGGTCAGCTCATGACGGAGGCTCAAAAGAATATCAAACTCGGTCTCAATCGATTTGGAGATGTGGCCGGAAAGATTGCCGGAGACTTCACTGGACGCCAAGTCACGTCCAGCCGTCATCCTAACCAGGTCGTCCTTTCCCTCATTGCCAGCACTAGTGGTGCTCAAATCCTTGCCCGTCGTTTGTATCGGACTTTTTCGCGCCCAGAAACGGAGACCGTACACTCGGAAGACCTCAAAAACGCTTTCGATAGTGATGATGAAGCAGAAGCAGCATTCTCCATGTTTGACAAGGACATGAATGGAGATATATCCATGGAAGAACTCGAGGCCGTCTGTGTCGAAATTGGTCGAGAACGCAAATCCATCACGGCTTCGCTGAAGGATTTGGACTCGGTCGTCAGCAAGCTTGACGATGTATTCATGTTCATTGTGTTCATCATCACCATCATCGTTTTCGTCTCCTTGATCTCGTCCTCGGCTGCCGGGGTCATCACGTCTGCGGGTTCGACCCTTCTGGCCTTGTCGTGGCTGTTCTCCGCCACCGCTCAAGAGTTCCTGCAATCATGCATCTTCGTCTTCGTCAAACACCCTTACGATGTCGGGGACCGTGTTCAGGTTTATGGCAACACTGGTGATCTGGGCAGGGGCGATGATTACTTCGTCAAGGAAATCGCCCTCTTCTATACCGAATTCAAGAAGATGCAAGGTCACGTTGTCCAGGCACCTAACAGTTACCTGAACACATTGTTCATCCTAAATCACCGACGATCTGGCGGTCTGGCCGAGGCCTTGCCTATTATCGTGAAATTTGGAACGACGCTGGAACAGATCAACCGTCTTCGTCAGACCCTTCTGGAATTTGTCACATCGGAGAAGCGTGAATATCAGTCCAACATCTTGACAGAGTTGAGGGCAGTACAAGAGGTCCATTGGCTGGAACTGAACGTTGTCTTTTTCTACAAGTCTAGTTGGCAAAACGAGTTGCTCCGTCTCCAGCGCCGCAACAAGTTCATCTGCGCGCTGACGGTTGCCATTCAAGAATGTGGAATCGAAGGACCTCGCATGCGCTATCCCGGACAGAAGGAGTCTTTCCCCGTCTATCTTCAGAATATGCAGAATCCTGCTACGGCAGGTGTAGGACGTAACGGCACCCCCGACAATCCAGACGGGCACCTCAACGATCAGCCGCGAGATGCGCCATTTGTACCATCTCAGGGCGACGGTTCCACGGAGCTATCACCTGGTGGTACCGCACCGGCTCGTCATGCTTCCATTCTTCGGCAGCCTGGTCGCTCTCGCGGAGATTCCATAGCAGCTATGGGTCGTCGTGTCGACTTCTCACTCGGCATGAAATCGATGGTGCTCAACGATCCAAGCGGCGATGTGCTGGACGATCGAGAAGATGCAGCTCGTCAACGAGCAACCGTCGTAAGAGTAACTTCTCCCTCACGATCCACAGACCGCGCAAGGCCTTCGCACGACAGCGGCCTTTCCAGTTCGATCCAGCGCGTCAACACAGACAGCAGTCAGCAGGCACGAGAGCGTGTCCACAAGAATCGTTTCTTTGGACGCGGACGTCATGGCGACGAGGAAACAGGCATGGCGGATATCCCCGAGAGTGAGTCTCCCAAAGGCAAGGCTAAGCTTGATCCTCGCTCTGGGCTAGTCAGCCCAAGGGCTATGAGGATGAGCAATGATGATTTACGTGTTCCATCATCCTCTGGGGGGCTCCCGCGCACGTCAGACTCGGAGATGCCTTTCGCTGCGCCATCTCGGGCCCAGACTGATAACTACGAGATGAGGCGCTTCCACTAGACTTGCATTTTTTCAACATCTTTCCTTTCTATAAGTATTTTTCGTCGTTTAGCGGGTGTGGTCAGTCGAGCGGTTTGTGGTAACGTGCCAGTTTTTGAGCTGGCTTAATGGCAGTCCGAAGGCAGTGCGCCATGGTCCTTGCCCATAGTAATTTCCTTGTGCCAATTCTTAGAAGATTTCGTCTGCATGTAAGCATATGTTGTTGAAATTAGATCGAACACTACCACTGCCATCTGCACCTTGTACAGTCATGAATTTGTGGACACTTTTTTCTGATCACAGTCCAAGCCAACAGTCCAGTGGCACCCTGAAAGGCACATGGAAGTAGCCTGGAAGACGCCTGGGCTTGACTCTGTAGTTCACTACAAATGTGGCCGCTGCCGTTCCCGCGTTGTCCCTGAACCACTCGCTAGCCAATGCATCCCTGCAATGTACCCCACTCGACTAACGCGCTTGCTCTTCACCGCCGGTTTCCCTCTTAACCCAACACCCCAGGTTTCGACCTTGCCACTCTTCTCCAGCCTGTTAGATATAGCGTTGAACATTCACCATGCGAGGAGAGGTATGTTCATCTGCATTGACCGCCCTGCTACAGCTCTCTGCACCCCAAGACCCTGAATCCCACTAGCCTGGCGCCAGGCAGCACCAGAGCTTCGCTGCTTGGAGCTGTCTATGCGCTTGGTTATGCGCCGGAGGGATGGCTTGGGGCCGACGAGCTGTATAGTCTGCGCTGAAAGACGTTGGATATGTCTGGAGTGACCACTTGCTAATGGCAAGCTTCGTAGATCTGCCACCTCCATATCGGCCAAGCTGGCATACAGCTTGGTAACAGCGCGTGGGAGCTGTACGTTCCCCCGAACCCTACGTACGCAAAGCCTAACAAGGCGTCTGCAGGTATCTCCTCGAGCATGGCCTCCTACCAGACGGTCGCCCCGACCCAGAGGCGCAGGCACGCAATGAGGGCGGCTCGTTCGAGACCTTCTTCACCGAGACGGGCAACGGCAAATACGTTCCGCGCTCCATCTTCGTTGATTTGGACCCATCTGTATGTTTCGGAACCTTCGCAGAGAGGGTGATGCTGATAGCAACAGCCTATCGACGAGATCCGGACTGGATCCTACCGCCAGCTATTCCACCCAGAGATGCTGATCAGCGGCAAGGAGGACGCTGCCAACAACTGTGCGTCTTCACAAGGCATTGGCATACGGCAGGGTTGCTGACTGGGGCAGATGCTCGTGGGCACTACACCATCGGCAAGGAGATGGTCGACAGTGTGATTGATCGCATTCGTCGTGTCGCTGGTGAGCATTTCCAGGCTACTTTGTCGCGTACATTCGCTAATGCGAGAAAGACAACTGCTCTTCGCTGCAGGGGTTCCTCATCTTCCACTCGTTCGGTGGTGGCACAGGATCTGGTTTTGGTGCTCTCCTTCTCGAACGTCTTTCGACCGACTACGGCAAGAAGTGCAAGCTCGAGTTCGCCGTGTACCCTGCGCCTCGCGTCTCTACGTCTGTCGTCGAGCCTTACAACGCCGTTCTTTCCACCCATAGCACTATCGAGAACGCCGACTGCACGTTCCTCGTCGACAACGAAGCCGTGTACGACATCTGCCGTCGAAACCTGGACATTCCCCGTCCCGACTACGAGCATCTCAACCGTCTGATTGCCCAGGTTGTCAGCTCCATCACCTCCAGCTTGCGTTTCGATGGTGCTCTCAATGTCGATCTGAACGAATTCCAGACCAACCTTGTGCCCTACCCGCGTATCCACTACCCTCTCATCAGCTATGCACCTGTCATCTCTGCCAAGAGGAGCTCCCACGAGAGCTTCAAGGTCAACGACCTGACAATGCAATGTATGTCTACTTTTACCCCTGCTGCAATGTTTGTTGTGCATCGCTAATCCGACTAGGCTTTGAGCCGAACAACCAGATGGTTGTGTGTGACCCGCGCAATGGAAAGTACATGGCCGTTGCCCTTCTGTACCGTGGTGACATCGTTCCCCGCGACTGCACTGCTGCAGCCGGTGCGCTCAAGGCCAAGTCTTCATTTAACTTGGTTGAGTGGTGCCCTACTGGTTTCAAGCTCGGAATCAACTACACCAAGTGCGTTTCCTGACCTTTTACTGGAGTCGCAATGCTAATTGATTGCAGACCCATCAGCGTCCCCGGCTCCGAACTCGCCGCTGTCGACCGAAGCGTGTCTATGCTTAGCAACACCACCGCCATCGCCGAGGCCTGGTCTCGTCTTGACCACAAGTTCGATCTCATGTACTCGAAGCGTGCTTTCGTGCACTGGTACGTCGGAGAGGGCATGGAGGAAGGAGAGTTTTCCGAAGCTCGTGAGGATCTGGCTGCCCTGGAGAAGGACTATGAGGAGGTTGCCAGCGACTCGCTCGACGAGGAGGGTGTTGAGGAGGGCGAGTACTAAGTGTTATACCATTGTGCAAATGCGGATTGGACACCTTGTTTGGGTCAATATGCCAGGTTGTCGGAGCAGTGCACCATTGGGGGTAGGGGTAGCTATGTAGTCAATTTACATGTCAACACGAACATGTCAAATTCGAAGACTGTTTTGTTCACGTATCGGGACGCGATCCGTGTGCTACATGCGGGATTACGCAAAGTATATTTAGTATGCGATTCAACTAAATTTGGCTATTGTTGCGAGAGCTCGTGAGTTCGCGAGTTCGTGTATCACGTCATACCGCATAGAGAAAGGCGCGCGAGCTGCAGCTCTCTCGGCCTGTTCCCCGCAACTGATCTTAACCCGAACATCACACCACAGGGGGATTCGCCATGTTCAACCTACCCAGAATCTCGCTGCCTTCGTTTCTTCGATTTGAGGGCGGCAACCACCCAGCCATCCATCTGCCATCGGTAGAAATCCATGACACGGAAACCGCGGCGGAAAAACGACCGCGAACGTTGAAGCACCTGCTCAAAGCGAACCATGCCAACTACTCGATCATCTACAACGACCTGCGCTTTCACAACCATACACCACACGTATGCAACTCGCATGTTTTGCAGGCTGTGGCTTGCTAAGCTTGACCTGTAGATTCTGGGCTCGGCTTACCTTCTGGGCGCAACAGCGGAGCATTTAAACGACATCTACGAGAAGGAGGCTGAGGTGCTTGAGCCGTGGCATGATTCTCCTGGAGAAATCTCTAAGGAGGATTGGAGGGAATTTCTGGGCAAGAGAGAGTATACATGTCCCCATGACTGGGGGTTTGTGCAGGGTCTGACGGGTGGCAGGTACCAGCGAGCTTTTGTGGACTTTTTCGAGGACCAGCTTGTGGCTACTCAGTACCATTTAACGGAGCTGCTGGATGAGTTTCTGCTGGGTGGGAAGGAGCCGTTGATTAATGGGTTGGTCTCGGGACGTATGTGTATGTTGCGCTCTTGCGTGCGCGTTGCTGATGTGCGCGTTAGTTGCTCACCCGCTCATCCATCTTGGATACGCCTACGAGCTCGATTCGATTACCGTCACGATTGAAGCTCTGGCGCTCGCCGCCTGCTTCTATAGCCCCCTCCACAAGTACATTGACGATCCGGCGTACACGCGACCCAGCCCTCGTCGATCGACCTCACTCCTCGACCTCCTCAACCAAGTCCGAGAAGACAAGCGGTTCGACGGCCTGTACGACCACCGCAGCGGCGACACTTCAAGAGTGTTCGAGGAGCGCGAAGACGCACTGTTGGAATACTGGAATGCATGGGATCTGTCGGATCCCAAGGAGCAATTCCACGCGTCTCAGGACGTCGCAGTCGCCCTTCTTGTAGGCACAGAGGCGCCGGAGGACACGAAATTCGACTTCTTCTTCGTGCACCTGCTGACCTCGTCGCATGCGGTGCGCATCCTGCTCCCGCTGGTGCCGGCAAAGTTCCACCTGAGCCTTGTGAGGCAGTGGTGGCTCTTCACACTCGCTGTGTATGTTGCGCAGACGCGACCAAGACTTGATGTTGGGCGCATCGATGGGTATGAGTTGAAGGGAAGGAATTGGAAATTTGTCATGCAGAAGGCGCTGAATGGGCCGAATGCGTCGGATGCGCATTTTGTTAAAGGTGTGTGGCTTTTGCGCTGGGGCTTCAACATGGCTAACCGATTGTGCAGCACTTCGATCGCTGAAGGTGGCGGAGGAGACGTGGGGTGAATCGTCACAGTACTATCTCAAAGCTGCTGTCAAGTTTGCAGAGGAATTTGAGCATTGGGGCGGATTTGGCACGGAAGAGGATGAGGCCAGGACGGGCTATGCAGGGAAGTAGTAAGTAGAGAAGTAGTAAGCAGGGAATCAGTAAGCAGGGAATCAGTAAGCAGGGAAATAGTAGAGCAGTAGAGCAGAAAGGAGAGCGCAACAGGCGTCTGAGACGAAGTGTTTTCTGTTGGGCGTCGAGCGTTCTCTAGCTTGGGAGACGAGTGGTCGAATAGGTTTTGTGTACGTTTCAGGACAGAGAAAGCACGGCTATGACGAAGCCACAGCATCAGGAATCATGCACATGCAGCGTTCCAGACTGTTTTTTTCTTTATTCTCGCAAAAAGCAGTAAAAACAAGGCAGGGACGATGGCTGCCAGGGTAGCCGAAGGCTTGTCCTTTTGTCATGTGCTTGATCTTCAAGAATGGGCATAGATAGAGAATATGGATATTGCAACAATGCCATGGCCCTCAGGCCGGTTGAGCCCGTGTGTGAGGAAGGGTCTTCAAAAGCGCATGGCGGAGCTGGGTCCGGGTGCGTCAACGGGCTTGGAAAAGCTTCGCCGATGATGGACAGCTAGCCGGGGGGAAGACTGGGGAGGGGATAGGAGGACGACGATGCACGCAGACTCGATTCGTGGCAGAGCGATTGGGGAAGCGGGGGCTGACACGGGCCTACTCAACACAGGCACTTCCTCTGCTGGGCCTCGTTGGCCAGGCAGATAATTTGTCGGACTGCTGGGTATGCTCGCGAGTGACATCAGCGGCTAGCTGGCTCAGGCCTAACAAGCTTTGGCACTAAATCGCCTTGGTCAATTAAGACAGGCACGCGCGCCACAGGGCGGCCGGGGGGTGTCGTCATATGTCCTGGGCAGCGCGGAGGGAAGAGGAAGCGTCGGGCGGCAGACAGGAGCCTCCTTGTCCTGTACTTGTACCTGCCCCTCACCCGCCCTGATCTTCCTCTCCCAGCCAAACTTCCCCCATCCAGCTGCTCGCATCCCCCGCGTCAGCTGCCCCGCCGTGTCTGGTCGCCGGCCTACACGCAAGCAGGCACAGCGCCCGCCCCACGTTCCACAATGTCATCGCTGAAGAAAGTGCTGGGCAAGCTCCGCCCCGGGAGCAATAGCCATGGCAGCACGTCCGAGGACGACAGCAGCGGCGTCAGGTCGCCCGTCACGGCTGGCACCCCGCCCCGCACTTCGGCCACGTTTGCCCCTCGCGCGAGCGGCGACTTCAGACGTGCTGATGTGCCCATCCGCGCCAGCACCGATCTGCGTGGCAGCGAGCTGACGTCGCCCACCGACAGCAGAGCCAGCCTGGACGGCGGCGGCCACCGCAATTCGCTGAGCGGCCTGCTCAACCGCCGCACCGACAGCCCCAGCGGTGCCGGCCAGCGGAAGACGGCGCGCTCGGGCTCGCTCGTCCCCCACAGCCCCATCCGCGCCGTCAAGGAGAAGCTGCACATTGGCGACGGCGGCTCCTCGAGCGGCGAGGACGGGCCGCTCAACCGCGAGGGCGAGCCCATGTCGCGCAACCAACTGCGCAAGCACGAGCGCCAGGCCCACGCCGAGGAGAAGAAGAAGGAGAACCTCGAGAAGGAGAAGCAGCTCGAGGCCCGCCGCCGCGAGATGGAGGAGCAGGCCGACGGCGACCTGACGCCCGACCAGAAGGCCGCCTACGGCACCATCCACCCCAACACGTACGCCGGCGAGTGGAAGCACCAGACGCGCGGCAAGATCGAGGACTTCTCGGCTCGCCACGTCGGCCAGGAGGTCGTCTTCCGCGCGAGAATCCACCACCTGCGCAAGATGAGCTCCAAGTTCGTCTTCTTCGTCTTCCGCCAGCAGCTCGTCACCATCCAGGGCGTGCTGATGGAGCATGCCGACATCTCAAAGTACATGGTCTACTGGGCCGAGCACCTCGACGTCGAGAGTGTTGTCCTCGTCAGGGGCGTCCTGCAGGAGCCCAAGGCCAAGCAGGGCGAGGTCACGGGCGCCAGCATCCACGATGTCGAGATCTCGGTCCACGGTCTGCACGTCGAGGCTGCCGTCACCGACCACCTGCCCTTCAACGTCTACGAAGCCGAAGTCACCCAGCGGGAAGTCGACGCCGACCTGGCGAGGGCAGACCACCGCGACGGCCACAACCGCATCAAGATCGCAGACCGCACACGTCTGAACAACCGTGTCATCGACTTGCGGTCAACTGCCTCGCAGGGCATCTTCCGCATCCAGTCCGGCATCTGCAACATCTTCCGCTCCCAGCTCGACTCGGAGGGCTTCATTGAGATCCACACCCCCAAGCTCCAGGGTGGTGCTACCGAGTCTGGCGCCAGTGTTTTCAAGATCGACTACTTTGGCCGCGGTGCCTTCCTCGCTCAGAGTCCCCAATTGGCCAAGCAGATGGCCATCTCCGCCGACTTTGGCAAGGTCTACGAGATTGGCGCCGTCTTCCGTGCCGAGAACAGCAACACATATCGCCACTTGACTGAATACACGGGTCTCGATCTCGAGATGGCCATCGACGAGCACTACCACGAGGTCCTCCGCGTCCTCGACCGCACGTTCAAAGCCATCTTCAAGGGTATCTACGAGCGCTTTCGCCCTGAAATCGAAGTCATCAAGCACCACTTTCCTCACGAGGATCTGGTGTGGCTGGAGCAAACCCCCATCCTTCCCTTTGCCGATGCTGTACGCATGTTGAACGAGACTGGATGGACAGACGACAACGGGAACCCGCTCGACGAGAACGAGGATTTGGGTACTAGGGATGAGGTGCAGCTGGGTCGTGTCATCAAAGAGAAGCTTGGAACAGACTACTACATCTTGGACAAATTCCCCTCCAACGCCCGACCCTTCTACGCGATGCCAGACCCGTACAACCCCAACGTCACCAACTCCTTCGATATCTTCTGCCGTGGCCAGGAAATCCTCAGTGGTGGTCAGCGTATTCACGATGCCGACATGCTTCTCGAGAAGATGCGCAAGCTCAAGGTCGACCCTCAGACTATGGAAGAATACATCCAGGGCTTCCAATGGGGTGCCCCGCCACACGGTGGTGGTGGTATTGGGTTGGAGCGTATCCTCATGCTTATGCTCAGTCTTGGCAACATTCGACACGCTTCCATGTTCCCCCGTGATCCCAAGAGTCTGCCAGAGAAGGCACTCGTCAAACAGCTGCGTCACCCCGAGGCAAGCACCATGCATCCTCCATGGGAAGGCACAGATCGCGCAATCGCCAAGATCGATTTCCAGCCCGTCGAGAAGCTCATTGCAAACTACGGCGATGCCACAAACACTTCGTGGTTGGAGCCTCGCACAGAGATCTGGCGCGACGAGACCACCGGTGCAGCTGTTGGCTTCGTGCCCCAAGACGGGTTCGCTATCACTGTTGGCGATCCCCTCTGCCACGAGTCTCAATACCTGAAGACAATGACGGGCTACCTGAAGTACATCAAGAAGGACCGCAACCTCAAGCCGCTCTGGCTTCTTGTGAACGATCCGGTGGAAGAGGTCTTGGCTACTAAGTTCAACTGGCGGACTTTCTCAGTCACCAACGAGCAGCGTGTTGACCCTGTCCACAACCCTGCCGAGAAAGACTCGGACGTCCAGCGCAAGATCCGTCACGCTGAGAAGGAAGGTGTCAAGATTACAGACTACGATCTTGGCTCTCCTCCACCGCCTGATGTCAAGCAGAAGGTTGATGCCCGTGTCGAGGACTGGGTCAAGGGCCGAAAGGGGCGTCAGGTCCATCTGACCAACATCCACCCCTGGCAGGACGAGGAGCATCGCCAATACCACATCGCGTACCAGCCAGACGGCACCATCTGCGCCCTCGTCGCCATGGCTCAGTTGTCACCCACATACGGCTGGCAAGTCAAGTACTCGCTCGACTTCCCCAACGCGCCCTCCGGCTCCATCGAGTACATCGTCACGCACGCCTTGAAGAAGGTCGGTGCCGACGGCGCCGCGACCGTCACTTTCGGCGGCGGCGCGAGCTCCACATTCGCCCCCGGACACAACGTCAAGGGCACGCGGGTCAAGGTGCTTAGCCGCGCATACCACGCCATCGCCACGGAGCTCAAGCTCACCAACAAGACCGAGTTCCGCGAGAAGCTCGGTGCAGTCGATGACCCGAGTTACATCTGCTACCCGCCTCACGGGCTGGGCCCGATGGCCATCAAGGCGATTCTGAACTTCTTCGAGGACGACTCCATGTAGAGTGGTAGTGTGGTGGTATTGGGAAGCGAAGGGGATGGATGGATAGAGAAAGCGATGGGAGATGAGTGCATGATACCAATGAGCGTTTTATTCAGCAGAGTCAGTCAGTCAGTCAGTCAATCAGTCTTGTGGGATTCTGAGCCGTGGGTGGTTGTGGTATGAAGTGGTGTGGTGGATTGGATTGGAAACTTTGGTGAAGCATTTTCTCTTTTGCCTGGGCTCTAGATAGTTAGTTGTAGCTTCCTTAATCTAATACCCCTTTCCGCCGTACTCGCCCGATCTTTCCCTTTTGCTCATCCTGACACCTAGTCACCCCGGCTACATACGAGTAGTATGTAGCACGGATACTCTTCACGGTAAACCCCACATACCACGTCGTCGCAGAAGTCTCGGCCAGAGCGGAACGCGCCGCCAAGCTCGCACGCCAGCCGATGCAGATGTGCGCTACCAGGGGAAAACTCGGGGCTCGAGATTTGGGCGGGGTACTCGGCGCGGCGGTCTTGTGGGGTTCGCGGGCTGCACATTCGGCTTCGTATAGAGGCTTTGTGTGGGCTGTGATTCGTCGGGTTGGGTATGCAGCGCTATGCGACTGACGTCTGCACGACATCGACATGGCGGAGAATGAGATCATGAGAGCGTTTTTTTTTTCTTTGCGCATGGTGCTATGGCGTGTGCTAGCTACGGTAGTGGGAGGGTGTCGGACGAGCGAGGAGAGGGAGGGGATGGGGAGGGGATATAAGACGGTATGCTGGCCCAGACTGTGTATGTTCATCAGTTGTTTATTTACTCTTTCTTGTACCTATTATTCTCTTTCTCGGTCTTCTTTCTTGTGTGGCTCATTAGCCTTCAATCAAAAATGGCCCTCGAAGTCTTCCTCACGCCCTACACGCTTCTCCTCGTCCCCATCCTCTACTTCATCCTGCCCTACCTGCGCAACTGGAGTATCCGCGACGTACCCGCGCCGTTCCCAGCGGCGTTTACAAACTTCTGGCTGCTGTGGCAGGCGCGCCGTGGAAAGCGGTATCTGGCTGTCCATGAGCAGCATGCGAAGCACGGGACGTTTGTGCGCATCCAGCCGCATCATGTGAGTATTGCGGATGATGCGGCGATTCCGCATGTGTATGGGCATGGGAATGGGTTTTTGAAGAGGTGAGTAGCTTCCATTGCATTTCATTCCACATTATGTCTTGTTGGTGTTAACAAACCACCAGTGAATACTACGACGCCTTCGTCTCCATCCGCCGCGGCCTCTTCAACACACGCGACCGCGCCGAGCACACGCGCAAACGCAAGACCGTCGCACACACCTTCTCGGCCAAATCCGTCGGCCAGTTCGAACAGTACATGCATGGTAACCTGGAGGAACTGCGGCGCCAGTGGGACCGCCGCGCGGACAGCATGCATGGCGCTTTCTACCAGATGGATGCGCTGAACTGGTTCAATTACCTCGCGTTTGATGTCATTGGCGACTTGGCGTTTGGCGCCCCGTTCGGCATGTTGGAGAAGGGGCGGGACGAGGCGGAGGTCAGGATGAGCAAGGATGCGGCGCCGACGTTTGCGCCTGCGATTGAGGTGCTGAATCGGAGGGGTGAGGTTTCGGGGTGAGTTCTGCCTTTTTCCCATCCATATCCATACACGAGAAACATGGAACTAACCATATCAACCCAGAACAATCGGCTGCCTCCCCCAAATCAAGCCCTACGCAAAGTACCTCCCCGACCCCTTTTTCACCCAAGGCATGAAAGCGATCGAAAACCTCGCCGGCATAGCCATCGCGCGCGTAAACGCCCGTCTAGCCCAACCCTCCGACCGCGTCGACCTCCTCGCGCGCCTAATGGAAGGCCGCGACGAAACAGGCAACAAACTAGGCCGCGAGGAACTCACAGCCGAAGCCCTAACACAGCTCATCGCCGGCTCGGACACAACATCCAACACCTCCTGCGCACTGCTATATCATTGCCTGGCGACCCCGCACGTCGTGCCGAAACTGCAGAAGGAGCTCGACGCAGCGCTGCCGGATAGCGACGCGGTGCCGAGCTTCGCCCAGGTGAGGGATTTACCCTACCTCGACGCCGTGATCAAGGAGACGATGCGCATCCACAGCACGTCGTCGCTGGGGCTGCCGCGCATGGTGCCGCCAGGGCCAGGCGTGACCATCAGCGGGCGTCATTTTCCGCAGGGGGTTGTGCTGAGCGTGCCTGCGTACACGATGCATCATAGCAGGGAGATCTGGGGGGAGGATGCGGATGCGTTTCGGCCGGAGCGCTGGGAGACGCTGACGGAGCGGCAGAAGGGCGCGTTTATCCCGTTTAGCTACGGTCCGCGCGCGTGTGTGGGCAGGAATGTTGCGGAGATGGAGCTCGCGCTTATTGTTAGCACGGCGTTTCGGAGGTATGAGTTTGAGCTTAGGCAGGGCGAGATGCAGACTAGGGAGGGGTTTTTGAGGAAGCCGCTCGGGCTGGAGGTGGGGATGCGGAGGCGGAGGGATGTTTGAACATCTCAAAAATAAAAAGTGATGTGGGAAGGAAACTCTGGTATCAGGATGGGTGGTTTTACTATGAGTAGAACAGAGCAGACGCGGTCGTCTTTCGTGGGAAAAAAAAAGCGTACGACTAGGTATTTCTCTTCAAACGAAAACAGAAATACAAAATCATCAAATATCCCTTCAAAACACCAATCGCAATGCCATGGTATCTCTGGGGTCAAACTCTCATGACAAAACAAGCAACCTCCCATCTAGATGATGAACAACTCCAAAACCCAATGATGCCAAGCCAGCCACAGCAACAGCAAACTCATACCCATGTTTGTGAGATAATCCCTCATAGTACACCCACCACGAAGAAAAAAAAGTTCATCTACAAAGCCATGGTCATATGATGAGATGGCGCATATCCACGTTCCGTCTCTGGCGCTCCACATCCCCGCACAGGACCCTGGGATGGCTGCTGAGATCGTCGTCGTACGACCAGTCGGTCATCGAATCGTCCCTCCGGTAGTCCAGTGTTTTTCTGGAAGCGGCTCGCTGCGTCCAGCCTGTTCTGTCCATTTCGACAATGCCTCCGAACCTCCGCTCTCCATTGGCAACAAACAACGACTGCCCATCTGGCGTAAAGCTGACGCCACCAAGCGGGCCGAAGAAGTCGAAGACTTGTTTCGACTTGAAAGTCTGTGCATCGATAATGTTGACGTAATCGTCTGCTTCGGCAGCGACCAGAACGCGGGGTCCAGAGCCAATGGGTGAGAAGTGGAGGGATCGAGGGATGCTGAGTTCGCTTGCAATGACTGCGATGGGCCTCTTCCACAGTCTTGCGTCCCACACAGCAATAGTCGAGTCCTGAGCTGCAGTAGCGACATGAATACCGTCATCTGCCCAAGCGCAAGCAAATGCGTCGTCCGTGTGCGAACTGAGCGTTTCAAAAGCCTGTCCTGTTTCCGCATTCGTGATAAGAGTCTCCTGGAAGTCACCCACCACAACCCGCATGCGGCCGTTGGGACTGGTGGCCGCGCAGTTGACTGCAGCTGGGTAGAGGAAGGAGTGTGTGAATGTGTCGGTTGCGCAGTCTAGTATTTGTAGCCGATGATCGTTGGAGCAGAAGACTGCTTGGGGGGTGTATGTTGTGCGAGACTCGAAGAGATGCAGGTGATTTACGATCCTTGACTTTGTGTCGACGGCGAAATCGGACGTCTGACCGAAAGTGCATGGTGAACCATAGGTGGATGCGAGGTCAGCAATACAATATTCGCCTTCGAAGGCGCCCGCAATGAGCACGTTGTCGGCGGCGGCGATGGTTGTGATTGAGCCGTCTGGGGCCATGCGCTTACTCAGATCGATAATGGGATCCGCAGGAGCAGCAGACGCGTCGGTGCGAAACACCTTGTGGCCCACGGCATAGTATATATCGTTTCTAGACGTAGATGCGAGGACGTTCCGGAGTTGGAAGTGAGGAAAGAATGCGCGGTGTGCCGTGTAGTTGCTCCTAAAGGAGAAGAAGGTGTCCGTGTTGGGCGTGGGAGATATTTTCTGCAGGGTGTCAGTCGTGGCCAAGGGCGTGGAAAAAGCAATTCCTGTACCCCTCGAGCCTTCCTCAGACTTGGCGACAGCTTCTCTTTTTCATACTCGACACGCTTTGCCCGAACTGCTGACCGCTCCGTGTTTCGCAGGGCCCAATTGATGCCTTGAAAGTCATGCGTGTCGCCCATCAAGTCCTCCCGGTCGATGATTGCTGGAACCTGGACAAGATCGAGTCCAGGGACCGTGGGCTTCTTCGAGCTGAGGTAATGGAAGAAGGAGGTGATGGGCGCGAACGAGCATCTGTCCTGGATGCTCAGATGGACCTCTTGCAGGGTAGGGGGCGGTTCCAGCAATTGCTCTGAGCTTGACAGATAGGCGAGTTCGTGGGGCGAAGGGACGAAGGGACTGGAGTAGTAGAAGAAGGCCGAGAAGTCAGCAGCGTCGGCTGGGGCGCTTGGGATGGTGTGCGAGGACGACTGGTGGAGGGTCTGCTGGGGGTGTGTCATGGCGGTCTGCTGGAGGTGTGTCATAGCGAAGTGGTGCACGGCGACTGCTGCTTCGGAATGGTGAGTGTCTGGCGCGAGCGACTCGGCAAGCTGTTGGTCGTCTGTCAAGGATATCCCCCCACTATCATCGTCGTCGTCAACAACCTCCTCTTCATGTTCCCCGTAGCTGGTGGGCGGCCTGCTGGGCGGGACGGTGGCGGCTGGTGGTGTCGCAGGGACAGCGTCACTGATGTGGGCTGGGTGGGCTGGATGAGCGTGTGGGTGGGCGTGTGCGTGTGCAGTGGGCGCGGTGGTGACATTGGGCGGTGGCGTCATGTAGTCGTGCTCGTGCTGGCCCGCGGAATGCAGGTCGTCCATCGAGGCACGGCGGGCGGGCGTGGCGGCGGAGAGCTGGGCGCAGGCGTGGGGAAGCGAGACGCAGGAGTCGCTGCTATGTAGGGTGCATCGGCGAGGTCGAGTCGTGACTGCAGGACACTGCTGGCGGGCGGGATTGGCTGCGGAAGCGTTGAGCTGCGGAGCGAACCTTACTCACCTCATTCACCTCACTCACCTCGACGGCGGGCGGGCGGGCGATTGTGCAGTCTACGCGGCAGCGCTGTGCATGTCGTGATGTCGTCGACCCGCGACGTGGTCTAGAGCTGCTCGCAAGGGAGGGGATGGTAGCGGCCGTCTGCTGCATCGGGCTACAGCGTGCCTACGGCCATGGTCATCTCCCCACGCATAACCCAGGCAGTCAGGGCCGAGCAGGGCTCAGCGGCCGGCACAGCGTGCTCCTAGACAGCAGCGCAGAGCAGCCCGTCGCACGCGTCCTTGTCCGTGAGAGCGGGGAGAGCGCCCTGCCAACACACGACAACGTTCCCCAACGGCCAGGAGCCACGGCGCGGCCCCAGCCTGGCCTGTTTGCGGGCGCGCCCTTCATTCGCTCCACGCACCACGCGTGCCACTGCCGCCCTCTCAAACGGGCCTGACAGCTTATCGATGCTCGCTTCCTGACACATTGCTCCCCCAGCTGCCTGTGCCTCTGTGACACCCCGTCTCCGCTGTGCCTTCTCGTCTCCACGCCTGGCCTTCTGCTGATCGCCGCTGACTCGACACCACCAGCGACAACATCGACAACACCGCTCGTCCAACGTGCACAAATGTAGACATCGCCCTTGAAACACCGACAAACAAATGTCATCTTGCTGAATTATTACTACAATAACCTCGACATGCTCATTACACACGTCTCTATTCTACAATTACCCATGCGAGGCGTCTAATAATGCACTAAGAAGAAACGTCGTGCAAATGCTAGCTTTGTACACTGAAATGCCTCCGCTCCTACGCCACGCCACAATGCGAAATCAATTGTCATAATAAGGGTCGTATCCTTGCTGCTGCTGTTGCTGCTGCTGTGGCCATCCCCCTGCCGACGTCGTTTGCTGTGACCACCCGCCACTTGTCTTGAGTCTCCGCTCTGTTGGTGCCCAATGTCAGCAACGGCATCAATGTCATCAATCGGGCGCCTTACCTGCTTCAAAGTCATGCCATCTCCGCATTGTAATCTTGCTACTGTCAAACTCGCCCTCGTATTCCAGCCCCGCCTTCTTCGTCTTCTCGCCGGCCGTCTTCCTCGTGTCGCCCCAGCTGAAGTCGTCAAACTTCCAGAACGCGTACGCCGGGAGCACAAAGTTCCAAATCGGGAGCGACAAGAGGTAAACAAGCATCCACGCAACATACACCCATTTGTGAGCCGTCACAACGATGAGGATCGCAGGAAGACCGAGGATGAGAGCGAGCAGAATGAGAGGAATAAGAGGCGCTGCCGTGTGCAGAATGGCTGCCTTGAGGGAGATGCCAACTAGAAACCAGTCAGCACAGTCTAGAACTCATCCAAGAAAAGGTACAAAACTTACTCAGGTAAAGCGTGAAGGCAATAGCGGCGGGAAGGACCAGAGTACCGAGCAGCTCGACAAACACAACAAATTGCATGCTGAAGCAGAAGGTGCCACACAGATCGTTCACAAGCACTAGCTCCATCAGGTTGTGGACCGTACTATTAATCCATCGCCTACGCTGTGACAGCAAAACTTTGAATTCGTTGGGCACCGTGGTTTTGCAAACCGCCTGGGGCACAAAAACCTGCTTCCGTTTGGGAAATGTCTTGAGCATCAGCGTTGAAAGGTACCGATCTTCGCCTAACAGCAGCAAGTTCTTCTTGTGCAACGTGTCGACCACGTTCTCCGAGTAGTGCTCGACAACGTCTGGATTGGCCAGGATCGGTACCCAGTAGTTCTGTCCGCCTTTGGGCGCCTTGATACGATACATGCAGAAGCATCCAGGAAGACATGTAACACCGCCAAAGACCGACTCGAACGACTTTGCCAGGTGGTGTGAGATGAAGTACCTGCCCTTGTTAGTGGCGCAATATGTAAACGTCAGAAAAATGCCACTTACTCAAACACTTGGATCATCGAAACCCACGAATCCCGCTTATTGGCAATCTTTGTCTCGCCGCAGAGACCCATGATCTCTGGATCCTTCACCATGGCTGAGATCATGTGAGTTATGCTGTCAGGGAAAACCTTCGTGTCAGCGTCCACCATGAGCACAATCTCGTAAAAGTCGGGCGAGATGCCAGTAATCTTCCAGATGCCGTTGAACATCTCAAACTCAAGCTCCGTCATACGTTCGTCAAACATGACCTTCTGCAAGAACGACATGAGGATAATCTGACTGTCTCGCTTGCCACGATTGCCCGCCTTGGACTTGCGGTGTTCATCCGGAGTTCCGCACTTGACGACAACCATCATGGGCACGCGCTGCTGCTTCTGTACGGCAATCCGGCTGTCCTCGCCGTAATGATAGTATCCCGAGTAGATTTTGGCCATGTTGTGTCGCTTGGAGCCGCTGGCAACTGCAACATACGAATAAGCTTGTACTTCGTGAGGCTGGACTGCATGATCTTTCATCATGCCGAGACAGATTTCAGGCGTCGTCAGATCTTCGCCTTCACCCTTGATCATGCCGTCGCAGATGACCAGGATCAACTTGTGGCTGTTTGGATATTCCGTCGTGGCAATCGAGTCCAACGTGGTTCGCAGCCCTTCTGCACCCTCGGAGTAGGCAGTAACCAAGCAGATTGAGTGTGCCAAAGGGTATCCAAATGGCTGCCAATCGGGAGGTGGCTGAGGAACAACTGCATCGTGGACAAACCCAGCCGGTCCCGGTCCTTCCGTCTCGCCACCAACGCTGGAATAGCGATTCTTTTCGGTATTACTAGAGAGAAGCAAGCTCGATCGAGATTCTTGCGCTGCGTCAAATGCCGGGAGAGTTCCGTGACTTGCGTTCAGTTTGCTGTACATGCCGTTGTTGGGCCGGGATGAGTTACTGTTACTGTTACTCTGACTGGTCATAGTCGTTGGCGGAGCACGAGTCTTTGTTGACTTTTCCATGGCATAGGGGCTGGTGAATCGAGATGTCGAGGGTAGGAATGTGCTGCCACGCCTGCTTGAACGATCTGGCCCTGCAGCTGTGTCCATTAGCTTGGGCGGTGCGCGGTAGATATCGTCGCTCCAGTCCTCAATGTCTTGTTTCCGTTGCTTCGAGTCTACTTTGCCCGAAGGGGTCTTGGTAGCACCATACCCCCGGCTCAGAAACCATTGGAAAGCCAGAGCAAGGACGAACTTCGCCACGACCACAGACAGGATGAAGATCAACGATGTATATAGTACGACCTTGGAAGCAATGCAGCCTATGCTCTCGGTATCGATCGATCCAACTTTGATAATCTCAGTGAAGCAGCGGGCGACCTGCTTTTCATAGTTTGAAGAGTAGGTGCGGGTTACATCTATTCCGCGTACGGCGGGGTTCTGTCGAATCTCGTCGAAAATGTTGGGGACATTGATCTGGGTCCGGTTGAAGAAAGTCAGGAGGTTCAAGTCCAGAACGTCTCCACCCCACACCATCAGATTGCGGGAAGAATTCCGGATGTCATCCCAAGTGAAGTACACATCTCCTGTGTTCCTTAATCCGTAAAAGGCGCTGCGAGCGTTGTCCGACGTGTGGCATTGGTATCCGTTGTACTCGTAGAAAGTAGTGTTGGGCTCGCTCGAACCATCCTGCTTGAAGGTTTGGCAAGGAAAGTACCAGGCAAGGTTGTCGTTGCCACTACTGGGGATACCGGCGTTGTCCTTTTGCGTGATGAGTCCCTTGCAGGCTCCATTGACATTTTGGAAAAGAAAACTACCGTCTCGGCCGCCGTTTTTCTCGGGAAGATCATAGAGGATGTTTGCGTTGGCTGGAACATTCCGTGCCAAAGGGTGCTTGGATTGAGCCAAGTCGTACGCTTTGCCGTGGAAAATCATAAAGCCCGAATCAACCTCGTTGGTCCTGAGACGTACGTTGCCGGTAGATGGACAGACGGTCTCGGTGAAGCCGAAAGTGATGTAACCGACAAACGTCATGATGGCAAGAATGATGCTGATAAGTCCAATCTTCTCTCTCCAAGCACGCTGCTGCGCCTTGTGCGGCATTCCGAACCATTTCATGATGGCGCCCGGAGACCAGAAAGTGATAACAGAGCAGTACACTGTCCATAGGCTGGGCGGACGCATCTTGTCCTTTTCCTTTTCCTTTTGCCGCTGTTTCTCGGCATTCTCCATGGTCTTACTACGGGCTAGCCGACGGTGAACAGGCGACTCTCCATCCAGCGGAGCCTGTTTGTCGTGGTAGCCTCCAGAGGCATTGCGCAGGTGCGAGTGCTTCAAGTCGGTGCTGGCAGAGCTGACCGTCTCCGCCTCCAGGTAATCCTCCAGTATTGGGTCGTTGCCCGTCGTCGATGGTTGCACATGCATCTTCTGAGCATGTTTGCGATAGTGATAGTTGGGATGGTCCGGTTGAATTCGCTGTCGTTCTGGTCGGACCAGGCTGCGCTTCCTGCCCAGCTCCGGCCCTGGAGTTGTGTGCTGGCTTCGCATCATGGGGTCTCGTTCCATGGCCACCGGTGTGCCGGGCGAGGGAAGTGCGTGAGCGTATGTCTGTGACCCGCTCTTGCTGCGTGTGCGGCGGTGCGAATGCGAATGCGAAGTGTCGGCGTCAGAGGTTCGTCGGCGGCGTGATGACGGCTCCTGGGCATCAGAGGTTCGTCGACGGCGCGATGAGGGATTCTCGGCGTCCGAGGTTCGGCGGCGGCGCGAAGGCGATTTGGGTGATTTGGGTGACTCGTGGTGGCTTCGACGGTCGTCTCGCCGCCGCGACGAGGGGTCTGGGCGCTGGGGTAGAGACATGCTGCGGGGAATGCGACCGTCGTCGTCTCCAATCGCACTGTCAAAGAATATATGACGCTCTGTAGAAAATTCGGGTGCGACCAACAGAAATAAAGTCGAATTGCGATTCCCCGGTGGCACTCGTATGGTTCAGCGAGCAACAACAGAAACGGTCGTCTACACGGGTGGACGAGCGGAAAGAACAATGGGGTGCGACTGGGCGACAAAACAAAGGTGGAGGTGTTGCGAGGTCAACGAGCGAGCCCTGGCAGCATGATAGGGCGAGACGAGGGTTGCCCCTTGTCATAGCATGAACCGTCGCCACTCGTAAGCCGCAACGAACGCCGCAAGCTATTCTTATAATTTGCTTTCCCTAGCCAGGCCAAGTACTCACTGCACACTAGTCCTTGAAGCCGTCATGTCGCAACGTTGATTACAATCTCTGCCCATTTCACTCAAATACAACGCATCTCGAATATATGACCGTGTGGGTCTAATATCAGTTGCACTGTCTCCACAAACGTTTGCTCGTCGCTGCTGGACGCGTTGCACCACGCGATCCGGCATCCGGTGCCTGGCTCCCTGCAGAGAACAATTTGGTCACGCAACGACTACTTTTTTTAAACCCTGATCGGCACTCCATCCCAAACGTGCCATGGACACGATGGCGCAAAAAGGCCACAGCGGAGCCTTGGGAGTGCCTCGGCCGTTGCTGTTATTGGTGTGTCGACTGATCAGAGCCAAAACGATGACGGCGCCATCTCCAATTCCGAGTCCATGTAACGATCAACCCGTACCACATTTCCCTATTCGTCCGAGAGGCCGCGCCATGCTATGATACGAATGCAGATGAGCCCCTTTGGACCTGCATCTAATAGCTCAACATAGTAACATTTAGTTCCTTGGGAGCCATGTGATAAACCCTCTCTCGCTGTCAGAATTGGCATCGAGTGGGTCCAACAGGGTCTTTTCCTATTTTGTGCCCCTCCCCCAGACTATTCAACACCCTGGTCGACTTCGCGATGCATGAGGCGTAATGCTCCTCGTATACAACCGCCAGAAGCGACAGCCATCCCGCCTCTAGGAGCTTGGACATCAGAGCCCACAATGCAACTGGTAAAAGAGCCTGGTGGGCTACATTCTCGTCCATATTTAGAGTCTCGCAATCCGGATCAGAGCACGCTGCAAGGCAGATGATCAATGGCAAGTTTGCTCGTTCGAATGCATCTGAAAGTCGCCTCGACTTGCTCTTCCACATTCTTGCCACGTCTACCGTTCATGCGCCATCCTGCAGGAGTGAATCACATCATCCACCACTCAGCCCTTCATTACCCAGTTCATGCATGCAATTGCTGCCGTCCAACCCCCCTGTCGGATCGAACCGAACAAAGTAGCGACGTTTAGCGGCCGCGCTCCATTAATTGACTATCTAAGCAAGCCGGGCGCCGCCTGATATGCTTTTGCTAGTTAGTACGTACAAGGGGCGAAACTGAGTCCACGTGTGGGGTTGCTCTTAAGACACATTGTGCCTGCCTTCCCAAGATACCCAAACAGCTCAAGCAGTTAGTAACCAGTGTTGCCCAGTGCTTCGTACCGTCGTTATCTTTGGAGCAAATTGACTTGTGCCTTGAAACTGCGCCAATTTTTCCACATTGTAAGTGCTCATCCACCCTAAGTCGATCTTCATCAGGTCAGGGTTGAAGATCATATTTTACGTATCAAAGTGCAGCCCGCCGCGCGTTTGCACAAAATGCACTTGACTGCATCATAAGAACTGACAAACAGCAGGTTGCGGCTGCTGCCTATGCGCTAATTGCTCACGATCCTGAGCATTTTTTGGTTTCTTTTTGAGTCGCGCACCGCATTCCTCATACCGAGGGAGATAGCGGATTTAAGATCGAATAAAGATCCGAACAGGCCCAAAGCAGCTCGTTGACATAATGGCCTCGACAGCTTCAGCAGTTCCCCATCACGACTCAGCGGCACCCAATGCGAGTTCCTCCGTCAACCCCGGCGACGAGAGTACCCTTGCACAGCGAGCGTCGATCCCTTCATTTAGCATTGATGAGCACGATGGCACGGCAGCAGGAGGACGCGACTCGAGGCAGTCGGGGTCATCCCTCGCGCCGAGCTCCATGGGTCATTCGAGGACGCCATCAAGAGAAACGCCGGACATAGGAACAAACCGAGATTCCGGAAGCTCGATGGCGGTGACAAGAGATGCGCCCGTGCGGCAACTGCATATCAACGACGGTTCCTATGGCAGTAGATATTCACACGCTGCTGAAATGGACGCAGCAAACTCACACGACGAGGTCGACCATGGCTACAGCCATCAAAAGCAGCAGCCCCAGTCACCCTACTATTCAGAACAACCTACACCACCACCTGCCGCGCACGCAGCCCACGATAGTGTTCGGCCGCCGAGTTCAGGATACTTTCCAAGGGATATCGATGGGCTGGATTATGGATCTGGAACACCACTACAGGTACCCCGCACCACACTTTCCAGGCCCGCTTCCGCCTATACTCTGGGTTCAGAACTGCACGCGCAGGGTCGTACCCATACCCCTCACCTCTCTGTTGGTGGTACCCCATCACCCAATGGATCTCCGAACCCTTATGCGCGCCACGCCTCTGGGTCCCGTCGTTCGCCAGACCTTCGACCAGTATCTTATGTGGACTTGTTAAATTTGCCATATAACCAGCAAGTTGCCCCGACTTCAAACTTAGGAAACGCGCAATTACGACCTTCTGTTGGACAAAACGCCTCGCTCCTTGATACGAAGAAGACGCTCGATATGTATAGGGGAAACTTGAAGAAGACGCAAGACAGCGCTGTGCAATATGAGTTTGCCTTGCTCATGGTACAAGTTGCACGCGAAGTCACAGAATCGGGTCCCTCGACCGACGACCAGGGGATGGCGCCGGCGGGCTTGTTGCGAGAAGCACGGCAGATTCTCCAGCGGTTAGCCGACCGCAGCTATCCTTTTGCACAGTATTACCTCGCAGATGGTTACGCATCAGGGCTATTTAACAAGGACAAGCCAGACTACGACCGTGCATTTCCACTCTTCGTTGCTGCGAGCAAACACGGCCACGCAGAGTCAGGCTATCGCACAGCGCTCTGCTACGAGTTTGGCTGGGGTTGCCGGAAAGACTATGCCAAAGCTGTTCAATTCTTCCGTGCTGCGGCTTCCAAAAATCATCCAGGAGCTGCGACCCGGTTGGGAAAGGCCTGTTTAACGGGTGACATGGGCCTCCAGGGGAAATACAAAGAGGGTGTTAAATGGCTCAAACGCGCCTCAGAATCTGCTGACCAACAATATAACGCCGCGCCCTATGAGCTGGCTCTGTTACATGAGACTGGCTATGGCGACGACATCTTCAAAGACGAAATCTACGCGGTGCAGCTTTTTACCCAGGCTGCGGAACTGGGCAACCCGCTAGCCGCAATGAAACTGGGAGAGGCTTATGAGCATGGTCTGCTTAGATGTCCCAAAGACGCTGCTCTCTCTGTTCACTACTACAACTGCGCCGCCCAGGCCGACGTTCCTGAGGCCATGATGAACCTTTGTGCGTGGTACATGGTTGGAGCTGAACCTGTTCTGGAAAAAGATGAGAATGAAGCTTACGAATGGGCTAAGCAAGCTGCAGAGCATGGTAAGCTCCAGATACTTTCTCATACACTCCGAATTCTACTAACCACCTCAGGCCTTGCGAAAGCTGAGTACGCTTGCGGATATTTTACGGAGATGGGTATAGGCTGTCGGCGCGATGCTCTCGGAGCGAATGCCTGGTACGTCAAAGCCGCTGCTTCTGGAGAGGAACGTGCGAAACAACGCCTTGCGATTATTCATGCCGCCTCGTCGGGTCAGACTCCTAGGCCGGCAAGCAACACCAAGAGTAACGACAAGAGTAACGACAAGAGTAACGACAAGAGCAATGACAAGAGCAATGACAAAAGCAACGACAAGGGTAAACTCAAAAAAGGCACAGAAAAGAAGGACGAGAACTGCATAGTCATGTAGACTGACTTCTCGTTCACCCTTGCTCCCCGATTGGGCAATACTGTATCCCTACAGTACGTAGTTACGACCTCATCTCTCTTGATTATGGAGACATGTTGATGGCATTCATATATAATGTTTTCTTGTACGGCGCTGGCAGGTCTGCATATCTGTTGCATAGTGCTTTTGGAGGGAGCATCAAAATTTCTCATCAGCTCTTCGGTCTTGGTAGGAAATGTTCGAGTATTGGGCGACGCCATTGTTCGATATCACCAGTCGAAGTCATTGTACATTATATAAGATGAAGAATAGAATAGTTAATGTTTGCTCACCGCGGTTGTCTTCGGCTTTGTGATCGTATTTGTGTAGAAACGGTACAAGTGACTCTGCGAAAGGGCCGATTGACGAATGGCTTTTTGTTGTTACGTATTCTCGGACTGCATCATTGTCATTGTCCAGGATCAATATCCTGTCGATCTTGACAACTGTTTTTCATGGTACGTAGCTTGATTCCGTAGGTGACAACATACAGCCCCACAGTACACGATACATGGACCACTCGTTGATATCCGGGTCCCGGCTCGGAATGATGTTCGGTGTACACGCACAGGGCGTGCAGCCTTACCAGTCATCGCAGGTTGCTGTGGAGTTGCTTGCCTGATCCGTCGCTAGCCGCTACAGATCGGGAAGGAAATCATGCACGTTTGTGGCTTTACACATGCATGATCTACTCGCAGGGCGTGATAAGCCGGGCCCTGGTAGAAAAGCACATGACTGACATCCAGGGATAAAAGGATTTATCCCCCTGGTAAATACCAACTTCATGTCACGGACTTGATACGAAAAGTGGAGGATAGAACAGACAAAGGAATTCAAGAGCTAGGACTGAGTATCACGCCATGGCACCACCTTCGGCTATCGAAGTTTCAGCAGTCTCAGATACCTCTGGAGTCACGATCCCGAACCCATTGACCGCGTCGGTGGAGAGCAATGAAATCCATGGAAGGAGGATCAAAGTGAATAAAGGACAATGGGGTGTTGCAGCACCATCGAATACCGCCAACTTCAGGTTGAAGTCTCATGACCACAAGCCAAAAGCCAGGCGATGGGATCGTAAGTGACCTTGGAATGTCACCTTTGGTTCAATTGAAACACTTTGCTAATCTACATTGTTAGACATCATCAGCCATGAAGCTCAAATCCGAAAGGGCAACTCGCTGAAAGATGCTGCAAAGTATCTTAGCAAACCAGGCATCATATCTCTCGGCGGTGGCCTGCCATCGAGTGAATACTTTCCGTTCGAAGAGTTGTCTATCAAGGTTCCCGCTGTTGGACACTTTTCGGAGACTGAAACCAGGGAATCAGGCGTGGTTCTCACGGCAGGTAAACACGATCTCGCTCAGGAGAAGTCAACTTTCGACATTGCAACAGCATTCAACTATGGCCAGGGCTCTGGATCAGCCCAACTTCTACGGTGGGTCACCGAGCACACCGAGATGGTGCATGACCCGCCATATCAGGACTGGCGATGCACAATGACCATTGGAAGCACATCTGCACTCGATATGGCCCTACGAATGCTCTCAAGACCAGGCGACGTGATGCTTTCAGAAGAGTACACATTCTCTGCAGCAGTGGAATGTGCACGACCCCTTGGAATCCGCGTATGTGGTATCTCCGTCGACTCTGAGGGTTTGCTTCCCGACGATATGGACAAGATTCTCTCAAACTGGGATGTCAATACTCGCGGTTCCCGCAAACCTCACCTCCTCTACACCGTCCCTACAGGTCAGAACCCCACGGGCGCAACACAAGGTACAGACCGTCGCCGAGCACTGTACAAAGTCTGCCAGAAACACGACATCTACATCATCGAAGACGAACCATACTACTTCCTCCAAATGCAGCCCTACACCGGCCCCAATGCGCCTGACGTGCCTCCCCCAGCCTCTCACTCGGCATTTCTGAAATCCCTTGTGCCGAGCCTACTCTCCATGGACATCGACGGCCGGGTCATGCGCATGGACTCCTTCTCCAAAGTCATCGCGCCCGGGTCACGTATCGGCTGGATCACAGCGTCGCAGGAGATTGTCGAAAAATACCACAAGCACGCCGACGTGTCGACGCAGAACCCCTCAGGCATGTCGCAGCTCATTCTCTTCAAACTACTGGACGAACACTGGGGCCATGCCGGCTATCTCGATTGGCTCATCCACATCCGTCTCGAGTATACGAAGCGTCGAGATGTCATCCTGCAAGCCTGCGCTAAATACCTGCCGCGAGATGTCATGTCGTGGAAGTCGCCCATGGCGGGTATGTTCCACTGGATGCAGATTGATTTCAGGAAACATCCTGCTTATCCCGAGAAGAGCATTGAGATGATAGAGGAGAGTATCTTCTTGCGCGTTATCGATCATGGCGCGCTGGTTATGAGGGGTAGTTGGTTCTATGCGGATGCGGACGAGGAGCACCATACACTATTTTTCAGGGCGACGTATGCGGCGGCTCCAGCGGAAAAGATTGAGGAAGGGATTAGGCGGTTGGGAGAGGCTGTGAGGGAGGAGTTTGGGTTGGGCAAGTTTGAACATTGAAAGTGTGTGGGTTTCTGGGCGCTGGGCATGTGTGGTGTTGGAGGTGTCATGGTAAAATTCGTGTACTGGTCTGCGAGGTTGGTCGAACGTCGATCTGAGAATTGGTCAAGCATATACGGATGTATCACATTCGGGGACGTGTACATAACTATACAAAATCTTCAGCATCTCAATGAAGCCGCCAAATCTGTCTTGATATCGCCCAAAGCTTCTGAGTGTCTCCATCTATGCGCCTTGAAACGCCTCACACATCTCTTCCTCGTTTGATCCACACATTTCTATTCCAGTATGATGATCCGTTGCTCTTCCAATCTCCCCCCAGCCCCTCAGTTGATGAAGTTGACACAGAAAAAGTGCAACAGTAACGAGCCAAACACGAAATCCGCAAATGCCCGCTCATGCGAGATGCTCTCAAACTCCACCTTATTCTCTGGGTTTGTCTGCATGCGGAGCGAAGCTGTGAGGACGAACTGGCCAACTGTCGCGCTGAAGCCGGCGAGGAAGGCGTTGAAAGGCTGTTTAGATACGTTAGTATGCATGGTTTGATTGGAAATATTATAGTATGAACGCCCTGAACTATGCAGGCATGTGCATAGTTCTCTCTGTTCAAATTCTCGCGAATTGAGGAGCTGAATTGAAGTGTGAGAGGACGTACAAAGTTGCCAACTATCACCACGTAAAGGAACTGCAGCACGCCGACGGCAACGAGGAATGCCATGAAGGTGTCGAGCAATTTTGTCCGCTGGGATGTCTTCTTGGTGTAGTTGTTCCATACTCCCTGCAGGATGGATTGCGCGTCCACATTGGAGGATCTAGGTTTCGCGGTCGTGGAGGTGGTCGTGGTGGTTTGGGGGACGGTAGTTCGAGGTTTGGCCGACATTGTGAATTGGGTGTCGATTGTGCGTTCCAGTGAAGTGACAATTGGACGTGAGGTCGATGTTTTGGAGCTTCGTGAGCTTCGTGTAGTTGAGGCCAGGTGTGAGGTGAGGCGTCTGTGCGCATTCGTAATGGCCGCGTTCCTGAGTCGGCAGTCGGGTGTCCGCGTTGTGACATCGTTCCCCGCAAACCGTATGCTACCACTTGCCTTGTCCATCATCCAAGCTTCGATTCCGCAGACATAAGCAGACAATTAGACCTCTTATCCAATCCCAACACTCAATTGAGAAACTTCTTCTCATCTCGAATCACGAAATAGCATAGCAATGGTGAGCAGGGTGAACAGCTTCCACTTTGGACGCATTCTTGGATGCGACATTGGATGCTGACGGTGACCCAGTCTCTCGCAGATGTCGCCCTCGTCCTCGGCGCGCTCACCGCGGGCGGAGGTATCACTGGTTACGTGCGAACTGGATCTGTTCCATCTGTTGCAGCAGGTGTCACTGTAGGATCGCTGGTATGCATGTCTCATCACAATCACCCCGATCAAACACAATACACGGCGCATACGAGATGTGCAAGAGTCCACTCAATCAGAACGCCCTCAAAAGATCTTCTGCATCTTCTTCGTTTCTCATTGCGAAAACAGCCCAATAGCTGACACGCGCATAGTACATCCTCGGTGGCCTGCGCCTCAAAAACAACGCAACCTACGGCGTCGAGCTCGCTCTCCTTGCCTCCATCCTCCTCGCTGGCAGCTCGATTCCTCGGGCGATCAAGTCAGGCAAGCCGTTGCCCATTGGCTTGAGCGTTTTGGCGACACTTGGCCTGTATGCTTTTGGCAGCGCGTTCCAGGGACGACGGGTATAGATCAAGACTATAGGAAAGAACAAGGAGATGCAGAGGAAAACCAGCTCGTCAAGGACATGTATTCTAAAGCTGTGGAAAATCAGCGTTTTGATGTGATTGTCGATATGCGACTTGTGAATGCGACCTTTGGTGCTTACTGACTCGTTCGCGTAGCCGATGGAGTTCGACGCCTCTACTATGGTGTATCGCTAGGATGAACAACTTGCCCTCCCTACAGAATGATAGTTACCTTCCCAATGCACCTCGAGCAGCATACATAGGCGCACTTGTGTCTTATGAGGAGTCCCAAAACAGAGCGAATACAAGTAGACGTGAGTTTGATGGCCTAAAACAAGGATTGGCTAGATTACGTCCTGGAAGATCTACATGGTTTCGGCGAGAGAGATTTGAGCGGAGATGTCTAGAGCCGATGCCTTTAATTTTCACCTAGGTGCTCAAGTAAGTGAATGTTGGCGAACAGCTCACAGGGCACTCTACGCTTTGCTTGCACTGCTAGCCTCCACAGAACTATTCGCACGGTTAAGAAACACAAACACTCCCAAAGGTGGAAACTTTCGTACATGGGTTGCACCTCCCTCCACCACTACGGCCTGTCAACCCCATCACGTGATTACGCGAAGACGCGTCGTAGCTCTTTCCCTCTTGATGAGCCCGGCCACCGTGTACTTGTTTGAACAGTCTACAACCTCTACAAACAATCCTCCTTCTCCAACTTCAACGCTGCTGGTCATACGCTCTCAACCATGGCCGATACAGCGGATGAACCCCCGAGGAGTTCTAGCCTTGACACACCTCATGCCGCCGCATGCAACCACCACGACACACCGCGAGCTGGCTACTGCAGCTGTATCACACGCGCGAAGAGACTCTGCAGCCGGCGTGCCAAGTTCACAAGCTTGGAACATCTACCTGCCTGTGGCATACACCAGTTCTATGTAGGACGGGCCGGACAGTGTCAAGCCACAGAAGAATGTGGCCAGCTTTGCAATCGCCTCACTCCTTACAACGCTCCATATCATCTCTGCGACTCACACATAGGCACAACAACACTTCCGTCCTACCTCATGCGACTCCCAACCGAACTACGTTTGATGACCTTTCGTTATCTCTTTCCGGAGGTCATCGACGTTAGCACCGAAGGCACCAAGCGCGTTCGTAGTGCTATCCTCAAGGTGAACCGCCAGATTCACGAAGAAGCCTCTTCAGTTCTATACGGCGAACTGCAATTCAAAGCAACAGTTTCCTCAACATACATTCACTTCCTTGGCAAGTACTGGTTCCGGCATATGCATACATTAGCCAAACAGTTTTGTCAAGCTGGCGCCCGAAGAATCCTAAATCTTGATATTGAGATCTCTTTCAGCAACGCATCCAGGGCGCCTAGAGGAATCGAGATGTTTGGAATCAGCCGAGAGGAGCAAGAGCTGTATGAGCTCAGAGACAGCGTACGCAAGCTTGTCGGCATACTGAAGCCATCATCAACATCGTCAACCAATCTGCCAACGCTCAAACGACTAGAAGTAAGCTCAGATTTTCAAACCCGATATCGGTGGAAATCTGACGAGCTTATCGCAGCTCTCTTCTTTGTCTTAGGACCTTTCCGAGACCTAGGCAAAGTCGAAACACCTGTACTAACCCTTCCCTCTACAAAAGTCCTGTCACCCTACACTCCCTTTTACCATGAGAGCAGGAGAGCTATTGCGGATGCAAGGCAGAGCGAAACGTACCGCCAGTTGAAGAAGAAGTGGTCGAGGTCGATGAAGTGTACATCTCCAGCCAATGGTAACGTCCAAAGCAACGCGATCGTCCTGCAAAAGGCCTTCCAGAAGATCGAGGACTTCTTCCAGCTCCTTCAAGGTCCAGATTCGGGCAGAGAAGTTTGGACATCTACAGTTTTCCAATACTTCGAATGCCCCTTACATCTTGCTCGTGTAGCCTACGAAAACGGTGATATCGAGAGTATCAACAAAATTCAAGACGCTATCAGTATAAGATGGATCAACGCCCACCGACGGCAGCAGCGATCTTTGCAGACAGTTGCAAACTGTATAAGCAGTATGTTCGACAGTTGTGATACCGGGGGCGAGAATGAAGAAGACCAAGACAAGAAGCCGAGTCTACCTGAACTCCATCCAGACGCTTTTGTTTTCGAGGATGTAGAGCCGCTCACGCCAATCGACGATTCTAGTTACAGATGGCCGGAGTTGAGCGCTGAGGATACCGCTCCCAAGCGCAGCGATCGTGGTGTTGTCGTCAAGGACGACGGCTTCAGGTTGTGTATTCGCAAGGGAGGTAAAGAGTGGGTACGGCTGAAGACACCAAGGATGGTAAGCTCGACAAATTTCTTCCCTCAAACGGGTCTAACCATTGTGTGTAGGTACGAGAGGCTCGAACGGGGACCCGATCTACTTAAGGAGCATTAGTTAGTGTTCAAAGAACGGGAGGACATTATCCGGTGCCTAGACCTCTGTCGGTTTGGGCCATCTCCTGTTCAAGTACTCCAGGCGATGAGTGTCGCGTCGTGTCGCGTCTTTTGAACATTTCCAAGTATTTTAGGAACAAGCCAGACTTACCACCAAGCATGTCCTAGATGGCCTATATCTTCAAAGCAACTTCGCGTTTCCTTGCTAGATCAAAGTGGATAGAATATGGAAACAGTTTAATGATTAATTGATGCATGATATTCGTGATTGAGACTCTACATGATGTCGCACTTGGCCGGCAGCCCGCAGGGCCCTGCACTGTCCTTCTCTTTCTTCTCTAGCGGTGTAGCTGCGGGTGGTGGAGTAGTTGTCGCAGCAACCGGCTTGCTCTCTGTGGCTTGCACAACTTCCGCCTTCTTCTCAGGCTCACTGCCATTTAGTCATGGGTGAGCCTTGGAAACAGCCTCGTAGAACGCCTTGCCCTGCGCCTCGGCAACGCCCAGCTCCAACGCAGTAGGCTGGCGGCTTCCATCAGCTCCAGAGAATGTGCCCGCGCCCCATGCGCTACCGCCGTGGACCTCATCGAGGTTGGCGAGTTCAGCTGTACAGGATTAGCATGGTCCTTGTTCCCCACTTCAGCAACTCGCGCAAGAAGAACTTACCAAAAACGGTCTTGTAGCCCAATGGCACGAAAATGAATCCGTGGTGTATCAATGTGCTCATCGTCGAGATGACAGTGCTCTCCTGTCCACCACCCTGCGTTCCAGTGCTGACGAATGTACCAGCGTACTTGCCCCAGAAGCTGCCCGACGCCCACTGTCCGCCGCTCTTGTCCCAAAAGGCTTTGTACTGAGCGGGGAAATTTCCGTACCGGGTAGGAATACCGAAGAGGATACCGTCAAAGGGCTCGAGTTGCGAGGGGTCGTTGAGAACGGTGATGTCGGTGGGCTTGGGGGGTGCGTGCATCTTTGCGAGGACCTCTTCAGGGAGGGTCTCTGCGACTCTGGGAGGAGGTTAGCGTGGGAGTTTATGAGAAAGGGCGGTAAGGATGTGGAGTAGAACTGGAATGCGATGGTGGGTACATACTGGAAGAATTGAGCATCACCGCCAGCTGCCTGGATACCCTTCAACTCAGCATCGGCCTGTGAGGATGTTGTTAGCATGCTTCATCGATAAAATGGCGTGCTATATATGTACAACATACCAATTGCTTGATGTGGCCGTACATCGAGTAGTACACAATCGCGATCTTGGGAGCCATCTTGGAGGTAGGTTGGAGGTAAGGGTGAGTGGAAGTAGGTTTGAAGTCTGAGATTGAGTAGAGTGGAGTGCTGTAATTGAAGATTGATGGAGCTCAAGGAGGGACAGCTCCCATCTTATACCTCTCAATCCACGGATCCTAGAGTACTAGATGCAACGCTCATACTCCTAGTCCGGTCCAATGAGATCATCTGGCTGTGATGCTGTGGACCGTCACTAGATGCGAGGCTGTAGATGAAGCTCCATTTCCATACCCATCGCCGATAAGCTAGCCCCGCTCTGTAAGCTCGATCCAAGCTAGCGCTGGTAGCGGGTGGAGTAGCCGGCTTACCTGAGTCTTTCTAAGGATTGGCAATGCGCATGGGTTCCGAACGTGCTCGCAAATCTATTGGAGCTTGTGGTACTCTTCTTTCCGCTCGTGGCTAGAAAGCCAGCAGTGATTTACAACCACTGAATAAGCATTTCGGAACACGGAAAGAGGTCATCCAGGCCGTGCGCTTAAAGTTACCACACGGCTTCAAGCGTCGATGAGGTGATGGCTAACGCTCGTAATGCTGCACATGTCAGCACAATGAAGCCTTTCCATTCGATGCCACATCCTCTCATGCAGTCAAGGTCAGGGTGTGATGTAGGCCTGTTGGTACCTGAGCTTATCTTTTCGAGGTTAACGACTGTAGCAGGTGCGGGGTACTTGCGAATCCTCAGGTGAGCTTGATTAGTTGCCAACGATCTCACTCTCTCAACATAGAGAGGTTCACTGACATCGGGTTGAGGGAGCGTTGAAGCTGTCGCCCTTTACACCTTTTCGACACAAACACCTGACATTGGGACTCAAAACACTATGTTGACAACGATGAATCGAATTGTACACAAATAGAGGTAAAATACATCGTTGGCAATGATGCCCGTTTTGAACGCTGAAATGCTAGAAAGTGCAAAATATCCGAGTAGCAACCTGCCGTCATTTGTGAACGCCCGCTCAACCCATTTTTTTTGGAGGCATACCCGATGCCCTAGAAAGAAAACTCTTTTCGCATGCACTGTGGCAACTTTGGCCTGGTATCTCGAATCCAGGCGCCGTCGCAAATGCATAGGATCGTTATTCGTAAATGCTGAAAGTCATGATAAGGTGTACAGGTGAAATGAAATCTGTGATTAGTCGTAGTCGTCCTACAATTAGGTAGAGATGGAGTGGAGCCTCCTGCGGACGCCAGCCAGGAACTCGTCCTCGTCAATACGCTGGAACGGGCCCTCTTCCTCTTTCTCGTATAGGCCGGTGCTACCATATGGGCCTTTGCCGCTGAAGCTTACGTTATGTGGCCAAATGCCATCGGATGAGATCTGAGCCAAAGAGAAGTCGCCGTGAACGGACTGGAATCCAGGCTCGAATATACAGTCTGCAAAGAACAGTTCAATGTAAAGCTCGCGAGGAACGATGCTCGTGGCACGTCGATGGATGAGACTACGCGCCTGCTCAAGCAATTTCTGCAGGTCATCTGTAGCTTCCCGAGTCGAGCGGCCATCCTCGTGCCCGCAGAGGTGAAGTGCGCGCACCTGCAGATCTTGATTGAATTTTACATCCTCGTTGGAAAACAGATCCGCGCACACAGATGGGAGCGAGATGGACAATGTCTCCAACTTGGGACAGCTGCGGAAGGTTTCGCAGAGATGCTCACTGTCGCTTGGAGATCCAGGATGAGGGTGCCAGAAGCCATCCTGTGACCTTGGGCTGTGCTCAAGAACCCGGAGTGTGTTGCGCGATGCTTTGACAACAGCCATAACGCCATCAATAGTGATGGTGGAGATGCAGGTCATGTGAAACTCCTCGAGTTGTGTGGCGGTCCGAGCAATAGCAAAGAGGTCACGATCGGTGATCGGCATGAAGGTAGTGTCGCCAAAGATCTTGAGTCGTCGTAGCTGACTAAAATTGGCACCCTGTAGTGGCTCCAGGTCGATTTGGTTCTCCTTCTCTCCAGCTTGCTGTGATGTGGGATCAACGCACTGAAGCTCTAACGACTCCAATGGCTTGCCGTTGCCCATCAGCAGCGTCCGCCAGGACTTCGCGTCCAGATGCCTAATGGTAGTCCAAGGCACAGACAAGGAAGTGAGATTCTCGCAGTTCTTGAGAGCATCAAAAATAAGACGGTTCGTCTCGGCGGTGTAGAAATCATGGAACCACATACGCTTGATCTTGCACGCCATCTCAGGAAATTTGTTGAAAGTGCTTGCAGTCTTCTTGAGCGAGGCAAACGGGTCGCGGTAGACGGCGGTACCCGTCGGTCGGTCAATGAGCTCGTAGAGGGGATAGCTCTCTCGTCGGTTTGAAAGTTCAGCCCATCTCTGCAAGCTAGTCAGTACAAACTCACTCACAAAGGCACCTAACATGCTTACCTCTCCACCCTTCCAGCGACGAATGTACACGTTCTTGAGGGCATACTCCAATGACCACTCGTGCCATCTCCAGCATACCGAGCGGATTGCGGACGTGGCATCCCACATAAGCATCTCTGGTGGAACAGGACCCTTCACGTAGCGTTGCAGGGAAGCCCTCTGGAGTGGCAGCGGTACCTGGGACAGGCCGAAGGTGTACGTGGGACCATCGCGTATATTGGCCTTTGAGGTCTCCTCGAGAATTTTGGAAAGAACTTCGTATGGGAATTCGTTGAGGTGCATTGAGTGTGTCGACGTCAATAGTTGGGTTGACTTTATACTGTAGAGAGCAGGGAGCAGTTGTTACTAGGAACTTCTGTAGATGAGGTGGTGTGGTATTGGCGACGGTGAGCTATAGGTGAAGTGAAAGGTGCAGTAGGTTAGTCAATGATGATAAGTTTTGTTTGCAGCGGATGAGGTAACTCTTATAGTCGGCAGGCTTTGCCTTGTCCCTGGGACTGCAGAGATTTTTTTATCGAAACTATGAGCACAGTGGTACCGTGTTAGTCAGAGTGTCAAGAGCTTCCCCAGTTCCACGCAGCGTCGCCTGCAGGTCGGACACTGGGCCCGGAGTGGAGAAGAGCTAAAACGACCACCCTAGCACGGTGAATGACACGAGAAGAACCAATTACTTCAGTGGCAACTTGGTAGCACGCGTACATTGTTGCGATGGCGAGGCGTTGAAGGCCTGGTTGTTCTTTCAGGGTGCGTTTCTGTGACGTTATGCCTGCCTAAGTAGGCGTACACGTGACGACACGCTACCTTGGCGGAAGTCACAAGGCCTTCGAATTGAGTTCTCTGGGGGTAACAGAATTGCTCTTTTGACACATCGAAATCCTTTGACGAGCTCTTTCGACCTTTCACCATCCGCGTGCCTGGACAACGCTTCCCAGTTTCCCGTCTTCGTGCGTCCGAGCTGTTGTGTCGACGCGGTTGTGAGCTGACGTTCCGACCTGCCGCTGCCGTTCGGCTCACATTTGAAGCTTCACATCACATCACGACTCTGGGTGCAGCCGGTGCGGAGGAGTGGCTTGCTCGACCCCTTTTGTGCGCACCCAGTTGCACAGCATACGATATTGCATCCACTGATCGGGCAATTGTGTTTTTACTATCGAGCAACTCTTTGATTGGGAGCGTCGCCATCGACGTCGCGTTTCACGCCTTCGATTGCATCATTTGATATATTATCTTGTCTCACGCGATATCACTTCAGTCGGAGTTTAGAAATACTGGAAGCCGATGTTCTCTGGACACTATCATTTCATGAGGGAGAAGTGCTACCAGAGCTTCAATAGGTCGGTTTAAGATTGGGTATCTTCGTTCGATTTGACGGCTTCAAATCAGTTGTGCAAATCTACGGTGCGAGGGCATACAGTTCCAATGACTGCTCACGCACGCTCGCTGTAATGGCTCCTGACCACAAAGTGTTGCCATTGCTCGACAGTGGACCTCGTACTGCAAATTTTACGATGCCCTGCAAACCTTCAGCTGACACATATCCCCAGTCTTCTGCACACTTTCGAGATTAGTTTCCCATCGTCGTCCTCAAGTTGACTATTTTGGTAATCCGTTACGTTTCAAAACTTCCCCGCCATGCGTCTGCACTTCTTCACAAGCATCGCTGCAGTTGTTCGGGAGCTACTTTAGTTCGGGACGGAGCCGAGCACACCGCAACGTTGCTCTGTTGCAGTTATACACAGGACATATGCTTGCTTCACGGTCTTCATCATCAGGTACAGTCGAAAAAACTCTCAAGTGTGTAGAGTATGTCTACCAAGCGCAACAAACGAGCCAGTATATCCAACCATAGTTCTTCAGCCATTCATCGCTCACCTTATCGAGCGCTCCAAAAATGTTTCCCCCTAGTTTTTATGAGCTAAGAATATACGCTACCCCGCAAAGATCTCAACCCCTGACTTGCAGACAGTCTGGAGATCTGCAAAGCGTAAGGCTCACGCAAACGCCAGCGGCAACGACACCCCTTGTCTACGTGGAGACACGCTGGCGTCTCGGACTTCGCCTGCTTATTGCTCCGAACCAGCTCGCCTCGCAACGGCTTTATTGCTCGCTGGCCTGGCACCGGCTCCATTATTACCAGTCACGAGGCCGGACACATGACACGTCTTTCCAGTACCAGACGTCGCAGCGCCTCCGGGAGCATCGTGACCTTCTCCTTTTCGCCACGCGTCACCTCTTCCACAAAGTATCGAGAGATTTGTGGCTAGCTGTTTGCTGCGGCCTCACTGGTGGGCATTATACGAGGCTGATCTGTGCTTCAGGCGCTCAATTTACGGCGACCCAAGGACAACCTCACACGATCTTTTGACACGTCGACTACACGACATATTCATGTCTCGTGCTCAGGCGGAGTGTCGTCGACCCGATATTCAACTGATGCACAGCGAGCGGCCCGTCTCCTAGGTGTGGTATATGCACGACGTCTAGTTGAGCACAGCTCTGGACAGAGTACGAGTTCAACATCCTACCGCGGGATTGTATCATTGTTGTCGTCACCAACGGCCTAGTATCTATAACAAGGTCTACGGACTGCTATCTTGAGCAACATGAAGTGTCGCCTCACAACCTTTGTACGGTGCGGATACGGCTGTAGAGTGAGGTACATGACGATAGGAGATTGAAGAAGACAATCCATAACGATGTCTTATCGGAGAAAGACCATTAGCGGTCGATAGACACGTGAAGTCTTATCACTGAGATACGAGGAGGTCGAGATTAGGTTGGTAGGTTGGAGTTTCGTCGTGTCTTGCGTAACGCTCGGGAGTGACATTGTGAGGGGAGGTACCATCTACCCGCTTAGTTGCATCTTCTCCAGCCACTGTCAAACTGCAACGTGAGATACAAGTGTAGATGATCTGCTCGGGAAGACCATCATCGAATCATAAAGGGGTATCTTATCTACCGTAAAACTCCACACCAAAAAGCTACCTCTCATTCCAGCCCCCTCAACCAAAAGCCCTCCAAGCAACACGCCCTACCTCGCCCGCCTCGCCCCCATACTCTCCACGTTATTCGCATGCGCAAGCAGATACTTGCAGCACGTAAGCGTATACTTGCAAGCCTTCGTCCAACTCTCCTCCTTATTAAGCGCCAACTTGATACTCTGGTCATGAATGCGATCCTTCCTAATCTCATACGGCATCTTGACGCCAGGGCCGCCAGATCCCACGGCCAGACTGCTCCCCGCATGGATGCCCTGCGTCTCTACAAAGTCGCCTAGCTGCCGCAGACATTCCAGAAACGCCACCATTGCGGTGTCGAATTTCCGGTGCAGGAAGCCAAAGTTGATGGGGAAGTCGCCTGAGGAGTATAACTCGAGGCGTTGGCGCGCCACGGACGAGGACGTCGTGGAGGATTGTGCGTCGGCGACTGATGCCGCGCCGCCTTTGGCGTCGAGCTTGAGGATGGTGGAAGTAGAGCCCATGGGGCTGAGTTCGTAGCCCTGGAATTTGCAGCCTAGGCGTTCGGCGAGGGTGGCGAGGAGGAGACATGTTTGGCCCCATGCGGCGTTTATTTCGGGCCAGTCGACGTAAGGGGATGGGAGGCGGCCGAGACGCAGGCCGTTTATGGTGGCGAAGTGGTTGTCGTGGGTTATGTTGAAGGTGTCGTTGTAGACGCTTCGTCTTTGCAGTTGGTTTAGGATTTGGGCGTCGTGCGCGTGGCGTGTTGTTAGGGCGTCGCGCTCGCTTTGGAAGCCTGTTAGGGTGGCGGCGAATGCGTTTCGGTTTCGCCAGAAGTCGTTCTCTTCCTGGTCGAGTTGGCGGGCTTCGACTTCCAGAGCGGCGAGTTGGGCGTCTAGGTCTGCTTTCTCGGCTTCGAGGGATTCGAGGTTGGCGAGGGCGGTGGCTTCGGCTGTCTTTGCGGCTTGCAGTGCTGACTCGGCGGCCTTCACTTCGTCGGCGCTGGGGACGTCGGTGTTGGCGCGGCGCAGATAGTCGACATAGGCGTCGCGCTCTCGTGTGGCCACGCCGAGGCGCTTCTGTAGGCCGTCGACGAGCAGTTCGGTGCATTCCACACATATTGGGTGGTCGATGTCAGAGCGGGCGGAGAGGATCTCGAACATGCGGTTTGTTGTTTCCAGGCCGTCTGCCATGCTTGCTCCTCCTGCTGTTCCTGAACCGCCTGTGATGCTTGCTCGTCTTGACAAGTCATTGCCGGTTGGCTGTGTCTCTTCGGTCGGTGCCAGTCTGTCTGGATTGCGGACGGGTGCTGGGGAGGGCGGGTCCATCATCGACTCGGACATGTGCACGTTGACGAACGACATAGCGGGGTTCTGGGCGCCATTTTGGAATCTCGACGAGGGCGTGTTGCGTTTGAAGGTAGGGTTCCTCGCCGACTGTATGGCTGTTTCGTACGTCTGGTGTCGCGAGGAGGGGTACGTTGGGCGGGACTGGCGAGGAGGGGCGTTCTTCGAGGCTTGTTGCTGTCCTGGGACTGTCGAGTCTATCCTTCTTGTTAGCATATAACAGTCACATATAGCCTAGAAGACGAGGACTATACCGGTCAGTAGCTTGAATGCCGCCGGGTTGAGTTGATCTATCGAGGCATCGATGTCTATGGGCGTCCGGCATTTCTGGCAGTACAGCCCTGCCGCCTTGGTGTCATGTGCCATGGTGCTTTCGAGTGTCTCTTCTCATCTCACAGGTTGAATGTCCCTCTCGTCTTATATATAGTCTTGGTATGCCATCATGTGCCTGCAGGCGGGCATGGGCTCCCGGCGCGTGGTGGGGCGCTAGACAAGGAAGCGCGTCCCAGCCATGTTTCGCGTCGGCTCGTGCTCTGTCTGCGCAAACAGCTCCGCTCCCCGCCAACGCCCTGCAAGTCATCCGAGACATCGCACACTCGTTTCCCAGTCGCTCTTGTCGCCCGCAGCACGTCCACTGGCCCACCCCATATATATGCCATGGAGCCTCCGCCAAAGCGCCTGCGCATCCTGCACTCGGTCGAAGTGGACGAATCGAACCCTGACTATGTCCACGCGAAGCAGAAGCAACAACAGAAGTTCAAGGGCCGCCTCGAGTCCATCTTCGCCAAATATGAGCACATGCACGAGTCGATGAGCGACGAGATCGACATGACCACAAACACGCTGGTTGTGGACAGAGGGCACTTGAGGCGTCTGAATCGACAGGTCTCGCGGAAAGAGACGATGCTGCTGGACAATCTGTTGGAACGGGGCCCAGAGCCAGAGGACGAGTCTGACGGGGGGGAAGACTATGACACCGAGGACGAACTTGCGCCATCGCGGGAACCCAAGTCGAACAGTGAAGGAAGCGCAAAGGCCAAAGGGGAACTGCACCACACATCTACAGGGGAAGGCGCGCACCCCCCCTCTCCAAACAACAACCAACTCGACACACAATCGCCAAACAATCCGTCAAACGCCATGTTGCCAGCTAGTGCGCTGCAGATTCCACATACACCGAACCCCGCGACAAACCTGCTGCAGTTTGTGCAGTTCCCGCAAACGCCAGAAGGGCAGCAGGCGCAACATGCCTTCTATTCCAACTTGACCATGACCATTAATCACGCCGTACAACAGGCTGTGGCGCCTCTTTTTTCGAACATGCTTGGACACACACCGAATGCGCAAACACCCTTTGCGCAATGTTTGTCAGTGCCCGCAATGCCAATGACTGTTGGCGACACAATAACTCCAGCGAGAGATCCAAAGTGGCTTTTTCCACCACTTCCCGATCGCCTACCCAAGCCCCAGGATGCGCAATCGAGCCCCATCCCAATCGCCGCCAACAACTCGACGCTCAGGAAGTCCCTTCTCCAAGCCCGTCAAGAGAATGCCACACGGCAGCAGCAAAACGAGAGTGGGCCCGAGACACCCACAGTAAAACCCGCTTCACGCAAAGCGCTTAAACCCGTCACAAACCTGAAAGGTCAACCGACCCCACCAAGGCGAAGTAGTCCACGGGTGGAAGTTCGAAAGGAGCGGTTGTCGAAAGCGAGAATATATAATTTTACTGAAGAGGATGATATCTTCATTAGCAAGAGGAAGGAGCTTCACAAACGCACTTGGACTCAAATCAGGGCAAGCAGAGAGAAGTGGAAGGATTGGCCACTCACTACATTCAGGCAGCGCTGGCATCAACATCTGAAGAGCAAAAGTCTTCATTTGACAGATACTTCGACCGCAAATCCCGCTACATATCACGACGCAATATCTGATACACTGCATTATGAAGCCCCGCAGTCGCCTGCTTCAACACACCACCTTCCCACGCCGACTTCGTTAGAACACGAGGACAGTGGCAGTAGGGAGGTACCGGAGACCGACTCCGAGCCCGAACCCGAGATCACGGACGAAGCGAAAGAAGTCCCCGAATCCTCCAACGCGCACTACGACGACGACGAGCTGGACCTCCTTTCCCTTGCCGACACCGATCCAGACCCAGCCCAAGACCCAAACCCAGAACAATCCCCCATCATAGACGACGCGTTCCTCTCCCCCGTCCCAGAAGACACAGTCCTCCCCTCCATAGAGCCAGCAGACTTCACCAACGAAGTCCTCACAACCCACCACCACCACCTTCTCCTCCCCAACCCCTCCCCAACAGAAGAAGTCCACACCGACTCTCTCCCCCCCACAATCCCCCCGCCAGCAACCCGCCTCCCCGCCTCCCCACCAGCAAAAAAACGCAAACAGAACCCCAAACCCGCACACATCCCGTCCTTCCAAGCCGAGCCCGACTCCGACTCCGATTCCTCCCCCGCCCTCAATCTCATCGCTACCAACGACACGCTGCAAAACGACATGTACTTCCCCCCCGCCACCCCGCGCATAAAACGCGAGTCCCACTCGCCGCTGCAAACCTGCCTGCTCAGCACGCCCGCTGTGCTGAAAACGCCCGCGTCGGAGGCGGCGAAATCTGCGTCTGGGATGAGTCGGAAGAAGTTTTTGAATCGGGTTAAGCAGAGTTGGTCGACGGGGAAGGGGCGGAAGAGGGGGAGCTTGAATGGGGGGGTGGATGGGAATGTGGATGTTGGGTCGAGGAAGAGGGCGTGGGTTGGGGAGGGGGATGAGGAGGGGGAGGAGAGTGAGGATGAGTTGGCTAGGTGATGGAGGAATGGTGTTGTTGAAGAGCGGGGTGGAGTGTGTGTAGCTTTATCTTGGGAACTCCCTGATATCAGTATTTTACCTGCTGTTCTCACGCTCTGTGTAGCAGATAAACTCATTCACTCAGACACTCATAGCTAGCACTGTACTCTCACACTTCCATCAATCCCAACAAGTCCCTGAGTGAAAAAAACGGGGTATCATTTCCAAGCAACAAACTAGCAAACCCAACTCCCTCCCTTCTAAAGAACAAGAAAACGGCTAAAACTCCCACTCTAAACTGCCCCATAATCTACGAATCCGCGGGATCTTTCGCCGCACCTTCTTCTTTCCCCGGTACATGCTTGTGCCAGACGTCATCAATCCACTCCCCCACCTCGTCCGCTTTGTGCGTGAACCACTCCCACCAGTCCTCCTTGCCGTCTGCGTCCGTTGCTTGTGGCGGGGCGCTGCCCGTGGGCGAGGCGGCGGGGACGGTGGTAGTTTGGGGCTGTTCTTCGTTTGAGCCGGAAGCGGATGCTGCGATGCTGGAGGAGGTGGGATCGGGGGAAGCGAGATCTGATGAGACAGGGGAAGACGGTGTTGCGACGGGATCCTCAGGTACATATGAATTTACAGTCGTGTCGTTATGTAGACCCACAGGTGTGAGAGGGAGACGAAGAGTTCCGTTGTTGGGCGCGGGGTGGAGGCCGATAGAGTCGCAGATCATGTTATAGAGGTGGATGTTTTCTGCGGCGTGTTAGCATGCTTGGTCGACAGTGATATGATGGCGCGACTTACGAAAAGGCTCCATGCGACTCCCCGGCGCATGCGGGAAAGCAGGTCCCCTCGCTGCGAAGATCGCCCGCATGAGCGGATGCTCGTGGTCGTAGCCATGCAGTCCCCTCGGATGGTACACTTCGCCCTTCTTCTTCCCTACTTCGACGTCAAACTCGTCTTTCGTTACAATCGCCCAACCGGTCTTCGGCACGATCCACAGGGGCGCTATGCGGTCATTGTTCGAGAAGTGGTAGCGTGCGGGCATGTCTACGTCACGAAGGTAGACCTCGATATTTGGGTTCTTCTCTGCTTTAACCTTCAACTGATCGTACAAACGATTCAGATCGGATTCGTTCTTGGGACGCAGACCATAGAGCGGCCAGCCGTCGATGTGGGATAGTTCCGCACGATCGATGAGAGATTCTAGTTGAATGAGGCGTGAGACGTCTGTCGTGGCCATACCATGATCGGAGACAACAACGACATTGACGATATTTGTCAGGTTGCGCGCGTGCAGGCCTGCGAGGAGATCTCCCAGCATCGAGTCAACTTTGGAGATAGTTTTCCGGATCTCGGTGCTGTTGGGTCCATATCTGTGACCGTCTCCATCCACGTCCGGTACGTAAGCTGCGATGAGCTGGGGTCGTGGTGTTTCGGACGCTGCGCCAATGTCCATGGGGCCTGGGGTGTCGAGGAGATTCATGATACGGTCGACTTTGTTAGACAGCTTTTCAGAGCCGTTGTACTTGTCCACATAGGCGATGTCTTGGTTCAGAATGTGTGCTTCAGAGCCTGGCCACATGTGTACTGCAGACCGGACATTCTGCTTCTCGGCCGTCACCCAGATGGGCTCTCCTCCCCACCAGTGTGGCTGCAAGCTCCGCTCCGCATCTGTGTAGTAAAACTCCTGCTCGAGCGCCGGGTCCCAGAAACTGTTCCCGACGACACCATGCGCTTCTGGGTACATGCCTGTGGCCATTGTGTAGTGGTTCGGGAAGGTGACGCTGGGGAAGCTGGGCAGCATGTACTCTGGCGAGATGCCTTGTTGTATGAATTGGTTCAGTGTGGGCGTGAGGTTGCGATACAAGAAGTCGGCGCGGAAGCCGTCGAGGGAAATCAAGATAGTCGTGGGTGCGAAGAGGGAGGTTCCGTTTGATAGCATCGTCGCCGTGGCTCTGCTGTCCGCTGGTGTAGAGAGGCGATATGCAGCTGCGAGGAGAAACACGAAGAGCACAACAATAGATACGTATATGCAGAGTCGCCGCCATAGCTGACCTCTCCTGTTCTGTCGTCTGTCAGCTTCACCCACACACATGTAGAGACAAGACATACCTTCTGCGCCTTGTTCGCAACCAGGCGCTGCACGTCGCTCTCAGAGCTGCGTCTCGACCTGAGGTCAAAGTTCGAGGCTCCAATCCCCTCTCCCATCTCGTACATGAGCGCGCTCGATTCATCCTCCTGGTCCCTCTTTCGCTCTCGCATCTCCTGCTTCACCCGCTTCCCAATGTTGACCCCTTTGCCTTTGAACAAGCCAGATAAGCCCGGCAGACCCTCCTTCTGCGTCAACAACCGCTCCCGCTCGTCCTCCGACTCCAAAATATCGCGATCGGCGTCTGACAGATCTCCGGATGGCCTGCCATCGTAGCTCTCGTCGTCAGAGGCGCGTTCGCAAAGCGTGCGCTCGTCGGCGCTGTAGTCTGATTCGGCGACTGCCCTCGTCTTGTCGTGCGGTGGGGATGCCATCGTGAAGAGTGGAGTAACGGTTTACATTGCCAGAAGATGTTGCGACGTGCTCGGACAATTAGGTACTTGCTTGTTGGGCGAACACATCCCTTGGCACGCGTTTCATGGCTGTGCGACCATGTTCCTCACGCCATATCGGGGAGGTGGTAAACGGCCGCTGGTTTCAACCTTTTTGGGAATGGTAGTTTCGGAAAGACTTAAATTGAGTTCATCTTGTAAATTCAATCATAATCGCAAAAAAGGCTATTTAATACCAATTTTTCATTATCATCGCACACGTTCAATCTCTATCCAAACCATGGCAAACACTCAACTCTGCCGTTTGCTTTCCAACCTTTATGACGGACCTCAAGATCCCTCGACAATAGTAATTCCATCAGCATCAACCCACTTCGATCCAGACCCAGAAACCCTCCCTTTGGAGCAAACCCACAACAACAACCACAAATGCTCCACAACCTCGCCCCAACAATACATTTTGACTCTACCAATCGTCCGAGAAGACCCGAGGTCCCGATGCAATGTAGTGCCCCAGCCGAGTTTCCCACTCTGAACGTATTCACATAGGCGTGTCCAAAACTCGTGCTGAATATTCTGTGACCATGTTGTGCAGCCGACCGACCAATAACCGCGTTCGTCGGATTCGAGCGTACGCAGTTTCTTGGAGGGCTTGAAGCGTGCTGAGTATTGTATTTTGATTGCTGCGAGATATTCAGTGATTTGCGAGGGTAAAGTACCCGGCTGTGCTATGGAGACTTCCGGCGCTGGCGGGAAAGCATCCAAGGGGAGCTTAGTGAAATCCGGAGGATGCAGAGCAATATCGCTTTTAGTCAGAGAGATTCGGTTATTCTCTGCATCCCGCACAATAGAAAGTGACAAGTCCAAGGTGTTATCCAAAAGCCGAGACTCTTTATGACTTGCACTGACACTCCTCGTCACTGCTGAGTGGGTCGACGGCGTCGGTTCCACTGCGCTCGAGCTCAAGTTGTTCCGCCCAGATTCAACGTCTGACTCATCCTTCTCAACTCCTTCGTCAATATCAACCTCGTCTTCTTCAGTGTCCTCGTCCGTCGTGGAATAGCCATCCTGCAACTGGCTCTGCAGGGCCTGGGCCGCCAACTGCGAATCCTCAATGAAGGCAGTATCAGCTTCATCCTCATCTTCATCACGCGGAGCCGGCCGCTGTCTGCCCACAAAACTTGATTTAGGAGTCGTCTGTTTTCTCCAGGTTACATGAATGTGGTCCAATCTTGCGAGTCGACTTGACACAGGCACCGAGCCATCATCGTCATAGTAAAGCTGATTGTCCAGACGCTCCTGATCCCCAGGAGAAGGGTAGGACGGAAAACTGCCATATGAGTCTTTGCTGGTTGAAAATATTGAAGTATTCGCGTCCGCATCATTCGAGCTCCCTTTCGGCGTTGTCGATGTGGTGTTTAGGACAGAAACATTGTGCGGAACTTGGACTTCGTTTGCTTGACGAGGCTCGTCTAAACAAACATCATCCGGGTGCCGTCGGTACGGCTCGAATTCCTTGTAGGCATCAGCCAAAGATTGATATAAGTCGTCATTTTGTTTCGTGGCAGGTGTGGAAATGTGGACAAGAATTTCATCGGTCATGGTTGATGCCCAGGAGTTTTAGTTGACGGACTTGCACGGCCATTGTATTGCGTCCAGTGCTAACATCCAAGTTGGTGCGACCAAAACACCAAAAAGTGGCGAAAGGTGTTTGGAGAAAGATCATAGTTGAAATGTCGAATCGAGTGTTCATATGGCTTGGCGGTCAGGGCCTGTGCACTTCCCGCCATTCACTGCTCCGTTTGTACCGTAACCGCAAAGATGAAATTTGAAAAAGTGCGTGCTAGGCGTATACAACTCGAAACTGCGACACATAAATCCTACACTACTCTAAGATGTAGTTGTCAAGCTGTTACAAAATTTCGGCTCTTATCCAAACAAAGCAACATAATTTCAGGATTACATACTTCAAGCAAAGGAAGTTGGGCGTATACCAATAATTTCCCAAGTGTTCAAATTTTACTTAGATCTTACATGTAACTGTCAGGCTGTTGCAAGAGCTGTGTCAAAACGTCACAGAAGTCACCAAAACGCTGCAGGAAGGGCGTTGAACATGAATTGGAATTTGGATATACAGTCGACCCACTCTCATCCACCAAGATCAGAGACGCATGCACATCGCTAACGGAGGAAAAGGGAATCACATGATAGGGTAGTCGACTTTTTGGAGAAGAGGCATCGTGGACGCGTAACACTGCAACCGTGGTCAATCATGAACGAGAAAATCTTCCATATTGAGACAGCTGATGGCGAGGACGCATCTTCTATTATACATCTATTCTCAGAGGACCAATCAGCACATGTTTTGACCCCGCAAAGAACCGCTGGAATAGAGGAGTACCCACTCTTCACGCCTCTCCCATCTACGCAAAGCTCTTGGTGAAGCTTGTGGCAACCTCCCTCAACTTGGCCTCCAAATCCTTGCTGAGCGCACCTTCCCGCTCGATCTGGGCAAGCATATCAGACTCGTTCGATCGGAGGTGGGCCAAGAAGTCAGCCTCCCACGTGAGGATCTTGTTAACTGGGACGCTGTCGAGAAGACCGTTGACACCGGCGTAGATCAAAGGAACCATCTCGTTTACGGCCATGGGGGAGTACTGCTTCTGCTTGAGAAGCTCGGTAAGACGCTCACCACGGCTGAGAGTCTGCTTGGTAGCGGCATCCAAATCGGAACCGAATTGAGCAAAGGCGGCAACTTCACGGTACTGGGCCAAGAAGAGCTTCAGGGAACCAGCGACCTGCTTCATGGCCTTGACCTGGGCAGCGGAACCGACACGGGACACGGAAAGACCGACGTTGATGGCCGGTCGGATACCCTTGTAGAACAATTCAGCCTCCAAGAAGATCTGGCCGTCAGTGATGGAAATGACGTTGGTGGGAATGTAGGCAGACACGTCACCACCCTGGGTCTCGATGATGGGCAGAGCGGTGAGCGAACCACCACCAAGCTTGTCGTTCATCTTGGCCGCACGCTCGAGAAGACGAGAGTGGAGGTAGAAAACGCTGTCGTGAGATTAGAATATGTTTGTGGCAAAGTTGGAATTTCGACATACTCTCCGGGGTAGGCCTCACGACCAGGGGGACGACGGAGCAGCAGAGACATTTGACGGTAGGCAACAGCCTGCTTCGTCAGATCGTCGTAGATGATAAGAGCATGCTTGCCGGAATCTCTGAACCACTCGCCGATTGCAGTTCCTGTTTTCGTTCCATTAGTATCGTGCATGATGAAGTAAAAGCTGAAAGAGTAAAAAGTCCTGGAGGTCCGGGCGGCGACGACGTCCTTTGTCCGGGGCGGCGACGACATCCATGATCCGGGTTGGAGACTACATCTCTTGGTCCGGAGGCGTGGGCAGCAATCGTCGAGAGAAATGCATAAGTTGAGCCCTCAAGATAGCCATGTTGACGCGAAGCATGTTGGGTTAAGTGGACGCGTCGAGTGGTCAGAGAGACGCCAGCTTTGGATTCAGCTTGGCCTTGGTTTTCTTGTGGATGGCGAGCCTGGCAAGACCGGCAGCTGCGTGATCACAGATGCCACAGTAAAACCGCCGCTCGGCTCTGGCGTTGGCAACGAATTGGCGGGACCTCAGCGTCTCTGCGGAAGGCGGGGCTATGGATGCGCCTTGAGAGATAGCGACTTCTTCGTGGTGGCGGGCAGTATTGAGGTGCTGCTCCAATGCTTTGGACGAAGCAAAGATCTGGTCGTAGGTGTCGCAGTGATACCGGCGCTCAGACTTGATCTTCGCCACAGTCTTAGCATGAGTGGCGGCGACCATATCTGGAGCCAAGGCACCAGGTGGAGCCATACTGGTTCCATCTCGTTGAAGAATGCTGCAAAGAACACCATTTGGAAAATGCTCTCGATGCCGAGGTATAATTGACAAACCCTGGGTGCTAGGGAGGCTACAGGTGTCTTGCTCGAGCATAAAAGGGCAGTGTGGGTCTTTCTGTATCCTCCACTGAGGGCGATCTTGATGTGTCGAGGGAGTGTGCTGGAAGCGATGTCGGCCTTTTCGTAGACTATGAGTCTCGACCCACCGCCATTGTCCTCAGACGTTCCGGAGCCGACACATATCAGAGGCTGGCAACCTTCCTTCTCGTAGGTGTGCACGTATATGATCCAGCACCTCGAAAGGCCCTTGGTGGTGGCGAAGGGGAGAGACTTGAAGAAGTCCAGAGAGGGTGGCGTCGTGGAAAAGAGGACTTCTGCCAAGCCAGGAGCATACGTAAGTGCTGAAGCAGCACAGATGTCGTCGAGAGTAGCTCTGTTGCCGAACACAGCTTGGTAAATGGGGTGCAAAAACCACTCCTCGACGTCGAGGTGGATGGATTGCCATAGACATTCGACCATGGCACTCTGGAGTGCTGATTGGGAAGCCATGGCGATTTCTCAGGCTGGAGGATACAGACACGGCAGCAATGCCAGATATTATACTCACACCGTGTCCCGGAGGTACTTGCCATGTCCAAAATTCCAGGAAGGTACTTACCCATGACCATGTAGGCGCCCAGGTTAGGTCTTCCAGAAATGCATTTCTGGGGGCGGGGGGGAAGAAATGAGAAGGGACTACTTACCAGTGAAGGGGGCAATGTACTGCAGAGGGGCAGCCTCAGAGGCGGTGGCAGCTACAATAATGGTGTACTTCATAGCATCATTCTCCTCAAGAGTCTTGACGAGCTGAGCAACGGTGGATCGCTTCTGACCAACAGCAACGTAGATGCAGTAGAGCTTCTTCTTCTCGTCAGAACCGTTGTTCCAGCGACGCTGGTTGAGCATGGCGTCGAGAGCGACAGCAGTCTTGCCAGTCTGACGATCGCCAATAATCAGCTCACGCTGACCACGTCCGATAGGGACCATGGCGTCGATAGACTTGAGACCAGTCTGGACAGGCTCGCGGACAGACTGGCGGGGCAAAATCCCCGGAGCCTTCAGCTGGGCACGACGCCTCTCGGTGGTGTTGAGAGGGCCCTTGCCATCGATGGGGTTGCCGAGAGCATCAACAACACGTCCAAGGAGCTGCGCGCCAACGGGGACGTCGACCTGTCTTGATTAGCTGGCATCCGAGGGTCAGAACAAATCGTCTCACAATCTCTCCAGTACGCTTGACAGTCTCGCCCTCCTTGACCAATCGATCGGAACCGAACAGCACAACACCGACCTGGCCGGCTTCCAAGTTCATGCACATGCCCTTGACACCGGAGGCGAACCTGCAGTCCCGTTAGCGTCCGTGGGCGTGGATGGCGGGGGAGGGGGTCTGGCGTACTCAACGAGCTCCTCGGCCTGGACGTTGTTCATGCCATGGACACGGGCGATACCGTCACTGTCGTTCCCTCGTCAGCTGAGTGTCCCGGTGCAATGCTGGCGATGGCGCGGTGCGGCGTACCCGACGGAAAGCACACGTCCGGTCTCGGCGAGGTTGTTCTCCTCCTGCAAGCCGCGGATCCTCTGCTCAAGGATCGACGAGACCTCGGTCGGGGTAGCCTTTGCGTCGGCGGCGTAGGCCCTCGTGAAGGCGGGCGTGGCGCGGGTCTGGTGGCAGAGAAAAACCGTCAGTACTCGGCTCGGCAAAAGAGGCGCGCCCCCACAGCCAGCGCCGCCCCCCCAGATCCATCGGCGAAGCTCCATGGCGGGGCCAATGGCATCGGAACGGCGGTCTGAGGGCTGCGGGCGATGGCGGACGAGGCGGCAGGCGCAATGGCGGGCGGTGCGATGAGACTTACCAACGCAATCCTGCTCGAGGCAGAGATTGCAGCGACCCGGAGGCTGTTCTGGCGGATGGCTCTTGAGAACATGGTGTGGTGCTCAAGAGGCTATTGAGGTGGCTCTGCGACCAATTGAGATTGATGCAGAAGGGAAAGAGGGGAGATGGTGATGGAGTGGAGGAGTGGAAGCTCTCTGCTGGAGGGTGGAAGAACTTGAGCCCTCCCGGACGAGGAAAGCGCAACCCACGTGCACGGACCCACGCCTTCCCCGAAACGAGCCGTCAACGAGGACTACACGGAGGACAGTAGTCGACCACAACACTGAGGGTGCGGATGTGGCAATTGAAAAGGCGTACATTCGCCGTCCAGTTGGCCTCCAGCAAAATTACACTCATTAGTTTAATCAAGGCTCTATCTAGGTATCCCGCTGCAAAACTACGACGCTCGACTCCCATATATACATCGTGCATGCTTTCCAAATATCGACAAGTTGCTAGTACACCTGACTCCTGTGCAATGCTAGGCTCTCCTCCCATACGGACTCACATCCTCAACGGCTGGCGTCCCCTTCAAATTCTTCAAGACTGTCCCGCTCCTCCATGTTGACGCATCCACAAGGCGAAGCATCTGGTCTTACTTCGCAGACCCGTTCTGGCCCTTTCCCTTGCTCTTCCTGACCCTGTCAATCTCTTGCTCGACCCCCTTGTCTATACGGCGCTTCAATTCAGGACGGTAGCCCAGCGAGAAAAGAATCTCGAACCAGACGAAGAAGGGGGCCAGGAAGAGTGCCTGCACCAAGTTGTCGAGCAACGCGGGAGCCCTTCCCTCAAACTTTCCATGTCCAATAAACTGCGCTATCCAGCACATGACGTGAACACCGCCAGCAGCCCAGTTCGCCGTGGCTCCATACGTCGACGTGAGGTGGTTTGCGTAAGCTGTGCCACCAATGAGGAGAGGGGCAAGAAGCCCTCCTGCGACAGGTTCCATGAGGACGTACAATGTCGAGTACAAAACTGCTCCGAACGTGCCGACGTTGAGGGGGAGGTTAGGGACGGATAGCCAGGATGGCAGTGGTACGGCAGGGGTATTGGTGAGCTTATAGCATAATCAGCGCATGTCATCGTGTCTTGCAGTCAGCTGTTCTTACAAGCAAGATGGCCGTCAACAGGATCGGAGGCACGCAGATGATGTGTATACCAACATTGACCTGTGAAAGATGCATTAGTCGACGCGCGACAGTTGTTCAGGGCGATCAAACCCACAGCATTGTGGTGGTAGGACCCATACTATCTTCCAGTCAGTTTCAGCCATGCATTCGTGCAGAAATGACGTACGAAGAGGAGCTGCTTCTCGAGGTTGAGGGACATGGTGCCGGATGTGGTAAAGTTACTTTTGCGCTTCAAAGGGTCGATCGGTTATCAAGGGACCATATCTTGAACAGAAGAAAATGACAATGAAACAGTGTGTCCAGATCGCCGAGACCTCACGCTTCCGTCGCAAAAGCCGAGTGATGAGCAGATGCACAAGGTGAAGGTCTCACGACATGAGTGTGGGGCGCGTTGTCGAGCTGGCAGTTGTCACGGATGCGGGCTAGGCACATGATTTTCCGCCGGCCGAGCTCTGCCATCTTCTGAGCTCTCCCAACGCTCACCGTGCATTGTCCTCCGAGCCTGCACCCGCCTTTCCCCACGACTGCCAATCCTGTAATATCGTACCCAGACAAACGGCGCGCAAGATTTGGACCTGGGCGCATGGGCAGTTGGGTTCTGTAATAAGAGTCGCGTTGCAGGTGGAAGGCGCGTCGTGCTTGAGGACCACGCGCAAGCACTCACAACCGCTTATTAGTGCGCGCGCATTCAGACAATAGAGTCGCATAGCATCTGGGAAGCTGTCTCCAGGCCCTTCACCTCCCGCTGCTCTCCACCGTCCCACCGTGCATTCCCACGTCTAGTCTTGAGAACACCGCGCGATCATGTTCTTCCTCAAGGAGCTCGAGAAGACGATCCAGCTGCATCCGTCGTACTTCGGTCCCCTGATCCGTTCACACATACACAAGGAGCTACTGCAGAAAGAGGAGGGTTCGAGCACCGGAAAGTACACCATCGTGTGCGTCCTGGACTCGTTCGACATTTCCGATGGACAAGTGATGCCTGGGTCCGGCTCTGCCGAGTATGTCGTCCACTACAAGGCTATCGTGTGGCGGCCGTACAAGGGAGAGGTGGTACGTCTGAACTCTCCAGATGCACAGCAATAGCATCCGTATTAACGCTTGTCTAGCTGGACGGTATAGTTACCTCAGTGCTCCGTACCGGCTTCTTTGTCGAGTGCGGCTCCCTACAGGTCTTCGTGGGTCGTAATGTAAAACTCACCAGCTTATAACTGCCTTTGCGTGTCACTAACAGGCGTTAGATGATTCCCTCCGACATCACATTCGACGCGAACGCGACACCTCCTCAATGGACCGACAACAGCGAACAAGTCATCGAGAAGGGCACTAATATTCGCATCAAGATCAAGGGTATCCGATCTGACATCGATAAAATGTATGCTGTCGGAACCATGAAAGAGGTAGGCAGCTCACTTGACTGAATCAAGAACGTTTACCTAACCAACGGATTCTAGGATTACCTTGGCCCATTGTCGCAATAGAGTGGCAGCGATGGGATAGCGCTTGGCAAGGACGATAGGCCAAGACGAGGCAGTCAGCAGAAGCCTGGCGCCTCTTTGGCGAAGACGAACAAGGTGACTTTGCCACAGACTGGTACAGAAGAGTCACCGTATGGCGAGTCGATAACACCGAGACTGTACATGTTGTGGGATTCCCCGGAGAAACACTCTGCTGTAAAATCATGTGTAGCTCCAAATGCTTGCAGGTGCTAGATGGGAAGTATGAGCGCGAGGCTGATTCCAGACTCGTAGCGGCGGAGTTGGGTAAGGGGCTCCTTAGTATTCATGCTACCCCGAAAAGGATTTGAATAAAACAATGCGTCTTGATGTCTTCATTGTGCAACGTGTCTGTGGTTTTATCATGTGTCAAAAGTGGCTCTGGCTGGGTTGGTCTGTTTCGGCCAACGCCAGCACCCAAACCTCCGTCCCAACTCCGCAACCGTGATCGCCGTGAACAGCTGCCTGCCAGCTTGAGCTCGGCCGCTATTTGTACATCTGAACTTCCCCGTCGGACAGTATCCCGCCATTACTAGAATCTTCGTGATGATATGGTTGTAGTTCTATGACCTCGAAACTAAATACACGCCACGATGTCGCGCGAGCACGCCTTGAAAGAGGAGGAGGCAGGGCTCCTTGGAAGACACGACACATCGACGCGCATCTCGGAAGATGGCTCGGAAGCCTCTGGATCCTCGATTTCGACCACGTCGCTAGTCCTCGAGCATATCAACGACGACGCGTTCAAAGGTGCATCGCAACCGACGCTCTCGGAGAAGTACAGGGACGAGGATGACGGCGAGCTTGGCCAGGCGCGTGAGCGTTTCGATGTTGAAGACGGGCGAAACCACGCGCTGGAGCCGGTAGACAAGAAGGCGCGACGAATGCTCTGGATCGTTGGCATCATCTGTGCCATAGGCTGGGGGCTTGCACTGGTTACCTTCCTGATGAATGGCAGCTACAAGCATGCATCTTCCCGCCCACACGACCCTCTCGCAAGCTCGACAAAGGGTTCTGGGAAGAAGGTCACGCTCGACAGCGTGCTCGGCGGGCAATGGTATGCCCAGCAGCAGCGTGTGGAATGGATCGCAGGACCAAACGGAGAAGACGGCCTGTTGCTCGAGAAAGGCGTGTCGGGCAAAGACTATTTGGTTGTCGAGAACATCAGAAGCAAAGACGATGGTGGAGCGCCTGCTAAAACCATAACGCTGATGAAGGAGAGTGGCTTCCAAGTAAACGGCACCTATGTACAACCCAGCAATGTATGGCCCAGCAAAGACTTCAAGAAAGTGCTCGTTATTTCGGACTCGCAGAAGAACTGGAGGCATTCTTTTACAGGAATGTATTGGATTTTCGACGTTGAGACGCAAACTGGTCAGCCTTTGGACCCAGAGAACCCGGACCGCCGGATACAGCTGGCATCATGGTCACCCCAGTCAGATGCCGTTGTCTTCACAAGGGATAACAACATGTTCTTGCGCAAGCTCAACACAAACGAGGTCGTTCCAATCACAACAGACGGCGGATCAGAGCTGTTCTATGGCGTTCCCGACTGGGTCTACGAGGAAGAAGTATTTTCAGGAAACAGCGCGACATGGTGGTCTGAAGACGGTCAATACGTGGCTTTCTTACGGACAGACGAATCGACCGTTCCAACCTTCCCCGTACAATACTTCGTCTCGCGACCGAGCGGAGAACGACCGAAGCCTGGAGAGGAGAGCTATCCGGAGGTCCGTGATATCAAGTACCCCAAGGCCGGTGCGCCAAACCCCATCGTGTCGCTGCAGTTCTACGATGTTGAGAAGGGCGAGGTTTTCAGCGTCAAAATCGCTGATGACTTCAAAGACGATAACCGTCTCATCACTGAGATAGTTTGGGCTGGCAAAACCAAGCAGGTCCTTGTTCGGGAGACCAACCGAGAAAGTGACATCCTCAAAGTTGTCTTGATGGACGTTGAGAAACGAACCGGAAAGACTGTCAGGACGGAGAACGTAGCAGAGCTCGATGGAGGCTGGTTCGAGGTCTCTCAGAAGACAACGTTCGTGCCCGCTGATCCCGAGAACGGTCGCAAGGACGACGGATACATTGACACGGTTATCTACAAGGGCTACGACCACATTGGATACTTTACGCCTTTGGACAGCGACAAGCCAATCCTGCTTACCAAGGGGGAATGGGAAGTCGTCGATGCGCCATCGCGCGTAGATCTGAAGAACAACCTCGTCTACTACATATCCACTGAGCGCAGCTCCATCGAGCGCCACCCATACGCCGTCTACCTAAACGGCACAGGCAAGAGGGAAGTCATCGAGAACAACCCATCTGGTTACTACGATGCCTCCTTCTCCGCTGGCGGTTCCTACGCCCTCATCTCCTGCAAAGGACCCGGCATCCCCTGGCAGAAAATCATCAGCACGCCCTCCACCACAAAGAAGTACACCAAGACCCTCGAGGAAAACAAGAGTCTCGAGCGCTACGCCCGCCAACACGAACTCCCCATCCTCAAGTACCAGACCATCGACGTCGACGGCTTCAAACTGAACGTCATCGAACGCCGACCACCTCACTTCAGCGAGAAGAAGAAATACCCTGTGTTGTTCTACCAGTACAGTGGGCCCGGCTCGCAGCAGGTGCACAAGAAGTTCGAAGTCGACTTCCAGATGTACATTGCTGCTACTCTCGGGTATATCGTCGTCACAGTCGATGGACGTGGCACAGGCTTCCTCGGCCGTAAATTGCGCTGCATCACGAGAGGAAACATCGGACACTACGAAGCGCTCGACCAAATTGCAGCGGCAAAGATATGGAAGGCGAAGAAGTACGTCGACGGCGAGCGAATAGCGATCTGGGGATGGAGTTACGGCGGCTTCCAGACACTAAAGACGCTTGAAACGGATGCAGGCGAGACATTCAAATACGGCATGGCCGTTGCTCCAGTCACGGATTGGAGGTTCTACGGTAAGTTCCCTATTCCCCTTCTCCATCCATCTCTCCCTTTCTCATCACTGACGTTACAACCGCCACAGACTCCATCTACACGGAACGCTACATGCACCAGCCCCAGAACAACGCCGACGGCTACGACAACACCTCCATCAGCGACGTGACCTCTCTCGCGAAAAACGTCCGCTTCCTCGTCATGCACGGCGTCGCAGACGATAATGTTCACATGCAGAACACGCTCACTCTGCTCGATTACTTGGATCTTGCCGGTGTTGAGAACTACGATGTGCATGTCTTCCCGGACTCGGATCACAGCATCTACTTCCACAACGCTAACAAGATTGTTTATGATAGTAAGTTCAGACTTTGGTGCTTCAGGATGACAGAGTGGCTAACCCGGTGGCTAGAGCTGAATTGGTGGCTTATCAATGCGTTCAACGGTGAGTGGTTGAGGGTGGAGAATGTGGCGCCCAAGGCGCAGATTGATCGCAAGTTGAAGGTGCGGCAGTAGGTGTTTGATGGGTAACAGCGTTGGTGCTTTGAGTTTGGTGCGGTGCGGTGCTTGATGGCATGCTAGGCGTTTGTTTATCTGATATCTTGAATACATGTCACTGCAAGTTGCTCCTCGCGAGTTTTTCGGTATTGCATTAACACTTCACCCTTGCTCGATGCTCAGAATACGTCGAGGTGGTGCAAGGGACGGAGTATTGAGAACGGGAATCGCAGATTAATCTATTTATGTCATTTTGTCTAAGCTTAGGAGAACAATCAAGAGCAAGATGTGCACGAGCACCTCAACACTGAGAGCCGGAAGTGTTGTCCAGTATTCATTTCGTCATCAAGTTGTATGTATGCAATCCCCAACCTAGACTCCGCGTATGCTTATTTATACATAATCATTCTTCATCCCAGTCAACCGGCTGTTCGTATTCATCCCTACAACAGTAGTGAGATTCCCTCCCACTCACAACTTAGGCGTCTCCTCCTTCTCCCCGATGATGTTCAAGAACGCCGTATGCACATGCTCCGTCAGATCACTAGCCTGCAGCGACCTGCCCTTCTCCTTATACGCCAGCTTGGAGCACTCCCTGGTGATCGCCGAGCCACCAAATGCCGCAAGCGCCAGCGTCTCACTCCTATCCATGTCCGTCCCATGGTCCCAGATCTTGTCATGATACGCCTTGCGGTACGCGAGCAGCGTGGCCAAGCTCCCCGTCAGCGTATCGCCCTGACCACCGGAACGCTTCAATCCACCCTCGCCCTCCGACACCAGCGTATGTGCGCCGTTGGAAATGTAGTCCTTGGGCCCCTTCTGGATGATGGTGACGCCTCCAAACGCCTTGGACAGCTTTGCGCACAACTCCGAAGGGTCGCCCTCGTCGACATTGACGCCCTTTGCCTTTGCCAGCCGTCCAAACTCAACCACATTCGGCGTGAGAATGCACTCAGTGCATCCGTCCACAAGCTCCGGTCGCGTCTGCGCAAGGTACAAACCATCCGCGTCCAGTACAAAGGGGATGCCCTGTTTGCGCGCCTCCTGAATCACCTGTGCGCATGTATCCTGCATGAGCTGGTCACGTCCGAGTCCGGGCCCGATGACAATAACGTGCAGACGAGATAGCATGCCGACGACTTCGGCTGACACGGACTCTGCGCTCTCAGACTGTGTAAGGTTCTTGGACTGTCGCATATACGGGTGTACCATAAGATTGGGTGAATATGTCTTGATTACTGCACCGGCGCCTGGCTCGCAGATCACGTGGGACTGGATTTTGTGTGAGTTTGGTGGGTTGATATCAGGCGTGCTGCGGGGGGATAATATGTACCATGTCACAACCCAATTTTGCAGAGGCCATGGCGGAAAAGTATGGTGCACCGGTGTAGTCTTCGCTGCCACCGATGACGGCTACACGACCCAGTTGACCTGTGTAATGTGTTATTCTCAAATTTCAAGAACATTGCTGTGAGTTATCTTACCTTTGTGGAAGCTCTCAAGCATAGGCGGCACCATGGTGTACACCTTCTTGATGAGCTCTGCTCTTGTTGCGCTCGCCATTTTGAGAGATTTGGGGACTATGGGACGTGTCTTGATTGGAGTTTATTCTTTGGCAGTTGGGCGAAGTCAAGTTCTGTAGATGGTTGTTCTGACGACTCCGAGTTTGACAGTTTTGTTCAAAAGATCGGAATTCAACCAACGTCATCATGATCCGCAGGAAAGTGGACGCGACGCGCCACGATGATGCAGCAGAGGAGGGCCAGGCCTAATGCAAGCAACAAGTTCAAGAGAGAGTAGAGAATAACCTCGGAGTTCGAACAAGCCATTTACAACGATGATTACTCGAACAGTGGCAGGTAATCACTCGGATTATCATCAAACATCAATTGCTAAACGCCAATTCCATTCTTTGAACTAATGACTTTGACTCCGTTCCGTGGAAGCACTCGATTTCCAAGCACTTGGTCCCACCAACCTGCTGCATTAATTGCATGCAGACTGCAAAATATGACCTGACCCATGCCTAAACTCTGTCCTGCACGCTCATCTAGCGATATGTACAATGAACCTCCCTCGCGCACTCAGGAAGGCATATATTACCCTTCATAGTCCAGGTTCGTTTCTGGAATCTGGCCGGAAAACATGGGCCGTTTCAGTAGACAGCTCGCCACAAGCTGCGCCAGCTTAGGCAGTAGATGTCTCCGTTTGAGCGACTACCTCAGCATCATCTTTGCTTAAACCGGTAGTGTCGACCTTAATCTCAGACGTGTCCTTGTCGGATTCCTTGTCTGCGTCAGCCATCGCAACGTCACCGTCCTCGGCAGTCTTGACAACGGCAGGCTCTGCAGACGTGTCTTCCTCTGTCTTCTCTTCGCTCTCTTTCGCAGCTGGAGTTTCCTCCTTTGCAGGCTCAGATGTCTCCTTAGCGCCGTTGGTCGCAGCCTCGGGGGCCGCATCGGTGTCTGCTGCCAACGCGCCGCCCCATTTGTTGAGCAGATCGGTAGAACGCTTCTTGAACTCAAACTCCTCCTCTTTCGGGATTCCTTCAAGCTTGATGATGGCTTTTAGTACCTTATGCACCTTGGTTTTCTTGATGACCTCGGCCTCAAGATCGTCGTGCAACTCGAGCTGCTTCAAATAATCAGACATGTTGTCCATATCTTCATCCTTAGGCTGTTGGTCTCGAGAAAGGAACCCCTTCTGCAGGCGATGTCGTAGGTAAAGAACTTGGGCATATTAGTCAAGACCTCGAAAGATGATTGATCGTTGTGCTTACCTTGCTTCTCACGCTTCTGGATGCGCTCCTCCTCAGTCATGGGCGGCTCTTCTGGCTGAGCTGGCTCTGCTTCTTCGCTGGCCTTCTTCTTCGACTTGGTCTCTTTCTTAGGCTTCGCTGCGGAAGGCTCCTTTGGAGTTTTGTTGTTGTTGATCTTGAGCTTGGCCTTGGGGGTCTTTGCAGGCTGTCAACTGTTAGTATTTATGTAGAACTTGTAAATTCTTTACACACCTTCTCGTTCTCGCCGTCACTCTCCTCATCCTTCTTGCGCTTCTTGGTCGCCTTCGCCTTACCCTTCTTAGCGGAGGGAGCAGCGTCGTCACCAGCATCTTCCATGTCGACATCATCCGACTCTCCGGCAGGCTGACTCTTGCGTTTCGCAGCCTTCTCCTTCTTCTCCTGTTCCTTAGTCTCTTGCTGCGCGATGTCCTCTGCCATGGCCGCCTCATGCGCGGAGAGCATCTGTTTGAAATGTTCCAGATCATGTCCTTCCGCAGCGGTTTGGTACGCTTGCCACAGTGCCTTGTTCTTCTTTGCTTGATTGCCCGATTCGACATCCTTCTTCACCTCTTCAATGTCGAAAGTTAGGAGCTCCGTGTTAACTTGCCACGCACTGTAGCATACGAATTAGTACAAGATGCACTCCAACGTGAACGCTGTGTAATGGCTTACAATTCGTTAGTACCCAGAAACATGACGGGATACCGGCGGTCCTTTGCGTTCTTACCACCCTCCAAGAAATCCGCGCGATACGAACCGTCAGCATTCTTCGCGCTGACGGGACGCTTAGCAAGCAGAGATTCTGGCAGCATGTCGTCATCACAGACGATAACAGGCCAGGGCTGGTAGCCGCGCATGGCGACCATGTACATATCGCCCGGCTCAGCATCGAGACGGAGGTCGGGCGTCGCCTTCTTCTTTTTGCTAGGCGTTTTCTTCTTGTGCTCGGGTACACCAGCTCCGGACTTCCGCTTGCTGTTGTTCGACTTCTTGGGTGCAGGTGTGCCGTTCGCCGCGACAGATTCTGTGGCAGGTGTCGCATCTAGACAAGTTGGTAAGCATGTGCGTGGGATGAACCTGAGCTACCAACACGACTCCTTCGGAGAAGACAACGCCTTCACTTACCTGCGTCATTACTGGCAGCCGCTGTGTCGTCTTTCGCGTCGGCAGTGGCGTCATCCTCAGCTGGGGTATCTTCTTGGGCGGCGTCAGACTGTTGACCTGTGCATCATCGCGTCAGCTATCTCCTTACGAAATGGCGCGTAATCGTACTTACCCTCTGCAGCATCCGGTGTGGCTGGGGCTCCGTCCTCAGCCGGCTCCGCGTCAGCGACGGCAGGCTCGGCCACAGCTTCCGTAGGACGCGTGTCCTCCTCAACCGTCTTAGTGGCGTCCATCGCGACAGGTGTGTTTGCCTCGTCCGCCATTGTTCGAGTCGTGCTTACGGTTGCACGGGGTGGTGTCGACGCGTAAGGGATGCGAGAGGGCGCGAATATTCTCGTCGAGCTATCGGGCGCGATGAGAAGGGCGCGTGGTTGATGGGTAACCGGTTGTGCTGATGACGCGCGGTGGTGAGGGTGGTTGGGTCGGGTCGCGTTGGGTGAGGGGAGAGAGGAGAGCAAAGAGATCGGAGACGCTTCTTAACTTTCAAGCTGCGCCAGAGCTTGCACGTGACCGCTTCGGCCTGCGCGCAATTGTAACGCTAGGCTCTCCGAAAAAATTCGACGTGATTCACCTTTGTCACTGGATACACCGACGCTATTTTCACAGCGTTGCAGCGATTGAGCGTCGTGTTTGCTGTGTTGTGGGGTTCGTTGTTCGTGTTATCGCTGCCTTCCAAGGTTTGGCGCGTTGTGTTGAGTTACTGGCCCGTGCGAGGAGGTACAGAAAACTCCACCAGAACGGCGAGGATACGAAATGCTGGAAGAGACTAGAGACCGATAGTTGTTTTCTGTTGCCACAGCGATGTCGATATAGTCTCTGTGGTCTTGTGTTGATGGAAGAGCTTCCTTCCACGAGCGGTTCGTTGGCTTGATCAGATAAGCCGCCAATGACAAGCTAGACTGCGCCTCTGAGGCAAGAGCACAACTCCTCTACTTTGAGAGTCTTTGTCGAATATCGGTCGTCTTGCAGCTATCGTCGGGAAAAATCGATGTTGGGTAATCTGCAAGTTTCGGTCAGTTAAGTTGTGGTAAAGTCAAGGTGAGAGGGCAAGTTGTGAGGTAATCAGTAAGTAGAATTGACATGGTCTACAATTTTGGACATCGTTATCAGGCGCTTGTTTAGGGCATGTTTGCATTTCAGCTACTGTGGTCGTCGTCAGCTTTGGACATAGCCACTTCGCAATAATAGGCACAAGACACTCACTATACTCTACAAAGTAGAAGGCTTTGTCAACCCGAAGATTCTCAACATCTTCATCGCGTAAAACATACCTCATCTCCATCGACCCTATCGGGAACTGCTAGTATGGTTTAACCTATGCTCCAAACACCAAGAGCTCTGCTAGAAACGCGTCGGTCTAGCGGCTCGTCGATTGGTCGGTATTACAACGCCGGAGCACTCGAAGGGGCCGCAATGCCCTGTATTGCCTCACCTACAGTGGCCCCAAAGGCTTTTACAGGATGATGAGTAGAGTGACCTCGTACTTTGAGATGTTCTGTGAAAGAAGTCTGCAGTTTGGCCTGCGGTCCTGATGAAATGGGCATGAATTTGTTCGTTGCGAATGAGTGCCAGAAGACCGTTCACCAACACATGCAAGGCAACATCCTCGATCTCCCTCCGCAGTACTGTACCTTGGGTGTGTGAGGATGCCTCAGATACAAGGTCTTAAGAGCAGATACTGACCACTACCACTTACAGCAAATGTAACTCGAGGTCGATGATGATAAAGACAAAGGTCGAAGAAGGTACCTGGAAATGTGGTCGCTCGATTTGAAGGAAAATGTGAGACCTACTAGATAGATGGGAGAACAAAACAAAATACCACGGTCTAACAAACAACCGCAAACTTGGGATACGCAGACTCAAAACAAATATTTCGGTTCGGCATAGGGTCTCCAGACCTTGCCAATGCCAGAGGTGATTCGGTTGGCTGTCTTGGGGTAAGGTGTTTCTTCCGGCCTCGGGCCAAGGTCCATAGAGAGCGGCCTGTAGGAGCAAGAATCGGTATATGTTCAGGCAATATCCATATGTTGTGCATGATGGTCCAAAGGCGGGACGTTCTCGAGTACTCGCCGTATCGATAAGGTTGGACATTCCATCTCTTGACCATGGTTTTGCACATACCCGCAACCCGTTGCGTCTCTTTCACATGTTTGTGTGGCGTTGCTTACCTGCCATTTCCACAATTATTGCGCGATCTCGCTTTTGAAAATCATTTCGCAGCCTGGCAAGTTCACGCGGTCTTCGGACACCAATCATCGCTCTGGATTGCAGCTAGCGGTTCTAAGTCGGCAGATTTGTCCCATCAGCGATGAAACGCATGCTTATCAGAACGTTCAGTCGTGCGATCCGCAGAAGGAGACGATTTCGCGATGGTGCTTGTATTGCCGTCCATGCAGCTTTCCTCGAAGCTAGTCATGCTTCCTATGTCTTCCATGCTCGCGAAACCACAATTCACGTTGTGTTCGATCGTGTATATGGTGCTCAAGCGCAGAACATCGTCCTGGGTGGGTACGGTGTTTGGGCTATCGAGGGGCTACGGTGTAGCGAGCGAGCCATCGTGATTGTCGGAAGGCAGTCGACGAGATATTCTAGAAGCTGGAGAAGGAACGACAGTATAGCTGGGAATATTCTGAGTGTTTTGGCGGCAGTGATGTCTTGTCGAGAGATGGGTTTCGGAAGTTGGCAGGTTTACGAGAGCAAGTGACCTTTCGCTTGGTGTCTCCAAGGATTAGCCGCCTCTACAAAGCATCACGTGGCCGCCCAACACCACCATGTATCGACTGGAACGATTGAAACAAACATGTACCTTGCACCTTGGCTAGGAATCTGAGCTGAGCTATGGTGGCGATATATGTATAACTTTGTATGTTTGTTTAGAGTACTGCAAATCACAGCTGGGTTTACACCTTGATTGCACGACGCGTTTGACTTGCAAGTCTGTACTGACACTTAGAATGTATGCAGATCATTCGCTGCAGCTTTCGAAACTCTCCTGGATACTAGCTGCACCTTCCCTGCACAAACACCACTGACGTTCACTCCTGGCTCGTGCATCAATTAGTGCGGGGGCTCGAGGATCTGCCTGCTGAGCTTCCCGCAAGATTGCGTGACAAGCTCTCCACCAACTCTCTTCGTAAAACATGGCGACCAAAGCAACAGCCAACAATGGCGCCGCAGAAAACGAATATCAAGCTCTGTGGGCGAACAAATACCGTGGGGTATGAATGAAGCTCTTACATTTCCAATTATAGCAGCTAACTCAGCAAAGGCAACGGTTGAAGACCTTGATCCACCCCCAGCCCTTTCTGTTAAGCCCACCGATCCTATATCTTGGGCTCTTATGAGCGGCCTGGAACGCGACTATACGCATCTCACCGTTACTGCGCAAGAGAACCGCGCACTGCTAGGATATATTAGCATTCCACGTCTGCAAGAGCTGCTCAAGGAAGGCAAGGTCAAGGACAGCGATTCGGTCGAGGCGGCGATGCACAAGTTCCAGCGCCGCGGCAGACGGTACAAGGTTATCACGACGGAAACGCCGCTGGAAGAGCTCGAGGAGTTCTTCAGTGGGGGTGTTGATGGGAGTGGGAAGCAGGAGTTTGCAGTTGTGACAGATGCAAGTCGGAAGTTCGTGCTGGGTGTGGCCACGAGCGCGGATTTGGAGAGCTTTATCAAGAGGAGGGCTTAGATCGATGTCATGGGAGAAGATTGCATTGCATGGCGTTTGCTTGGGATACCACATGGGCGACGGTGTTCAGGGAGGTCTGATTCAACATACCCTCCAGCTATATCGAACATTTTGAATGATGTCGTGTATCGTTTGGAAGTTATCTAGGACTCTGTGAAGATCAAATGAGCAGTTGTTGACGTAATTTGGACTTCGATATGTCTTCATCGCCCTTTTGTGCCTTCCAAGTCGAAGCACAAGAATTATCGAAGCCCACAGCAAATACTTAGGCGCATGGGATCAGATTGAAATGATCGTTCCTATGGCTTTGCTACTATCCAGCTTTCAACAGAACAGGTAACGTCTTGCCACGCACAGATTTTTCTCATATTGTACAATCATCCTCATCTTCATGGGTTCCCAGAGCACGAATGGTTGTGTCCCACTTATCCAACAGAAACTAAGACAAGTTCACGCCCAACAGACGTCATTACCGGCTACGCTAGTCATGCTCAGCCCTATCTCAACCATCCTATGCATGCAAATCTTTAGTCTCCCCACCCGCCGACGATCTCAAAGACGATGCGCTCTTGACCCAACAATTTTGGACGCGAAGTCCCGTAACCTCCAAACCCGTCGCTGGCATGCCCGCACCTTCCCACCACCTGCGCAGCCTCCCTTTCGGCGTCTTAGTCCAGCGTCACCTCTCACACGCCTCACGACCCTGGCAAACGTCACCGATCGCGAAGCTAGCGGGAGCACGATGTTACGCCAAAAGCGCACAAGAAACCCGCATGGGCACCACAACACCTGTACCCGAAGATGCCGACCCGCCGAAAGCAAAGTCACCTTTCTACTTTGAAGCTGGATACGCGCTGTTCGCAAAAAGAGCTTCACGACCATTCCCTCCGCCGTTCCTCTCGTTGCCCTCCACAAGCTTCTCAGAGCCGCTGAGTACATACAACAAGAGTCGAGACCGCAGACCAACCGTCAACGGCGAGATGATACGCGGCGTCACCAACGGGGATGACGCAGTGCTGGTCAGCGACTATTTCGTCGGAGCAAATGACGGAGTAGGAGCGTGGGGAACAAGAGAAAAGGGACATGCTGCGTTCGTTCCCCCGCATTCAATATCCGACATGCCACCAGTCGCGGAGATAAGATGCTAACATGTAGCATAGTCTATGGTCTCGCCTGATCCTGCACTTCTGGGCCCTCGAAGCCGAACGCGCACCCTTCTCTCCGTCCTCGGAACCAGACCCAGTCTCATACCTCCAAACCGCCTACGAGCACACCAAGCAAGCAACCCTAGAGCCCAACGAATGGCACGGCACAACCACAGCCTGCGCCGCGCTCCTCAGTGCCTCGACCCAAACACCACCCCATCCACTCCTCTACGTTACGCAGCTCGGCGATTCGCAGATCCTAGTCATCCGCCCGCGCAGCAAGGAAGTCATCTTCAAAACCCAAGAGCAATGGCACTGGTTCGACTGTCCGCGCCAACTCGGGACAAACAGTCCAGACACACCCACCGGCAACGCAGTCTTGGATCGCATACAGATCGAGGAAGAGGATGTTGTTCTCGCCATGACAGACGGTGTGGTGGATAACTTATGGGAACACGAAGTTGTGCAGAATGTGGTTGACAGCATGGAGAAGTGGCAGGGCGATGCGGACAACGCAGGGCATACATATGCCGAGGCCATGCAGTTTGTTGCGCAACAACTCGTTAATGCTGCGAGGGTCATTGCCGAGGATCCGTTTGCTGAGAGCCCGTATATGGAGAAGGCGATTGACGAGGGGCTGTCTATCGAAGGAGGTGTGTATATATGAGCTGTTGTGAAATACACGCCGCTAATGTTTCATAGGCAAACTCGACGACATCAGCGTTGTAGCCGCTCAGTGCAGACGACGTAAAGGATGAGACAGCAAACTTCTCCCGATACATTGACCATACAGCAAAGACGATCCGCTCGCACGAAGAGCATACTCCGTTCGACGCCAGTGTCAAGACCTCTGCGAGAGTAGCCCAAGAATACTCCGGCACAAATGAGCCGCAGACTACACGCTCGAAGTCGCGATTCGCACAGAAACGCATCGCGGCCGAGGCGCCAGCTCTTCGAGTCCCTCTCACGCGTCGCAATCAGACAACTACAAGTGGCACAATCAAGTTCACAAAAGCACTCAGAAGGACTACAACTGCTATAGTAGGCTTATATTGGTAAAGATTGTTTAGTGTACAAAGGCTTATCAGGAAGACCTTGAAATGGAATTGGAGTTGCACTTTTGGCAAGTTTGAAGACGGGAGCCTCATTTGCAAAAAGGCGTTTGCGAAAGTATTTGAATATTGTTGCTTGGGCACGACTGAGAGGGTATTCAAGAGGTTGAAGGAAGCAAGGGTGTGACACGTTTTACGTGTGGGAGTCGCTAGACTATGCTCGTACCTGCCCGGCCAAATTCTTGTAGTGTGCACACTGCAAATATGTTGACGGCGTAGATAAAGTGTAGGGACCCGATCGCTGTGAGGAAATGAGAGGAATTCATGTACCGACCTATTCTTCCATGCTTTCCTCTCTCGGAGGTGGTGATGCTGCTGGTGAGCGTGTAAGTGGTCGTTTCCCACGACCCGCTCTGCTGCGCGACCTCGACTTGCTCGAAGCGAGCGAACGCTTTCGCTTCTTCGCATCAGCGCGTGAATCGATTGAATCAGCTGAAGGGGAACGTCTGCGTCTTCTTTCTTTGGCAGGGCTTACAGACCGTGAACTGCTACGAGATCTTGCGCGGCGGCGGCGACGCGGCGGGGTTCGAGACGGTGACCTTGACAGCCTGATTGCTGGTGAGCTCGATTTATCGTGAGGGGTTACAGATCGCGAGTGATGCCTGGGTAACCTTCTGCTGTCGTGGCTTGGTGACCATGACTTGTTGCGCCGCCGTGCTGGTGGAGACCTCGATCGTGACGGAGAGCGGCGCGAGCGGCGCGGCGGGGGAGATTTCGAGCGGCCCGAAGAAGGCGATCGGCGTACTCGGCGTCGCGGAGGGCTCGGAGAGCGGGAGGAGGATGGTGAACGTCGCGCGCGACGAGGTGGAGATTTGGACTTGGGCCGCGTGACTGAAGGAGAGCGACGGCGCTCGCGAGATCTTTCCTGACGTCCCCCTCGTCCTCGTCCACGACCCCGGTCTCCTCGTTCTCCTCGATCGCGACCGCCTGGAACGTAGATGTCACGCTCTCGGCGCGGTGGTGGGGACCTCCGTCTCCTGTCCTTGTCAGCGCCAGCTTCCCTCCCCTCTAGACGTTGTGCGTACGGTGGTGATCGCGAATCGCGGCGTGGAGGTCCACGGTCGAAATCTCTGCCCCTGCCCCTGCCTCTGCCTCCGCGGTCACCACCACGGTCTCCGCCGCGGAATCCACCACCGCGTCCACGGTCAAACCGGTCGGGTCGGTCAGACCGCTCGCTGCGTCGGAATGAATCGACCATATCACTTTGCTCCTTCTCCTCGCGACGACGCGACTCGGCAGCAGCTTTGGTGGCCTATTGCTTGGTGTCAGTCAAGCTTGCAATCTGTAGCCTCGATATCTCCCACCTGTTCTTGCTGCAGCTCGAGCTTCTTCGCCTCCAGCAATTCTCTGGGTACCCCCATTGGACTGTCCTGCGCACTCAGCATCAGGTCCCACAGCTCCTTGCAGAATGCGGCCGTGTCCTTGTTCAAGAAGCCCGTAAGCTGGATTTGTATTTCTTTGATTTTGGGCTGGCGAGGTCAGTCCACGTAAGAGCGCATAGCGAGAGGGGTCTACCAACAAATTGGTTCTGCTCGATGAGGTTGTAGCATGTCTCTACTACGACATCGTCTTCGTCGCCGAGGATGGTCGTCATCTTGTTTGCGATCCACTTCTTCATCAAGTCAATATTGACCTTTTCAATGTCGACTTGCTTATCGAACTCTGGTGGAAATTTGGTCGCCCTCAGGCGTTTTTGGTCGACGCTCATTGCCATGCTTGCGGTGCGACTGCGAGTGTGCGAATGCGGATAGCTGAGTGTACGAGCTGTCAAGGGAGAGAAGCAAGCTGGAGCTCGTATTGACACACGCCTTGGCGCTCGGCGGAGTATCTTTCCGGATTACGTCATCATCAACTATCACTTCCACAGCTGCTCCAGACACCTCCTACGACCATCAATCTTGGGTACTTTTCCTGGGGAAGAGCTACATCACAGTTGGAATTCAGCTGAAATGACTCTCACAATGTTCAAATCGATACATCGAGCGCTAACTCTTGCGACGCTAACAACTTTTTGAGAATGGAAAGTCTACACCATGAAGATGACTGAGGAAAGACTGATACTCAATGTCTGTCTCTGATGTCGTTTCCCAATTAAGTCGGATCAGACTACCCATGTCACGTAGGTCCTGCTTTCCTTTTAGTCACAACTTCTTCTTTTCACTACTTTCTCGAGTCGCAACTTCTCCTTAAGTCTCAGCCACGCAACACAAGAAGTAAGTCTGAACGATTGATACATTGGAAACCTCTCGCTATCTCCACCACCACCACCACCACTACGTCTCTCTCCTACCACTCACCCTTCATCAACCATTCTTACGTACCATTTCTCATTCGGCTCTGGTTTGCCTAAACTTCTTCCATCATGTCCGACGCACCGGCTTCCACAGCACCAGAGGCAGTGCCCGAGACAGTAGATGAAGGAGCAGTGCCTCCAGCAGAGCCCGAGCCTCAACCGCCATTGAAGCCTGAGCCTGAAGCAACTGAAGATCCTCCCCCAGCCCAAGACCCTGGACTAGCTTCTACACCTGCCGAACTTGAGCCTTTACAGGAGGTCCCACCCGAGCCAGCAGTCGAGCCGGAACCTGAGCCGACACAAGTAGCACCCCCCGGGCCAGCTGCCGAGCCGGCTGTCGGACCAACTCCCGGACCGGAACCTGTACCGGAGCAGCCTGTTGTGCCAATTGTACCAGATGTACCATTTGTACCATTTGTGCTAGTTCAGCCTGTAGCTGAGCCTGAAGCGGCACCCGAACCCGCACCTGCACCCGAACCCGAACCCGAACCTGCACCCGTACCCGAGCCTGCACCCGCACTCGAACCTACACCAGACGCAGCCTCCGAAGCAGAGCCCGAGAAACCCAAACTGGAGCCTATTGCCGAGGAGCCTGTTGTGCCAGTCCAGCCTCCAGCTGAGCTTGTTGAACCAGGTCCTGAGAAGCCAGGGCCTACGTAAGTGTTCCGAAGTACCTCGAACTCACGGTTTGCTAACACGAATAAGACCCTCTGTAATCACCAAAGCAACCACAGCAAGTCGTCTACAAGCCAAGAAGAACAGCTTCAAAGACGCTGTACTTGCGAGGTTCGCGTGTCCGAAGGAAGTGGTGCCCCTGGTTGCGCACCTTGCTCGTCAGAAGAAGAAGGGCACTGATATCAAGCCGTTGGTGGACGCTGCCTTGTTGGATCTTGGGGTGTAGATGTTGATGGAAGCGATGTGGATATTACGAATCCCTTTGGCCGTGTTGTCACCCTAGTCGATTTCTCCTATACTCATGTAGGACCTGTTGCATCTCTATCCACCCTGTTCACGTATAGCATGATAACACACTTTAATGATTCGTCTTGATTTCATTTCGTCCTACTCACTCACTTTCGCGATTCAAGTTTCCATGATCCACTGCCTTCTTCCAATGACGTCCAGCCTTCCTCGACTTCCCCTTCCAATCATAACCTCGTCGCGATGGTGTGTTATTTTTGCACTACTGCTCAGGAGAAAGGCAGTTCCAGCCGACTTCGACTCTCGCAATCTTAACACGAGAGAAACGTGGGATAGGTTTGAGGTGCCATCTCTTCGTCGCTTGCTGGATGCGTATACCCAAAGAGTTGGAGTCGAGTAGCGAGCAATACCACATACAGGGGGTGGTAAACCAGATGGTATCCCTCTTGGAGTTTCCACATCCCAACCGTTGTAGACTTGCAGTCCCTATCCTCAGCATGGCGCAGCATCTCCCCAGTTCCAGAGGCCATCATATACGCAAGTCTCATCTCAGCACGATGTTTCTTTCTCCCCAACGAAACACACCACCCAGCCCCCATAGCCCCACACACTCTTCCTCACATCACATATCCACATAACACCCATCCTCCGCAACCCACGAATCTACAAACAACCCTCCATCCCCCCTCCATCACCACCCAGCAACCCTCTCAACCCCGCGCCTCGCCTCCTCCAACCCCCGCGCCAACTCCCCCCTCCGATGCGCCTCGCGAACCTCGTAGTGCAACCGCACCAGATCCTTCGCGCGCGTCAAATCCGCATCGTCTTCAGCGAGCGTCGAGGGGTTCTGCGGTGCCGCGGACGCGGATGTGGAGGCGGAGGGAGAAGGTGGACGGGCTGATACGAGGGCGAGGGCTGCTGTTGGGTCCTGTGGGGGTGTTAGTTGGCAGGGAGGACAGTGGGTGGGAAAGCGAGGGAGACGGACACAGACGCGCAGCGAGACGAGATCGGAGAGGATTTCTGCTAGTTGCATTGTTGTTGTTGTAGGCGTTGTTTTTGTTGTGGGTTCTGATAGCATGACGATGCACTTTCTTGGTCGGCGGGCGTAAACGTTTACCCTTGGAGTTTGCGAATGCGGTACGTCACTCCGCACCGGAGCCAGCACGGCCTCATCCAGACCACGACCTCCGCGCTCGCTCGGCAGCCCCGTCCCGAGTCCGGCTAGGAACGGAACCTTTCCCACGACGGAACGTGTCGTGTGCTGGACGCGTTTTTGTTTTCTCCCTTCTATTGTTATTTCTTGGACTCGGAATATTACCTACTACGCAGAAAAAAGTGAGATATGGCGGGTGTTCAGGCTATCCGCGCGAATTGCCGCAAGGTATGTGGTGTTGGGTGTTTCTTTCCTGTCTGATAGAAGATCCATGTTGGGGGTTGTACGAAGATGGGGAAGAGGCGATGTGAAATGAAGAGTTGCATGTTTGTAGAAGAGATGGTCGAGCAAAGGGAAAGGAGATGCATTGACGTGCTATGCGTGTTCATCCGTCTGGGTAGCCGCTTTTTACCAATTTCCTGATATGCTGGATGGGGCATGGAATCTGGCTTTCAGAGTTGATTTGTTTAAACCGGAGCGTTTTCTCTCTTCGAGATGTCTGGCATTCAAGATTATACCCAGAACATTCGCTGATAATTCTCTCCTAGATCATGTGCATAGGCAGAAACTATGCGTGCGCTCTCCCTTCCTTTCTCCCTTTATCTCCCCCACGACTGACAATTCTCCAGCGACCACGTAAAAGAGCTCAACAACAAAGCCCCCAAACAACCCTTCTTCTTCCTCAAGCCCCCCTCTTCCATTTTACTTCCAGGAGCTGGCCCCGTCCTACGCCCTCGCGGGGTAAACCTGCACTATGAGGTCGAGCTCGGTCTGATCATGGGCAAAACGGTGCGAGATCTGGATCCTGAGGACACAAAGGGAGCATTAGATGCTATTGAAGGTATGACTATCTCATCATTGATACTACTTTACCCATGCCCACCTTCTACATAAACCTATATACTAAACATATCTACAGGCTACGTTCTAGCAATTGATATGACGGGCCGCAACGTGCAAGACGAAGCGAAAAAGAAGGGCCTCCCGTGGTCCATAGCAAAAGGCTTCGACACCTTCCTCCCCATCTCCAACCTGATTGCAAAATCCCGCATCCCCAATCCTCAAAACGCCCACCTCTGGCTCTCTGTGAACGGCGAGATGAAACAGTCCGATAACACCGAATTGATGCTCTTCCGAATTCCAAGACAGTTGAGCGATATTAGCCGGGTAATGACGCTCGAAAAGGGCGATATTGTGCTGACGGGTACACCAAAAGGTGTTGGATCGGTTACAACCGGGGATGTGATGAAGGCGGGTTTGAAGGTCGATGGAAAGGATATTGAGGAGGCGAATCTGGAGGTGCCCGTTGAGGATCGTGAGGGGTCTTATGAGTTCCGCGAGACCTAGTCGAATTGCTACCGATAGACCGGCGATGCGTGATGCAATCAATCAAATAACTTGTCCCTTTGCTTGCATTTCAAGAAACGTTTGCAGGTCTGGAACGCCGGACGTTGGCCCAGGAAGTCCGAATGGTCCGCTCGTGGTACTCGGTCCGGCAGCCGATGGATTGGGCGTGAATGAAGGTGCAATATGAGGCTGTCGAGTTGCCAAAGACATAGCGTGACCCATGTTCGTATTTGATTGAGGAGCCTGCCTCTTCAGAACGACCGGTTGCGTGGGCACAACCAGTTGGGTATCTTCACCCGGCGGCCGATCGTATGCACATTGTATCGATCGCTTTGTACACTGACTGCACGCCGGTCGGCCTCGGTCGCATTTCTGCTTTCGCTGACGACACGCAAGACAGGTTCCAGGCGGTCGGTTTGATCGAGACTTCGGTGCCACTGGTGCTTTTCGAGGCACGCTTTTCTTTGACTTTGTGACTGAAGGCTGGGGTTGACTGTTCTGGCCACGATCAACCGGAGGGTTTGCCTGTTGTTGTGCTGGAGGAACGCCAGCCCGTCTCTTTCGTTCTGCAGTTGTGTTCATAACTTCTACTTCAGAATCATGTATGTTCTCTTTCGAGGCCGGGACTACATGCTGCTGAAGGCTACTCTCACCAGGTTGGTGTCGAGTGCGCAATACTCGCTGAGATGGCGTAGCTTCGAGAGGCCGTTTCCGCTTTCCAAGGTTCGCATTACCGACTAGTTGTGTTTCGGGAAGAAGTTTGTTGACATGAGAGCGTGGTTTCGGCTGAAGTGGGCGCGCTCCGACTTGTTCCTGTTCGCCTGCTCGAGGTATACGGGCATCGTATATCGAAGGTCTTCTCATCATGTTCAGTCTGGCAGACTTGGCTTGCCTACCTTTAGAAGGCGATGATGATACCAGCACTGCGTCCGAACTGTTGTCGTGGTTAGTAGTATCAACATGGTGAAGTGACATGGACCACTCACTTTGAAGTGATGCTCGAGCTTCGTGGTACTTGGATACGCCCTCTACCTGGAGAATTGAGGTCCTCGTCTTCTGTCTCCGACTCCGCGGTCATGCGGCGCTTCTGAGAAGCTGCTTTCTTTGATCGTGGTGAAGCTCTACTGGAGCGCCGGGAGCGATTGTCATGTAGTTGAACCTCCCTTGGCCACACGATGGTCTTACTCAAAGTATCCGGACGGCCAACAACCCTCTGCAACTCCTTATCCCTGGCTGCGTAGCCGTGGCACAACATCCTCAAATCCAGGATTTCCTTCTCCATCGCCTTGATCCGATTGCTTTGTCCTCTCCTGTCAATCTCGAGGTCGTCCAGATGCCGAAAGACGCTGCGAAGATCCTTGGACATATCTCGAGCTGTGTCAAGGCTGTCTGTAGCATTCAAGAACCGGTTTTCCAGTTCGGTCAACTTCGTTCGGACATCCTTGTTCCTGTCTGCGAACATCTTGAGCTGCGTGATCTCTTCGCCAACCCACTTATCAAACGGTCGGTCAGTGTCGTCTTCTTCCATAGCCACGAGCTTCTGTTCTATTCGCTGCACACGGGCCGTGGCAGCCTCCGCAGCTTCCGCCGTGATCTCGGCGGCTTGTATGCGGGCGTCATATGCTTCGTGTTGGCGCTGGAGCTCTTTCATCTGAGGAACAATGAACTCGAGATTTCGCTTGATCTCTTTGCCCCAGAGCAGGGCCTCGGCGGCAGCGAAAGGCATTCTGTCAGACTCGGTGGTTGAACGTCCAGGATTGGACTTGCGTGGCGAGCCTTGCTGGCTCATGGCTGCGGTAGTAGCAGTCAGCTGTAAAGTGAGTGCTACAGTGTCAGACTTCGGGTGACCAGCAAATGTCGAAGCAGCGAACGACGCTAGGAATAACAAGAGCGAGGTGTGGTGCAATGAGACGAGTGAATTGGAAGCAAGACAACAAGGTGAGATGCACAGGCGGTGTAAACCAGCGAACGGCGGTGAGAAAGGGCAAAAGTTACGGTTCGTGTGATAGAATCTTGTCGGGGTTTTATGTCGCTGGGTTAGGGAAGCACGATAATGGGCGCACCTTCCTTTCTCGACCAACCGCTGTGACCTCGCGCATGGACTAGCAATAATGCCAGCACTGCATCACTAAGAACGATATTCGAGACCAAGTGAGGGCAGCATTATATCAACACTCATGGTTACCTCCCCAGTCATGCATGCGGTAGTCTTGGGTGCACTGGAGCGTGTGAGCCACAAGCATGCAACAGCAAAACCACCAGCACGAGCAACAGCAGAACGAAGTTGAAAACCTTTCTTATTTCTTATTACCTACTGGGTACTTTCACGTCTGATTCAACTCAAACAGCCCGCTTCGGTCCTTTCGGTGCGTCTAAAACCTCATCTCTCTTCATGATTCTGATCTTTGTGTCTTTCTTTACATCTTCCACATCCGTCGCATCCTCATTCTCCTTAGGCCGCTCCGCAATGCTCTTATCGTAGCTGCTGGGGTCAATACCGAGGATACCACCAACATTGTTGCGGTCACCTGGGACGGAGAACTCGCGGAATGCATATCGCCACTCGTTCAGGAAGCCGCGAATTGCCTTCCCGACCTTGTCTTTACCATTCTTGGAGTGGTGACCAGTTCCAGTGATGGCGTAGACGGGGCGAGAGTGGGAGCTGTGCTTTAGGAGAATGCTCTCAAGATAGGATACTGATTCATCTGGGTGAAGCCCTGAAATCAACGTTAGTAGTTGGCTCTGTGAGAAAGGCGGAAGATGGAGTCAGCGTACCGTGAAGATCAACATACAGCTCCTTGGAGCCATCGCCGACTTTATTTCGTTCTTCATATAGAACGCGGGCAGCTTCCCGATGTGCCTCGCGCATGAGGTTGTTCTCACTCTGCCCTCTAAGACTAAGGGCTTTAGCGGCGCGCGAGTCACTACGGTTCCAGGCTTGAGCGGCACTGAATAAGGTTAGCATTGCATCGAGTACACATTTCAATTCAGGTCATACCTCTGCAGGAACTTGTTCCTCAGACTGCCATGTTTAAAGGCTTCAGCACGAGCTTTGAGATACGCCTGGTTGCCCTGCTGGCCGGTCTCCAACCACGGAATATGTTGAGGTGCAGGAATTGCTTGCGCAGCCGTACTGTTCTCACGAGATCCATTAAAGCTCTTAGTTGGCTTCAACCCCTTGCGTACGGGAGTTACAGGGTTCGGAGAAGGTGACATGCGTACGACATCTGCAAGATTGTTCGGACTTGGCATGTCTTTGGTGTGGCTGTGTCCACCTCGCTTGCCGTGATGTCGCTTTCCAGCCTTCGCAGCAGAACCTAAGCTCGGAAACGCATCGTTATCGTCTACTGCAAGTACGGATGGCGTAGGAGCACGAGATTGCTGACGGCTGCTGGTTCGAGATTGTGGACGACTGAGGCTTCCAGGGGTAAAGACCGGATAAGGACTCAGACCAGGTGGAGGGCGTGTCGCGGTACTCGAAGTCAATCCGTAGAGCTGCTCAAGGGAGATTTCCGCTGTAGAGAGTTGGGGTGTGCCGAAAGGGGAACCGTTGGCCTGGAGGGTGGGAAATTCGTAGTCTGTCATTTGGAAGTTCGGAACGTTCGCGCGCAAAGGTGGCGTGGATACGTCTGAGATGGCCATACGAGCCATGAGGGAGGACGGGTCATGGGAAAACAAGCATGTGTCGCCGGCAAGGCAATTGCCGTTCAAGAAGTATCTACGAATCAAAGTCAATATCTCACAGAGTCTGTCGATGGACGTGAGAACTCACTTGCAGAGTGTCTTGCTGGTGTCATGGCTGAATCTGCAATCGGCTCTCGCACAATGTCCCGTGGACAGGAAGTACTTGCACACGATGTTGCTCTTCTGCTGGCCAGCAGGCGTGGCAGGTCTGAATGCAGGACTCATGGATTTTCCGATGACGTACCCGGTCTGGTCTGGGCTGGAAGTGGAGAGTTGCTGCCCTTCGAACTGTTGGCCCATCAAGGCAAGCAGGGCAGCACTCAGATCATAGCCATTGGCTTCGAGGACCTTTTCGATATCCTCATCTGTTCGGTCGTCCCTCAGGATAGAGCGGAGCATGTCATAGGGGCCCATGTCCATGGTCTGGGGCTGGATCCATTCCGCCGCGCCGCCATTGAGGGTGCCGTCGCCGAGCAGAGACGACTCGGTGCTCCCAGATTCATCGTTCACCAGCCAGTCTACAGACTGGCCATCAAGGTCTCCATACAGATCTGCGCTCGGACTGACGCCTTCACTGAATTGGTACGCGCTCAGGCTGGGGCTGTGGGGGATGTGCGGGCTGGAAAAAGCAAGGCGTGGAGAGGGGCGCGGCGAGGTAAAGGGGGAAGCGTTGTGGGACTTTGTGCGCGTGAAGCTGGGAGGGGCAATGCCGAAGCCTGGTGGAGCATGCACCATGCGCGGGGACTGGTTCACAGGGGTCGGGGCGCGGCTGGTGTGCCACGGCGCGGGCGAGGGACGGCGGATGATGGTATGGCGGCTGGGGGGCGGCGAGCTCGACGAGTTGCCGGCATCGCGGTAGCGCCAGAGACAGTCCAGGACGACGTTCTCCAGCGACTTCCCCACGAGGCCCGTCTCGGTGCGCAGCAGCTCCTCGAGCCTGTCCGTCTTGTCCTCATCGTCCAGGGCGTCGTTCTGCAGCACGGGCAGCGCCTTGTCGTACAGCGTGTCGGCGACCATGCTTGCGCCAGCAGGTCCAGGGGACAGCGGGTGTGGTGGGTGATGGGGGCGGTCGAGGGCACGGAGAAGCCGGAGCCCAGGGGGTTACTGGGCGGATCAGGGCCGTGGAAGGTTGCAGACGGGGCCCGGCGCGTCAGCGAGTGCAGCGGCAGTGAAGGGCAATGGTCCCGCAGCTCTCTGCGAGACACTCCAACCGCGCCAGAAGGAGAGGATGGGCGGTGGCTTGGCTGGTCGCGCTGGATGAAGCTCGGGAGGGAGCGCTACCTAGCCCTATGCAGAGCGGAAGTGTGGGGGATGCGGGACGTGCAGGCGGTTACCAGGAAACAGGAGATCAACCACGCTTTCACTTCAGCAGCGCTACATTGCTGCCGGGGCTTGGAAGAGGGTCCTGTGCGTCTCGCTGTGTGTGTTTGCTGGCGGCGGCGATGGCGCAAGACAAACCGCGGATATCCCCTAACGACGGTCTTGCTCACCGTATCTTGTATATGTATGCATCAGTTACCATGCCGCTGGGCGCTACCATGAGAGGCGGTGTCACGTGCTGACCTGTATGACGCCTGCAGGGTGACGCAGACTGCGTATCAGCTTGAATTGATTGTTCATGAAGCTCTCACAGCTCCCGTCTACTCGTGTGCCCAAGAGTCAATCGAGCACTGACGTGAAACCGAGCCAAACCTTATCGACGCTGCCTGCTGACGTTCCATCCCGTCTCATCTCATCTGATCGTCCGTATCGGCGGTGCATCGTTCCGCCGACGTAGCTCGGTAGGCAATGACGAATGACGATGAAACTAAGATCTCGAACATTCCCACCCACTCGTTGCTTCGCCCGTCTTACGGCATGACCCTCTGCAACTGCAGCAGCTGAACGACCTCTCGACATTCTCCGAGCCACACAACGACCATCTCCATCCTTCCGCACCTCTCCGGCGCCGTCCGAGCACCCTCTGTACACTGGCACCATGCCAGCGTCTGACTACAACGCCCGCGCCCTCGCGCTGCCCATCGACGACGAGGAAAGAGGTCCAGCGCCATCATGGAGTCGCCGTTCAACCACGGCATCCTTTGCGCGCAACTCCAGCGCATCCCAGCGGGGCCGCTCCTCTATGCGACATCGCGTCATGGACAGCTACTCCAAGCTGAGCCGGCGCGTGACGGGCCAGTACAACAAGCTGTCTCCGACGCAGAAAGTCCTGGTTGTTGTAGGAGGCATCACTGCAGTCGTGTTGGGGATACTGTTCATGATCTTCAATGAGCGCATCTTTGGGAAACTGCTGCCTGTTGCGAAGAGGTGGAGGGACGTTCGGGGTGGCTGGCTGGTGCTGTGGGGGTTGATATTCACCGTCTCCTTCCCGCCACTTATCGGCTACTCGAGTCTGCTCACCATCGCGGGATTCGTCTATGGCTTTCCAAATGGGTATGTCTACATCCTCCACTACATCAAATACACTGACTGACGATGCATCAGCTGGTTCATAGCCGCCTCTGCCACCATCGTCGGCTCCACAACCTCCTTCCTCCTCTCGCGCTCTATCCTCAAGAACTACGTCGACCGCCTAATCGCAAACGACACGCGCTTCGCCGCCCTTTCCCTCACCCTCAAACACGATGGCCTCAAGCTCCTCGTCATGATCCGCATGTGCCCGCTTCCCTACTCCCTCTCCAACGGCGCCATCGCCACCTTTCCAACCGTACACTGGGCCTCATTCGCTCTAGCAACCGCCATGGTATCTCCCAAACTCATGCTGCACGTCTTCATCGGCTCGCAGCTTGAGAAAATCGCCGAGAGCGGCGGCAAGATGGATCCGCGTACCAAGGCACTGAGCTACGTGAGCATCGCGATTGGAGCCGTGGCAGGTGTCGCGACGGGGTGGCTCATGTACCGCAAGACGAAGCAGCGGGCGCGGGAGCTCGAGGAAGAAGAGCGCCAAGGGGCTAGACGGGCGAGTGTTGATGAGTTGGAGGATGAATACTCGGATGATCCTGCGGCGCTCGAGGCTGCAGAGATGCTGAGGGAGGAGGATGACGACATTAGCTTGAGGACGGCCTGGGATGATGAGTACCGTGATGAGCCGGAGACGGGCGACGCGCTGGAGATTGGAAGCGATCCGTTTAGTGATGGAGATGGGACCGACGAGCAAGATCGAAGAGGGAGAAAGTAGACCCTGCCCTTGCAACATTTAGACGTCCGCTATTGCTAGATTTGGATAGAATAGATTCGTGTCATTGCTTCAAACCACGCGGCATTTCAGAATCCCCCCATACAGACCATCGCCTCTCTTACTTCTCCATCCACTCCACCCCAGATTACACCGTCTCCCCAAACACCCCCGCACTCTCATGCCCCCCAACCCTCAGAAAAATCTTCATACTCTCCAGCACCTGCTCCTTCAAATCCGGGCGCGTAACATTCTGCCCCGGAAACCCACCATACGTAGTCTCAAACGCAAACGGCTTGAGCGCCTTCCAAATGCCGTGAATCTTCGCCGGCGGCAGGGGAATCATATTCGGGTACGACCACATGAAGGAGAACGACGTCGTGCCGGGGAGGCGATCCTGGTGGTAGAAGCCAGACTGCACATGGTATGTTAGCTGGGAAGCATTCTGGGGGTAGGAGTGGAAGAAGAGACATAGCGTACCGGAACCGACATCATGGTATCGGCGATGAAGAGCTTCTTCTCCCAGTGCAGGAATAACGACCCGTCGAAATGGCCGCCGGCTTGGATCGCTGTCACGCCCGGCATAATCTCAGTCACGCCTTGGATTAGTTTCCGTACGCCCTCGTTGTCCGCGCGGTTCAGCCACGTCTCGTCGTCTAGACTGGTGTACACGGGACACGCGAATATGCGCGCCCACTCTAGATGCGTCGTGTAGAAGTGCGGGTGCGAAATGACAATCGCCTTCAGTCCCCCCTTTTCCTTGATGAACTGCACAGTCGCTTCGTCGATGAACGCAATGAGGTCCCATAGTACGTTTCCGCCGTCGGTCTGGAGCAGGATCGCGCGCTCTCCGATGCCGAGCTGCTTGCGCGTTGTCGTCGAGTCGGAGAGGCCTGGGGGTAGGGATGCGGGCGTCACGGCCGATGTGGTGATGTAGTGGATGCGCGGGTCGAGAGGGTCGGTTCCGAATTCGTTCTTCTGCGTGGGCGACGAGGCAGCGAGACTAGTCCATGATTGTCCCGCGGCGGGGACGTATTGGCGCGGGTCCTGGGGAGTTGTTCAGCTGCGTTGTTGGAGGGCGGCGTGATGTCATACATCGCATATGCGACAGCTGGGTGGTGGGGAGGAGAGCGGGACGTCGTATTGCGTGCCGCAGGTTGTGCAGATTGCTAGGTCGCCGGAGGAGAAGTTCATGGTGGGCGGTGTTGTGTTTGTAGAGAGTTTGCAAGTGTAGGGTGTGGTTTCATGGTGTTGATGTTGTGCATGTAGAAGAGTGGGGGTGGAGAGGGGAGCTCAGCTCAGGAGCTCTCCCAGAATGGATAGCTCAATTCGTGTGCAAGGCTCGCAGAGATGACTAGGAAGATGTGAAATGTATGAGATAAGTGTGAGAAATAGACAGTCTTGGAATATGTGCCCGTGTTGATTGGAGTATAGCCATGATGTCTATCCGCGCAAATCTAAAGACGACGTTGAAGTGATTCTCATACTAGACCCAATCTCTCTCTACCTCGTTCATATGAGATAAGGCGACTATAGAGTGCCTCCGAGAATCCATATCTCGCCGTTGGACACCTTATCGGCGATGCTCGTGACTTCCACGTCACCGGGCTGGATCTGTTCTTGTTGTCAGCTCACTGCAGGTAGAGCAGCACTTGATAAAAAAAGATGAACGACGAAACAAGAAGAACAATCTCAGACAGACGGGAAGTGGTGGGGCGGAGTCTAAGCGAGCCACATGGCCGTAGTGCAGCCCCACCCAACAACCGCCAAAAAATGACCGCCGAAACGCGCCAAACTCGCAAAAAAAGAACCTGGACGACCTGCTCGACGAACAGACGAATATTGATGAGAGTGGGACTTGAACCCACGCCACTTTCGTGACCAGGAAACTGATTGCTCAGCGTGCTAAGGGGAAGACCTTAACCTGGCGCCATAACCAACTCGGCCATCTCACCATGTGATTGATTTGATGGAAGAATGAGGCGCGCAGTCGAATATGAAGGCAGCTGGGTTGGCAGAAAGAGGATGAGGAAAGGGAAATCGCTCGTGTTGGTGGGGACGAGGTTCCACTGCGCTATGCAGGATGCTCTCTGGCTTACCTTCTTTTGGCCGTCTTTGCTCTCCCACCAAATCTCGTTGCCGTCCAGCGTTTTGACTTTCTTGCCCTCCTCCCACGGGCTTTCGAGGACGAGGTGTCTCTGCACGAAGCGCTTGAGATTGTTTCTGGCCCTGTTTTCGCCATCACTTCCGCCGTACGCCTCTGCGCCAAAGGATTTGTAATCTTCGGCGTCTTCCCAGGGCTTCCTCTTCAGCCCGCGCATCACGCTGTTGTCTGGGGCGAGCACCGTCGCGTTCTTTGTACCATCGTCCAGGCGGTCAGATACCGTGTCGATGTCGCGCGTAAGCCCGCTGAAGATGGCGATGCGCTGGAGGCTCCCAATAACATCAGATATGATGACGCCGGTGGACACTTCGCCTGCGGGAGGCATGATGTAGTCTGTCAGTGGCGACTGTTCGCGGAGCACGTTGAAGGACTCCAAGATGCTGTCAAAGGGTCGGGACTCCGCAGAGCTGGCGTAGATCAGGCAGATGCTGGCGATCGAGTATGCGATTCTCATGATTGTTCAGGGTCCACGTAGGTATGTGGGTTGTCAATAGATACGTCCGGAGGGGCTCACGCGTCATCTGCCGCGGGATAGCCAAGACTTGGTCGCGTGAATGATCGGCAGCTATGATCTGAGCTTCGCGAACTTGAGCTTTTACACTCACTCCATGCATTTACAAAACTGAACCGCGCGCCCTCACGGGCTGTTCAGCTTCAATCTAAACAGACTGCTACTACTACCATGACACTGCAAGTACCTACTATCACTGTCGTAAGTTGATCGTTACCAGGCTTATGGTGGGACGCTAACATCTCAGGACGACCTTCACGCGTTCCATGCGAAACATTTTCCTAACGCGTCAACGCCGGAGCAACTCCTCCATGGCGTCGAGGCTGAAGCGTTTGAAGAGCTTTACGATGAGGAAGATGCGTTAGGCTACTACCCAGACGGGACGAAGCGCACCCTCACCGACGAACAAATTGCCATGTTTCGACACTCGGAGATACAGGCCATTATTCGCGAACGCAGACGGCGACGAGATAACGGTGACGCATCTGAAGAGGGGGAAGCTGCATCTAGCCCACCTGCCATGGATTCAGGCTCGTCTTGCATCGACCCAGTTGCGTCTGGAACTACTGCTTCAGCGCAATCTGTCGCTCTCGAGAAAACAGACAGAGTCCGGTCAGGCCGCGTAGAGAAGCCCAAGGGCCAGCAATGGGCGACGAGCAGTACAAGAACGAAGACCAGGAACAAGAAGCACAGAAACAAGTACAAGCTCAAGAAGAAAGCAGAGAGGGACGAGAGAGAGCAGAAAAGGAACAATCGCGAGCACGGAGACGGTGGCGATGAGAGCGACGAGTGGGATCCTTGGCATCAGGCGAATGGGCCAGACGTGCAGAAAGATGACACGGTCGCCCTCGACTATTGAGGCTCACGATGAGTACAAGTCCTTGATAATGTACAGCTCGAAGACGCGTCACAATGTTGCTCTTTCGACCAGCTGTCTGGGGGGGTTCCAAGGTCTTCTCAGAACGTTCACACAATTTTCGGTTGGCTTCACGTACGTCTTCCCATCTCTTTTTCTTAACAGCATGCAATGATGAAAATCAGTTATCGTCATCCTTAGGCAGAGACAGCCGGGCTTGAGACGAAGTTGAAAGACTGCTTGCAGCCTGATTCTTCGATTCGTCTGTGCTGTCCATGATGAGTTTACAATCTTCTCTCTGACTGCATGCTCTCACTCTATACCGCGTCTTAGCCCACTGTTCGCGAATCCGTGCTGACGTGATAGACAGAACTCTACTCAAAGTGCAAGACCATGGCTTTCTCTCCCAGTCTATTGTTAGACGTACGGATATGTCGGTGATGGGGGAGCGCATGCGATGACGATAAGTAAGGAAGTTGCTTGCAGAGGTAGTATGAAGAAATTCAGAATCTTGGTATCATCGAGCTTAGCCTAAAGATATGTTACGAATAATATGGACGTCATTCGTGAGTGGTACTTGGTGTGTTAAAAAAAAGGTAGTTAGTGAAGGTAATAGCTAAATGTCTTTAACGAAACATTTACTTAGATTGACTGCTGTATAGTCGCTAGGCTGTTATGCTCTTCACCTCCTCAATCCCTCTCACCGCCGACGAAGATAGTCTCTCACCATCACCGCTAAACTCACCTTCACCAGTACGACTATGATATAAAAGCGTTCTGCTCCCTAATCTTTCTTCTCTTCCAACTCACAACTCTTCAACTCCTTGTTACCGATTTTATCGACGCGCGATCATGGCGCCCCGAAAAGAAGCCATTGACGAGAAGTCAAAGAAGAACTCTGCCGCGAAGAAGACTGAGAACCGAGTCGTAAAGAGGCCAGCCAGAGGGTACCACAAGTTCAAGAATGGGATGCTGAATGTAACGCCTAAAGGTGGCGAGAAGGAGCTGTGCGCTTTTCTCTACCTCTACAAAGCGACCGCTAACACAGTACAGAGTCAAGAACAACCAGAATTCCCCGCTTCTACGCCTCGCACCTGAGATCCGCAACCGCATCTGGACATTCGTGCTTGGGGGCATGCTGTTCCGGCCGTTGTTTTCGGGGCGTAGTTATAAGAAGATGCGTCCGTCCAACATTGACCGAAACGATGGCCTCACTCTACTTCGTACCTGCAGACAGATATACCATGAGACTGCCCTACTCCCTTTCAGATCTAACTTCTTCATTTTCTCGGCCGTTAGCCTATGGGGTTCAAAGCTCAATATGTTCAGAATGCTCAGAGGGTATCAGCTGCAGCAAATCACCTCTATCAAGCTGGAAATCGACTCCTTCACGGGTGTGAATCTCCACACTCTGCAACTTGTCTTTGATGGTTGCTCTAGACGATCACACGCATCCATGTCCCAAGCTTTGCCAGGGTTGAAACACATTCATATATGTGTTTTCAATCCTCCCGGTTTGAGCGAGTCAGTCTTAGAAGATTACAAGAATCGTAGACTTGAGCAGATCAAGCAGATCAAGCAGTTCTTTTCCGGCAGAAATTTGGACATTTCAGTCGAGGTAATCAACACTCATTGGTCTACCTACGATGCTCTGTAAGCTAGTAACATGAATAATATCTCCCAGATATGTACTAAACAATCACAGATGGTCATAGGTGGACCTCTAGGCGATACGGGAGAACACGGTTTCTCATGAGGGACAACTTTTGGCCTTGAGACCCCACAATCTTTGGCAGACACTCCAGACATGCATACAGATGAGTGGGTTTTCCCACGAGCAACAACCATGTCGATGTGGCACAGTTGGGAGCTTGATGACAATTGGCTGCCTGATACTCCCAGGACCGGCTCTTTTCTAGGAGGCTGCCGGACGGATTTCCATGGAAGATTTATTAGTAGTTGCTTTGGAGGAACAGAACAAAAAGACCTCGATCTTCGTCCAGAAAATTATAAGACAGAATGGTACCACCCTCGACTTTAGGCCATTCATATGCCATGATAGTTTCCTAAGATGCTGCTTTATACATTCAGAAACCTATGGAAATCACCACATTGCCTCGGTGTTCGCATAACCTGGGTGCCCACAAGCGATTTTGTATCATCTGTGTAAGATATCACATCAGGTGTCAAGTCAGTCCAACCCATGCTATGCAAACGTTGTTTACCATCTAGTCAGGTCATGTGTCTCTCATCCGAGCGGATGCCCTAGTTCATCACTCTCCCCGTTCCTTCATGTCCCTTCTAAGCCGCCTTCATTTTCCTTTCACTTTCCTTTCACTTCACTTTTGCCATCGTGCACGGCCCGTTTCAACATGGATTTCTTTCTTAGTGCGTAGGTATCGCTCTATCCGTTTCTTCCCCACTTCCACCTCACTTCAGCCCAACTTGAGCAACATCGACACTATGGCTCCACGCAAGCCAGCCAAAACAAAGAACCTGAAGCCAGCAAAGACTGGCGACGCCGGAGTCGTCAAGCCAAAGCGCAATGCCCGAGGCTATCATCGCTTTCGATCTGGCATGTTGAATATGACGCCCAAGGACGGAGAGAAAGAACTGTAAGTACTCTGCATGCTTGTTCACGGCCTTGAGCCAACGGGTTAGCCGCTTTAATCTACGAACAGCTAACAAGATATCATAGGGTGAGAATCAACCAAAACTCGCCGCTCCTACGCCTCCCTCCTGAGATCCGCAATCATATCTGGGAATATGCTGTTGGAGGTTACACCGTCCAAGGACTCTACGGAGCCTCGCCTGGCCATCATCACAGGCCCAGCCTTAAAGTATTTGAGCGCACGGATGGTCTGGCACTTCTACGCACTTGTCGCCAAGTGTTTGCGGAGACCGCTCTTGTTCCTTGGGCAGCAAGTTTGTTCGCTTTTAACCATCCTTTGACTATGCGTCAGGTGATGAAAAAGCTTAAAGGTTATCAACGCAAGAGTATTACCATGCTTCGGCTCGACGTTCATTCGCCTAATCAGATTCCATGGTGGAATCCCTTGAGGAATCCACGTCGTTTTCTAACTCAGGGTCAACTCACTGGTGTAAAGCATGTTCATTTACGTGTCTTCAGATGCCATCGAGTCATAGACTATTCAGTGACTCCTGTGCTGGAGAACCTTCGAGCTTTTTTTCCGGGCGCTACAACGAGCTGCAGTACAACGAAAGATATATGGCTTCCTACTAGGTAAGTGCTTCGTATTCTTCCAGTAGCCTGACAAAATAGATCTGACGTGGTCACAGGTAGCCTCCCGAGGAATAGAGTACAATCTTCAGTTGCATCAGGCGAAGCCGGTGTGGTTAAAGCTTGAACCCAACCCAGCTACGAGCTATTTGGTGCATTTGGGATGCATTGGACTGATCGATGAAGTGTTTTCTCCTCAGCAAGAGTTGGGCACATTACACTCGTCCAGCGAATATGCATCTGCGACGTTATAAGATGGACAACGTTGGCATTTGACACAGCAATTCTATGAGCAACGGCCAAATGATGATTCTGTTATGTATCTTCGGGTGCTTGTTTTCTTCAACAATCAGGATCAATTCAAAAACTCGAGCCATGTCTTCTATCTTCCGTGCATTTTTGTTGCATTCTCACGGCATTGTCGCTTGCTGTTCGCTGAACGTTTTCGTTTTGAGAATTCATTCTATCTAGCTTGTCACTATAAGTTCTGTAAGCCTCCCACTCCTATTTACTATGCATCTGTCTACTGTAGTATCCAAAAGAAGTATAAACTTTTCCACCTGTTTATATTCTATGGTATACTCGCACTAGTCGAAGGGGCTACATTAGTTACTTTAGGGGATAGTTACTCGTACAATCTTTTGGAAGGGGAACTGAACCGTGGTTTATATCTTAGAACGGGACTTCACTTTCCGACTACTCATCACGAGTTCAACCTCGTATCTATGCAGGTACTTCGCGTTCTTGCCCCGCTTTCTTCGGAATCGCTTTCTTCCAAGCTTATGCTTTCGCATGCTTCGCGCTAGGCATGTATTGGTTCGTGCTATATGCTTTCCCTCGCCCTTTCCTCTGTCTCTCCGCGGACCTCTGCCCTCTGACCTCACAACCTCTCGCCTCACAACTTCTTGCTTTGTCGTTTTTTCGCTTCTCAACCTCTTGTCTCTCAAACTCTACCCTCGGACCCCAAACAACGCTGCCCAATCACCATGTCGCCACCAAAAACAGCCGATGGCGTAAAAACAAAGAAAGAGAAAACCGGTACAAAGGATAGAATTATGAAGAAGGGAGGGATCGTCAAGACACTGCGGAACGCACGTGGTTACCACAAATTCAAATCAGGTTATACACAGAGATGCACTTGGCAAACCGCATGTACTAAAAGAAAAACAGGCATGCTCAATGTCACGCCCAAAGGAGACGAGAAAGAGCTGTAAGTGCGCCAATCTGTGACCTTCGATAAGCGTATCGTGGACAACGGTGGCTTGTCTGGAACCTATGCTACATTCATCCAGTTGTCGCGATCACTACTTATATTTTTGTAGTCAGTGTTCTGACAGTGGTGTAGAGTCAACAGCAACCGAAACTCGCCTCTGTTACGACTACCACCGGAACTTCGAAACCGTATCTGGAGCCATGTTCTTGGTGGTAAGATCTTCAGAGCGTCTTACCAGCGTCCTGGACAAAAGTACAAGCTGAGATCCCCACCAACCGAGCCTGACAACTGCATGTCTCTTCTACAGACCTGTCGTCAGATCTATTCTGAGGGCGCATTGATGCCACTGTCGCTCAATACTTTCACCATCGAATCACCTAGATGTATGAAGCGGCTCCAGAAATGTCTCAAGGAATACCAACGCAAGCAGATCGTCTCGATTCAACTTGAGCTCGAGGTTCTCAACTACAGCGCATGGTTCGACCCGTGGTACTTTGAGTATTACAAAATCTCTATCCCTGTCATTTTCCCTGGACTGAGGCAGCTTCGGGTCTTGGTTCTCTCCCCTTCAGCGAACGACACTTCCTTCCAAGAGGCTGAAGGCCACGTAAGAGATCAACTTGGGCCCCTCATTCAAGGAATGCCGTCGCCAGTCAACATACTAGTGGAGCAAACTAATCAGGATTGGAAATCATACGACTTATCGTAAGTACAACCAATGCTCGAGCTTTTTGTGGTTGTTTGCAAACTGAACAATTTCAGGTGGAAGAACGTCCCAGCCAGCGACAGGACACTTGATGTGGTTGGCACAACACATGTTTCTAACAGCTCGATGGTTCTTGACAAGTGATTAACTGATGTGCACACGTTGCTCAAGTGCAGGTTGTCCAACGGACCGGTTTCCATGGGCATAATGTGACACTTGGGATGAGATCGTGGAAATCCCCCAATTTTTCTGTTCTATTCCCCTGTTTGTATTGAGATATCCTAGATTTTATTGACCATGAGAGTACTTGCCATCAATTAGATAAACACCAGGTTCACCAATAGTATAATACACAGAACAAGTTCGCAATTGCCTCGACATATCACGTTGTAATTCTCCTACCCAAAACCCTCCACAATCTCCTTTCAACAATCTCAACCGTCCATGACAAATAGACGTCTCCCCTGCACAAAGCAATCGCGGTTCTTTTACGGGCATATATCTCAACTTTCTTTGGTTGAGCGGGGCATGATTACGTAGTCTCCGAGACCGACTTCGTATATTATCCCCTCTAGGCGCTGGGGCAACTCGTACGCAGTATAGGAGACTCTTTGGCGTGCCCTTTAACGTCGTGTTGGAAATTTTTGGGTTCTGATGTACGAGGCTGCGATAGTTGCTCGGCTGAAGTGCGGGAGAGGACGGAGAGGACGGAGTCTGTGGGCAGGCTTGGTAACCTAACCAATTAGAGGGGCTTTGACTTGATGCTCCCCGCTCTTATTGGAGGGGTATTCGGAGGTCGTGGTAAAGTCTGGATATGGGCTTTTCCCCCTGAACTATGGCTTTGTCGCGTACTGTGGAGACGACGTGGAGACGACGTGGAGATTGTAGATGCGTTTTATACTCTTGTTTAAAAACGTGCAGAGATCAAGAGACTGTGGTTAATGTTAGGGATAAAATATCGATGTTCAAGGCGAAGAGATTTCGTGGACAAAGTTGGACATTCTTGACCAATATCTTTCATCGTTGCTTGGTCTGCAACCAATCTCTCAATCGTAGTGGGTAAGGGTTCCAGTACTTCGCATGTGAAGCTTTCCGCTACAGAATCCTCCGAGAGGCCTCCACGCTGCCGCACATGGAGAGTGTCTGTCCTTGTCTGGAAGTGATTTGGGAGTGGTTCGCACTAGCCGCCCGCCGACCAGAAGACGTGGATCGAAGAGTGGGGTGGTGTGGGTAGGGCCGCGTGGTCAAGGTGCAAGTACGAGGGAAGAGAGCTGTATGATGGATGAATAGATGACCGGCAAGTAAGGGGTGTACTAGTATATGATGGGGTTGAGAAAGGGTACACCGGATCGCCAGCGGGTGTTGCATCATGCATCATGCACGACGCATGCAAGCTGACCATCTCAAATCTGACTAGAAATTGTTCCTGCATGGGTACCTGTAAAAAGCAAGTCAATTTGATCGGCAAGACACTTCTGCCGGCTAGTAGTACATGTGTCGCATACCAGACGCATACAGTACTCAAACAGTTGCTATTGCTGAACAGCTTAGCAGATATCGAGAAGAAGCTACGGCATACAAGTAAAGTAGACAGACACCACCACCACCCTTCCAAGTACGAACACAAGTCGCACATCCAAACGCCCATAGTACAAAACCCGTACCCCATCCCCGCTTTGTGAAGAGGTACTCCATGCGTAGCGCCCACAATCTCCCGTCCCAATTGTCTCCGAAACGCCATATGGTCAGAACGCCCACCTTGAAACCCCTTTCAAAGAACCGGAGGATTTAGAGTCCGTTGCTTTTGTATCCTCAATGGCATGTGCCTAGTACGTCGACTGCCGCATCAAATGCAGGAAAATCGTACATCTCTCAATCTCGACCATATCTTTTGGTTCGCGGCTCTCAGACCCTGTCTTCTCGGCAATGACCTCAACTTCAATGCGATTCACACCGCCAACCAGTTTGGCCTCGTAGACCGGCTCGCCCTTCTTCTTGCCACCTTCGTAGCCTGGTCCTGGGCTGCCGCCATTGATACCAGCAGTAACGGGAATGCGGTTCACTTCAAAAGTCTTGTGGCCGTTGACTGTGACGAAGAGGCGGTACACACGATCTGTGAGGGCGACGGGGACCTTGGGTACGATCTGGAGATAGGAGTGCGTGGGCGAAACGACGATGGTCGCGCTGTTTGCGGTCTTCTGCTTGTTGGCAAGAACATCGACAGACCATGGCTTGGCAAGGTTAAGCGCGGGATGTGTATTCAAGGTGATTTTCGGGAGCAGAGCTTCGTTGATACCTATGTATTTGTTAGCAAACGCACAAACACACTGATACTTGAGAACCACTCACTCTTTAATGGCGTCTTCCGGATGTGGTCAATTCGAGGTGCTGGAGGAGGAGGGACATAGTAAGTCAGTGGTTGATATGGAGGGGCATAGCCAGTTTGTTGACCGACAGGCCCACTAGGAAATGGACTACCACTTGCTGGCCGAGACATTGTCTGCGGCGGAGCCATGTTCGGATGTGGTGTTTGCACAGGGACGCTAAGTCGTTGATTCTGAGTATCTGGAGCGGTGCTAACAGGCCTGATTGCGCCGAGGGCAGGAGACTGAATGTCTTGCTTGACACCATTGATCGCTGCTGGGGATACTGCAGATCTCATCTGAGCAGCAGGAAGCGGGGCAATCGAGACAGAACTCCCTCTTGGTCCGGTGAATGGATTTGACGAAGGAACAGGCGTCCCAGTGTTCCCTGCGGAAGGTGGACGTGATGTTGGTGGGTTCTTCATGCCTTGCAGAACATGTTTCTGTTGCCTTAGAAGGGCATCGTTATCAACAATGACCCCAGGAGTTGCTGAGCTGCGTGCAGCTGGAGTATTTGGATCTGAGCCAGGACTTTGTCGTAGCTTCAACTTCAATTGCTGCTTGGGGGCTGTAGCTGGAGTAGGCGCGGCAACGGACATGTTCAGTTTGAGTTTTGGCTGCGGTGGCTCCTCGACGGTGGCCTTGGCTTCTGCAAGTTTCTTCTTGAACAATTCCTATTTTCGTCAATATGAAGGCAGGCGTGTGACGAAGTCAATAATCATACCTCGAGTTCCATGGACAGCTCGTAGATGGCACTACCGTCTTCGTTGTAGATTCGAGCGTTTTTCCAGATAAGATTCATGGCGTTTTCGAGCGCATCCCAACTCTTCAACAGGGTCACACCCGTAGGGGCTTCACGGCCCACCACACCGCGCACTTTCTTCTGAACAGCAGAAAGCGACATGGGATCTTTGATTAGCTGGTAGTAGTCCTTCATGCCGCGAGGTGGGAGGTTAACGAAGGGCTCGAATATCCTAAATTCAACTCTGCGCCTGGAATCAGCAAGGGAACATTTCGGAATTCAGATTGTACCCACCCAGGCTCTGTATATTCAACTATCTCCCTTAGAATCCGTTCTTGTGCCTGTTGGAATGCCTGCTTGGTGCCCTCTGGGTTATCGTCGACCTTCATTTCAGGTACCACCGAAGCCGACTGTCTCAGCTTGGAAGGCGCAGGAGTGGCCGGTTGTGCTGTTGCTGCGGCGCGCCGGGGTCGTTCGACGGTGTCTGGCGTGGCTCTAGATGTTGGTGCAGCTCTGGGAGTGGAGACGATGCGTGGTGTAGGCTTCGCAGGCGAGTCATTCTCCTCACCAGGAATGGGTGTTGCTACTGCAGAGTACGTGTTGTCGCGGTAGGCGGGGTTGTGCTTAACCATCCAGTTGGACGCCGTCTTGCGCAGACGTTCGGCATCTTCGTAGAGGGGTGTGCGCTTCTCGTTGAATTGCTTTGCGTTGTTGACCATGCGCTTGCAGTCACCCTCGACCTGCGCGAGTGCTGTGTATTCGCCTCGACTGAGTTTGTCCTGTGGCACTGAGGTCAGTAAGGTGTCCCTGTTCGAAAGAGACAAGCTGTCGCAGATGTATGCGAGGGGACGGTGTCGTGGGAAGCTCGGGGAGCGTGTCTAGGCACAGTGTGTGGAGGCTTGGGTATGGTAGGTGATGTCGTGGATTGGGGCGACATACCTCGATAGTGTCGAGGGCGATGGGCAGCTTGATAGCTTCATAGTAGCCGGGTGTGCTCTGAAGGCCTTTGTTAGCAGACGTGGTGGTTTCGGCGCAACAGGAAACGCACCTGGGGAGGCAGACTGAGGAATGCACCGGCAATCGGCCGTCCACTGCTCGCTGTCAGCAACCGTCTGTCTGGACCTGGGGTACGGCGAGGCTAGTGTCCAGGGCAGGGCACGTACGTCTTGTCCTTTGCCTGCTTCAAGTTCTCGAGGAACTTCATGCCCAGCGCCGTCGTCGTCTCGGCCGTCTCTGCATTCGCGCTGGTGTCTGTCTGTGGGCGCGCGGTCCATCATTAGCAAGTCTGGTCACATGTTCCCTACGCGCATCGTCCTGTTTCTCCGCATGCATCGTCGGCGCGGGCGCGTTGTTGCGGCGACGAGGGGGGTTCGGCGGAGGAGATGGGCTACTCGTCCAACCCAGACATGGCGCGCTCCTCGTTCCCAGAGCTCTCCCACGCCACAACCATGCCCTCTCGCACGCGTCCGAACACCCGCCGACGATGCAACTCTCACTGCAGGAGGCTACACGTACCGGCACTTTCTGGCGCTTTGCAGGGCGACCCTCATTTTCCACCACCGCGGCGCTGGCGGCCTTGCGCTTCGACACACTCTCCATTTCGATTCGATCGCGGTCGCGCAGTCAATCCAAGCCGATATCGAAAACTCGCAAGCGTGATTACAGTCGTGGGGCGGGTGCAGTGAAATGCGAGTTGGTCGCAGGCTCACCTCGATACCAGAAGAAGCGCGTCAACCCTGGGGAGGATCGTTGCCAAGCAGCGCACGGACCCATTCGTTTCCATCATCACGTTCAAACGTTCAGCAATCACTCGGACACAAAACATTTACTAGTGCGTGAGCCATGTCCAGCTACAGCATTGATCCGAAGTCGATTGGAGTATCAAAATAGGCGTATAGGTATCCATCCCTTGGTTGCTGATCTCAGGGTATCCAAACTACAAATGACTTCCCCCTAAGTGCCCAGCAAACCCAGCCTTGTTTGTAGAACGGTGTTGAAGAGTGAGTAAAATCAACCCATATCACTGCTCATGCCTTCTTAGTCGAAGTCTCGTTTTTGCCGGAAGCCTCGCTCGCCGTTCTCTCAAATTCTTTCTGAGCTTCTTGTTCCTTGAGTTCGCGCACCTTGGCCAAGACAACCTCTCGGAAGATGGCACCTTTGGCAATCCTGCTCAGACGCCCGGGTCCTTTACCAGTCGCGCTAGTCACATCCTCTTTTGTTTCCAAGCTGGTGCCGTTTGGTTCGCTTGATGCGAGCGCCTCACCTGCAGCCTCGCGGGCGTTGGCAGGAACATCTGCTTCTCCAGGAACGTCCTCTTCCTCGTCTTCCTGCATTTTGAGGGCTTCAATGCGGTTCGCGAGCTTCACAAGCTCGATGCCACGCTTGAGACGAGCCTTCGCGACGTATGCACGAATCTCAGGCAGCAAGTTGTGGTCACTAGCCGTCGTGCCGCTTAGCCATACGTGCTTGAGTGCTTCCTAGAAGCTGTTAGCTGTGTAGTGATGAGGGAATGTGAATTTCTCGTACCCCACTGCTTGGTCGGCTGTTGGGGTCCGGTGTCAGCAGCAGCTTGATGAATTCCTTGGCCTCCTTGCTGACTTCTTTCCAATACCGCTCGTGGAAGATGACGCGACCGTTCTTGCACTCTTCGATCAAATCTGCGAGATTCTCCGATCGGAATGGCGAGTATCCGCAGAGAAGTGTGTAGGTAATAACACCCATGGACCACATATCAACGGGTTTTCCGTGACCCTTCTTCAGCATGACTTCGGGAGCAGCGTATCCGAACGAGCCGGCCATGGTGGTTAGGACCTCGTTCTTGGAGTCGAGCATCTTCGCGATACCAAAATCGGCCAGCACAAGAGACGAGTGGGGTTCCCGTGTGAGGTAGAGAAGGTTCTCTGGCTTAAGATCTGAACATGTGTAAGCGCGGGGTACTCAACAGGCCATGAATGACATACCTCTGTGGACAACATTGTTCTCGTGGAGGTAGTTGACAGCCTCGAGCACCTGTCGAATGGTTTCGGCAGCGTCCTTCTCGGTGAACTTTCCTTTCTCGCAGATGCGGTCAAACAGCTCTCCGCCCGTCGCCAATTGGGTCACGATGTAGTATTTGTCCTGGTTTTTGTCAGCTCCATATCCCATACATGCTTTCGATGGCTAGACGCACCCTCGATTCGAACCAGTCGTGGAACTTGACAATGTGTGGATGCTTCATGCGCTGCAGCATTTCCAGTTCGTCGTATACCATCTGTTCGTTTCCCTTGACATTCTTCTTCAAGATGATCTTGACAGCGACCTTGCCCTCGGGGCAGTCGGCCTCTCTGACGATACCATACGTTCCGGCGCCCAGTGTCTTTCCAAATTTGTATCGAGATCTGCAGAGATAGTACTCAGTATGTGGATCGTCCGTGCAGGTAAGAGAGGCACAAACTTGCGGTCATAGCTGTCGGGCTGGCCGTGCAGCTTGTTGAGCATGTTTGAAACTGCAACGGCGCATTAGTTCGGCAACCCGTACACCAGCATCCCGAAATACTGACAACTCATGGCGGGCAAGTGACTCGTGGCGACACAACTGTTGTGATTCGGGGCTGAAAGTCAGAGTGGAAGATGCCTATCAGGCGCGTACAACTGGTGGTGGGGTTGATGAGGGGTAGGTGCTCAGCTCAGCTGTAGATACTGAAATTGCTGTAAGACGCTCGATATGTGTATAGGATAAATACGAGAAGAGGAGTAGGGGAGGAGGCGCAGGATATGTAAGTGTTAAACTCTTCGGGGTTCTGAACGGACTTCTGGGGCCTGTTTGCAGCTGTGGGGGCTGAACGCGCCTTCTGGCCGTCTCGATTCTCCACTCCGCCTCGCGGCTGCCATCCAGGCGTTCTCCGTGGCGCAGTGACACGAGCATGCTCACCTCTCCACCGCGCCTTGTTTGCAAGGCTGCAGTACAACAAGCGCGCCAGACTTGCTGCCTTTTTTGGTTAGAAACTAGAGAATCAACCGTGATTCTGGCGGAATCTGTCCACCAGCCCCTCTCTTCAGGCGCACGTTTTCCACCACGATCGCACCTTGCACAAGGCTGACATCGCGTCTACCCGAGCTAAACCCCGCTGAGGCATGTGCGGCGGAGCAAGCTTCTTTCGTATCAACAAACTCAAGTAGGGGTTGTAGGCGAGCAGCAAGGGCAGGGGGTGCAAACAGAAAGCACATGCAAATCTGGGAAGGTGATATTCTCTACGTCATTCTTTCGATATCCAGCAAGCAGAATGCTCTTACACAAACCTGATGAGCCGTTACTACGAATACTATATCTTCATTCCATCAGTCCACACAACTCCATTTTCCAACCCTACCACACACTTCTTCTACACTATCCACCCTGAACAACCCTCCAACAACATGTCCGCAGCAACGATATTCACCGTCCTAGCCGGCCTTGTCGCTGCCATCGGCGTAGGCGTCTACTTCTTCGGTATCTCCCCCGAAATGAAGCGCAAGCTCGAGCGTCAAGCCCTCAAGACCATGGGCGAGAACAAGATGTCCTACCTTGCCAAAGGTAATGATCCACCATCGCACTCCTAAAACAAGATCATCTTCTAACCTCTCACAGACCAGATCAACAAGATTCCAACCTCCGATCAAGAAGACGTCCAGGAACTCAAGCAGGGCATCAGCAACATCGCAGGCGGCGCTGTGAACAACCCGTTGGGCGAAGCATCTGGTGATTTCGCAGATGACTTGACGAGCCCGTTGACTGGCCGCTAATGCTTGTTCACTGTGTAGTGCGAGCGGCGAGCCAGGTCTGGGATGCCGTGCAGGATTATTCCAAGATTGCGCTTGAGCGGGTTTCGACGATGACGCAAAAGGGGAAGGCGAAGGTGGAAGAGAAGACGTTGTGATATCATAGCGACGACACCAGCGGGACGAGGCGTTCGGGTACGGTTGTTTACTTGCGACGGTTGCACGACTGACGATTTCCTTTGGCATGACTTACGATGAACGTTTACCTGTATCAATGGCCGGGAGGAGCTCGAGGATGTGGACGACGAAATTCAGATAGCAGTCCTGCACAATCCTCAATTCTCAATTCTTCATCTTCTTGAGTCTCACAACCCTCCTCTCCAAAATCCCCATAGCAACCCGTGCCATCCCATGACGATACCCCAAAACCCAACTTGAAACCCCACCTTCCTTGTTTTGTGCTGGAAGTAATGCATCCCCGCCAACGCCCCAGGCCAACCACCAACCATCGCCAGAAAATGCAACTTCACCTCCGCAACTCTCCACTCCATACTCCTCGCCTGCATCTTGTCATAACCATACAGCACAAACGTGACGCTACTAACGGCACATGTGTATGCGATGGGGAGAAGGGAGTGCGTCGCAGTGTAGAGGCGAATTAAGGTGACAGTGGGGAGGACGAGGGAGAGGATGCCGGCAACTGTTGCGACAGTGAGAGGGCGGTGACGGTAGGGTTTTCGTGGAGGCATGATTGATGGGCCATTGGTGGTGTTTGTGAGTGAACGTGTGCTGGAGAATCGTGATGGACCTTGTCGATCTCCCGTTGGCTGCGCCGTTGGGTACGCTTACGCGGGACGGACTAGTCCAATGCAGCTGGCATCCCTCCGTCCACTTCCAAATCACGTTCAGCTTCAAACTCGTACGTTTGTGTAAATCCGCCATGATGATGCCAAAAATCATGTCTACTATTCAGCCTCTTGTTTCTCCCCAGAGCGGTCTCAGTTAGGCGGGAGCAGTTCACCAAGACATTACTGGTAAGTGACTGGAGAATCTGAAAAATCAAGCAAATCACTAACTTTTCGTGTCTCAGTATGTATGAGCAAGGGATCCTATCGAAATAGGTATTCCGGAGGTTTCAATCTGCCTGTAGCAAGTGGTGTCAACCCCTTGTTCCTGTGGAGTAATACTGCCTCCACCATCTTTTTCTTTCATCCACCAGCAGCCAAACCCAACTTCCTCCACCTGTGATGACGATCCCATAGACAGCGTGCTGCCGTAATTTCGAGAGCTGCTATGAATCCCGCTCTTGCAGGCAAAAGGCAGTCGTCAGCGAAATGCAATTCGAGCTAAGTGCAACAAGAAATACGCCAGTGAAGGCGGCGCGGCGCGGCGCACTTTCTCCAAGTTGAGGCTGACCAGTCCTCTGTTTTCTAATAACATCCGCTTTTGTGGCTGAGCTGAGTATGGTATAACAGAATTGGTTCAACCAAGGTTGATGCGATTTATCGCTGCTTACTATAGAAAAGTACTGCATCCCCAGGTGGATCAGCCCGAATTCAGTTCCTAGCTCACATTTTGTACAGTCGTCCTCTCTTTCCTTCAAGTTTTGAGGCCGAGGTCTCTATGTTTGTAGCCTCACGATTCACACTGGTGTAGCGCACGGATATTGGCAGCTGAACGTTAGCGGCGGCGACTCCGTACATCCTCATTTCCACATGTATGGTTCTGGGTCGAACTGGGCGCTGAAATGATCGCTGTGATTTATCTCGAAGTCTAACTAGCGTTGTAGTGTGCGCCCATTTCTGCGACCTGAACTGCATGACAAGATGGTGAGTACTTGCCGTATAGGGGGTCAGGTATATACCTTTTCTCTTGCTCTCATCGATCTCTGAGTCTCAGATTTCTTGCCCCTCGCGTTGTTTTGTATTTCGCTCACTTATCAATTGTCACGATGCGTACATTTTTTGCTTGGGCCTTCACAATTCTTACAACCCTACCTATCATCGATGCTCATAGCAGCAAAATTTCTCCTGATGGAACATGTGGCAGCCGTAAAGATTTCACATGCTTGAACTCTCGGTATGGAAATTGTTGTAGTCAATATTCTTACTGGTAGGTACAACTCTGCCATGGTCTCAATCAGAGTTAACAATACATAGTGGCAGCACCGATGCGTACTGCGGTAGAGGATGTCAGGCGGGCTTTGGACAGTGCAAGGGCGTGTCCTCAATATCCCATTCTTCGATGATATCTTCTCTCACCTCGAAAGCGTCCTCTTCGTCAACCTCATGCACCACTTCCTCTACATCATCGCTGCCAAAATCTTCAACTCGTTCGAAGGTGCTGTTATCAACATCTTCAACCCCCTATAAAGCCCCATCTTCAACGCTATCACCGACCCGCTCACCCATCCTGTCACGCACCTCCTCTAGCTCGAGCAGCGTGGTACAGTCCTCAAGCTTATCCTCGAAACTCCCATCATCTTCATCGATATCCTCTAGTACATCAATGCCGCTGATGAGTTCGACTTCGGTTTTGTCTATCACATCATCATCGACGATGGCTACATCATCTTCAACAAGTTCTTCATCTCAAAGTTCGTCTCAAGCACCGTCAGGGACCTCAACATCTAGTCTCCCCAGCTCTACCTCAGCAAGCTGCATTCCTACTGGGATCAACTACGTGAAAAATTCCGGATTCGAGTCTGGAGCCATCAGCCCCTGGACAAGAAATTCGGATACGAATTACGCTGTCGATGTCACAAATTCCGCCACAGCCCACGAAGGCCAGTACCTGGTTCAGACAACGGTTCGGGGTGCCGGAGTGACTAGTATGGAGTTACAACAACCAAATGTTTCCATTTCATCTGGCACACAGATTCGTTGCTCCGCTTGGGCGCGATCCGAGGACGGCGTCAGCTCTACCGTTACATACAAGATGTTGATAGATGGTCAGGAATGTGGGACTGTGGATACTTTGGACTACGACTGGACGCATTTCGGAGGTCTGATCACAGTCACAGGTGACACGCATGTGATCACGGTACGAGTTGTTATGAATGATTCGGATTCAGTGGCATATTCATTCGACGACGTTTCTGTTACTGCGGTCTCAGGTCCGAATGTTTGCGTGTCGGAAAGTCCTCAATAGTTTGTCTGTAACATGATAGGCCATTACAATCTATGTAATAAACGGCGTTGATATTGTCAAGGATTTTTTCCGGTTGCAAAAGCGGACAACCAAGTATAACATGGGAGAGATTGAGATGCGGGCTAAAGGCCGAGATTTAGTACACATATCTCCGTTAAGTTTGACCCTCAGAAGATGCAAGAGGCTGCCGTCTCAAGATTCAGATTGGTATTTAGTAGCTAACGAAGGCACAATATATGTTTCTTATACCATCGATAGATCACGCAGTATTGGCCTGTAAACCTAGCACAGGACCTAGTACAGCCAGGCAAGGACTATGTGCGAACCAGGTTGTGGTATGGGATAAGATGCTGGACAAGACTGGTCTCTTTCATCGCGGAGTCCCAAGTTGAAGAAGAAATCTTGAAGTAGATGTGCTTTTCGATATCTGTTGCTTAGGGTATGCATGCCGTCTGGAGGGGCACGCGGGTCACTGGCCAGGAAATGGTGGAGGGAACATACGCCGCCAACCCGAGTCTTGAGACAAAGCACATATGCGCAATAAAGATCGCTCAAAGAGAGCAGTTTGTCTTTCCCCAAGAGTTTCCATAGCGCCAGCCCAATGCATACATGTATTCGTACACGAATATACAGTTTCTAGCTCTCCTCATTTCCTTGCATCGACAACCTGCTGCACTGCCTGGGTCGTCGATTGCTGCACAGGTCGCCTCACGGGCTCGTCGGGTACAATAACATCGTCGAACTCGTCCTGAGAAACGGCTCGAATTGTATATGTGTCTGCTATCTGTGAGACAATGGACTAGACACAGGCAGTTGATGGCGTACAAATTCCAATGACAAGCGTGCAAATGGCAAAGCCGGTGATTGTGTTTTTAACCAGATACGGCGCTCGAGCTCGCAGCAGAGCCGGCGAGGCCCGCATGCGAGCATCGTAGTAGGTCGATTGGAACGGTTTGCTGTGCGTATTAGCACCCATAGTCTCATGCTACTGCAACCACTCACTATCCCATGGCGACGTCTTGCGGCTCTCACAGTCTGCGGGGGAGGCAGGCCATGTTCGCCGCGGTGGTGAGGTTCTAGCGCGCCGGTTACATAAGCGCACGTGTCATGGCTTGTCAGGGCTGCAGCTTCCCATCATCGTTCACCAACTCCTTCACTCTTTCACGAAGCGACTGTACCTGGTCATCGACAACCGCAGACGCGCACTTGCCTTTCCCACACTCCTTTCGACTCTTGATATTAGCATTGCTGGGAATGAGAGGAATATACGGCGACGGCTACTGGGCTTTGTCGCGCTCTTAGTTTGATTGCGTCGCGCGCGTGAACAAGCGTCACCACGCATCCACCACACTTGACGAACCAAAGCTCGACCACCTTGCGCTGCGCAATCAACCACAAGCATGAGTGCGCAAACGATGCAGCAATTAGAGTCAGCCCGGGCGCTCACGCTGGGCGACGGTAGTTACTATCCTTCCATCATTCCAGGAGTGCTGCCCATCATCGGCTTCAGTGCAGACCAGGATGTTGAGATACAGCGGTGGGGTGCCGATTTCCTGGCTGAGGCCTTTGCTTCGCCAGCGTGGCCTTTAGAATTAAAGGGAGGCATCGCGCCATCGGTGCTGGCTACGCTGAAGGATTACCTGGAGAATGTCACGGACAAGAGCGTCATCAAGAGCGCTGTTCAGGCGGCTGCGAGCGTCTACCCGCTCGTGTACAGACACACGTGAGTGATCCCCCATGCCTCAGATAGTGCCCCCATCTATGAGTTCGGCTTGCATTGTCTTGCTTCTCCTCAATGCTACGTACCCGCATGATTGCAGCTATGAACCCTCTCTCATACTTGAATGTGCCCCAGTATCTCGAACCCCAACGACTCCCACAACTGGCAGCTTATGACTGCCATCAAATCGAGCATCCTACGACGAATGGACTCGGCCGCGCCAGGCGTGCGAATATGCTGTGTCAAGTTCCTCCAGCAAGTAGTCCTGGTTCAGTCGCCAGGTGTAGTAGATCCTAGGGTGAATACAACCCCTTCTTCAACACGCATACACTCTTCTCATGTCTCGCAGCGACCTAATCCAAACGATATCTCTCTCGCCCTCGTACCTCGCGATCACCCTCTCATACCATATGTGGCTCTTGAGGCGGAAGGACATGGACTACTCGATCGGTTATTGGATATAATACATGGAGATCACAGGTCAGATATACAATTGTATAGCACTAGCGTAGCTCTGACATGTAATAGTGATGGACTGCTTGTCACAGCAACGCTCAACAGTTTGGGTATGCTGATTCATCGTCGGCCTATCATCGCGAACAAGATACTGGGCAGTGTCCTCAACTTCAACCCTTTGAAGCTTGCAAGCCCACCCATGACACTGAAGAGCAAGGTTCTTATCAAGTCGATAGAACGTACAGTTCGAGCACTACTCATGAACATCATGAAGAGGTACGTACTCATCTGATATCCGACGGAGCTACTGCTAAATTGAATGTCCACAGGAATCCAGAAAACCCAGTCAATGGGCGAATACAGCAATTCTTGGAGCGCATGCACCGCGCACGTGTCGAAGCCTTTGACGTATCTAATCGCAAGCGATCGGCGCCCACTGAGCCAACTGACGGTCTTGACCAAGCCAAGAGGCAGCGACTGGCTGCTACTCTTGTCAGTCGCCCACCTCCTGTGCCATCGCTTCCACCAGGCCCGGTCAGCTTGCGTCAATTGTTCACCTTGAATCCTGAGGGTAGCACTGTGAACTTCGATGTACAGGCATTCAAAGATCCTGAACAGCTGTTGAGGATTATTGTGCCTATTTTACAATCTGTTGATGCGACAAAGCTCAACGATGCCTTGAATGTACGTGATTGTCCTTCTGAATACTTTGCCGAGCTGCCCGACGAGAGCCATGCACCACGAGCAATCGTGTGTCGGATAAACTCCCACGTCACCACTAAAGAGTTCCGTCTTGAAGGCAACTCTATGCATAGCGACGGTCTCGCCAAGAATCGGCTAACAAAATTACCAGATTGTTCGTTCTCGCTATCTTAGTCTCAGTCAAGCCGCAGCAAAATCTGCTGCCGCACAACCAGCACCAGTACCGGTTCCAGTACTGGTTCCAGCACCAGTTCCTGCCCCGGAAGACGAAGAGGAGTACGAGCCCGACTTTGAACCTGAAGATGCCGAGCAGATTGTCAACAAGCTCGATGGCCTCTCAGCGCCTGGGCTTCTTCCCCAGCCGGGTCCATCTGCAGCATTGGCGCCGTATAAGCTTCCCGAAGCACCTCCGTTATCGGATCAGGAAGTCCAGAAATTCGGTGATATGACAGTTTACCGAGCTTTCGGCATGTTAAGCAGTGCCGACGAGAACCAGAAGAACAGGATCACAAAGGGGGGCTTCAATCGACTCGCCGCGAGTGATTATAGCAGAGATGCTTGGGTCACCATTCTGTCAAGGCTAGCTACTCGGGCTAGTGCCGGTCTCGACGATCCTGAGGAAGGTATCAAGGACGAGTACGCTGTCAAGGGCGGCGCTAAGGGGAATTCGTCGATCAGCGATTCAGTAAGAGACGGTCTTTACCAGTACATCATGTACGACTGGAAGAAGCGGATCGATGTTGCGATATCTTGGCTGAACGAGGAATGGTACAACGATATCATTCTTGCCCAATCTGCCAAGAATCCAGCAAGAAACGGCACCGCAAACGGACACACACCATCCAGTGACTCACCAAAAGGGAACTATAACCGCTGCGCATTGCGCCTCATCGACGGCATACTCCCCTACATCGAGCACACTGACAAGATCCTGATTCGTTTCCTGTCAGAGGTCCCGGCCTTGAATTACGACATGCTTGTCCGCCTCAAGAAGATGGCTGAAGATCCTGAGCGTATCGACCTCGCATGCAGTTCGCTGCACTACCTTTATATGTTCCGCCCGCCGAGCAGGAGCTTCGTCGTAGACGTTTTGACAGCGTTGTGGAGAGAAAACGATGGCGCCAAGGCGAGCGCTCGGAAGCTGCTCTTGAGGTGGAAACCGGAAGTTCTCGGTGAAGAAGAACAGGCTACCACGCCTGCGTTGAAGATGGAGGTGGACAGTCAACTCGTAAAGGAGAGTGCGAATGGCGCATTGGAAGTTAAAGCTGCCTCGTAGTTTGGAAAAAAAGAAAAGAATGAGATGGGGAAGAGATGATTTGGCCATTATTTTCTACACATGTATACCTAACGAGTTTGCTTCTATGTGCGGTGAAGATATAACGGTGCTTGAGCCCGTGGATGGGCGGAGTATGTGTATATCTATTTATTGGGGCTTCGGCTGTCTTGCATGCGAGCTGTTATGGAAGACGGGCTACTAGCAGCTCTTCTTCAGTTAATGAGAATGACGTCTATAATATCATCATTGGCAAGTTACATCGACCCGTCTATGTCTCACTCTTTATCTATACATTGTGATTCCTCGGATTTTATCATATATAGGCATTATAAGTGTCTTTTCCTCATCGACTTGATGATACGTGCACGCAGCACCACCCGGTAGAAGATATTTGAAGAACTGGGCACTCGGGGAAGACGTAATCAATCAATCTTATCATAGCTGTGTAGACCACGAGTATCCCGACGAGTAGCATTTCCATACACATCCTAGAAGAATGATAACTTGGTCTCGTATTGACCATCACTGCCCCTTTTGAACAATGTCAAATCGTTCAGAAAATACGCCATGTGACGGAGTGTTGGATAGACCATTGACCAAGCTTGATCCGCATCAATTCTGCGTAGAAACGTGAACAGAACCGATATTTCCACTGATTCTGCGCAAACTGGCGGTAAAGTCCGGCTGGTGACCCTCCTCATTCTTGTTTTGTCCATGGCAACCCAAGCTTCTTCATCTCGACCGCAAGTTGCAGGATATAGTCGATGCTCTCGCACTGGGTCTTCGCCTTGTGCACGTTGTCGCCCCAGACATATCTGCCTGCGTCAGCACACCCTCATCATCTTGCCGCGTCACTATACTCACATGCCGTGTCTTCGAACCAGAATCGCATACGAGTCTGGATACTTCTCCATAGCTGCCTCCAAGCTCTCCCTCAGATCTTCCTCATGCGCTGTGTTTTCGATGATTGGTATCCTCAAGCGGTCATAGTAGCCTAGGTTTCCCGGCTTGCCTCGACCGTTAGGTATGCCCTTGATCTGCTCAATCTCCTCGATTTCGAAGCAGGCATCTTTGCCGAAGTCGCGTTCAACGAGAAGAGTCACAAGAACGGCCCATTGCGAGTGTGTGTGGATGCAGCAGCCAGCACCACGCTCGAAGGCTGCCATGAAGAGAGGAGTGCAGGCCGAGGGCTTGAGAACCTGGGAATGGTCAGAGATGTGTTTGCATGGATATTGAGCTGTTCACAGGCAGAAAGAACGTGGAGGCAATTCATTACCTGTGGTCTTCGAAGATATTCTTTACTGTTGAAGTCCATGACAAACATGTCAGTGGGCTTCATGAGCTCTTTCTGCACGCCGCTGGGCGCGATATATATTTTGTCTTCATGGCGAATGCTCGTTCCTCCACCAGTCCCTGTCACCTGGCAAAGTCACATTGTCAGTCATCATGTTCATGAATACTGTCTACATATATTTCTGGCATGGAGAAGCATACCCAGCCCAAGGTGTAGAACTTTGCGCACAGCGTGCAGATGTGGTTCGCAGGGTGGTTAGGATCTTCTGAATGCACAAGTGTTTCGACATCCTGCTGATTGGTGTCCATTGTGAGTGTGATATGCAGGGCAAAAAATGTTGTTGTTGAAGTTTGGGGTGTCAGAAGTTCGCGAGCAAAATGACGCGACTTCCGACGGTCGCGAACCCCGCTATGGTGGACTGTAGTAAGGCGTCGTGCAATAATTAGAACTTCACCCCGCCTCGAATGTTTTCATGTCATGACATGAACTTGAGAATTCACGACTCCAAGACTACTGCTAACGAGTGATTGAATTCTTTCTGTTTACATCGAACCAACGCGACAAATAAACATAGGTAACCTCGCAGGCAGAAACAGCAGCCTGAGGTATCTGAGGTCCAACGTCTTATCTTGCCCCCAGCGTTATCTTCCAAGTATCAGTCCTCTGGCCTGCTCCATGTGATAGTGGGTATCATAGCTATTATTTCGTAGTCGTCGTATTGGCCAACGGAGAAGGCTCATGCTTCTCCTTCTTTTCGAGGTGAAGCGCCTGCTTGATCTTATCGCCAAGACCCTTGCGGTCGGGAGATTGGCTGTGACCGCCGTACTTCTCCTTGTAGATGTTTCCCGCCCCACCTCTTCCAGTGTGGAATTCGTCCTGGGCCTCCATCGTCGCGGCCCCAGGAATGTTGTCGGAGGAGATGCGACGGCCACGGTCGTGATCGGCAGGCATAAGTTTAGGCGAACCTATGTTTCCGGCGCCTGTTTTGCTTAACCCACGTTATGCCGCAGAAGCTTCCAACTAGGATGCGAACTTACCTCCACGACCAGTCGAGAGTGTACCTTCAGTCTCAGGTACTGTAGGACCTTGACGTGTAATTCCTCCATCAATATAGACACGGGGATCGTGGCCGATGTTGCCAGCGCCTACAGTCACCCAGTCAAGCTTTGTTCTGTTGTGAAGGTCCCAGTTAGAATGCGCACTCACCACCACGTCCAGTAGAGCTAATCGGTTCGGACATTTTGAGAGGTGTTTAGGTTCAAAGCGTTGTCGCGAAATACCGAGTTGGTTGGTTCTCTTTGTATTGCGCAAAGGATGATGTCAATGACGGAGGAATAATTCTGGGGCGGTAGAAACCGGGCAATTGGAATTGCGGCCTCTTATATTTGCTCTTCCATCGAACAATCTTCGCATCATGACGCAATCGCATCTCACAGGTACCAGCCTTTCAAGGCGCGGGATGGAGAGGCCTTCCGCCTTGGAAAAGACGCGAACGGGCGCATGACTGCTAGTCGGTGCAACTTGGAGAGGTCAAGCCAAGCAATAACGCGAGCATGTGGTAAGGGAATTTGTATGGATTCGTGGGGATGGTTGCGTACTGTCGTACGGCGACGGCCTAACATTGATAAGGCCGAGGTGTTCGATTCGCTCGTGGTGGCGATGACTAAGCCGTTCACATGCCTTTGACACAGTGTCTGTACGCGATATCCGCCTGTAAAGTGGCTGATTGCATGGTATGATCGTGATCGGTGCAAGCCTTTGCAAGACATGAGGCAAGTTGAGAGTTACCTCGACATTTACCAAAGACGGCCAATGAAACGATCAGGAGAAAGAAATACAACAAAGTATTCATCAAATCGCTTATCACGAGCACCGGAATGTAGAAGAATGGTTATGTGTATGAGCGACAGGAACTACGTTGAGTACTAGTAAATCAACTTGTCGCACGCATCGTACTATAACCTCACCGGCCTAATCTCAGACGCTCACGAATCAGTGAATCAGATCATCACCTTGTCAAAGGCGGTTTTCACTACTTAGTCTTTTCCTTGGGTGCACCGCCAGTGGTAGGCAGACCGATAAAGATTTTGAAAGAGTCGTAGGCTAGATATAAAGTCAGTGTATTGATCCCCAAGCTACGCAAAAAGCACTTACTCATCCACTGTAGCCCAGTCAGAGTGCCTATCATGACGATACGAACAGGCAGTCCGTTCCAAAGACCTCCAAAGCCGATATCCTTATAGATGCGGCTAGTGGCACCACCAAAGCTCTCGCCGGCTTCACGGGTAGCGTTGAGTTTCGACACCATAACATCTGCAGGATGGCTCACGATAGCGCACAGAATACCGGCCATATAACCTCCGGTGAAGGACACAGCAGTCTGAGCTCCTTTCCCGTAGTCACTCTTGGAGCCAGGCAGATAGTTGTAGATCATCTCAACAATGGTTTCGAAAGATGCAAACTTCATCATCGTGTAAGGGATCTGGCGGCCCCAGAGGGGATAAAGACCTTTGTAGAGTCCTCCGAAGCCTTCTTTGGCAGTGATTGCTGATATGCCACCAAGAGTCGTTTTCGCGAAGGGAGGCATCGTCGTTTGCATGCGTACTTTGACAGCCTCGAAGGGACAAAGACCAATGTCGGCGATGAATTCGGCGGAGGCACTTCCTGCCAGGTAGATAAGCGTCTTGTACTTGTCGTAGTTTTCCTCGCCCGCAAGATCTCCGTAGAACTTCTTGAAAAACTCGTAGCCTCCGTACTTCAAACCACCTTGAACAGAGTAGCCCCAGAATGTAGGTCCCCATCCGGTGAAGACACCACGAAGGCCTTCAGCACGCCCGATCTTGCCCCAGGCCTCGAAATTGCCCTTGTACAGTGTCGAGTTCACCTGACGTCGACATTTCACAAGATCGAGCGGCGTCACAGCCGTGTGTGTAAGGCCGCAGGCCATTACACCTCCGAGTGTGCATGCAGCATAGAACTTCGGCGAGTATAATTCGATACCGCCCGCCTTGTTTTGTGCCTTGTGGCTTGCCTTCTCGAGTTCCGCCAAAGCAGCATCACTTAGCTTTGTTGCTTTGTTCTTTGCGTCCTCGGTAACGCTCCAGACAGGATACAGTTCGTGTCGGGCAAGCCATTTCGAGGATGATTTCGATTGGGGGGCAGGGACATGCTGTGGGAACGGTCCGCAGCCGGCGAACGCCTGGCTTAACGTGTTCGTCGTGGGGAACATACTGTGTAGCCGTACAGGTTATGGACTCTTATCGGTCAGATTGAAGTGTCGTCTTGTTTATGAAAATCGAACTCTTGGAAATCGACGCAATGAATCGATGGAGTAGTAAGCGCAATTCCTGCAGCGCATAGCATGAGCCTAACGATAGAAAACTGTAAACACCCACAACAGGCGAGAGCAGCATATTAATACTAGAGAATGGTTGCGCCGTAACCGCTGACAGGATCGCACCAACGTCAGCCCAGCGGCTTAATTCCTAAATCCGTCCGAACTCATGTACGAATGTCTTGCAGGCTGAACCTTGAGAACTGTTGCACCAATTAGAGAACATAAGTAATGCGCTTATGGAAGAAACCGCTTCGCAAAATGACTAGTGAAAGAGTTCTCGGGAGTTATTCATCTCATATTCATCCCACTTCATTCAAGATCTCAACCCCCTGCTTATCCATGGGTCTGACCTGACTCTCCCCTGATGAGCCTTGCTTGTTCTGGTTGGAGTGCCCACCGGTCAAATATGTAGGTTGAGGTTTCCAAGAAGATGAGGCTCTTCAGGAAAGCCAGGGGTCTGGCATATATTTACGGAGAGGATGGAACCAAAATCTTGATTCTATGCCGACATCGCACGTACTCTGGCCAGTCCGTGCTTCTTTCGTGTGTCCTCTTTGCTCCAGGTAGTATGGGTGCCTCGACCATGCAAGCGCGCCATAGCCTCCACGAGCATATCGGAACCGATACTCTAAATATCGGAGTCGCTTTCCTTGACGAAGCGGATGGCGAACATAACGATGCCTGGAATACTATATCCAGTCCCGAAGATTAGCTGGTTTAATTGCGTTATGTTGGACGGTTCCGAGGTCGTAATCAGAAGCGGCACCATCTCGGAGCAATGTCGACTCACGATACACAAAACCTAAAAACAGCCAAAACCTATCTCTTTTATCACCCAGCCAACCATTCTTCCAGTTCTTGAGGATCCTGGGTCGAGAAAAACCATTTAGCCGTGTTCCTCGTAGCATGGTGGACAAGGAGGCCATGATTCTGCGCGCATCGTCCTGTTCTCGCTAAGTATGAGCTCTAGGATGGAGAACAAGACAAATGATTCCTCTAGCGACATGGTAAGACAATTGAACTTGAAAGTGAAGTTGTTGCAAAAAAGAAGAGCTGGTAGATGACAGTGCTGATAAAGGCTATTGTAAGGCAGCTGTTGTCGAGGTAATGTACGGAGCCCACAGTGGCCTATTGAGACGAATATTCAACTGTGTCGGGAGAGTGAAGATACCTTACATGTGCTCTAGAAACTGCGGGCTATCGCACATTACACCGAATTCTACCACTTCGCTAGAAGTACATCCACAAGACAAAGCTCGATGGTGTCGATTCACATGTTGTTTGGAGACATTCGTGTAAGAAGATGTTTGGAAGCGGCGATGATGACGCAAGGAAGTCCAAACGTTAAGCGACCCGACCGCAGCCCGCAATCACATAAGCGGCCTCTATACACCTTACAGTCATCAACCAGACGAAAAGGAACTATCGTGCACATGTTTGAGCAAGAGAAAAAAGACTTGGCGTCAGAGCCGTCATGAAACGCGACCCGTGTGAGAGCGCCTGCCTCGTGCACGTCTCGTCTCAGACCTCACCACCACTGCGACAGCCCAGACCATCTCGAGGCTCAAACACTCGCCAGAAAGCCGTTCGATGGATTGTAGATCACGAATCGCACTGCAGTAAACCTCCTTACCCGCTTCAATCCGACAAATGCTGCCGTTCCCGCCGTGATATCCTGCATCCAGCCCTCCACGATAGAGGTTGGAACACTGTCTATGATACACACTGGTCACCGTAAGAGTAGCCGCGCAACGACTTGTTCGAAACCCGTCACAATTCTTGGAAACAGACTGAGCGGGGCGCACCGAATATGCTAAGTAGCATGGTGGTCACACCAGGTATTGATGTCTGAAAGGGCTGGCCTCTCCGTTCCAGAACCTCACGCTCGTTTCCTGTCGGACTCCCTATTCTTCCCACGTTCGAACGCTTTTCTACCTTGTCACTCACCATCAACGCTCTGCTGTGCAGGCCTTGACTGAACCTGACTGTGACGCACCTTTCGATTCTGTACCAGCTGTGCTGTTCCATGTATTAACTAATCATCTTCTTAATCATTCTTCAGTTGCCGTTTTCAACCCTTCAAGTCTTTCGTTAGCTTTTCATCATGAAGAGTGTCACATCTTTCATGGGCTCGGCCCTACTGCTGATCTCAACAGTACGTGTACCTCAGCCTGTCTTACCACGAAGACTAATTTGGGACAGGTGTTTGCGGAAGCTGGAGTCGACCTCCGCGACAGCAATACTGGAGTAGATATCTCTGGGAAGCGCATTCCGTACATGATTTCTGGCGTAGAGAGGTCCGAGGAAAACAGGTTGAGAGGTGTAGACACGCCAGCCCTCGACGGCGTTCGCGAAATCATGAACGGAAACAGATTGGATGCTAGAGACCTTGTTGCCAGAACGCCTCAGAGCAACGGACTCGACATTGCTTCGCTGCTCAATAGCGCACAAGGCCAGGGGTCTGGAGGAGCTGCGAGCGTTGGTACAGGAGCCCTCAACACGGGTGGTGATATCGGCGGCAATCTCGTGAACTCAATTGCTGGAGGAGGCAGTCCACCCAACGGACAGATTCAGAGCAGTGGACAAAGCGGAAGCGGCGTGCTTATTCAAATCCAATCGACCATCGTTTCGCAGGTCAATGGCCAACAGGTCGCAACAGTAGTCGTCCAGCCTACATTGGCTCCTCAAGCGCAGGCACCTCAAGTGCAGTCAACTCAACCAGCACCGTCTCTTGCTGAGATAGCGCCAGTACCTACAGAGATATCTTCGACGCTCACACCGGCTGGGGAGGCATCTACAGTCACCCCTATGTCAGTAGCCATGAGTGGCAACGTAGGTTTGTCCAAACAATCTCGATAACTGAGCTGACTGGAAACAACAGATCTCCGCTCCAGGAACCATCACCGAAGTAGTTGGAGGCTCTCAATCCACAGCGAATGGAACGCAAGCAACAACACCCCCAGGAACCATCACAGAGCTAGCCGAAGGAGGCCAATCGAACAGTACCCAAAGCACCGCATTCTCTGGAGCATCTTCCACAGTTCCTATCACCATCAGCGCGGGAGAATCACGAGCAAGCGCCCAAGCCGCCGCCACGAACACGACTTCCAGCACGCCTCCCATAAACTCGGCGACTCTAACCAAAGACGGATTCCTTTCTGGGGCCACTGTGAGCGCAACCGGCCCCGCTGTAACTGTCCTGGCTGGATCCGGAGGAGCAAACAGTACCTCAAACTCGACCAGTACATCAGTGCTTACTGTGACCGTCCAAGCTGGGTCCGCGGAATCAACTGGGTCGAATACAACGAGCGCTACACTCGCCGTTATTACTGTCCAGGCGGGATCGGGAGGGGACTCAAGCGCGAATTCAAGCTCGAGCTTAAGTCCAGGTTCGAGTTTCGGTTCAAGTTCAAACTCCAGCTCAATAGGAGGCGCCATCACCGTCGTGGCCGGCTCAGGTGGAGGAAACATCACGACATCATCCAGTGGAGCATCTGCAGTAACCAGTCTCGCGGGGTCTGTCACTACATCGACTTCCCTGGGCGGCGGAAGTAGCTCAACATCCACTTCACCGCCATCCAGCGCTACATCCGCCGTAACCGTTCTCGCAGGCTCTGGAACCACATCAGCTTCTTCGGGCGGAAATACAGCCGCCGTCACAGTCGTAGCCGGAGCAGGAGCAGGAGCAGGTAGCGGAAACAGCTCAGTGTCCGCACTGATGTCAACAGCCACCGCCTCCGCCACACTCCTCGCTAGCACCGCAGCCGCCGCAGCCACCGCAGCCACCGCCGAGCAATGCAACTGCATCTGCTCATGCCCCGCGAGCGCCTTCCCCCTATCGGCATCCGCATCTGCATCTGCATCCGCGTCTACGCCCCAGCCCCTGCAGCTAGGCAGCATAAGCACAATGCAAACAGCATACACCGTCGTCGCAGGGGGCTCGCCACCCGCCGGCGCAGCCCAAGCCCCCTCCTCCCCCGCCTCATCACCAGCGCGCGTAGACTCCGCGACGCTGACAAACGGGAAGCTTATCGGCGAGGGCACAGCGAGCAATGCGGGGCCGGCGATTACTATGGTGGCGAGCGGGAGTGCTGTGTTGGTTTCGACATCTGCATCTACAGTTTTGTCCCCGCCTGCGATATCGACAGCAGCGCAGAGTATCTCGCCATCCTCGAGTATAGCTGTATCCCCCACCTCTGTATCCAGTGCTGGTACCACTACCGTCGCGGCCCAGCCCCAGGTTGTAGGCCCCACGACGACGACAGCGCCTGTGCAGGGAGGGGGCGTACTTCCTTCGTCTATTGCGCTGCCGTTTGATATCTCGACTGTGGCGCTGCAGAGCCGGGTTACGGTGAATCTGGGGAAGAAGTGGGCGCAGCCGACGGGGAGGAGGAGGGGGTGGTGGTAGTAGATGGGCGGAAAGTTTTGCTAGCAATGTATTTTGAGGGGTTGAGGATTGGCTGTTTGTGATGCTTTTCTTTTTCTGTGGTGGTGGGTAGGGGGTGGGGATGTGGGTGGGGAATTGAGTGTTTTTGTGAAGTGATAGTGTAGTGTAGGGAGAATATGAATTTAGTTGCAATGGTTTGTTTGCTGTACTACTTTTTTATATATATGTGTGTGAATGTATGCTGATTGTTGCATGTCTATTGGGTATCTTTTGTTCTTTCGTTGTGGTTGTATTACTCTCCATCGCGTCAGACAGGCACTCTCTCCATCAAGAGGTAGAACTGGCAGTCTCGTGCTGCTCAGCGTCCATCTTGGCCATTTTGTTGCGCTTCTGCTCGCGCTTCGAGATGGGCTTGTCTTCTTTGGACGTGTGGATTGGCATGCTGTCCAGACTCTCACCCGGCCGTTTCCCGTTCTGGTTCTTGTTTTTGTTCGCCTTGGGGCCTTGCTTGTCTTTTGCTTCTATTGCCGGCTTCTCGCCTCCATAGACGATATCGACTATGCCCTTGAAGCTCTGGCGCTTGAGTCGTGCAAACTCGACAACACTGCGAGGCTCCTTTGTCAGGCCGTCCTTGCCTCTCTCTGTACCGAGCCCCCAGACGGAGGCCAAGTTTATGACGTCGCTCGGTGCCCGTATGCCGAGGACACTCTTGGCTTCTGAGCTGAAGATGAGGCCGCGTCCACGGGTGGCGCGTATGAGCTGGGTGGCGTTGCTGATGAGGTTGCGCTTGGCCATGGGGTCGGTCGACATGATGCCCTGGCTGTAGCAGAGCTCGATCTTGATGCCGCGCGAGATGGCAGCGCCCAGCATGGGGAACTTGAAGTGCTTCTCGAAGCGGCGCGTCAGGTCGAGGGAGATGATGTCAACGTCCAGGCTCTGGCAGGCCTGCTGCAGGGTGCGCTCGTCGGTGGGGCGGGCGGCGACGAGGTCATAGTGCTGCTGCAGCTGGGGGATGCGGAAGTTGGAGGCGGCGTCGGTCAGGAAGACGTTGCAGCGGCGCAGGACGCGCAGGCGGGGCGGCGTGGGGAAGGGCAGCGGGTTCGGGACGGGCGAGGTCTGGGCGGTGGTCAGCAGCAGCCATGGCTTGCCGTGGGTGAAAGTGCAGCGGCGCGTGGCCTGTGCCTTCCTATTACTCACGAGATCGGCGGGGAGCTTCCCAGCGTATGTGGTGGTGAGGGCGACGACGTGGTACCCTACTGCTCCGCGTAAGTTGACCCTGCGCGCACACACGCCCACCAGCTATAAACTCACGCTCGTCGCAAAAGGCCACGGTCCGCTGCAGCTCTCGCAGGTGCTCTTTTCCGTCAGACCACGGCACGTGCAAATCGTGGAACATGATCGCAGGCGCGGGCGCAGTCACGGGCGCAGAGGGCGACGCGTCCGGGAAGCTTCGCAAGCGGGAGACAGCAGGTAAGTGCGAAGCTCCCCACTTGCCTCGAAAAGCCTGTGCCTCGCCGTCACGTGCGCCCCGAGCTCACCTCACACTCGCAGCCCCAGACCACCGGCTGCCCTCAAATCCCCGTCTCGGCGCTCCGTCACCAGCCAGAGCCCAGCCCGCACCGCAACCCCGCCGCGACCGTCGAGCCGCCTTCCCTGGAGCCTTTTCCTGCACTCGGGCACTCGCCCTCGGCGGCCTTGTGTTCCTCCTGCTGGCCGTCCTCCGCGTCCGCCTGTCCACCTCCACCCCGCTGTCCGTCGGCCCTTTGACCACGCCCACCAGCCTGTCTGCGCAGGAACCCAACGCAGGCCCTCCACCACCCGTCCAGCCCACGCCTGCCCTCTGCACTACCAGCACCACCGCCGGCACCACCACCACCATGGCGCTCACCAACACCAGCGGCGCGACCAGCATCGCCCGCGTCTACGCCGATGTCAACGCCAACATGCCCCGCTCCTACTGGGACTACGACTCGGTCAACATCTCGTGGGGCGTGCTCGAGAACTACGAGGTCGTCCGCAAGATCGGCCGCGGGAAGTACTCGGAGGTCTTCGAGGGCATCAACGTCGTCAACTACCAGAAGTGCGTCATCAAGGTCCTGAAGCCCGTCAAGAAGAAGAAGATCAAGCGCGAGATCAAGATCCTGCAGAATCTGTCGGGCGGGCCCAACATCGTCTCGCTGCTGGACGTGGTGCGCGACAACCAGGTTAGTGATGGTTCCGACTGGGTTGGCGACTGGGTATTCCGCCTCGTCCGCTGCTGTGTGGCTGCCAGCATGCTAACACCAACCCCTGCAGAGCAAGACGCCGTCGTTGATCTTTGAGTATGTTAACAACACCGACTTCCGCAGTCTCTACCCCAAGTTCCAGGACTACGACGTGCGCTACTACATATACGAGCTGCTCAAGGCCCTCGACTTCTGCCACAGCAAGGGCATCATGCACCGTGACGTAAAGCCTCATAACGTTATGATCGACCATGAGAAGCGAAAAGTAGGTGCCTTTGCTTGATCTTTCATGACAAAACATGCTAACAAGCCCCAGCTGCGGTTGATCGATTGGGGTCTGGCCGAGTTCTACCACGCCGGTACCGAGTACAACGTCCGCGTTGCCTCGCGCTACTTCAAGGGGCCAGAGCTGCTCGTCGACTTCCAAGAGTACGACTACTCGCTCGACATGTGGTCTCTAGGCGCCATGTTTGCCTCGATGATTTTCAGGCGAGAGCCTTTCTTCCATGGCAACAGCAACACGGATCAGTTGGTCAAGATCGCCAAGGTGCTTGGAACCGAGGACCTGTTTGACTACCTCGACAAGTACGACATTGAACTAGACGCCCAGTACGACGACATCCTCAGCAGGTATCCCAAGAAGCCTTGGCACTCGTTCATCAACGCCGACAACCAGCGTTTTGTCAGCAACGACGCCATTGATTTCCTCGACAAGCTGCTTCGCTACGACCACCAGGTGAGCGTTTCTCGTACAATAACATGCTCACAAGCTAACGCCTCCTAGGACCGACTCACAGCCAAAGAGGCCATGTCGCATCCGTACTTCGCTCCCGTCCGACAGGCTGCTCAACAGAACAGCAGCAGCGCGGCTTGATAGATACCCATTTCACGTAGCTAGATGTTAAGTAATGGCACGAAATGCACCACGAAGAGACTCTACTCGATGTTCCGCTTCTGCTCACCATTACCGCTGGAACTATGATCAACTCTCGTCGTTAGACAGTATGAAGAGGGCAACGAATGAAGGACGGGAAGGCGCTGGGGCTATTATCTTCTTGCTTTATCGGCATCACAGGCGAGGACCGTCTGTTGGAGTGAGGGATGTGCACAGTTCTAGCTGAACAGGGTTACGTCGCATCGAGGGGCGTCGGTGTGCTAGGAGATATCCAATTGGACTTGTCTACCATCTGATCTTCCCGCAAATGCAATCATGCTGTGTGAAAAGGTGGCGGGTGCGGCCGTGTTCGGAGACCACCGTTCAAGATGTCGAAGGTGATCGCCTACAATGTCGCCGAGTCAGTTTCGCGGGCTGCTCTGTGACGTGCATGCCAGAGTCGAGGTCCGGGCAGACGCACGGATTGATCAAGGTTCGCGGTGCTGCGGGGCATCGCGCAGGTTAGCGCAGTCCTCAAGCTCGACTCACTCACAGTCATAAAAGTCATATGCTGCCCCGCCTACGCACATATGCTGGCTCTGCCACTCGCAGTCAATTTCCACGACCACGCATCCACGCCCGTCTGCGCCCCTGCCCTTCTGTGCTGCACACACGCCCATTGCGACCGCAGTTACACGCCCCTCCCCCCGCCGAGCGCGTGCTCGCACCCCACTACTCCACTGCCACCATGGCGCTCAATGCCTCCTCACACAACGTCGCCGGCGAGAAGACGGGGCCCACCACGGCTCCCCCGCCAGCCATCAGCGACGACATCAAGAAGGACTTGCTAGAGGCGGCCGGCGCCGACGCCACAGGCCAAAGTGCCCCCGGCCGCGAGAACGAAAAGGGCGAAGAGAAGAAGGAGAAGAGCGCAAAGGAGCTCGAGAAGGAGCGCAAGAAGGCAGAAAAGGACGCCAAGTTCAAGGCGAAGAAGGCGGCCGCAGCCACAGCTCCTGGGGCTGCCAAGGACGGTGGTGCCGCCAAAGAGAAGAAGAAGAAGGGCAAGGAGGAGGAGCAGCTGCCCAAGTATGTCGAGGAGACACCCAAGGGCGAGAAGAAGCGCCTGAGGAGCTTGGAGGATCCTTTCACCAAGGCATACATCCCCAAGGTCGTCGAGTCGGCGTGGTGTGAGTGCTGCTGCTTCCAGAATGCATGCCGTGCGTACTGACGTGAGCCAGATGACTGGTGGAAGGAGGAGGGCTTCTTCAAGCCCGAGTTCCAGGCGGACGGCAACGTCAAGCCAGCCGGAAACTTCGTCATCCCCATCCCACCCCCGAACGTCACAGGCAAACTGCACTGCGGACACGCCCTGGCCACATCGCTGCAAGACGTCCTTATCCGATGGCATCGCATGAAGGGCTTCACCACACTATACGTGCCTGGATGCGATCACGCTGGTATCGCCACACAGAGCGTTGTTGAGAAGATGCTCTGGCGGCGGGAGAAGAAGACGAGGTACGACCTTGGCCGACCTGCGTTCCTGCAACGAACAATGGAGTGGAAGGAGGAGTGTAAGTTAAAAAGACCCCTGCGAAGCTCTCTCACTAACCAACATGTCAGATCACCAGCATCTCACACATACGTTGAACCGCATGGGTGGCTCCTTCGACTGGACTCGCGAGGCCTTCACCATGGACGAGAACTGCTCGAACGCCGTGACTGAAGCCTTTGTCAAGATGCACGAGGACGGTCTGATATACCGCTCAAACCGACTTGTCAACTGGTGCACGCAGCTCAACACAGCGCTGTCCACCCTTGAAGTTGACAACAAGGAGCTCACGGGTAGAACCGTGCTCTCTGTGCCCGGATACGAGCGCAAGGTTGAGTTCGGTGTCCTTGTACACTTCAAGTACCCTATCGAGGGCACAGATGACTTCGTCGAGGTCGCTACTACGCGTGTAGAGACCATGCTCGGCGACTCTGGTATTGCTGTCCATCCCAATGACGAGCGCTACAAGCACCTGGTCGGAAAGAACGCCAAACATCCTTTCATCGACCGCCTGCTACCTATTGTTGCAGATGAATACGTGGATCCTGAATTCGGTACTGGTGCTGTCAAGCTGACTCCCGCTCACGACCCGAACGATTTCAACCTAGGCAAGAAGCACAACCTCGCTTTCATCAACGTGCTCAACGACAACGGTACCTTGAACAAGAACACCGGGAAGTTTGAAGGCCAAAAGCGATTCGATGCCCGATACACTGTTGTTGAAGAACTCGAGAAGGCAGGTCTCTTTGTCAAGAAGGAGGACAACCCCATGAAGGTGCCAGTCTGCTCAAGGTCAGGAGACATTATTGAGCCAATCATGAAGCCTCAATGGTGGATGAAGATGGAAGGCTTGGCTAAACCTGCCGTGGAAGCAGTCCAAAAGGGCGACATCAAGATTCGGCCAGCCACGTCTGAGAAGGTCTACATGCACTGGCTGAACAACATTCAAGACTGGTGTTTGTCCCGACAGCTGTGGTGGGGTCACCAGATCCCTGCCTACTTTGTCAATGTCGAGGGTGAAGACAACGACCGGTCGGCCAACGACCTCTGGATCACCGGACGGACAGAGGAGGAGGCACAGAAGAAGGCGGCAGAGAAGTTCCCTGGAAAGAAGTTCACTCTGGAGCGGGATGAGGACGTGCTCGACACATGGTTCTCATCTGGTCTCTGGCCTTTCGAGACTCTCGGATGGCCAAAGCAGACCGCAGATCTGGACAAGCTCTTCCCCACATCTGTGCTAGAGACAGGTTGGGATATTCTTTTCTTCTGGGTCGCCAGGATGATCATGCTTTCGCTACATCTGACTGGCAAGGTCCCTTTTAAGGAGGTCTACTGCCATTCGTTGATCCGCGACTCGGAAGGCAGAAAGATGTCGAAGTCACTCGGTAATGTCATCGATCCCGTTGACATCATGGACGGTATCACTCTGCAAAAGCTGAACGACCAACTGCAAGCGGGTAACCTAGATCCTAAGGAGTTGAAGACTGCCGAGAAGTACCAGAAGACGTCGTTCCCTCAAGGTATCCCGGAGTGTGGTGCTGATGCCCTGCGCATGGCACTTGTCGGATACACAACCGGTGGAGGTGATATCTCGTTTGATGTCTCTGTTATTCACGGCTACAGGAAGTTCTGTAACAAGATCTACCAAGCAACAAAATACGTACTTGGCCGACTAGGAGACTTCACTCCTCGTGCTAAGGTCACAAAGTCTGGAAAGGAGTCCCTGCCCGAGCGATGGATCCTACACAAGCTTACATCCTCTGCTAAGAAGATCAACCAGCACTTGGAAGCGCGCGAGTTCTCGCTTGCAACGCAGGTTGCCTACAAGTACTTCTACGAGGTAAGTAGAGTGTATACTCACTTGGGTAAGAATTTCGCTAATAGTGTACTAGTTCCTGTGTGACACATATATCGAGAACAGCAAGGCAATCTTCGATGATGGCAGTGACGAGCAGAGAGAGAGCGCCAAGCAGACCCTCTACACTGCCATTGAGGGCGGTCTGACCATGATCCACCCATTCATGCCCTTCTTGACCGAGGAGCTCTGGCAGCGTCTGCCACGACGAGAAGGCGACAAGACAAAATCCATCACCATTGCCGCATATCCACAATTCATTGAGGAGTTTAGCGACGAGACTGCCGAGACCGAATACGAGCTGCTCGTAGACTGCTCAAAGGGTCTTCGCTCCCTCGTAGCCGAATACGCCATCAAGGAGAACGCAACAACTTTCATCCAGCCCCTCAACGACGCGACACATACCTCCCTTTCGGCTGACACATCTCTCCCCTCAATCCGATCCCTCGCCGGAAAATCCGTCTCCAATATTACTATTCTCGCGCCCTCGGATCCTGCGCCGACGGGTTGCGCTGTGTACACTATTGGCTCCACGGCAACGGCGTACCTCGACGTCAAGGGCCGCATCGAGATCGACAAGGAGATCACCAAGGCTCAGGATAGGCTCAAGAAGGCGACTGAGACGATTGAGAAGCAGAAGCAGATTATGGATGTTGACTGGGAGGGTAAGGTCAGCGATGTTGTCAAGGAGCAAGAAAAGGAGAAGCTGAAGGGTGCTGAGATCGAGGCGAGGAACTGGCAGGCGAGTATCGAGCAGTTCCATAGCTTGAAGTTGGAGTAGGGTACACGAGCGATATATGTGTCTTGATAGATCCAGATAGTCACAACGACAAACCAACCAACATCTTCAGTCAGTCAGTGAGTAAGTGGAGGGTATATATGTATATCCAAGCAACCACAAAATCATACTTTCCAACACTCCATCCCCCATTCCTACCTCCCCTTCCCCAAATACTTCTCCACCTCCGCATCCACATCACAATTCGCACCATCCATCTCTTTCACACACAACCCCGGGATCTCAACACCCCCCAGCGTCCGCACATTCACACACGTCGTCCCCGCGTGGTACGTCGGGTCCACACTGCGCGCCATACAGTATGTCCCGCATGTGTCGCAGAAGTAGTGCGCGATGCGCTTTGGGGTGAAGGTGTAGGCCTTGGTTTTGGTATCAGCACATACGTACATCTCGCTCAGGGATGCATAAGCTGGGGAGAAGTTTCATGGGAAATAGTTAGAAACGTACTTTCAAATCCTCCAATTTCCCCGTGGTAAATTGCACCGCCGAGTTGGGCGGGTAGATGAATAGCGCGCCGCTGCGTATGCAGATACTGCAGTTGCAGGAGAGGACGCGGGTGGAGGGGTGGGTGAGCGCGGGGTGGAGTATGGTGTAGGTGTGGGAGGCGCAGTGGCAGGAGCCTTTGTACTGGGGGTGTGGGGGGTTAGATGGCTGGTTAGTAAGGGGGGTGGGAAGGAGGGGGGAGGGGGAGGTACGGTTTCCATCTCCACGGGCTCGGAGGTGGTGGGTTTGGATGTTTCTGTCGCCATGTTTGGTGCGGAGGAGAATATATCAGCTTTGGGTTTCCAGAGCTAGAGATCGCAAAGAACTGTCTGTCTATCTATACCCAACAGCTCACAGACGGTGATCTTTTATACACCCTTCGTCATCAGAGGATGGCTCCCCCGCATCAGCTCCTTCGTCCTCGCTTCGGTTGTCTGCCTTGGCTATACGTCCTTCATCGCGCTCTGTCTTGCGTCGTGGCGAATCAGATCACCGGGCGCGGGAGTGGGATCGCGCTAGGGATGCGAGGTCAGCTGAGGTGGGTGTTTGGGCGTTGGCGAAGGCGTGGGTAGATTGAATGTTGGGGTTGTGTTTGTGGGTGGACGGGTGTGCAGGGTCGATATGGGAGTGGATACTGTGTTGAGGTGTATGTATGGTCTACACTACGTGTTGTAGATAGGGATAGTTAAGAATAGTCATGTCTGGAAAGTATGGCGCAAAAGGGTGGGTGGGGGGAATCTTGCCTCTTGTTTCTTGTTTCTTGATAGTTTTGGTGTGTGCTACTTTCACTGCACCTGCATTGGAAGCGTGAGAGACGTGGGATCTGTGCATGTATTGATTGGTAGGTGTATGTTCTTGGATGTCCATCTGTAGATGGTTTGTATCGACTGTGGCTGTAGGTGCATTGAGTCTGTGTTCTTTGAACACTACGCGTGCCTTTGTGGCCCTTTCACTGGTAGCTTTCTGTGGTGGTCCTCCAATAGAGGTGAACTTAGGTAAGAGAATGGAATGTGGAGATGAAAATGCTAACGATGATAGAGTGAGTCTAGCTTAGATGAATTGAATGGGACAAGGCAGGCTGATCCACGCAGCACTGATTACACAAGACGTTAGTAGCTCTGATGACAAGTTATACTAAAGCGTATCACGTCGTATAGTACCACGTTTGGCCTAGAGCAAAGAGGCAATAAATATGAAAGTTTATCCCTTCTTTGAAACTACTACCAGTAATATCTTGAACAAGACCACTGCTTGACCAGAGAAATTGCAGACCTGAGTGGAAGGTCGAGACCCAAGAGAGAAAATTGATGGGATTCGTTTCCCAATGATAAATATGGAGGTTTGCAGGGGAAAATGAGCCAGGCAAAACGGCTTCTGCCAAACGTATTATGCTCGGGTTGCTCCTTTGAAGTTGTTCAGTTCAAGTATTTCGAACGAACGGACAGCGGGGCGGAAGTAATGACGGAAAGCGCAGTGTGATTAAACACTTGTGCCCATCAACAACTATCCAAACGGCACGGAAGAGATAATGAGACAAGGACAATCAAATGAAGTCTCTCGAAAGCTCTGTATGGTTTTCGATTTGAAGTATCCTTGGTGGTCTCCAGATTCGACAGATCTGGGTTATATTCTTGATCGTTCCTACCCTTTTCGAGGACAATCTCCATTGTGGAAAGTCCGTAGAGCTACTTCATTGATGTTTCACAAGCCCTTGTAGATTACGTAGTCTACAAGCCCTGTATTAGTTGCAGGTACGTATGTGTCTAAAAACCCTGTAATACCAATTTATGATGCCAAATAGGAGTTTAGACAGCAACTACCTGTCAAGTATAACGCTGATTGCGGTTCGAATAGGGTTATGCCCCTCGTCTATTAGACCTTCTTTAAAAGCAAACAATGGCTTGGGTGGTTGTCCAATAATGCTAGGTGATTCAATCCACCGAAATTTCTCCCACAAGGAGTTGAGAACTTAGCAAATGGATCTCAATATATTTCTCCCTAAAATTGAGTCCAACCTCGGAAAGCGTCATGAGAAGCACAAATGGTTATCGAGAGCCTTTGTCTGACAAAAGACGGGAGATCAGCGACCCACTGACAACTTGTTCGTAGATCTTGATCCAAAGCTTAGCTATGAGTCGGAGGCGAAGGAACTGGAATACGATGAGACCCGCACGTAATTTGTGGGTCGGAAAACGGCGCCACTAACGCATATAAACCCGGTACCCGTTTCTGGGGACCGGCTCATTATCACGGACGTCTGGGCGGGTGGCGTGTGAATGTATCTCCGGGTGACCACAAAAAATATAACCTTCTAAACAATCTCGCGATCCTATGCTTTGTTCACTTTGACGCACCTGTATGCGCACAAAAGTCGTTTGAGGGAATACTCATTTGAGCCTACATTTTGGGACTTTAATACTTCTGGTTCAAACAACATTCAGGCCTTTTGCCCCTTTCTACCAGGTAAGAGGGCCGCCTTAAGAAAAATACATGAACTTTAGTTTGTTTTCATAAGGGGTTGCCACCACCAGAAAGCTTGAAGGGAAAAAGCTGGATTTCCGACGAGGTCGGTGAACAAAGTCGGAGATTCCATCGAAGATTCTGCGGATCGGGAGATCCATAGCGTGTTTGAAACCCGCCCGTGCCCGTCTCAGAACCTCAGATTAATTGCAACTCTCACGCTTGCGTAACTAGAAGGAAATGACTTGAGGCCTAGGCTTATGTGCACATTAGCAGCCCGCTGTGGGGAATTCGTAATGCCTCGCAAATTGCATGTTTCCGTTCACTTCTTAAACAAAAAAGCCCCTCTGCATCTTGCCTATTCCCATCACTCGTTTCATATCCAACATTCGTTCTTATCCTGTCGTTCTTTACAAGCAAAATGTTTTCCAAGGCTGCTCTCTTCATGGCGCTGGTCGTCCCCGCGCTGGCCTCGCCAACACCGCAAGCAGTTACGCTTGGAACCTCTGCGACTCAGAAGCCTACTCAACTGTGCGGCAAGGCGAGCAACGTCGCCTTGACTGACACCCCATGGATCGTCTACAACATGTTCTACAACCAGGCCCAGACCGTCGGCACCCAGTGCACCAACTACGACCACGTCTCGACCGGTTCAGATGGAAACAAGAAGATCACTTGGAGCAGTGTCACGAACATTGAATACGTCAAGGCAACGTAAGAGCCCATCAAACCGTCATTCGATAGACCACATTTGCTAATAACACCACAGTGACAACGTCCCCAAGGGTTACTCCTTCGTCGGCCTGACGCAGAACTTGGAGACCAAGCTCTCGGCCATCAAGTCCATCCCCACGACCTACGACTGGACCCGCACCAACACCACCGCCTACAAGGGCAACATCGCATTCGACTTCATGACCTCCAACACCAAGGGCGACTCGACCTCGTCCGCCTCCCAGGAGCTGATGCTATGGCTCGAGTACACCGGCGGCCAGCTGCCGATCGGCTGGTCTGCCGGCCCCAAGGCCACGATTGCCAGCCTGTACGGAACCAGCTGGAAGCTGTACCAGGGCAAGAACGACGACACGGGTATCACCGTCTCGAGCTTGTTGCCAGATACGCAGCTCAAGAGCCCTTTCAGCGGCGATCTTAAGCTGTGGTTGACTGCGTTGGTTAAGCTTGGCCTGTTCACTACTAGCACTTACGTCAATGTTGGAAACGCGGGTACTGAGCCTTTCTACGGACATGCGATTATGAACGCTACCCTTGGGCTGCAGATCAACCTTTAGAGTGTGTGTTGTGGGTGAGGAGGTATTTCAGTTCAGGATTTTCGTGGGCTTCCACTTCGTAGCATTGCATTGCAGAGTAGCTTGATAACAAATCATTTTGCAGTTTAGAGCCAACCAGTTTCCCCTGTTGATCAGGTTGTTAGCATTGCTCATTAATTCCGATGTCCAGTCGTTGCGCAAGTATTTGTTCCTTGGCTGGTCGACGCTCTACGACTATTGTGGAGTCAGATTTCAACTGCTTAATCTTGGCCTGTTTCCTACTTGACTTATCTTTGTCGTGATTAAGTACGGATTCTACTCCATCCAGAAGCTCACTGTTCTATTGGCGTTGCTGATAGTGTCTGAGACCTGGAAAACATGTACTCAATAAGTAACAGGATACGAGTTTGTCCACGAAAGAGATGAATTTGTGTATGAATAACAAAAGGTGGCTCATGAGATGACAAGGTTACCATAGGGGTGTTTGGAAGATGATCAGTATCAGTCACCAACAATGAAATCACTTATGAAACGAAGACGGGATGTACTGTTTGGAGGGTTGACACGATTGATGAACAAGGTAAGAATACGAAATACAAATCTGTCTAGAGACTATGTTAAGTATTTCACTGATGAACTACTCTATAGTTTTATGCCGTGAAATAAGGCCCGTTCGTGTATAGAATCGGTGATGCTGTCGTTCGTGGTTATGCCATTGTGCTAGCATAGTTTCGATTCCAGAGCAGATGCTAGATGCTGAAGCCCAAGCCTGTACTGAGGCATTCGATTCTTTCTGCATTCGAAAAGAGATCATCAGGAAATGCGGAACATATAACTAGTGTAAATTCGTTAGTCATCTGTCATCCAGCAACTGGAAAATGGAACTCATCTGCTCAATCGGAGTCGAAGTCCTGATCACTCTCTAAGTTGTCCTCCGCAGAGAAAATCTCTTCATCATCCCCCGTGTATTCCTCCATTTCCCTGTCCAGCCCGAAAGGGTCCAGGTCGTGGAACATGGCAACCTTTGTGTTGCCCTTCTCATTGAGCCACTGCAGACCCTTCCTGCTGCGCACGAACTCTTTCAAGCAGTCTCGCGCATCTCGACCAAGCGAATCATAACAGATGAGTCTCTCCAGGCCCGTGCACTCATCCAGCCTCTCAGGTATAGTATCGATAGTGGACAAGTTCTTGACTCCCTTAAAGGATACAGTCGTGATACATTCCAACTGCTCTTCCGAGATGATAGACAGCCAGTAATCGAACCAACCGGCGTAGGTAATCTGGAAGATACTCAATTGGTAGGGAAGAAGCTTGGTCTCGGCGTGAAGTTGACAACAAGTATAGCTCAAATTGAACAATTTGTCCCAACTCATAGTCGTCTTTTCGCTAGAATTGTATTGTCTGCAATCCATGTCTAGAGTGTCGGATTCGGAGCATGTTTCTGGGTGAATCTCGTAACCGCCGATTGCAAGCTCATAGATCCGATTCCGCAACTCAGCAGGAAGGCGTAGAAGTGGCGACGTCTCCTGATTCTTGCGAGTGCTAGATCAAGTCAGTCATCAACCTCCAGCCTTCTACCTCACCATCACTTACATGGCCTCCATCTTCGCCTTCACGTCCGCTACCTCATCGCCGCTCTTCGGCTTCTTCTCTAGATGACCAGCAGCCGACTCAGGCGCTGCTCGCTTCTTCTCGCTCGTCTTGATGCCGTCCATGGTGGGTGTCGTTCAGGTGTTGCTCTCGTTCAGTCAGGTGTGAGAAATCTGAGTCCAGGTTATGGGTGAGGGGAGGGCAGGTATATATACCCATAGGGCGGGCTGATGGACGTCATTGGTACGAAAGTGAAAGTGGAAGTGGAAGTAAAAGTGAGAGTGAAAGGTAAAGTGAAAGAGAAAACGAGCAAGATATCGATCAACACAAGACGCGCTAAACGTACAAACAGCCACTCCCATCTTGCAAAACACCACACAGCACAGCCTCCCCACGATCCTGAACCCTCAATTGAACACACCTACCCACTAAGCACACTCTGCACCCCCACTGTCCCCACATCCTCCCTCCGCGCAATAAAAAGCTTCAACTCCTGCGCATCAGCCCCAGCGCCCCTCAACCGATCCCTCAACGCTTCAGGCCCGATGATAAAAAGCGTGCTAACATCCGCCAATACATCCATCGCGCCCGTCTCGAGCTCGTCTCCCGTAGGCCACGCGCGCACAAGCTCAACATAGCGATTCATATCCTTCGACACACTCAAGCCACCAACCTGCGAAACTGTGAACTTAAGAAGATGAGCAAGCACAAGCGCGCGCAATCCCCTCGCGAGCTCCGCGCAGAAGAGCGAGAGATTGCGACCAGAAAGAGCACTAGAAGCTTGTGAAGCGACGCGGGTAAGAAAAGCGGCGACTTCCCTGCAGGCTTGGGTTTCGCTTGTGACCGCGAAGTCCTGGTCGTCTTTTGGGCGGAAGTCCGTCTTCTTCTGCTGGCTTAGACAGCGGCCCACCCAGTTCAGACTCGCTGTGAGGGTTAGGTTGAGGATGTTGGAGAGCTTGGATTCGAGCGTGGCCATGGTGGTGGTTGTTGATTTTTCGATTTCGCGGCGGATGGTGATGTTGGCTGTGCAGAGGGGGAGGAGGATGGTGGTTGTGGTTTGTTGGAGAAGGTGCAGGATTGTGGTTATTGCGTGGAGGGAGGGGAGGTGGGTTAGATCGGGGGGTGTTTTGGAGGATTCTTGAGAGGCGGCGTGATCGGATGCTCTGATGGATTGTTAGCTTTCTGTGGTGATATTGGAGGAGGGAAGAGAGTGACATACGCGTCTAGAGCTGTTTCGAGGTAGATTTCACCCATCTGCTGCAACAGTAGATTGAGGAGGTTCTGCACGTCTTTTGGCGTTTCATTGCCAGGCGACAGCTCGAGCCCACGTCCAACACCTTCTGCCAGCCACTTGAGCATTCGCTTTGCAGTCGAGAGCGACAGTTTGCCATCCTCATCGGTGACTTCAATTTCTTTCTTCTCTTGCTGGTCTTCTTTCAAGCCAGCAATGCGAAGAAGTGTCGCCTTTTGACTGGCGGGCAGCTCGGTACTCTCCAAACGATCCATGTATGCATCTCGAGCAGACGCTGCGAGCTCTTTACCTCGCTGAGCGAGCGAGCCAAAGTACGAGGTAGGCATTTTCCGCCGCCGAGAGTGGTAGATGGTGAACTTGAGAAGAAGAGAAGAGTACAGTTCCTCAAGATTCTTCTTCTCTCGCTCAATATAAGACGAGCCAACAAAGTAAGGCGAGAACAGCTCGTCAAGTTGTTGATCGAGCGTAGCCGCAATCTGTGATGTTACAGGTTCGGGGTGTTCTGTCAAGCCGTGTGTTTTGAGGTCGTCGACGAGTTGGGTGATGTAACTTCTCGATGCCTGCAAAGAGCGCAGAAAAGCCAGTGAGGAAAGCTCACCTCCCTTTCCAAGCACCATCTCGAGTCTCTGTTGTATTGACTGCTGGAAGATGCGTTCCAAGAACTTGACTAGAACCTCCTCGTAATACGGGAATGCCCTCTTGATGATTGCAGACTCCTCCTGCACAACGATCTTGACTTCATCGATCAATGACTGTAGCGTAGGTTCGACACCTGGTGGCTCTGCATCCGGATCTTGAAGGCGGTCCCAGGTTTCGGCGTCTGTTGAGAGCTCCTCGGTGATGAGCTGGTTCCGGTCGATGAAGAAAGAGTGCTGGTTGACATAGGTAGCAATGACACTAGATCCTTCGTTGAAGCCTCTGAGTGCAACTGCGCACTCTCGCATACCATCGTAGTTTGGCCGTCGATAGCACTCGTCGAACCTGCTGATCAAATCCTGCTCCAAGTTCTCCAAAAACTTCTCGATGACTTCCTTGGTGTTGTGCTTCATTATCGTTACGGTCTTCCTCCTGCCCTTGGTACCATTCTGCGCCTCGCCATTGGTGCGTTGACCGCTTTCTGGGTCAAGACGAATGCTTATTCTCAGTAGCTGGCGGGCGATTTCAGCGCATCGCACAATGTTGCCACCTCTCCGATGGTCCTCGAGGATGTTGAGTTCGCCCCGTTCGCTGACTTCTTGCCAGCATTCGATCAAAAACTTTGCGTCGAGGGCCCTCTTCCGCTGGCGGTCGATCTCTTCGAGTCTCTCGCCTATCCGCATAGCAACATTCCCCCCAGCGTCTGTACCCCCCTCATCACCCCCGTTCAGCGAGCTGTCCAGCCTCTGGAAGCGATCAATGGCCTGCTCGAGTCTCCTCCCCAAGGACTCGACATTCTGGTTGTGTTGGGCTTCGGCACGCCTCACGGTTCCCGACAGCTCGTTCTCCTGCTCTTCAAGGTCTTCCGAGAGATTGTTGAGTCGCGTCAGGGCATGTTCGAAGTTGCGGATGAGCGGCTTCGGGTCGAATGTCTGGTGGGCGGAGTTGGCGCCTGACTTCCGCGATGAGGGTACGGCTGTGTCGGACAGCTCCTCGATGAAGTCCTTGACTATAAAGTCTTTGCTCTGGGCGTGTTAGTCGTGCGACGAGGGTTGCGCATAGCTTCAAGACATACAGAGAAGGTGTTGAGAGTGAAGGCTGATCCGCGAATCGACATCCTCGAGGTAGTATGCACGAGCATCCTAGGCGGCGCCGTCGCCTCCCCACTGGGCGTCTGCATGGTGGATACTAATGTCAATTGCTAGAGCTATTGTCGCAGTCGGCCAGCTATCATCTTCGTGGAGCTTGAATCTAGGAACCGCGGCGGAACCACAAGTTGTTAGACGCACTTCATATGACCAGCTATCCCACCATGCATCTGCACAAAATATCCCCCCGGGCAAGTCGTTGATCCGCAGAGTGGTGTAGTTGGGATCAGCACCATTGGCCTGGAGAGTGAATGTGGCTTGTCGCGCCCCGCGTCCTCGGTCCCTTGCATCTGACGCGAATCACCAGCAGCGCGAGCCGAAGAGTCAAGGGGAGCTCATGCAGCCTTCCCTCCTTCGAGGATACACACAAAGGTACTTGCACGTGCTCCCGCTCCAGCTCCAGCATTCCTTTGCGCCATCTGCACTTACGACGACGACCGCGCAATCCCACAAAGGCTGAGCCATGTCGTCGACTGGGCCTTCCGCTCGGCTGCCACGGCCGCACCAGCCACATCCGGATTGCATATGATCTCACCTCCTCCGCCGACTCGATACACGTAGCGTTTATTCTCCCATTCAGTCACCCGTTTTTGCCGCTCCACCCGACTCGCCGCATAGACAACTTGTACAGCAGCCGGACTGGCAACGCAGTACCCAACACGTCGCCCGCAATGGCAGCCACCGGCCTAACCGCGACGCAAGAATCCGCCTTTCGCAGGAGTCAGCTCACGCCCTCGCAACGCGAACAACTCCTGAAGCCCTTTCTCCCCGACGAACCCGATGAACCGTCCAAACTGCTCGCCGCCAAATCAAAAGCAAAGGCCCGCGCGACGTACAAATCATCTGCCCCGAAACGTTATGGGCCCGTCAAGACGGCGCTGCACTTCTTCATCTACCACACCATTGCGCTGCTGTTCTCCGTCTTCTTCCGCTTTCGCCGCGCCTACCGTCTCGTCAGGGGCAAGATTGTCGAGCTGCTCAAGTACCACCACCGCACGCCCGAGTTCATTGCGCACGATGTGAAGAATTTGGAGAAGCTGCCCAAGCACCTGAGCGTCATTGTGGACTACCAGGAGGACGACGAACACCAGGGGACAGCAGGGCTGGAAGGTCTGGTGAACGATGTGTGTGAGATAGCAGCTTGGGCGGCGAGCGCAGGCATCCCCTTTTTGAGCGTCTATGAGCGTACAGGTGAGTTCATGCCAACCCCCTATATAGTCTACAGTACGAAGGGACTAACAACCCACAGGCGCGCTCAAAAACTACCTCCCCCAAACACACTCCAGCATCTGGGCCACGCTCGAAGCCTACTTCGGCCCGCGCCGCAAGCCCACACTCTCTCTGCGCGCCCCCCATCTGAACACCTACTCGCCGCCCAACACACCCCCGCAGACCGCAGGCCTAAGCGGCGAGGATCCATTGGAAGAACGCCAGCATCTTACTGTGCTTCTGCTCTCCGAGCACGACGGCCGCGATACTATCGTCGACCTGACACGCACGCTTGCTGAGATGGCGCAAAAAGGTGACGTGCAACAGGAGCAGATCAACGCCGATCTGATCGATGCCCAGTTGAGCGACCATGTCTCCAGCGAGCCGGATTTGTTGATCCTATTCAGTCCAACTGTGCAGCTAAAGGGTTACCCGCCATGGCAGTTGAGGCTGACGGAGATCTTGTAAGTGTCATTTTTTTGCTCTTCGCAACGTTCTCAGCTAACGATATGCCTTCTAGCCACCTCCCAGATAACAAGGGCGTCAACTATCAGGTCTTTCTCCGCGCGCTTTACAACTTTGCAAAGGTTGAGATGCGTCTTGGGAGGTAGAATTTATATTCTGTGTCCTGCTTGTTTCCATATCTTACCAATACCCATTCCATAATACTTTCTTGCCAATGCAACGCATGGGCCTTGTACCATGTCCAAAACTGCTACATGAGTGAGATGTTGGAATAGAATGAAGTCAAGAAAATAGGAGAGATGAGTCGTCACACCGCAGCAAGATGGTGTGGAGGTATCTTTGATGTAGTTAAATGGTGCTATGTACACCATATCTTCATGCCCGCCGTGATCGCTTTTGTGCGTCACAGCCATCAAGGGTAATGCACCTAACACCTGGATTCGTTGTAGGTCATCAAGTACATCGTCCACCCCACAAAGAAACTCATGCAACCAAGACCCAGACCATTTACTTGAGAGGAATGAAACGGGAAGAGTGAGTGGCACCAATACCGGGCCTTCCGTGCTTGACGGGCTTGCTGTTCAGTTGTTAGCCATTGCTATTCCTCCAAAAGATCCAGCATCGGAGTTACGCACTATGAGATGGAGAACTCTCCAAGGTAGTGACCGACCATCTCGGGCTTGATCTCGACCTGGTTGAAGTCCTTGCCGGAGTAGATGCCGATGACGCTGCCAATCATCTCGGGGACGACGATCATGTCACGGAGGTGGGTCTTGACGAGGTCGGGCTTCTCGTTGGGCTTGGCCTCCTGCTTCGACTTGCGCAGCTTCTTGATCAGACCCATGGGCTTGCGCTTGAGACCGCGGTTGAACCGACGACGGGCACGGGCGTGGACGAGGTCACGGAGCTCCTCCGAGGAGAGGTCGAGGAGCCTATGCATTCATCAGCATGCTATCCCTTGTAGTGGCGACTAGTCCAGCGGAGACTGATATTCCACTGTATCTGGGTAGACGTACTGGTCGAGGTCGACTCCACGGTAGGAAAACTTGCGGAACGCTCTCTTCCTCTTGAGCTCTGCAGAATGTCTCGTCAGCCCATGTCCTTCACTCCGCGAGTGGTATATCCCTCCGCTAAAGCACCCCTATCTCCATGTCGATGTAATTCAGGCGGTATTGATTCTAGTCTCGAGGTTCGATCGCAGTCGGAGCATACGTGTATATGTGGGCAGGCATCGTGGGGGGGGGAATGGGAGCATACCGGCAGCCTCCTCAGCGTTCTGTGTCGCGATTAGCGGACTGCGATGTTGTTTTGAGACCACAATTACTCACGTATTCCGAATCAGCCATGGTTGCGATTGTCGAAGTATCTGGACAGTGAACTTCGATGGGGTCGGTCGCTGGTGGTTAGTGTCGAAGTTGGCTGTCGTGAGATGGAATTCGGCAGGCACAGTGGTGTGTGTCGCTTATTAACCCCAATCAGGACGACCTACTGGTTTGGTCTTGGCAACCCCATAACAAGCCAGTCAGATCAACAGGTCAATGAAGTGCATAATAGAAAGTGAGTAAGTATTGAGATGTCCTGATAGAGATTAGTATTACTGAACACACCTCCTCAAATAGATTATACAAGTGAAGTTGGATGTTTTGACTGTTCCGATGCTCGACATCTCGCAGATCAAGTTCGCTGTTACTCATGACTCATGGTGGTATAATGATCATTAAATGGAAAACAAACTTGGTCACCAGAATCACAGTTCACCATCGTGCATTGAAATTGAGGGGTGCATGGCTTCATTCAGGGTATCTTAGCAAGCAACTATCTGAGTATTGCCGCAATATCGTTCTCCATATCCCATTGATCGCGCGCTCGACACCGCCCAAACGCACAGATTCGTGCCGCATGATTCTCGTGAATATCGAGAGATTGGCGTGATCATACTTCGTAGACAGAGGATGGTTGGCAATGCGCTTAGTCGAAGAGACCGAAACCCATGTCCTCGTCGGACTCCTCCTTCTCCTCCTCCTTGGCCTCCTCGGCGGGAGCAGCCTCAGCAGCACCGCCGGAAGCAGCGGCGCCACCAGAGGAAGCGCCACCACCGGAGCCACCAGAGGGAACGGAAGCAAGCTTGGCGGAACCCTCAGAGATGAGCTGGAAGACGTCAGTGTTTGTTCCTTGCAGATTGTCAGGTCTGGTAGCCTGCAATGTGCGCATACCTGGTTGATGTCCTTGCCCTCAAGCTCGCTGATGAGCTTGTCGAGACGGTCGCTGTCAGCCTCAATACCAACAGACTCAAGGACGGCCTGTTCAGAATGTCAGAAAGCGAACTACCAAAAGCCTGGTGACTATTCTAACCTTGACGTCAGCAGCAGAAGGCGAGGTGTTTCCACCGAGGCCGAGAAGGAGGTAGGCTGCGAGGTGCTTCATTTTGACGGTTGGTTGTAGATGTCGTTTGGTGGGAACAGGAGTTCAATCGATTTAACCTGTGGCTATTAGTACACGTGTTGCAGATTTCAGCTGAAGAGGTGGTGCGCACCGTATGACCGGAGACTGAAGCTACAAGTTCTGTCGTGGTTGTCGATCGAGAGAAAGTTCGAATTCGCGGTTCAAAATCGCTGGTGGGATGGGAAAGGCGCCAAGCGCTATACAGCCTAGCGCGCGGAGCGGAAAATCAAGCGACAGCACGTGATGCTGCCTCGAAGCTTTAAAAGCGCTGCCTTTGCGCCGCCACGGTCCTCCTATTCCTCCTTCGCTCGCTCGCCTGTCCAGTATCTTACCACCGCCGCGATCGCCCCGACCGAGCCGTCTCAACCGTCTTCCCGTCGATTATCCATATAGCGGATATCTTGCCCTGGGAAGCATGTACGACTTGCTCTCCAATCGATACGGCTGGTAACACTGAGTCAGACGCCTATCAAACGCCCGTCATGAGCGTGAGTTACGCGCATCTCAGAGCACCAGATGAAGTGTATTAATCTAAGACACAGGCTTTCAGAGACATTATGTCCATAGTTGACCCGGCAGCGGCGAAGACGTCGGCTGCGCCCAAACGATCGTCATCTGCCGGTCCTCCGAAGCCCATACCGCGACCGGCTGGAGGGGCAAACGGAACAGCTCCGGCTCCCCAGCTGAAGCGCAAAGCATCTAGTCCAGCAGATGGCAGTCAAGTCAAGATTCAAAGAAAAGATGGTCCTGGCCAGCTCGGCCAGACAAACGGCCCTGTCCGCCCGGCTGCGACGCCCAGCGTGGCAAGACCGAACACACCCGCTTCTACCTCATCTATTCCATACCGTGGGACCGCTGCACCAGCGTCTACGAAGACTGCAAGCCCGATGGTCAAGAGACCTACAATCACACCACGCATGTCATCAGCCCCGTCCAAGCCACCTGCGCCCGCACCTAAGCCCGCTCCAACCATCACTGCATCGACCTCAGCATCGGCGGGTGCGCCCAAAAAGGGATATCTGGCTCTGCTCCAAAAAGCAAAGGAGAAGGAAATAACAAAGCCTGCTGCCCCTTCAGTCAAGCATGAGTCAACCAAGATTTTGACAAAGAAGGAACGCTTGGCACTCAAGACAGAAACAAACAATGGTGTCAAAGGAAAGAAGTCAGGGCCAGGAGTGCCTTTGAGGCCCACGGATGCCAAAGGCGATGCGTCAAAGGTGCAACGGAAGCCTGCCGAAGTCGGCTATCAAGGTACTGCACGCCCTACCAAGAAGCCTGAGCCTATGGGATACAAAGGAACTGCTCGGCCAGGCAGCGCGCCCGCGCCTTCCAGTCGGAACGGAACACCTGCCGCCAAAGCGAAACCAAAGCCTGCGAAGGGACGCTACGATGGATATGTGGAATGGTCTGACCTCGATGATGAGGACGTCGACGAAGAAGAAGACTATGAGAGCGATGCCTCATCCGACATGGAGGGTGGAATGTGGGACGTGGAGCAAGAAGAACAGTTGGCTCTCAAGGCTGCAAAGAAGGAGGATGCCGAGGCGCTTGCAATGGAGTTGAAGCTCAAACGAGAGAAGGAAGAACGGAAACGAAAGCTTGCGGCGATGTCGAAAGTCGCTGCTACCAAGAGGAAGTTTTGAGATATCTTAATGTTGTTCTACCACGGGAGTTCCGGATCACGATTACATGGCATACCACGGTGGGGGCGTTCATCAATATTACAGCGACTGCATAGCTACGGAGCTCGGGCATTTACGGGCGGTCTTTCTTTCGATTTGGCGTATTGCACAATTGTGCGCGTTCCTGGATCAACGATTCGAACATCATAACAATAGGCAGTCCATTAGACGAGGCTACAGATAGTGTATAGTTGAGAGGGTGTTTGGCGATGGTGCCTCTAACCTCGAGAATTCATCATGGTAGAATGTACGTACTCTACGTTTACTTCTTGCTTCCAACCTATATGACTGGTGAGTGTGCTGCACAGGGTATTCATTTCGATCACCTTTTGGCCTCGATACTCCTTGCATCACCACACCCCCTATGGCTCTGATGTTTACATGTGTTCCTTCCGTTCTCCATAACTCTGTGCCAGTTGCACTCCTTTCGTGTTCTCCACTTCACATCTTCCCCCTTCACGTTCGATTCTTCAATCATCACTTTCATCCCCCAAGAACCTATGGATTTAATGACGCTGCACTGTCGTCAAGATCCACTTAAAGTACACAGCATCAGAGTTGTTTGTGTGACATTCATAGCGAACAACACATCCACAAACGAGGCTCAGTCTGTGAACTCTGAACATGTGGACATGTCAAACAACACATCGTGTATCCTCGTCCGCTGGCTCTAAAACCCAACACATACACTCAAGGCCTTCGTTACTTCCAAGTATAATGTCAGACTCTAACCCGCCTCCACCCAAGCACATTCTGCTGCGCACCCGAACTGAAGATATGTCGCCGTTTCTCCAGCGACTTCGCTATCCATTTCGACGCCGACCTCACCCCACTACTCAACCTGAAATGATGATCGCGCGTCTGCAGGAAGAACGAGAAGAGCAGAGACTGCTACAGCTGAGAGAGAAATATCTTGACGACGTACGTCACACCACAAACGGCTCACACTACGAGCTCCCAGTGATCATGGACGCGGGGCCGCCAACTGTAGGTAGGTATCCCAACCCTGATGTGTATTGGAATAGTGGTATAATTGAGTCGAGCCCCGAAGATCAAGCGAGGATGAAGTGGGAGAGTAGACATGGACATACTAGGTATGGGAGATTTCCGGACGATCTCAAGGTCGAGACTGCAGAACACCGGAGAACGAAAGCGTACTCCCGAGGTCGGATGATGACAGTTGAAGACGTCGACAAGGCTCTGCATCAGGCCAGGCATCCTCAAATCCAGAGGAGATGGTCTCAAAGAAACGGGAATGGGAATCATGAAGAGAGGAGAGAAACAGACAATGATTCGACTGATTCGACTGTCATGCATTGGTTAGCACCTTCTCAGGCGCCAGTGTTGGGTGAGTCTGAACATCTTCTTGACGTTTTACCACTTTGAGCCGGCGACGAAGAATCCTAGACTGCAGTTCAGCTAAAAAAAAAACAATCTTGTAGATTTCCCGCATCTTTCAAAGCCATTTCCCAAGAAACCAAGACCTGATGAGCCACTTAGCCCTGGAAGCATAGAATGGGACTATTTCATGGACTTCCCGACCGAGTACGCCACAGCGATCAACGATAAGAATTCAGAGAATGGAGAGGTCACTCATCTACAAGGCACACCAATATCAGATCGAGTATCGGTCAAGACGCCATCACCTATGCCTATCTCTCAAGTAGACGGTTCTCATACCCAACCGGACACTTACACCCCTACACTGGCACGGAGCGGAGCCTCAAACAAGGTGTCAGAACACGGACATATTGACCTAATTATGAAGGAAGCCAACAAAGACAGAGCGAAGACAAGCCCCATTGTTAATGGCGATGGCGTTTACACCTTCTTGCCTGCAACTAAAGCGGGTCTGGCGCCCAACTTCAGTTATCCGACTGTCGGGAGTACATTGTACAATCGCCAAACAGTTGAGCGGTGAGTACCAATTTCGATCAAATCCAGATGTTTTCAGTCATATTTTACAAAACCATAATGGATTTGGCAAATATACTGGACGATATGTAATCCGATATCTGCGACATGACTTGCTGATTTTACTCTGCGCAGGTTGCAAAACCAGGTCGAGTTGAATGAGAACATGTACCCGTACCCCCTCATGGTAAATGGGGAGAAAGGATCGTCACACTTGTCGAACGGTGTCACCAAAGACAGTTCCAGCAGCTTATACTCTAAGGACTCGCTGTATCGTCCACCCACGCCACCCCAAAATGGCAAGGGACATACACGCAAAACTCTCGTTGGTGTTCCGACGTCTCCCCACCAGGTGAACCATAGCGCCACTATAGCCAGCCAAGAAATGATGATCCACGAACTCCATGACACAATTTCTACCCTGAGAAACCGTGTCGTCGAGCTCGAAGACAGCGTCGTTCCACATCTCTCCGCCCGGCTCGAAAGACGAAACAAGAAGATCTCCGAATTGCAGTCAAGAATTCCAGAGTTACAGGAAGAAGTCATCGATCTAAAAATCGCCATAGATTTCGGTAATAAAGTGCTCGGTGGATGTTGGGTTCGAGAATGGGAGGTGTGGCGTACCCTTGCGCAAATCACAGAGAAGAGGCGAATAAGAAGCAACGGTCTATTATACAGGCTCTTCGCCTGTCCGAGGACCTTGGATTACAGAGATTTGGAGGGAGGTGATATGCCGACGGGGTATGAGTGGCAGATATTTGCTAACGGACCAAATCCAACGGGCTCGGAGAGGGTGTTGGCGCATATGAGGGGAGATCGTCGCCAGCGGGTGGATAGTGCATTGACGAGAAGGGACAGTGGGGGTTCGTTGTCGAATAGGGAGCTCGACGCTTTATATCTGATGGCTGGACAGAATTTAAGGATCTTGAAGGACGATTTGGGAGAGATGGTCAGGCTTGTGCAGGGGTGTAAGAGAGTTGCGATCACTGGGATACAGGATATTGAACCAGCGGATGGGTGGAGGGAGGTTTGATACCCAATTCTCTGTATTGAGAAACTTCATGTTTGTTTGGTAGTTGACCCAAAGGATTCTGTATGGACGGGTATATGTCTACGGGTTGAACATAAAACTCTTGTAGTTCTCCATGCATATGCATAACAAGTTCTCAAGACCTAACTATGAGAATTTGTAATGGCTCTTGCTCGACATGGTCAATTTTGTATACGAATAAAAATTTCACTACGATTGCTAAATGTTGATTTAGCCTTGGAAGTGAAGGCACCAACCGTTACTTTCTCAGACTCTGGCGAATGGTAGCGTGGCTCCTCCATGGACCACAGGCGGATACAAACTCTAGCCAGCTCTAGCCCAACTCGCTGCACCTAGCACAATAACGCAAAGGCTAGATCTCTGACGTCATTTCCATCACCCCTCAACCTCGTCCAACTTCACGCCAAGTATTCAAAAGCTTAACCTCGCATCTCTAATCCTTTCTAACCTAAACCTTACCACACATATCAGAAAATGGGAGACCCAGCACAGATCAACCGCTCCCTTGGGAATCTTCACAATGAACTCCAATACCTCGCATCAATTGGTATAATTTCTACCCCGCAGATGCAGTCAATCCAAGCGCAACTTCCTGTCAGCCTTCCCCTCCCTTCTATTTAGTAACTATGCTCAAATCTGCACAGCAAAATGGCCAGCCATCCCCATACGCCGACTCCAGATTCGCCGGGGGTGCCTACCAATTGAACCCTTCGCTGGTTGCTCAGCAAGCGCAAAACCCTAACAACCCTGCGCATCCCGATAATCCCAAGGTCAGTGGAGTGCCCTAGATCGTGACTTGTTTGGCTGGATAATGTAGCTGACGAGTTTGAATAGCATCATGAGTGGGCGAAAAACCTGGGGATGAAGTTTGGTAATGCGGCTGTTTATGGGGCTGGAGCTACTTTTGGAGCGGATCTTGTGAATGATGTTATGCGCAAGTTTTAAAGAAACAGCATAGTTGTGTCGTCTGCAAGAAGTGTGGGCATTCTTGTTTTCTAAACAGCCACAATATAGACAGTAGTATTTTGACTTGAAGTTGTGACGAAGTCTGGTTATGTGTGACTTGCCTGTTTGACTTTTGACGGAGCGCCTCAAGTGGATGGTGTAGATGTTCCGGGCGAGTTGTGTAGGTAGAAATCCAAAAAAGGTCTTTTTAGTCACTTCAAGATGATGAACAGAGGTATGGAGCATACAGTAGAACAGAAGAATGAGACTACACGTGTAGTAAAGCATATCACTGCAAGTTTACGTGCGAACAAAGTGATTGAGAGTACTTCCTAATCTCGAGAAATAACGTTTGTAATACACCTTTCCAAACTGATCACACATTCTGTACTGTGCCGCAAATGTAGCATTCATCCAGAGATATGAACATCCCAGAGACCATGTCCTTGATGCATGCATGACGACACACGTCACCTCGCAGCACATCACCTGCATACTTCACAACAATCCATCTGCAACAGTTGTCAGGTCTTTGAATCGTAATCCTTATATTCTACAAACAAACCCCGTCCAATGATTTCCCCACCGCTCATAGAAAAAGTCCTGCGCCGCGCGCAGGAAACCGCATCCCACAGCTGGGAATACAGCACCGTCTACGAAGCCCTCTTGGAATACCACACGCCCTCTCTCAGCATCTTCAGCTCTCCCTTTCCCAACCAGGAAGTTCCTGTGCTGGATGGTGAACAAGTACAAGCGCTGGAGTACATTAAGCCGTTTATCCGCACAAACACGACGACACTGTGTGATGGGAACGGTAAATTCCACCCTACTGTGCGATAATCTCTACTACCTTGTCGATTGATGAAATTATGCGTACAGGATCATCAGCCGACCCGGCTTCCCTTGGGATCCCCGCCCTCTTGGTTGGCAAAACGTCGAAAGCTGATCATGACGCCTATTCGAAGGCTGTGTCCCGACAACTAAACCATCTCTTGCACACCGTTCCTCGTCATGCGAATGGTGCCATATCGCATCGTGAGGACGCGGCTTCGCTGTGGGCAGACTTTGTGTATATGGTACCCCCATTTCTCGCTTTCTATGGCGTTTTTACCGATGATGTAGATACGATCAGGGAAGCAGTGCGGCAGTGCGAACTGTACCGTGATGTGTTGAGCACGGCCACAAGGGCGTGGAAGCACATTGTCAATGCGCAGGACGGAGCGGAGGGGTTGAAAGACGACTCAGGGCTGTGGAGTACGTCGAATGGATGGGTCGCTGCGGGGATGGCACGTGTTTTGGCTACGCTGCAAAAGTCTAGATTTGCGGGGGAGACTGCGGACGAACAGGCGTCGTTGTTGAAGATGATACAGCAAATCCTCGATGGAGTGATGGTATTCGATACTGATTCCTCGGGCCTTTTGCGCAATTACCTCGATGACGAGACGTGGTGGGGTGAAGTGTCGGGCACGGCGCTACTTGCTGCCACAACGTTTAGGATGGCAGTTTTGAAGCCTGGTATATTTGGAACGACGTATACGAACTGGGCGGTGCGCAAGATGGAAGTCGTAAGTTGTTGTATCGATGAAACAACGGGCATTGCGCAACCATTTGTCAATCCACTGAAAGAAGGGCAGAAGACACCGTTGGAGGGCGTGAGTCCAGAGGGCCAAGCTTTTGTGGTACTGATGTTTGCAGCGTGGAGAGATTGGAATGGGGACATGTGGAAAGATTCGTGATTAAACATCTACACGGCGAGAGCACCGACTCAGAGAGCTCGTCCTGGAGAGTTGGACGAACGACGCGGTTGACTGTGTGTACTGGCGTCTATTCCCAGCCCAGCGCTCGTTGCCGGCAAAGGATTTGCCACGAACGATAAGGACTCCCGCGAGGTGTTCTGGCTTAGAGACTGACTCAGAGGAGACCGACTGTTCGCAGAGTGTCGGTGGTCGAGTGGGACCACGTCCACGTGAGGTGTCGACTTTATCGGACTTGGTCCATCGCCCTCCACTCTCATTTCTTCCATCGAAACATTCCCCGACCGACCACTACTGTATTCGTGCTTCGGTCTAACCATCTCAAACCCTAGCTGGCTGTTTGCGATGAATCTGGAATGGCGTCCAAATCGGTTGTCCCGATCCTCGTCCTTTTCTTCCCAGAAACTCTCCCACCCCGCGAAGATCGGCAGAGCAAGTAGCAGCACTGGTAAGAACTGCCCAAAGTTCCACTCGCTCTCACTCCCTACAATATTCACAGTAGGCGTGCCCAGTGCCTGTGTGGTTTTGAGGCCGTCGCCTGCCATATAAAGTCCGTAGATGGAGTATATCGGCGCAACGATCCAGGTCCTGAAACTTGCACCAAGCCACCACCACCAAGCTTTGTTCGTTTGTTGTTCCTCTGGTTCGGCGAAAACGTACATGGCTAGGATGACGGCGACATGGCCACCGATGGCGCCGATAAGGAGGGCAGCCCATTTTCCACCGAAAGCGGCGGAGAATCCTGGTCGCTCGCCCTTGAAGAAACAAGCTAAGGACATGGAGAGATCAATATTTGCAAGATCGTAAGAGTATGAGACGAAGGAGGTGTAGCCTAGCAGCCCGAGGTTGCCCAACATGAAAAAGATACGCGGCAGGTTGATCCATCTGTTCTTGACAAAGTAGTTCCGGAGTGCGATGACCGCGAGCAAGTGGGTGACAGTCGTGAGGAACGCGAGCTCAGTAACGATTCGGAAGTGATAGACAGACATCTTGCAGTGCTGGAGCATCGCTGTGAACTGGATCGCAAGACCAGTCAAAAGCTGGGTGTCGCTAAAAGCAAGAAGGTTCTTGCTGAGAACGCGGGACCAAAAGGCCGGAGAGCGCCAGTACGTGGTGTACACGTGTATATGCGGTTCCTTATTTTTGGTGAAGGATCTTCTGTAGAGGTTGACAATAGTGTCATAACGGTCCAGAAACATGACCGCGAACGCGATCACAAAGGCAAGGCAGGTCGCAGCTAAGAATGAAACAACCACCTATGACGAGTTATGTTCTGAAGTGATTGTGACACAAGCATTAAACTACTTACGCCAATTCCAGCGATATCTGGGTTCGCCTCTACATTTTGCCCGCGTAATTGGCAGTTGGGATACTCATCCGCGCAGTCGAACACTTTCCAAGACATGTTGAAGTCAAATGTGCTTGAAAAGAAAATGGGTGGGCAAACGAAGATAAATATGTAGCTGAGAGCTGAACGAACAGTGCAGTAGTCTATGCTGTCAGTCAGCCACCCCAGACGCTATCGTTAGCCTTGCGGTGATACCGGAGTCTGGAATCTGTGGAGAGCCTGGAAGACAAGGCGACCCCAATAATCCCTGTCCCATGTTAATCTACTCTTTTTAACGCATATATTGCTTGCAAACATAGTAACAACACAGTCAGCAGAGGGCGGGTTGTGATCCATCGTGCATGTGCATCTGTGCTTTATTGGTGGATCTGGGGTTGATTGTACTGCGGCTGGCCCATGTGGCACGAGCTCCCGTCGTTGTGCTGCGCAACTCCATAAAAAGAACGCCATGGTCGCTTGATAGCGTGCATTCAGCTGCGGAACTGCAGAGCTGACTGCCCCACCAAATCACTAGTCTACGCCAGAGTTGAAATATAAAAAGCAATAAAGGGAAGCGAAGAGACCTGGCAACGCTCTTCCTCTAACTCCCAGAAACTACAGGTATTAATACGTTCTATTTTGGAATAACAGTCGTCAATATCCGAGCACTTCCCAAAAATTATGTGCGTCTAGATGTCCGTAATCGTAAGGTCGAATGCGTATGATGATTAGGAATGAACCGATGATTTGACCCATCGTGTGTAAATGAATATACGGATATGTGTCGTCGTCGTAATCTGCTCATTAAAAGGCAAACTCGATTGCTCAGTCCACACGGCCCTTATCGGAAGGAGCTGCAGAGGCGGCGCCGTTCGATTTGGCGTTCTTCTCTAAAGTCGCTTTGGGGATTGTCAAGCAGTTTATGCCAAGGTAGTTGCAGATACTCGTGATGACAAGGTGTGCCCATTTTCCGTAGACAATAGCAGCGAAGACGAAGTAGGCGCGAAGGTACCATAATTCAAAGTTCGCAGAAATGGGTCCAAAGGAAGTGCCTGGAATGGTGAAGTACTGGTGATTGACCAGCAACGCTCCTCCTATCATCGGCCACAACATGACTGTCCAGTACGGGAAAGGCTGGTGAGTGAGATGAGCAAGGATAATCTTGGTAGTCATCCGTCCAAAGACCAGCGACATGGTCAGACAGTAGAGGACGAGGTGGTTATCTTCGAGCAGGTGTGAGTGAGGTGATCCAAGCCAGGCCATGGTGCATGCGACAAAGACGACGATTGGCGTCCATTCATACATGGTCGGGGCAAAAGGCTGGTTTCTGGACCGTCTTGCTCGTGCAACATTGACAATGCACGCTGGGAGATGTGCGACGAAAAAGACGAATAGGATGATGGGTATCCATATTTCTTTCAGGGTGACTTCGCCAATCTCTGTTTTGTAAGATGGGAAGTACGTTGCAAGGGGAGTGGACCAGATCTCGGGGCCAAAGTAGCCAGACATGCAGATGAAGAGACACGCAAGTATGAGTCCCTCTGCAAATAGTTAGCAACCGCTCATAGATATGCAAGGGCAGCCCGTACCTGTGGGTCCGTTGAAATAGCCAAGATACAGCGTGTGGGTGTGGTATGTCTCCCAAGTTGAGAAGAACATGGGCAGCACCGGGATCAGAGCGGTGAAGGCGCCAATTTTGGTTGAGCCGTATCCAAGAGCTGCTGTTTCCAAGAGACTGGCCAGGGTGCAGTTTAGGGAGTCTATGCCATGGCTGCGGCTACGTCAGTTTTGGGATATTGGCGCATTGGGCTATTTCATCACGTACTCAAACAGCTCTCCTAACGGGCTTGATGTTCCGGTACGGCGCGCTTGCTTTCCATCGACGTTGTCCATGGTGGAGTACCTGCGTGGCGATGTCAGTACATGCCACAAATGCATTGAATCGGGTGTCCCTTACATCCACATTCCAAATGCGAAGCTGTAGTAAACCCATGATGGCGCCTGTCATGTCGATAAGTTTCGTGTCCCATGTGTGCAACCGGCTATGTGGCACTCACTGGTCCGACGAGATCCGGTATATAGAGCTCTAGCAATGCAATGTTCCCAATGATGAAGAAAAAGCCCAACAATGTGACCAGGTTCGGTGCTATCCAAAGCGGCAGAAGCTCGACGAAGCCATTCCACTAGCCACGCGTCAGATTGTTGTGATTGTGACACGATGCGAGAGTCGTACGTAGTGCTTGAGGATATAGCGGGAGATGTAGGATTTGTCGACGCTCGAATACTTGTATGTTTTGAGGTGCTGCAGCGCATCCTCCGAGACACACTCGTGCTGCGCGGTTTCTGTGCGTTCCAAAAGTATCAGCAAACAATTCTGGTGGCCCTAGAGACTGGGATGACGCGCGCCAGGAGGTTCGTACCTTTGCTCGGCGGCATCTTCGGGCTAGTGACGGGCAGTGGTAGAGACATGGAGGATGTGGGGACACGGAGTATTTATATCAAAAACCTGCGCGACCATGCAACGAGGGGTCCAATGTCTTGTCGCGTCGTGTGGGAGAGACGAAAGCGACCTGGACCACGGGCGTCAAACTTCAAGAGGAAGGAACGGGCCATTCGGTGCCTGCGCCTGCATGGATATTCGTGCCAGGGTTTGCATTACTCGTCATTCTTCTTGGCGCCTCCACGTGAAGCGCTATGGTGTGGCTAACGACGCTTGCTTCAACACCACGCATCCGGACACCAACGGCTGGTCCACGGCTCGGATCGTCATCGTCTCCAGAACGGACAGTAGTGATGATGAGCTTGGGTCACCCCCTGATTCCAATCCTTCGTCACTTATCCACACAACTCGTATCGCCGTTTAGCAGCGCCACAGTGCTTTCAAAACGCATAAGAAAGCGTAGAGTATATTGGCAGATGAACGTTCTTCGACACAGGCAGCTTCAACTCCAAGAAAAACCAGATCCTCGTGACTAAATCAGCTTGGAGACTATCATACAACTGGATTTCGAGCGTTGAAACCGTTAGGCCTACGGTTCTAGACAATGCGAACATCAAATCGACCTTGGTACACAACAAATTGCAATCGCTTATTCTTGTATTCCATTGTTCGCCAGTTGTGGCTGACCTATTTTCATTTTGACATCTCCTCATTCGAGAACTTGAACACACTCCAGGTCACCGTTGCGCGTCTTGTTTTTGTCACTTTTGCGGACCATTTCCTCTGCACCAGACTTCTCACGTCAGTCGCTTCTAACAGCCAAGAATCAAATACTTTCTTCTATTGCATTGCTACACAAATGTCGCATATCACTACTACCAAGCAGACGATTTTCCATCCAATCCAACTCAGCCCTCCCCATTTCTCCCAAACCCAAACACCTCTCTATCACCCCCATCCCCATCCCACAATTCGCAACCCTCAACCCAACGGAAACTGACACCGTCTCGCAACCGTCTCACCATCCGCTCTACACTGCTCGCATGGCGTCTGCGCATCCTGATGCGTGCACCGACGACTAAACGCCTGACACCGCAGACACTTCACAGCAGCGATGCGAGCCTGCATTATCTCAACCTCCTCACCTGGCGACACGGTCGTTGCGGGGGCAGCTGATACATGGGCGGGTCCAGCTGCTGGCTTGGATTGTCCGCATCCCATCTCGACGATCGCATCCTCGATTTTCTCAGTGTTGGGAGCCGGATTGGCGTTCTCTTCGTCATTGGTGGTGTTCGGCTTCTCTTCCTTCTTCTTGTTGAGTGCAAGCACATCGTCGTGCGTGAGGGAGAGAACCGTCGGGTTGAGCCTGAGCATGGTGGTTAGGTGTTTTGCTGTGGTTGTAGGGTGAGTACTTTGCTTGAGCAGTGAATGCTATATTGATTCTTCATGCAGAGACGGACATGAGGTTTTAAGCAGCGATTAAAGGCACAAACTTCATGGTATGGCACATGGTTGTGAATGTCAAATGATAGCCGCTGATGACTTGTGGTAGGAAACTGATTTCACTGTAATGCTGGAGTATGGTGATGGTGAGAGAGAAGCTTCTCCCCTGGACACAGTTGTACTATGGCTCGGTAAGTTGGGTATCACGGTTGCTGTTATCTTTTTGCATCTGTCGACTTCCGCAATCTTGGTGGTTCACTTACTGCGGCAGATTCTCTGCGTTCTGTTGCAAGGCACTGTCAGACCTGAGCAAACATGGAATCAACGAGCCTTCTTTCGAAATCACCATATGAAATTGCAGACGGTAGTTATCGGAACGTTATCCCCCATATCCACACTTCGCGTTACTCAATCCTTCCCATCACCAATGAACTGAGCTGTTCCCACCTTACAGCCTTTGAGTGATGCCATGACCTCTCCAGATTGAAGCATCATGTATCATCGATATTCATGTCATGTACAGCGCAGCAACGACAAAACTATCACATCCCGCCGGCCCTGCATAATACCAAGCCAAATATCAAGTTCAACATCATAACCCACATACAGCTTCTAACCAAGCAATACTTGAAGTTCCTAGTATAACATCTACCTCACGACACTCCATCACCGCTCCCCCTCCGGAACATTAGCCACGACCTTCTCCCGCCAAACCCGCGACGCATCTTCAGGCTGTACATCCTCTCGCTGATGATTGCTCCCCATAGGCGCAGCCGGCGGCCTATGTTGCTCCGGAACGGGAACAATGACGGGCTTGTCAGACTTACCACTCTGAGACTTCAACTTACATACGATTGTAGGAATGTCGGGCAATGCCATTTTAGTATTGAATCGTTGATCGACTGATGTGATGAATGAATGGATAGATGGATGAACGAATGTGGATGGGAAGGATAAGAGAGCGAGGGGAGAGAAGGGTTGGGAGGAGAGGGGAGATAAGTATATTGCCATTCACTTGTGGCTAGGTCTTTGTTGGAGAGGAGCATAGTTACGTGACTGTTGAACACTACGTGGTGCTTTGACAATGTCGATGCTGGAAGGGATGGAGGTGCGTTGTGAATGTCTGTGAACGTGAATGTGCATGTGAATGTGTTGTTTTTCTACCGTGTGCTGAACATCAATGTACTCCGATGTCGACACGTACGTACTACAAAGGACTGTGTGGAGTGTTAGAAACAGCGCGACATGCCAGGTACCTCACAAGCCTATACAACGATGCACCATCACCGTTCGTAGCGTGTATGCGTACCAAGACGTGACAGATACAAAGTCACATGGCAAACTGCAGTCCATGTGAATAAGCGTTTGCTATCGGAAGCGGGCTACTCATCCGAGCAACCGTCCATCTCATTACCATACATCATCCATCATGCCACATCATTTGCCATCCTCGCCCCGACCAAACCCTCTAAACCCCCCAACATCTCTCCTGAAAAACTTCCCAATGTTTTTCAAATTCTCGTTCACACTCGCCTTCGCGTCCTCCGCTACTATCTGCGGCGCCGGACTGCCGAATCGATCCACCCCGTCTCTCGCGGCGTTGACAAGCATGTTGCCCAGACCGGTGGGGTCAAAGCGAGCGCCTGGCACGCCACCGATACTTCCGGCACTTGTGTGTGTAGGTTGCATTTGCATGGGCGTGAGTAGAGGTGAGTTCTCCACCAAATTCTCGTGGTTGGGTGAGGCACGAAAGGCGGCAAAGAGGTCAAGGAGTTGTGTTTGCTCGGCCTTGCGGATCCCCTTGAGTTCGAGAATCTTGCGGAAATTGGTGTCGGACTTGTCGGCGATGTGGATGAGGTAGGCTTGCACGAGAGCTTCTGGGGGGGAGGGGCGGACTTGGAGAGTCTTGAGTAGGGGGTCAATTCTGCTCATGGCTTGGTTTGCACGTTTGACGAAGCTGTAATGATGGTCAGTATTGAGTCTATAAGCGAGAAGGAAGGAGCAAATGGACTTACCCTGCTGGCGGTGCTGTCCCAGGATCCTCGTTGAGAATCGGAAGCTCAGTGAAGCCCTTCTTTAAGACATAGGAATCAAGCAACATCTGCTCCGCACCGGCTTCTGAGATCGGCTTACTTTGTACAATGTTCGCAATGTACGTGGCAGCCATGAGATCGACGACACTATCGCAGAACGCTCGTGCGTATTGCTGCTTATGAAGGTATTTTGTAATTTCGGCTGATGTGTCTTTGACGTGATGCAGGAGCTCCGCAACGTACGAACTCTGGTCACCCACACTTTCGAGCTTGCTCCAGGGTGTGTTGCGCATCTCTCTCCAACTAGGCTCGCAGGCTATCTCAACTTTTCGGACCAGCACACGTACTGTTGCACTAGCAATGCCCATGAAAGCATCGGCCTGGTTCTGCAGGTCGACCTTTGACTTGAATTCCTCGTCGATTCGTCCCTTGATTTTCTCCTCTAGTTGATTGCAGGTAGCATAGCAATAGTCTGCAGTGTTAAGGATGAGAATTGCGTCTTCCAAAGAAGGCCCCTGCGCCCCTGGCTTTTCACCGAGGAAGTAGTATAGCACCTGTCGGCCATACTGATCCAGGTATTTGGCAAACGTGGTAGAAAGCTCCAACAGTCTGGTTCCGGTCGAGAGCTTGGCACATTGCGCCAATGTGAGACGGTAGAAGTGGAATAGCTCTGTCGATGAAGGAATAACAGCTTGGGGTGAGAAATCCTCCTCGGTATTTCTGAGTGGTTGCTGACGGTACTTTGGGATTAGAGTTGCAAGTTGCCTACATAGTTAGCGACGTAATGGAGACAATAGAGGCTGCACAACATACTTGTCCTGAGACTCAACCCAAAGGCTCATGTAAGGCTCGAACGCTTCAGAGATGATCTGAGTAAATCCATGCGGCCTGTCATCCTTGGATGCCATGGTATCGACGGAAGAGCGGGACTGCGTAATGTGAGCAAACAGGTGTGTATCATGTCAGGAGTCGAGGTTCACGAACCTCAGTAGCAAAGCGACGTTCCAGACTGTGCTCGAAGTCTAGTGTCTCCTGTAGACACGAGAGAAGCATGTCCACGTCCAAAGTCTGACCTTCTCCTTTTCGCATCGAACGCTGCAGGATAGCCTTGAAGTCGTCCCGTGTGCCTTCGCAAAAGGAGTTGGCAAGCATGTCATTCACTCTCCAATAGGGTGGGAATATTGAGGCGTGCTCAACATCATATGTCTTCATCATGCGATTGAACCACGAATATCTCCTCGAGATATTGTCTAACGAGCCGGCTTCATCGTTCCCGCGGAAAACCTGTCTGTACTCGCGGAGCTGAGTGTTGCAGTACCAGTTGACAAGGCGTATGCGGGCATGATCACCAAGCGCATCTATGACCAGACAAGCCTCTGCGAGCATAGCCTTGCGCTGCGGAACCTCACTCTTGGCAAACGCAACCTCGAAGTCCTCGCACACCTGCTCGAGCAGCTCGCCCTGCAGATCAGCCACATTGCGACTCAACGTGGCAATTTGGTCTATGGAGCGGTAGCTCTTGAAGTGTGCGACCAGCTGTATGACAGCCTGCAGCAGCTGCGCGCATTCTCTGTACTGGCGCGACTTGCTCAGGCTCCGCAACTGCTCGTAGGCCGTCGTCAGCATTTGTAGGCGCTTGAGTGCCGTCATGGAGAGAGTGAGGTTGCGCTTTGTGCTGTCCAGACGCTTGATATCGGCTGTCATGTCGGTGATGGTCTGCTCCGTCTGCATGGCCCGCTCGCGCACACTCTCGATCTTGGTGAACAGATCGGCCAGCTCTGCCTTGGCCGCCTGGATGCGCTGCACGCTGTCGGCGTCAGAGGCCGACTGTGAGGCGGCGACGTCGACAATGTCCTCGTCCAGATCATCCTGGTAACTGCGGAGGGCCTCGGAGGTGGCTGACACAGACGCGAGCGCTGCGGGGTGCGAGAAGATGGCATTCAGGTGGTCGATGGGGTCGTATTCAGCTGCGTTGGCCGTCAGCGTATTTCCAGGATAGTCAGAGTTCATGTCTGCCGCCGTACCAGAAGTGAAGGAAGGTGCAGGCATGGAGTCCAGTGGAGGCCTGCATTGACCCTGTGCGCTCGCGATTCGCGGCCAGAATTGTTGCAACTGCGGATTTTTCTGGAGTCGAAACTTCAAGGCTGACACTACTTCAGACAAATATCATGGAGTGTCGTGCTTGCACTGTTGGCAATGGAACAAGCTCCAGTTTGGTAATTAGACAGTGGTGTTCATTCGTGTCGTGTAGCTCCATCGCGCTAGTGACACGCGTCGAGGGGCATAGAGCACTGCAGCTGACAAAATCGAGAATACATAGTTGGATCAATGCTACGCTATTATCCTTTTGTAGACCAGCAGGTCTTGCATCTTGGCTTTACCAGTGCTCGAAGCGTTGACACCTCATTGAAATCATTGCGGGAACAATCCCAAGAACCCGTTGTACACCAGACTGCGGTCCTTTTGAGTAAGAGAGCTCACGTCACCCGTCCCAGTCCAATAGAATAACCCACCTAACCCGTTCTGTCGCACGTAGTTCGCTTTCATCTTGACGACTTGTGGGTTGTCGTACGTGACAAACCCTCCATCGCCACCTACACAGTAAGCTGCGCCAACCGCCTCGTCAACATGCTCTGTCGCACCAGGGCGCGGCAAGTCTCGGTACTCAAACGTGCCCTCTTCTCCTGCTGATCCTGAGAACGAGTGTCCCACACCCTGCGTTTCAGTAAAGGATCGGCCATAGGCTGGAACTCCCATTACGATCTTGTTCGCTGGGACACCTTGCCGTACCATATACGAGACTGCAGAGTGGCAGGAAATTGCGGCTTCGGCACTGTGCGGTCTCTGTGGGGTAAAAAGCTGAGCTTGATGACCGCATTTGGCGACCCATGGACCAGAGTAGTCGTACGCCATGAGGTTGATCATGTCCAGATAGTTCGAAGCATGCGCTAGGTTGATGTGCTGTAGAGCCCATTCGCCAGCAGGAAGGGCTGTAGATAGAGTGTATTGTGGAGCAGGCAGATACCTTCGGAGAGCCGCCAGTAATGCGACGTAGTCTTCGCCTTGTTTAGAGTCCGCCGGATGCTCCCAGTCGACTGGTTATCTTTCAGTATTTTGTGTTCGGATGATAAAAACTAACTTACTGTCGATTCCGTCAATTCCAAACTTCTGTACCAGTCCCAATGCAGTTTGGGCAAATCGTTCACGGCGGCCTTGATCTCGAGCCACTTCTGCAAACGGCTCGCTGCCCTTACCGCCACCACCGACAGAAAGCACTACCCGCAACCTCGTATATTTCCGTTTCAACAAGGCAAATGAATTGAGACAGCCTTTTGTTGCTGGAACATCATCGACGCCAGCGACGTCAATCTGAGCATCTGCCCATTCATCACTGAGCTGCACAAAGTCAGAAAGTAATGATATTCATATAGCACCTTAGCGTACGTATACTTCACCATCAGGCTTCACCCTGTATCCATGTTAGTACAAAAACATGAATTGATGGAAAAATCAACATACCAAGCAAAAGCGTAGAAAACATGAGAAATAACATCGAAGTTTAGGGAGGCTGGTGTTTGGTCGCGATAGATGCGCCAATTGGGATAGTAAACGCCGTTCCAGAACATAGCTTGAAGTGGTGTCGAGAAGTTGGTGTCGAGATCAAGCGGGGAGTTCCACATGGCTCGGCTCATCATCGGTCACCGTCATTTGCTAACCGCTTAGCCGCTTCTTCGTCCTGCACGTCAGAGTATGCAGTGGGTGGAGACCGGCAAAAAAGAGCCGAATGGGAAGAGGCGTGAGAAAGAAGCAAGATTTGTGGGAATGTGTTCTTTCTCTGTGGAGTGGCGTAGACTATGCAAATGATAAGCAAAAGAGGTTTGTCGCACTACGGACGTTCGATTGTGTTACATTTATGTGTGCAACTCTGGAGAAACTAAATCGGGTCAACAGCGGCGTACAGTGTGTTATCGAGTTGAATTGTGGTTCGAAAGAGCGGCAAAGACGATCGTATATATAAACTTGAGCAACTGAAAACGAAGCCAGACACTTGGGATTGGAGCAGCCGATCATCGGTCGTAGAAACTAACGACGGCATGAGTTTCCAAGAGGGGAAAGCTTCTCATGCACTTCGGCCATATTCATCCCATTTCGTATCGATTCTACGGTCACGCCCAGACGAGAAACTCCGTAGCACGGAGAGCGTGGTGATTCCAAATACTGGATTGGTACTGAAAGTAGTGCTGTAGTTAGTAGTTTAAGTCCGCCCAGATTGACAACGTCGAGGGGTATTGAGATATCATCGTCACGATGTCTCAAATGCCCAAATACGTGGTTGAGAAGCCAGATCGAGTTGTAACGTAGAGTACGTAAATCTCTCCATAAATGAATGTAACATTGAGAAGAGTGGAGTATTCATGTGGAGGGAGGTCTGCATATCAATGCCTCGAGTGGGAGCGAGAAGAAGCCACAATTACTATTCCGACGATTACACAGGCAGGGAAAAGCTTCCGTATTTCTAGATTGTACACGGGATGTAGACATGTAGACCCCAGCTGCGTGTGACAGTTGTGACTGGGGATCGATTGACTGGAAAAACGGGGTGGTGTCGAAAAGTCTCATACGCCGTAAAGAGGGATCCAGTTAACATGTGAGGGCTCGGGATTATGTCCGACTTGATTGATAGCGTGGAGGCGTGTACGAATGGCGTCAGAATAGTGTCCATACAGAGCTGTATTAACGGATTGGAGAAAGCGGAGTGCGAATATGCTGGGCTAGCAGGTCTCGCGATGTCACGGCTGATCAACCTTCGGCTTGATTAAAACGTAGGAGGGTCACAAATGGCTGGGACTCTACACTTGGCAACATGCGGAGCGGGATGCAGCCATGGGTAAGGTGCATGAATGTGGATGCACGACAGATGATCGACTAGGACGGCGGTGAAATCTCTTGGCGAGCACGTCCTACATTCGTAGCGCGACTTCCTTCAATCGAGCTCCCGCGAACGACAACGCGATCACATCACCACTAACTCTGTTGCGATCGACCCGCTCATTACTTGCATATCTCCCACCCCTACACTATACTCTCGACCCATTCTAAACCTGAGAAGATTATCGTTCAGCCTATTGGCTTGGTTCGGAGTTCCGCTACTTTATTGTAGAGTTAGCCTAGATACTGCGAATATCGTACGACCGTTATCATGACGGATGTACAGAGCCCAGCTGCGCCTGACCAGATGCTGGAAGAGGCCGGGAAGGCCATGTATGACTTCAATTTCAGCGACTTTCTTCGACGTGAATACCGCTTTGGCCTCGATCCTGACCGGCCATCATGCAAAGCGTACATGCAAGGACACTGCCCACTGGGAAACCGGTGCCCAGACAAGCACCATGTATCGTCATCCTACAACAAGTGCGTAGCTAGCCATTGACGATCCATGTGGTTATGCAAGCTGACTTTGTCTCTAGTCTGGTGTGCAAGCATTGGCTGCGCGGTCTCTGTAAGAAAGGAGAAGCGTGCGAGTTCCTTCACGAGTACAACTTAAGACGAATGCCCGAATGTTCGTACTATGCCCGCAATCAGACGTGTTCCAACGGCGACGACTGTCTGTACCTTCACATCGACCCCGAAGCCAAGCGACCATCGTGCCCGCACTACGACCGTGGCTTCTGCCCACTGGGCCCACACTGCGCACTCAAGCATAATAAAAAGGATAAACTATGTCCGTTCTATCTATGCGGCTTCTGTCCTCAGGGACCGACTTGCAAGATTGGCGGACACCCAAGATATCCCACGGATCTCAAGAAGCCAGAGGTGCGCGTTGAGAAGACCGCAGAGGAGCTCGAGGCCGAACGCGCAGAGCGAGAACGTGAAATGATGAGGAGGGAAGAGGAAGAGCGAGAACGCGACGAGAGGAATGGACACCAGGGAGGTGGACGGGGTTTCAGAGGTGGCTGGGACCGCAAGAAGCGAGGAGGTAGGAGAGGTCGGGGACGGGGAGGATATTGATCAGCACACGTCATCACACCAGGAGGAAGAGAGTCCAGAGGGACAGCAAAAGGCATTACAACGAGTGAAGAGGGAGGCTGACAAAATGCCCAAAAGATACCCAGGAAGTTGGATAGTGAGCAGTAGCGACTGAGGGAAACCAGATGCTACGCCTGGATCCAACACCAGGCTTTCATGCCACAGTGCATATAGTCGATATGACTCGAAGGGATGCAAAAGAAACTCTCACGATCGAACATCAGCCGATGCGCTCAAGACTTGGATGAACTCCCGGTTCAGGTATTTAGGATTCTTCGATGATTGTGCTTCGCAACTTCAACGTACGCCTGGCTAAAATGCAGTGCAACCGGGGTTGCACCATCTTGATAATCAATAACCACAGACGGAAGAGATTAAGCTCGATAACCGAGCAGTAAACGATATAAGCAAATCATGAATTGTCACTCTAAGACTCTACCATTATTCTTGCTTCATCCTCGACAAATCTATAGTCTTAATATCAATATGTTATGCGAAGTTTCTCATACGCATGGTCACCATCGTTAGGCTACTCTTGTGCTGCGCGTCTCATACATCTAATCACACTACAACCCAAATTAGGTAAACTGTAACGTCGTATAAATCACCTCTAGTCTGACTCTTACACAAGCCTCATGACATCTAAATGGACACGCGTGCACATTTGATGTGTAATATGTCTCTGCTCAATTCAGCTAGACACGATTCCCCACTACGGAACCACGGCACTCCCGCAGCCACATAGGACACCGCATCTCGAATCATGACTCTTTCTCAGCGTCAGCTATGTTCACACTCGCCGAAGTTCCGATGAGAATGACGGTGAAGACTGTACTCCACGTGCATTCGGAAAAAGGTGCTGCCTGTCAGCGTATCAGCCGCACATTGCAGCGTGCCGGAGCCGTGGCTGAGCGTGGCGCAAGGTTGCTGATCACAGACCGAGTATTCAGTTGCCCCGTTGCCTGTTGGATGGATGTTGGCTAGCGCTGAAAGCTGCTCTTCTCAGAACTGCTGCTTACACTCCATCTATTCTTGCAACGTTCAGATCAGTTTTGGGTGTAGAATTTGCGTCTTGCCAATCGCTTATAAGTCCTTCTCCACAGTCCCGTTCCTCTCGTCTGCAGCTTGTTTTATTCGTTCGTATTACTTTATATCAATTTAAGAAAAGAATATGCCTGACGATCAACCTTGGGGACGACGCCTTGTCGTCTGCTGCGACGGTACTTGGCAATCCAGCGTTAGCGGTAGAGAGAACGTCCCGTCAAACGTTACCAAGCTTTGCCGTCTCATTGCACGTATAGGCCTTGAGCGAGATAATCCGTCGAAGAAATGGCACCAAGTCGTCTACTACGACAGTGGGATAGGGACCGGTGATATAAGCCAATTTGAGTCTGGGTGGCAAGGTGGAACAGGGGCCGGCTTAGCAGAGAACGTCATCGAAGCCTACAATTTCATCGTCATGAATTATGAGCCTGGTGATGAGATCTTCTGCTTTGGGTTCTCGAGGGGTGCGTATACGGCAAGAGCTGTGGCTGGGTTGGTGTCGGATATCGGCGTCATGCGACCAATCGATATGGAGTTTTTCCCGGAAGTATACCGCGCGTATACGACGAATGAAAAGGGGTTTGAATTTCGCGAGACGAAGGCTTGGGAGTGGTTTGTTAAAGGCAAGCTCAGTAAAGAGGGGGAACAGTTGGAGAAGGCGGGCACGAAATTTCTAGACGATGAGAAGTTCCAAGCGGAGGTTTGGGAGATTCCTCCGCATGGAGAACTTGCTATCAACCCTGCTAGTAGGAGAGTCAAGGTTGTTGGCGTGTGGGATACTGTTGGAAGCTTAGGTGTACCTGACGTTATCGGCATTGACAACGCGGACAAGCGGCTTCAGTTCGGCTTCCACAATGTCAAGTTGTCTCAAAGTAAGTGTATGATGTGTCACTGAAGACTAGGACTAACTAGTAGCAGATATTGAGCATGCATACCAAGCGTTAGCTTTGAACGAACGCAGAGAATCTTTCCGTCCGACGCTGTGGTACATTCCTTATGGAATGACGGAAGATGTCCCTGATTTGAAGCAAGTATGGGTACGTTAGCCATCAAACAGATTTTTGTCAACAAGATATGTGCTGATAATACTCTGGCCTACAGTTCCCCGGCGTTCACATCAATTGTGGAGGAGGGTCCGACGACTGCCAGAAAGACATGGAGGGCGACTTGGAAAGTCAGTATAGCTACGCCAACCACCACAAGCTCCAAACAAGACTAACAAACATCCCAGATATCTCCATGGCTACCCTAACATGGATGCTACAATGTGTCTCGCCCTTCCTAACAATCGACAAATCAGCTTTCAACGATTACCTCCACAAGCACCAGCAATGGCTCAACAAAATCCGCTTCGCATGCACATACCACCACACAAAGAGTGAATCCACCGCCCAGCGACTATGGCACAAAGTGCCCAACATCCTCCACTTCAACGAAACACCCGACGCGCTCATCCCCACTCCCCGCGACCCACCCCACGCCCACAAGACATTCGACTACGGCTGGGGCATAGGCCCGCTCAAAGACCCCTTCAGCGGCATCTACTACCTCAACGGCACGCACCCGCGCGACCCAGGCCACGAAGCAATCGAAGCATACCACCCCAAAGCCAAAGAGCAGCAGTGGACGCCCCTCACCGACCTGGGCAGAACGCACGAATACATCCACCCCATCGTCTACCACCGCCGGCTCGTCCGCGGCTGGGACGCCTACTCGCCGCTCCGCCAGGGCTGGACGCGCATGCACAAGCGCCTCGAGGACGACAATAAGGAGCGGTTCTGGTGGTACAAGACCAGCGAGGCGGACGAGGCGTTCAGGGACGGGAAGCCGTATAAGGCGTTGCCTGAGTGGGCTATTCTGCCCGAGGTGGGGACGCCCGGGCCGAAGAACTACGAGAGGGAGTGGTATCGGATGTGTGAGAAGTCCGAGGCGACGGTTCGTGCGCTGGCGAAGGCGCGGGATATCGATCAGGTGGATGGGTTGGGGCGGCCGGACTTTTTGAAGAGCTTGGATGTTGATATTGATTTTGGGGTAGGGAAGAGGGCGACGAATCAGTGGCCCTGATGGGGTTGGAGAGGATGTGATGTGGGGACATGGGGGTTTGAAGCGGAATGTGGATGTTTGGTGGTTTTGTAGGTTTGTCAGATTATTGTTGGTTTTTCACTTCCTCCATGCTGGAACGGAAATTCCTTGGTCATGGGTATGAAACTTGGGAGCACATGAATTGCATAGACGAGACTTTGTAAGATGGATGAAATAAGGGGTATAAATTGCAGAAATCCAGACTGTTGCCTGGTCGTTGTGAAAGATGAACAAGTATAGCACTTTCCTCTTCATCAGCACATACTCCACGAGGAAACCGGCCATACCTCTGTTCCCAACAAGCTTCGTCGAATCATCAGCACCAGCACCATCACCATCTAACCATCCGCGCCATCCTCTGGTAAATCGCGCAACACCCTCTCGACCAGCGAAATCAACTGGTCGACATCCGGTCTATCCCCCGGCTCGAGCCTCAAGCACTGCCTCACCACCTCCTTGACCCCATCGCTAATCGCCTCCTCAGCAGCGGGTTGTTTCTGCTTGCCCCTCTGCGGGCCCTCGTCAGGGAACCGCCAATCGCCGCCCAGCACGCAGATACTCAGACTACCGCCCGTCTCGTCGCTGCGGGCCTCGAACGGCGACTTGCCCACCAGACAGGCGTACAGCGTGCAGCCCAGCGACCATATGTCTACTTTTGTGTCGATGACCGAGTCTGTTTTTACGTCGAAGAGTTCGGGGGCGCGGTACGGCATTGTCGAGTGCTCGGCGGCGAGGTCTTGGACTTGCAGTGCGAGGGAGCGGGACGTTATGGGCGTTGGGCTTGCGGCGAGGGAGCCCAGATCCATCAGGATGGGCGTTGTGCCGTCGTCGTCTATCATGATGTTGCCTGGTGCGGGTTAGTAAAGGTTCGTTTGAGCGTGAGACTACGTCAGAATGGCAAACATACCGGGCTTGATGTCGCGATGCGCGTAGGCTCTCGCGCCACCTGGTGCTATGCCTTCTGCCTCCATTGTGATCTCGCCTTCCATCAGCGGCTCGGCTTCCTGCTCCGAGTCGTCGTCATTCTCGCGATGCCGCCGGTTGGGCCGCATCTCCATGCTCTCTGCTGCGTGCGCGTCTGCTTTCGCGCCCGCCTTCCTCACACCCTTCGCCTTGGCCTCGCTTTTCGCGCCCCCCGGCCCGCCCTTGACCTTGTACTGGTGCATAGCCTTGAGCGCCTTGCACACACCCAGGAACAACACCATAAGCCTGCGCTCAGGGAACTTTGCGTGGTTGACCAGATTCGCGTTGATCATGTCCTGGAGGTTGCCGCGGCGGTAGTACGGGAGCAGGATGTAGACTGTATTTGCAGACGAGTCTGACTTGTCTTTTTCAACCGCATAGTCGATCGAGTGGATGATGTTCGGGTGCGGCGCGAAGAGCGTGTAGGCTTCTACTTCCTTCAGCGCGAGACTGACGCTTTCCTGGCCGAAGGGGCAGCGGATCTTCTTGAGGGCGAGCAGCTGTTGGTTGGCGTTGTCTTGCACGAGGTACACGTAGGAGAAGCCGCCCTGGGGATGTCATTAGCTAACGTAGGGCGAATCGAGAGGAGAGTAAATGGCTTACCTCGCCCAGTAATCGCAGGATCTTGAAGCTCCGGCTGTTGATCTTGAGCTGTGGCGAGCTGGGGAAGCACACCATACAGTTTGTGAACGAGTAGACCACATCTAGGAAATAGGTGCCTAGCGACCCCATGGTGTTGGTTGGTGTGGCTTGTTTGTGTAGCTGTTGACAGCTTGAGAGGCGCGCAATGCTAAGTTGCGAACGTGGAGATGTAGCCGGTCGTCAATGGATGCTTTCGGAGGAATCGGAAGAGATTATCCACGATCAATCTAAAACATAAGTTCATAAGGTAACGTGAGAGCAGTGCGACGACGCGTAACCGTGTTCGCAGAGCTGACGGTTGTTCGGCGGGAGCTAAGGCCGGACGCAGTGGCTGTGTGAATGCGATGACGGTTATGACAGGCCGCGATGTTTAACCAACAATATGGAGTTGTGACTTGCTCCTACTTACATCAAGATCCAAAGGGCGCTTGGTCTAGGGGTATGATTTTCGCTTTGCACTACACGGTGATTGTGAACGGTCGTGGGTTCAATTCCCACAGCGTCCAGATCTATTTTTTGCTCGGCGTTTTGCCGCCATTTTGCAGCCTTTTTGTCCACCGTCCCGTCTTTCCATCTCCTAATTTAGGTAGACATCACAACACGTGACGGGCTTCACCCAACATGTGGGTGCAATTCCCACAACGTCCAGATCTTTTTGTCGACCCTTTTGCTCGTTGCTCTGTCCAGATTGTCTTTTGCGTCAGCAGCGTTGATAGGCAGCGTTTGATTGATTTTGCTTCGCTCCTGGTAGAGTTTGTTGTTCAGGTCAGAGGGCTGGACATAGGCAGAAGCTGTTGGGTATGTCTCGATGTATTTCAGGCTGTGTACAGGCTGGCCAGTAACCATGTTTGAAGAATACGTTAAAGCACAGCAGCGTGAATCCTAAGCTTTGTAGATGTCGTATATTTCAGAAGAGGCAAATCGATCGTCCGCTGTGTCCTGCCATGAGTTCGAGGTAGCTCGTCGTGACACGTTGCAAGGGAACAGGAGCATACGTGACATCAAGGCGACAGCTGTTATGCCTACACAACACATGGGAAGCAACGATATTCTTTTGACAATGAGACACAAGAGACAACATCTCACAAGCATCTAATATGGCGTTGTACGGCTGATGGATTGCAACCGCTTCCACCTCCATCCACCATCCCAACTACCGATTTTCTTCTTCAACAGCAGCGCCTAAGCGCCACCCGTCAACGAAAAAACATGGCACACACGCGGTGAGCAGTCCAGCAAAAATTGCCCCAGTGAAGCCCCCGAAGGAGATTCATACTCAGACCTGTCCTCGCTGTACAATGAAGCAGATCCAAGCAGATCGACTGAAAGCTTGAGCTCAGTGATCCCAAGAAGGTAAGTATGAGGTCGTCAGAAGGGACACGGGATGGAAGGTCTTTTATACTCCGAAAGACTTGGCGCGCTAGATGAGTGGGGACGTAAGCTTGCCCGCGGGATGGCTGGACTTCGGGGGTTTCGGGAAGACTTCGGTGGTTGGCGGTGGAGTCGGAACTTCAGGGTGTCCGATATCTACCGTTTGGTGTGGAAGTCTACGTCTCCACCTCTCATATGGCGGACGAATAAATGCAAAGTATTCAGTGTGTTGGAGCGAGAATCATCGACTACTTTGTACATGTCCCTCGCCCCTCGCCCTTTACGCACACAACGATGTGGCTGGTGGCCCCAGAGCGATAGTCAATTCGTATTTTCACCATAGCTGCACAGAACACACTCTTATTGCTGAACGACATCCGTTAGATCCCTCTGTTGCAGATAATGAGCTGTAGAAAGTTCAGGCGATGCTCTAGTAAGAATTAAAAGCCCACAGTAGGGTTTGCTCAATACGCACTCTCGTTCCGCGTTATCAATTGTCATGGCCTTTGGGATCTTGTATGTGGAACGTGGAAGAATGACTAATCGACTTGCCGTCTCTGTGGCGTGTAGAGGACGTGTATACTTCATTTTCTCAAGAATGACATTGTGTCGTTCTGTATTTCTATCCAAGTAAGCTGTCAGTTATTGAGTCTTCAGTACAGTCGGGGCTGTTGAAATGGGGTAGGTATATATTTTCTGTAGCACAGTCACCTCAATGAGAACGCATTCGAGTCTCGTCGAGTAATCTACCTTCAATAATCCATCAGCGCGCCCGCCATCCTCCGCTGATACTTCTCCACCACCTCCCCACACCGCACCACCACACCAGCCGCCAACACCCTAACCCTCTCATCCTCCTCGCTCCCCGCCCCCAGCCCATCAAACACCATCTTCACCCACGCCTGCGTCTCCATCAACTCCTTCCCGTGCTCCGTCGCCACCCGCTCCTTATTCTCATTAGTCTCCAGCAACATCAAGAAGCCGAACAACACCGCATTCAACACCGCCTTGTCTTTCCCCGCCAGCCCGCGCACCGAGAGAAGTAGATCCCAGAACTCGCGCGTCATCTGCGGCAACGACAGCGTGTTCGGGCCCGACGCATTCAACAGCAGAGACAGCGTCTGCAGAAACGGCGGCAGAAGGTGCGTGGACGCGTAGATCGAGTCGTTGCTGTTGCGGACCTGCAGCCACCAACGGCCGGACAGCGGGAAAAAGAAGTTATCCGCGACGACCTGGGCGAGGGCGTTTGGGATGGGCTTTTGCCGCTTCTTCTCGACCTCCATGCGCGAGCTGAAGGTGCGCACTTTGAGGATGTTGGGGCCGGTGAGCTGGTCCGCGGCTTGTGAGGCGAGCGGGGAGAGCATGTCTCGGGCCATGCTGCTTGTGAGTTTAGATACGGGGCTGGTGTTTTGGTTCGCGGTGTACATCTTGTGGAGATGGGGTGGGAGCTGTTTGCTGGGGAAGGACGGCTTGGGTGGGATGAGGTTGTCGGTTGATGAGTCCTTTACGCCAGCAAGTTCACGCGCCCCAAGACCAAGCGTTGTGAGCATGGCGATGCGTTGGGTGAGACTGTAGTCGCCGGAGAAGAATGAGCGTGCGAACCACTGCGCCATTTGCGCTGGCTTAGCGAGTAACACAGCGATCAGAGCTTGTTGTCTCTGCTGGGCGAACTCTTCCAACTCTGAGTTGTCCTGTAGACCCGTGAGGATGGTGGCGAGTTCTTCCAGATGGTCAATTACTTCAGTGCCAAAGTTTGCTTTGCGCCGGATAAGAGATGCGGCGGTTGCGAGTGCAAGTTCATGCCGATCATAGTTCTCTTGGTCGCGCAGCCCTGCGATGAGATCTCGGATGTAGACAGGTGCAGTGGGTTTGTTTCGGGTGACAGCTTCGGGGTCGTCGGTCTCGTCTTCTGGGTCGGAATCTGGCTTCTCGTAAGACAATAGATCGCCATCCTCGTCTTCCGATTCAGAAAGAATCTCGACGACACGAGGACCCTGGATTTCTGTGATGGCTGGCCCTTTCGACGGTTTCAGTGCTGATTTTAGAATTCGGCCAGACTGCTTGGTTAGAGGTTTCGCTTTGTCTTGTGCTTTCAGGTCGGATGTGCTTCCAAGCTTATCGTTCACTTCAGTGAGACGTTGGTACCATCTTGCCTCCGTAATATCAGCACCCTCAAGTTCGATCTTCAGTTGAAGCTCTGGCTTGTCAACCATCTTTGAGATAGCAATACCAACTGCAATACCCAGAAAGCGGGCTCGCGGTGATGAAGCGCCGATGCGGTTTGACATTCCGTTAGTGTGGTATGTGGACTTGGCCATCATGGTCAGAAACATGGCTTGCGATCGCTGGACATAGCCACAGCATAGTGCCAAAGTTTGAGCGAGAGCTAGAGATTGTCAGACTAAGTTGTGTGCGAAATCGTGTTTTGAGGTACCTTCTTGCTGCACGATAGGCGTATGTTTTATGTAGACGGAGTCTCCGAAAAGTCTTATGCTGTTTTCCAGCAAGGTATGAATCTTGTCTGCTTCCCATTAGCGTTTTGACAAACACTGAGTTGTGGTCAGACTGACCGTCGTCTTTGGATAACGCAGCAATGACGCTTCTACGGGCGGCGAACGACTCGCTTAATGAGGGAATCGTCGATTTCGCGAGTGCGGAGACAAGATGCTCCTTCAAGACATCGTTGTCCTTTGTCAGGCTGTATAGTAGACCAGCAACACTGGATATAGGTTTGGATGCTGTAATTGAGGTATCTTCTTTATCCACCATAATTGACGGAAAGTACTGCTTGTCCACGAAAGCGATCACTGCATTGAGAAATTTCCGTTGCTCAAAAGTCTTCATTCGGGACATGAAGTCCCTGAGAGTCTCGATGCGGTCATCGTCAATGAGAATGGAGCAAAGAGAGCCCACAACACGATCTAGTCGGTTAGAAAAGAACAAAGATCTCCACATCGAATAAACTCACCACTATATCCCAGCGTCAACGACTTTGAGCAGAGCTCCACAACAGCCGTAGAGTGCTCTTCACTCTTGTCGTCGCTCTTCATCAGAACAGCAATATTGCGGCCCAACCAAGCCGCAAACCTGGAACCGTCCGCAATCCAGCTGCCGTCTCTAGAACTCTCGCTCTTCTTCAACACATCTTCGGCTTCGGCCGCAATAGACAGTATCTTTCCTGATGCCGTCTGCGATACATACTCTTTCCAGATCAACGTCTTCTGCATTGCGTTCTTGCCATATTTTTGAATATCATTCAAGACAAAGCTTGATGTTGCATCGTCACGCAGCACCCCATCAAGTACGTCGAAAAGATCTTCTATATGCTCTGAAGTATCGCGCGCAGTTCCAGGACCCTTCCTTTGCCGACTGTCTGTGATGAGAGACCGCAGTCTCGTGGTGATATGTCCAAGGCCTGTAGGATTACGAAGGATTCTAGCGAGCTGAGCGGCTTGAGGTTTTGACTCTTTCAACGTTCTCCAATAGCTCGGTATCGTGGTGTTGACGAGTTGATGGGCTATACTCGCGAACAACGGTCCTGGTAGTAAGAGGTTCACCCCGTCAGACGTCAGGTATGTTAAGACGTTGTTGACAGTCCCCCAATCCGGTTCATTCTTCAATGCTTCCAATGCTGAGTCTGTAGATTTGATGGAGATTGCATCTCGAACTTCCAGGTTTTGAATCTTCTTCGAAAGAGGCTCGACGTCCTTGGTCTTCACCTTTTTGGTGGAGATTGGTGTGAGGAAGTCAGTCATGTTTCCGATTCATCCAAGAATCGGAGATTCTGCACCATGTCAGCCAGGCTGGACAACCTCAACATGCTCCCACTTACTATTCAGGAAGCGTGAATCAGTCTAGAATCATATGTAAGCGACTGAATATTCTATGAATTTCTCTGACTATGAAATGATCCCATCGTGAAATCGCGCGACGTTGACTTGTTCGGTGAGTTTGCTTCGTTGATGTTCGTTGCAGGTTGCACGCTCTCAATCGGCAATTCTTGCCACAAACAACAACGCGTCCACTAGCGTTTCTAGCTTCCAGCCGACAGATGCCTACATCGTTTGCTCAACTTGACTTGTCTTCATCCTCCTCACAACACACAAGATAATGGCGGTTAATGTAGATACCGTTGCTTCCGCCTCGACGGCAGGTCCACGAGCACGATGGTCAGCTCAATATTCCAAAATCTGTTCATCAGCTAATCTTGTGATTTAGGAAGTACCTCGACAACATCCTCACACGGACGGGCCCATTCACGGACGAGGATTCTTTCATGCCGGGAGAGCCAGCCATAGAGACTCTAGATAGGGCAAAAGTACTGTAGGTCAAAGGCGAGATTTTGCCATCAGAAGAATCAATACTAACAACCTGCAGAGTCATGTGAGTTTATTGACTATCAAACCTAACCCACCATTCACCTGACAATTTTCCAGCGGAGCCGGAGGTCTAGGTTGTGAGATTCTCAAGAACCTCGCTCTCTCGGGCTTCAAAGACATCCACGTGATCGACATGGACACCATCGACGTCAGCAACCTAAACCGGCAATTCCTCTTCCGCCACGCAGACGTAGGGAGTTACAAAGCCGAAGTGGCCGCGCGCTTCGTCGAAAAGCGCGTCAAAGGCGTGCAGATAACACCTTACTGCGGGAAAATCCAGGACAAAGATGAAGCGTACTACATGCAATTCGCCATGATAGTGTGCGGGCTGGACAGCGTCGAAGCCCGACGCTGGATCAACGCCACGCTCGTCGGCATGGTCGACGAGAACAACCCAGACTCGCTGAAGCCGCTGATCGACGGCGGGACAGAGGGCTTCAAGGGCCAGGCCAGGGTCATCCTCCCCACAATGACAAGCTGCATCGAATGCCAACTCGACATGCACGCCCCGCGCGCCGCAGTCCCACTGTGCACACTCGCCACCATCCCCCGCCAGCCCCAGCACTGCATCGAATGGGCGCACATCATCGCGTGGGAGGAGGAGCGCAAGGACATGACGCTCGACACAGACGACCCCGAGCACATCACGTGGCTGTACCAGAAAGCGCTGAAGCGCGCCCAGGAATTCGACATCCCCGGCGTCACGTACTCGATGACGCAGGGCGTGGTTAAGAACATCATCCCCGCTATTGCGAGCACAAACGCCATCGTGGCTGCTAGCTGCTGCAACGAGGCCTTCAAGATCATGACGAATGCGAACCCTTTCCTGGGCTATCCCGAGCGCGAGAACTATATGATGTACACGGGCGACGATAGCGTGTATACGTATACGTTTGAGCACCAGAAGAAGGACGATTGTCCTGTGTGTGGGGCTGGCAATATCGCTCGCCCCCTGCAAGTCAGTCCGAATGCCACGCTGCAGGACTTCATTGACGGGCTGGCGGAGCGACCCGAGGCGTGAGTTTAGTCCATAAAATTTCATGATATGCACGGCTGCTAACTGTTATATCAGACAACTTAAGAAGCCGTCCATCCGCACAGGTGAGAAGTCGCTGTACATGCAGTTGGCTGGCCTGGAGGAGCAGACGCGCCCCAACTTGGCCAAGAAGATGGGTGAGCTGGTCGAGGAGGGCGAGGAGCTGCTTATTACGGATAAGTCGTTCCCGACACAGTTCAAGTACAAGGTGGTCTTCCAGAAGTGAGGCCCGTGTCGTTTATCATCGGACGCGGTCTATGGTTATGAGCATAGAAGGACGCAGAAGTAGGGCAACGCATCACAGCACTGACATTCGAAGAGGGATGTAGATGGGCTGATAGCCTCGAGTCTGATCGTATAGCATAGAATCTGACGAATCTAACGGCTCCTGACACATGTTGACGTCTTCCTACCAAACACAGTGCCATTCAGTGGTCGTACAGTAGTCATATACATATCCCACTTCTCACCCACTCTTCTCCTTCAAAGTATTCTCCTCCTCCTCCCCAAACGGTTCGGCATCCCCATCCAACACCCTCCTAACCTTCAAATGCGCCGCCGCGCCATGCATCCCCACAACACCGATCCTCCTCTCCAACGCACCCCAAACCTGCACAGGCGGCACCTCCCCCCTAAACAACTCCCGTCCAGCATGCACAAGCTCATTCGCCGCAAAGCTCCCCGGAGCATACTTGGGCTCGTACGGCACGCGATCCCACTCCTTACGCTGCAGCCGCAGAAGATGGTGCACCATGCCGTCCGAGAGCGTAGACTCGACCTTCACGTCAGCAGGGGCCATGCGCGCGGCATTCCCACCGTCGGTTTTCCGCTCGCGCTTCTTGGGGCGGTCCTCGTTGCCGCGTCCGGGCCCGCCTTTGGCTCCGCGGTCGCCGCCTGGGCCGGCGCCGCGGCGGTCTTGACGGGCCTGTAGGTTTGGTCCGCGCGGGCTGGGCGCGAAGCCGGGAAGCATGGGCTCGCGGGTTATCCTGAGCTTGTTGGGGGCGCGCGCCATCGTGCCTGTGGGGGAGGTGGTGCGCGGTGTTCGGGGCCCTTTTGCGAGCTTGGCGGGGCGGGGGGCGCCGCTGGAGGGGGTGGCGTCGGGGGTGGACGCAGCTGGGTTTTCTGAGCTGGGCTGGCGGCGGGGAGGTGGTGCTGTTTGGCCGCTGGGGAAGTTTCCTCTTGCGAGGCCGCCGGGGATGATACGCCGGTTGGGGAGACTGGCGATCTGCTTGAAGGCGGCGGCATTGCGGGCGGTGCGGGAGTTTGGGTTGGCAGGAGCTGGTTGGGTGTCAGAGTTATGTATCAAGGCAGGCGATTGAGCGTGCGGGGGACGTACTGGGGGCAGAGGGAGCAGCACCGCTGGGCTGCTGGTCGTCTTGCCTCTTCACCGAGACGTGGAGGGCTCTCGACGAGCACTTTGACGTCGCTACTACATCTCCTGCGAGCGAGCGCCGCAGCACGCCTACCGAGGGGCACATGTGTCGCTGGTACATGGCGGCGATTGGCATAATCGGGCGGTATTGGTGTACCTCCAACTTTTCGACATCGTGAGGTCTTGGCACACGGATCGCCCGCCGCGCCACGTGCCCACGTGCCCAACGTTTATCTTCTTTCACTCCACGATCTCATCTTAAGTGGTTCTCGCACAGACGTATAATTACCCCGCTGCCCTTTCGTCCTGTACACGCCGCGATCTCACTTCTTTTTACCCGGACCAATCTCGATTCAACTCAATCAGCGACCACACAACAAGCACACACCAGCACAACGGTGACACGACAGCAACAGCCAGCCATTCCTTTTGCCCCAATCCCCAGCCAGCCTACTTCAGCACAAAGCCACTCATTTACCCTCCCCACCCACCCATCAACCACCCCATCACCACCACCACCATGCTCCGCCGCGCCCCAACCACCATCTCCCTCACCGCCAACGACATCGAGCAGTACGACGCCAACCGCAAGCGCAAGCTCTGGGAAGCCCAACAGCAGCAGGAACAGCAACAGCAACAACAAGCCTCCTCCAACGCCGCCAAGGAGAAGGTACCCCAGCCCCAGCAAAAGAGCAAGAAAGACCGCGTCTTGGGCACGAGTGGACGCGCCAACTGAACTTGCTCGGCGTGGCGCGGAAGTTATCGCGTGTTGGTGGGGTCGGTATTGGTGCTGGTAACGCGAAGTATTGGAGGGGATGGGATGAGATGAGATGGGTATTTACTCAGTGACCACCTTCCCTTGGTTTTACTTTCCCTGGGATGAGGAATCCGGCGTTTCTGGTCTGACCTGAGACGATGATACCCGCATGTGTACGATGGAGCGATGTTTTTTTGGGTAAATCACACACTGATCCCACACCATCATTCCAGCTCAACTAACGCGTCTGCAGGTTCCCCACGTCTTGGATACGTATGAATGAATGGATGTACACTGCACGCGGATTGAAAGAGAGAAACGAAAACACGTTTGCATGATTGGAGCGCAGTAGAGCAGAGTATTGGAGACAAAGCTCCTTTCTGGTCTATCTGTTTTGTTTGTTTGTTTACTTATGAGGACCTTGTACACGACTACCTAGGTGCTTTACTCGCCTTGAGCGTCTTGGGACGATGTAATCATATTGAAGATGATAGCGAAGTTTAATCTCATTCCGTGGCTTTGTCACACTTCTCTCGGCTTGTTTTATACTCATGTTGTGGTTCCTCTGTGAACCCCACCACACTTGTCAAGCCGGTAGATATGGCTCTCCCAACAGCGGTTACGAATGCCATTCTCTCAAAGCTCAGTAGATCAGCTTACCTAGCCATATCAGTCAAGTCAACGCCTTGGTTGGCAAAGCGACAAGCACGTATAAAAACGACAGAGACTCTCAGCATCGGCTGTTCAACTAAACACCTTCTCACTACTATTGCGTGTGTCATGCTTTGCATTACAGACGCAGCATACATAGCATGCAACCACTTGCCTACAGCTGTCCCCTGTAATAATACTGTTGCCAGCAAGAGTCAGGGATGCGGTGTGGCATTGGGACGTGAAGGGGACTGAAGTCACGCAGTTCAGCGATGTGTACTGTGATCCCCCCTTGAAGTCTAAGCCGTTCTTCATCTGGCACTATAAACGGACATCGCGTAAATTTCAAGGGGAGACCATAGTATGGCTGAGAGGATTGCTGGCCACCATAGTGAAGAGAAAGTTGTTGGAAGGGGCGATTCCCCGGTCTGCATCACTAGTTTGAGACTAGCGCGCAAGCTATAGAGCTCGCGCCTCCTCTATAGTAATTTTATAACTTTTACACTATATACTACGTTTTACAGGTTATAAGCCTACGCGCTCTACGCGTTATAATAATACTTCTGCATTATCCTCTTTCTTAACTGTATCTATTATACATTCTCCTCTTCTTATTACTGTAGATAATAGCAATCCTACTACTTCTAGAGGCTTACTACTATACCTACTACTAGAATAACGTGTCTATAACGCGTCTATATTACTACTAAACGCTAGTACACTACAGTAACTCCTCTTACTACAGCTATATACCCTACTATAAGCTTTATATTTAAGCTTAACTTAGTATCTTTACCTAAGCTATTCCTCTAGAGTAATAACTACCCTAAATAGCACTTAGCCTAGATAATTACTTTCTAATACGCAGGTATTTAGAACCTAATCTTAAAGAAGACTCTCTACTCTATTACTCTTAGAGACCCTTAAGATACCTAGGATATATTAGACACTAAAGCTATAGTAATACTTATAAGTGCTGTGTATAATAATCTTATAATAAGTATTATAACCTATAATTCCTCTTCTACTACCTAGGACTACCTGTCTATAATAGGCTAGGCCTAGTAGAACCTTAGTAAGTAAAGCCTTAGAGCTTAGTAACTCTAACTACTAATACCTACCCTTAGCTAGCCTACTAGAAACAGCTAGTATACTACTAGAAGGACTATAAGTAGAGAAAAGCTAGTACTATAGATTCTTAGTAAATTTATTTAATTTATACTAGTAACTACTCTTAGAGTTAGCCTCTTATATTTAAATTTACTTATAAAAATACTCTTAAGTATTAGTAGTACCTTAAGAACTACTAGTAGTATATCTATTAAGAAAGATACTATAGTTATTAAGCTAAAAGCAGAAGCTTTATAGCTAGTAGAAATAGGCTTTATATAGAAAGTAATTAAAATATACCTATAAACTATAGCAGGATAAAACTTAAATAAATAGAAAGTTTTACTAAAACTTTAGCTAGTTTCCTAAAGTCTTTAAAAAGATAAATAATAAATAATAAAGTTTATAAATATACTAATCTTAATAGCTAGTCTATTATTAGTAGTAGCTAAAAAATAACTTATTAAGGAATTTAATAAAGAGTTCTCTTTAGAAGAACTATATAATATACTATAGATACTAACGTAGAAGATTAACCTTCTTAAAAATAATATACTACTACTACTTACTTCTTTTAAATAGAGAGTTTAATAATTAAAAGAAAAGGTACGTAGACTAAGAATAGTTCTAAAACTAACTTTTTCTATAGTAACTATTAAGACCTATATAAAAAACTTTAAAATACTAAATTCTAACTACTTTAATAGTAACTAAAAGAACTATTAAAGGTTCTAAACTTAAATAAACTATAAGCTAAAATATAATATTAAAAGACTAAGATTAAGCCTTAGGTATATCTTTAACTAATTAAAGAGGCCTATAGCTAGTATTACTTTATTATAAATAAATTATAATAAAATAGGTACTATAGAAGGCCTATAAATATTTCTAAATAAATAATTTATAGATAACTTATATACTAAGAGGGTTAAGTAGAAACTTTAAACCTTTTAGTAAAGGAAGCTTTTTTTATAATACTTTAATATAGAATTTATAAGGCTAGCCTTTAAAGTAGAAAAGAAGAGTAATACTAATAACTTAAAAATAAGGTATTTTAGTACTCTACAGCCTAACCTATAAAACTAAATAATATTTATAGAAGTGCTAAGTAACTAGACTATCTAGTTACTAATAACTTAAGTAGTTACTATTAAGGAAAATCTTTTTAAGGCTAAGATTAAGTCTACTTTTTTATATATAAAGTCTTCTAAGAATAACTTTATAAATTAAGAACTCTTAAAAGCTTACTTTAGTTAAGTAACTAAAGTAATAAGTAGAACCTAGAATAGAGCTAAATAGGCCTTTAAAGAAAAGTACTTCCTTTATAAAAAAAAGAACCTATATTTATATTATAAAAAATCTAGGTACTATACTAATAAGTGCTTTTTAGTGCTAGTTAATTATCTAGCTTAAGCTACTCTTATAGTAACTTATAACCTAGAAGAGTCCTTAGATAAGAAAATAGTAGGTTTAGAAAACTAGAAACTTCTATATATAAATATAAGTAAAGGTATAAGAAACTAGATTAAGAAAAAGAGTAGTTTTTATTATTTTAGTAGAACTAGCTAGATAGGAAACTATTAACTATTTATATAATTATAAATAATATAGCTATAGTATCTACTTTAATTAATACTAGCTACTTAACTTATTTAGTTATTTTTTCTAAGTTTATAAGAAATAATAATTTAGAGTATACTATAATTATATAAAGACCTATTATTAGAATAAAAGAAAAGTTCTTTTAGATAAAAGTAGCTATCTAAATATAGATAGATATAGTGTAGTAGAGTAATATAGAAAGTATATCTAAAGAAGTATTAGAGTAAGATTATATAATATAGGTTATATAATCTAGAATTAGTATATAATAGTTAAGCCTCTAATAGGAGCTTAATAGAGGATTAACTAATAATATACTTATTCTATCTAGTATTAAGCTATACGTGCCTAAAGAGGCGTTAAAGACCTCTTCTCTATATATAGTAACCTATATAGGGATTAAAGAAGCTTTCTATTTATAGCTATTTAGGTATAATACTAAATTATTCTTATAATATATTTATCTAGAGAGTAATTAATTTTTAGTAATAATAATAGGACTTTAGTAAGTTTAAGTTAAGAATTAAGAGACTAATATAAGATAGGTATAATACTAAATTATATTTAGTACCTAAGAATTAGTACTTTAAGAACTTAATAAGGTATTAGTATACCTCTAGGAAATTTAGTAACTTTATAACTAGGGATTATACTAGACCTAGAAAACTAAGGAGTTACTCCTAAAGAAGCTATTAATATAATAGCTAGTATACTAGTTATACTTAGATAACTCTTAGAGATTATCTTACTACTATAAAACTTATATAATTAGTATATAACCTATAGTTATACTTAAGCACTCTTTAGTAATAAGAATTAGCTAAGAAATAATTAGAAGAAAGAAATTAAAAGTAGTAAGTACTACTAGGTATAGATAAAAATAAGAAGAATAAATAAGGTAAGAAGCTTACTAATAAAGAATAGATATATAATAGTAATAATAACTTTCCTTATAATCTTTTCTACTATAAAGACCTTTTAGAGATCTTTACTTCTTTTTTCTATAGTAGTTAAAATAGTTCTTACTACTTACTTATTACTTATTTTTATAATCCTTATTTATATCTTTTTAATTTTTAAGATAACTAATAACTTCTTACTAATAGGTTATACCCTAAATACTAACCCTTCTACTAAGTATTTATTATTTAATATAGGTTAATTATTAGCTCTTCTAACGTAAGCCTAGAGAGAGAAACCTAGGAATAACTTAAGTAATAATAAAACTCCTAGCCTATTTAAAGGTAAGGTAAAACTTCTAAAGCCTAATACTAAATTAATAAACTTAACTACTCTATTTCTAGTAAATATAGCTTAAATAATAGTAATACTTATTTAGAACTAATTAAAGCTTAGCTAGGTATCTTTCTCTACTAAGTATATACTAAGTTTTAATAGTACTAAAGTTACTATTTTTATTAAGTAATATAAGAAAGTTACTCTATATTATAGCTTCTTAGAGATTAATAAGATCTAATAAGTAATTACCTACTACTAGTAAAGGTAGAAGAATATTATTTATTACTCTAAGGAATACTAAACAGCCCTTAAAGGTAAAGACTAGAATATACTAAGAGAAGCCTTCTAATATAAATTTAGAAGTAATAACAGTGCCTAATAGAAGAAATAGATTAAGTTCTTTAAATAATAGCTCTATAAATACTAGTTAAGAAAGAATTTTAATATCTAATAATACCTTAAAAAGTTTAAGATTAGATTAAAGTAATATATCTTTATAGGTACTATTAAGAGTAAGAAAAAGAGATTCTACCTTATTAAGAAGCTTTCCCTTAACTATACTATAAGAGTCCTAAGTAAGTTTAGCCTATTTATAATATACTATTAGGAGTTTAAGTTTAGCTAGATTAGTAAATTCCTTAGCTACTAAGTAAATATTAAGAAAGAAGTACGCCTACTAAACCTTAATAAGGCTATAAAAAAGTTTAGCCTAACCTAAGAATTCTAATTCTATGTCCCTAAGACCTATTTAGACTACTAGCTATTAGATATTACTAGAATAACTTAGTTCTAATTAGCTTTTCTAATAACCTATTAAGTTCCTTAAATAACTATTAGTAAGAAACCTTAGTAATTACTTCTAGAAGTTCTAGCTACCTAGTATAAAGTTAACTTATTAACTAATAAGTTATATTAACTTAAGATTAGTTAGGCTAACTTTATTTTAGTATAATAGATACTACGTAAGACTAAGCTATTATTAAACTAAAGCATTGCAGTCTATATATAAACTCTATTAAATTAGAGGGTTAGTAAAGCTTAGCTATAAAGTATAGTTATACTAGGTAATAACTACTACCTAAGAAATTAGGCAGCTCTCTATAATATAATAGTAAATTAGAATACTATTCCTTTAGGATTAGGATATAATTAATAGAAAACTCTAAGTTAAGCTACTTAGAACGCTTAAATGCTATTTACCTACTTTATATATAAGAAGGTTAGTTATAGAAAAGCTAACTACTTATTAATTACCTAGTTAATTAAAAATAGCTAGTACTACTAGAATACTAACTAATAACTTATCTAAGGTACTATTTCCTCTCTTTAGGAGCGTATTATAAACCTAGGTATAAATAGCTAGATTAATTCTATCCTCTTAAATATTAAGCAGATATAGCTAAAATAGGACCTTAATCCTCTTACTATAAAGGCTAATTAGAAAAGGCTAGTAGAATTAATAGTAATTTAGAATAATTCTATAGTTACTAGTCTAAACCCTAACTAAGACTTAGGTATAATATTAGCTAAAAACTATAAAGCTTTTTAGGAAGCCTTTATAAACTTAGGTAGTAATATTTAATTATTTTAATACTTAACGTTCTACTACTTAAACGCTAAGCTTTTAGCTACTTAAATCTAATAAAAAGAACCTTTACAAAAGCCTATTAATAAGAAAGTACTAGGTACTCCTAAGGTAGTAAAGCTAGTACTAGTTACTATTACTAAATAGCCTACTAATAATTAATTAATTTAACTAAGAAGCTAGTAGTAGAAGACTTAAGCTCTACCTACCCTAAATATAACCTTTATACTAATATTAACCCCTTAGAACTATATTAAGGATTTAGAAATAACTAATACGCTACCCTAAAGAAGAGTTAGACCTAAAAAGGCTTATTTCTCTAAATATATCCTAAGTACTACTAATAAAGTAATATATACTATTATATTAGCTTCTATAGTAATACCTATTAGAGTACTACTTAGAAATATAGTAGAAGTCTAAAAGAAAATATTCTAAAATATATATACCTAAGAAGAGTTTAAAGCTATCTAAAATAACTCTATTTAGGTAATAGAAGTAGAATCTAATAATAAGTTAAGTATAAAAAAAGAATACTTCTAACCTACCTTTAAGTTCTATATATCTAGTATAAACACGTAGTTAGTTTCTAACTATATTCTTATTAAAGCCCTATTAGGTAGAGTAGACTAATATTACTTAATATTAGCAGTTTATTAGAATAAGCCTAAAGTTAATAAGGTTTAATTAAGTATTAATTAAACGCTAAATAATTCCTAGATTAAAGCTAATATATAATTAAAAACTTTAGCTAGGAGAGAGTATAATAAGTAAGCTAGTATTAAATATATCTATTATAACTACCTAAAGGTTCTAGTTAGTATATTAGGAAATTACTTTCTAAGTCTTTTTAACTTAGGAGTAGAGCTAAATACTATTTAATAAGAAACTACTAATAGTATAATACTACCTATTATAACACTCTCTTAGAAAATAAAAAACGTAAAAATAGTTTTAGCTAATAGTATATTAGGTAGTTTTCTTAAGATTATCTAAAGAGCTATTATAATAGTAGAATTAATCTCTATTTAGATAAACTTCTTTATTATTAATTACTATACTAATATAATTATCTTTAGTAATTCTTTTCTATCTAATACTTAAGCAAAGCTTAAATATACTTTAAATAGCCTTACTTACTACTAAATCTAGAGTAAGAAAGATAATATAAGTATTAGATTTATATATATAAAAGGTAATTATATTAATACCTAAGGTGTTACAGTTTAATTACTAGGAAAAGGTAGAGAAATATAAAGCCTAGTATTATATCTCCTTAATAATAATAAGTTAAAAGCCTAAAGTAAATATATATTAACTTAACCTAACTACAGTAGAATAAGACTATAGCCCTAATAATAAGTATAGTTAGTAATTAGTAGTTAATAAAAGTAATAAAACCTATTATCTTAATAAAGAATTATTTCTTTATATAGCTAAATATTAGTAGTATTAGCTAAGATAGTATTAGAAATATTCTCTTTTAAGATAATATAGGTATTATAATAGTTACTTATAAGAATCTTTTCTTAACTGCTACTTATAAAGTACTTAGTAGGATAGTTAATATACTTAGTAGTAAATATTTAACTTATTCTGTAAAGATCTTTTAGGAAGATTTTCTAAAAGAATACCTACTAATTTAAATTAATATAATATATAAGTAGAAAGGAATTAAAGTTAAACCTATAAACTACTTAGGCTAAGAACCTTATATAATTAATAGTTAAATTAACTAGAAGAAGAGAGCTTAGGTATAGTAAGTACTAAACTAGAACTCTACTAGAGCTCCTTTCTAATAATACTTTAAACTAAGATATATATCTTTCTCTAAAGAAATATAGCTAACACCTAAGAGACTATTAGAAATAAAGATATTAAATAATCTCTAGTTAAAAGAAAGAGACTTACTTATTAAGATACTTTATTAGAGAGAAGCAGCTCTTACTTAGAACTTCTTAGAATCTAGTTAGATTAGCTATAAAGTATCTCCTTTAGTAATAATTAATATAGTACTATATAAAGCCTAGTAAGCTAATTAATTTCAGCTTCTAAGAAAGCTTTAGGATATAGTAATTAAGATAGTATAGTAATAAATTAACTAAGGGACTCTTAAATTATATAAAAGTTAATATTATAACCTATATTTTCTAGTTAAGAAAAAGGATTAGGACTATTAACTTATTAATAATACCTAGAAAATAAATAGAGTTATAATTTAAGATATAAATCTACCTCTAAACCCTAATAAGTTTATAGAAGAATTTACTAGCTGCTTTATTATATCTCTTACTAACTTCTTTTTAGAATATAATTAAATAGAACTTAATATTTAATTAAGAGATATTACTATATTTTATACTCCTCTTAGACTTATAAGGCAGTATACTTTACTTTAAGAAGCTATAAATTTAGTTACTAAGTTTATTTAGGTTATAATAAAGATCTATTAGAAGTATATCTCTACAGTATATATACCTTACCTTAATAACGTATATATTAAAGGCCTAAAGACTAATTATTAAGGATAAGAAGTTAAGCTAGAGATCTAATAATATATTATAAAGTATATTATAAATATTAATTAAGTACTAGCTAATATTAAAAGGGCTAGCGTAACTATTTTAGAATATAAATCTAACTTCTATTACTCTTTAATAATAATAGTTAGCTATTAGGTTAATTGCTATAGCTAATACTCTAATAACTAAAAGGTTAAGAAGATTATAAAGTAGCTAGCTTATACTTATATAAAAGATATTTAAGCTTTTCTAGGTATTTATATCTACTATAAAGTCTAGATCTTTAACTTTACTCTAATAGCTAATCTATTATTTAGCCTACTCTAAAAGATAGTTATATTTAAATAGACTAAGAAATATTAAGCTTTAATAAATACTCTAAAGTAAGCTCTTTACTCCCTACTAGTACTTATATTAATTAACTATTTAGTGCCTCTTTAATTAATTATCCTTGTAGTTAATAGTAGTAAGAAGGGCTAGGGTACTACCTTAATATAGGAAGGTAAGGGTAAAAAGTAATACCCTATCTAATTTAAGAGTAGAGTCTAGTTAAAACCTAAGCAAAACTAGGATACTAGTAAGTATAAGTATAAAGCACTGCTTCTAGCTATTAAGAAATTTTGCCCTTACTTATATAATATTAGATTCTTTATTAAAATAGATATAAAGACTTTAGTAGCTTAGCTCTAATAAAGTACTACTAACCTACCTAGTTCTCTAATAACTTATTAGTTAGTATACCTAAATATATAGAACTTTAATATTACCTATATTTAAGAGAAAAAGAACGTAGTTACTAACACTCTATTAAAACGCTTTAAGAAACCTAGATAAAAGCCTTCTAATAGCTCTAAAGAAAGTATTAATAAGTTTATTAACTTAGCCTTAAATATAATACAGCTTAACTTTAGTAATAGTATATTACAGTATACCCTATATATAGTAGATACCTCCTTTAGTAACACTTCTTTAGATAATACCTACTTAGAGGCCTCTTAAGAGTTAGCCTACTAGATTCTATTTTAAAAGCGTTCTAAAGGTATATTAAAAAAGGCTTTTACTAAGTTTAAAAAAAAGGCTTTATAATATAATATTTAGAAATAATACCTATTCTAGATACCCTCTAGGGGGCGCCCTCTCTAAAGAGTAGTTAATAATAAAGCTTTAAAGAAAGCTATTCTTACTATACTTTATAAAGAATTAGGCTATTAGAGTAAGAAAGGTACCTAGTAAAAAGTCTAAGTAAGATACTACTAGAAAGGCCTCTATAATAATATAAAGAAGTATATCTAAATATGTACTTAATACTAGGTTTCTAGTAATACTTAATTATATAAGTAACTCTACTCTACTAAACTACTATTAATACTATAAGTATAGGTAACTATTAATATAGTCTTTATACCTAGAGGCTTAAATAGTAAAAGCTATATAGTAGTTATATATAATTACTTATTATAATAGCTAGAAGTGTAAGGTCTTATAAAGAATAATTCTAGATTAGTAGCTAAGTTTATCTAGAAGTTAATTTTCTATTAATAAGGAGTACTATTAAAGATAAGCTGTAATAGAGGCTTAGAGAATAAAGGCCTTATAGAGAATCTTTAGAAACTATTTAGAATTAATAGAGTAGTCTTAAGTGCCTATTATTTATAAGGCTAAAGGCTTATTAAGAGAGGGTATAAACTACTAGTAGCTACTCTAAAAAAGATAGAAGGAAACTAGGTTAAGAACTTATTATATATTCTATAGGCTAACTAAGTAACTATTAAAAGAGCTACTAGTAAAACCCCTATATATTTAATATATAGGAAAGAGTATATCCTCCTAATTAAGCTCTCTATTCTAACTTAGTAAGTCCTACCTTAGAAAGAAGTTTCTAATACAGCCTTACTACTTACCTTACAGGCCTAATAGTTCTATACTAGAAATAATAGGCTCTAGAAAGCTATTAATTAAACTATTTAACTAAGGTATACTAATAAGGAGTATTTTAATAACTTAAAATAAATTTATAATTGCCTACTAGCTATTAGAGATCTTATACTACTATAAAACTCTCTTATTAATACTAATATATTAATAATAGCAAAGTTTAGGCTAAAATAGTAAGGTCTTTACTAAATAAGCTTTATAGGAAGTAAAGGCTAGTACTAACTTAAAGAGCTTAATAGATAAGTATTTTAAAGCTATACGCTAGGTAATTAGCTAAAGAAGTTCTATTAGAGAATAGTAGTTAAGTTCTAGAAGGCCTAGGACTAATAGAGTGCTAATAAAGCTCTAGAGAATCTCTACTATAAGAATATACTAGTACTTAATTAGAAGTAAGTAGTATAGCGTAACTAAACCTTAGAATATAGAATAACCTAACGTATAGTAGTAAAGGTAGTAGTTCTAAGGCCTATTTATACTAAAGAAGTAGTAATTTCCTAACTTCCTAGATTTAACCTAACAGAGTATTAGTAATTTAATAAGGATAAAAATAAATAAATTAATCTTAATAGGTAATAGCCTATCTACTTAAGTAAGAGAGGGAGTTAGAGGTTTATATTTATTTCTTTTACTATTCTATTTTTACCTAATTTCCTATTATTTTATTAGCTAGTTACTTAAATATTTCCTATTAAACTAATAAATAGTTATAAGAAGGAATAATTTATAATAAGAAGTTATATTTCCTATTAAGGCAGTATTAAGCTACTAGAAGACTATTAGTAAAAACCTTAAAAAGAAGAAAAACTACCTAAAAACTACCTAAAACTATAACTAGTATAGCTAAAATTACTTAACTCTAATAAAGTATTACCTACTTACTTCTTTTTACTCTTACTCTTACCCTTAGAAGTAATAAAGTCCTTATTATTAGAGTTATTATTAAACTTATAAGTTATAATTATATTACTAAAATAAGAGTAATAACCTTTAGAAGCCCTAATAGAAGCCTAGAGTAACTTATAATTATAAAGAATAAACTTAGTAATATCTTAAAGTAAAGAATTAGTAATTAGAGTACCTACTACTAAGAGATTAGTATAAAAAGTAACTAAGGATTAGAAGAACTTATAATAGAAGTTATAGCTAGTATAGTTACTATTAATCTAATACTTATTATAGGCCCTATAGTTTAGAAGCTTACCCTTAAAGTAAGACTAATAATACTTACTACTAAACTTAAAAGTAAGCTTACCCTTAGTATTAGTACAGTATAAGTAGTAATTAAAGAAGTTATAGGTAACACTTTTACTAAAGCTCTACTAGATAGTAGTAAGTATATTAGTAGAGTAGTAACTGCGCTTTATAGAGTTCTTAGGAGTACTAAAACTAAAGAAGTTAGTAATAGTAATATAGGTATTACTAGTATTAAAGAATTAGATAGTAATCTTTAACTTATTATTATCCTAGTAAATAGTAGTAACTTAGAGTATAGGCCTAAGAGTAATACCTATTTAGCTTAACTAAAAGAAAAAGTAAGTAAGATTAATAATTAGCTACTAATTAATAATCTAGTTAGTATAATTATAAACTATAAGTGCTATTAGTAAAGGAAACTTAAGTAATAATTAAAATAGTACTTATACTACTTAAGAATATAGCTAGATACTAACTAAGTAAAGTAGAGATATAGAGAAGTCTTTATATTACCCTTAATAGGAGGCTTTTAGCTACTCCTAGGAGGACCCTAACTGCTGCTACTAGCGCTAGCAGTAGTAAAGCCTATAGAAAAGTTAATAGAGGCTATATTAAGTAAAGTTAAATTAAGGATTAGAGTAGATATATAAGAAAAAGTTAGATAAAGAATAATAGAGGATTAAAGGCAGAAACTCTATTATATATAGTAGTAGCTAGCCTAAGCTTATAACTCTAGACTACTCTATAATTATAGGTAACTAAGAATTCCTATTATACGCACTAGGTAATAATAAATAATAGGATTAAGTAGTTAATAATTAGTAATTACCTTAAGTTTTAATTATAAGTAAAGGTAGATTTTTATAATAGTAGATTAATAATACTATTATTTTAGTTAGTATAATAGCACTTTAGAATCTAAATAGGGCTTAGATATTTAAGTAAAAGAGAGATATAGTAGAGTAATATAGGAAGTATATCTAAAGGAGTATTAGAGTAAGATTATATAACGCAGGTTATATAATCTAGGATTAGTATATAGTAGTTAAGCCTCTAATAGAAGCTTAATAGAGGATTAACTAATAATATACTTATTCTATCTAGCATTAAGCTATACGTGCCTAAAGAGGCGTTAAAGACCTCTCCTCTATAATAAATAGCTATAAGAAAAAAATATAGGCCTATAAGCTAGAAGGAAATAAAGAGTATAACCTTATCTTAAAAAAACCTTAGATAAATAGATACTAAGTAACGCTAGTACTAGTAAAGAAATTTATATTTATCTATAGTAACTAGACTAGAATATAGAGCTAGAAAGGTAGAATACTTATAAAAATCCTTAAAGCTATTAGTATATAGGTATATTTAGCCTAGGCTAAATAATTTTAGAAAAATAAATAGATCTAACTATACTTTACCTTTATAGCAGATATTAAGAAAGTACTAAAAAAAAAAAAAATAGTTAACTTTTAAAAAAAGCTACTAAGCTATCTATAAAGTAAGTTTAAAACTTTCTTAAAAGAAAAGGCTAATAAGCTTATACTACTAAAAGAAGCTACTATTAACTACTCTATTAAGATTATAAAGAAGAATAGTAAGCTAGTAGAAATTCTATAGAAACTACTATATAATATATTAAGAAAAAAACTACTAGTACTATAAAAGAAACTTATATTATACCTAGACTATAGGTTTATTTAAGTAAGTAAATCTAGCGCTACTACTTTTATTCTATTTATAAAAAAACCTAGAAGAGGGCTATAATTTTGCGTAAACTACTAAGCTTTAAATACTATTATATATAAGAATAGATATTTTCTTCTACTTATTTATAAGATACTATTCTAAATTACTAAAGTAAAATAGTTTATAAAGGTAGATATTATCTAAGCCTTTTACTAGATACGCGTAGTAGAGAGAGATAAATAGAGTATAGTATTCTATACCTAATTTAGGCTATATAAATAGCTAGTTACTCTATTTAGCCTTACTAATACTTTTAGTATATTCTAATAATATATTAATTAGGTACTTTAGAAAGACTTAGATGTATACTACTTAGCCTATATAGATAATATACTTATCTACTTAAACAGATTATAGAAGGATTATAAATACTAAGTTAAAGTAATTATTTAGAAACTTAAAGTAGTAGGCCTATAACTAGATATAAATAAATATAACTTTATTATTAAGAAGACTAAGTACCTAGGATTTATAATAGAGGTAGGTAGTAGTATTTAAATAGACTTAAAGAAGATAGTAGTAATCTATACTTAAGAATAGCTAAAGAGTATTAAAGGTATTTAAAGTTTTATAAAATTTACTAACTTCTACTAATAGTTTATTAAAAGATTTTTAGAAATTATTACCCTACTAACTAAACTTACTAGAAAAGAAGTAGTATTCTAATAGAAGAAACTCTAGAAAATAGTATTTTCTAAGCTTAAAAGTACCTTTATTTCTAAGCTAGTATTAGCTAACTTTAACCTAGAACTAGAAATAGTAATAGAATATAATACCTCTAGGTAAGTAACTAGTAGAGTTCTTTTATAGTTTAAAAAAAATAGACTACTTTATACAGTAGTATACTACTTAGTAAAGAATATAGTAGCTAAGGTAAACTATACTATATATAATAAGAAACTATTAGCTATTATAAAGTATATTAATTAATAGAGTACTAAATTCTAATAAGTCCTAAAGTTTACTATTATTATAAATTATAAGAACCTAAAGTATTTCTATACTATAAGGCTACTATCTAAGAGGTGTATACGCTAGTTAAATATACTTAGCTAATTTAATTTAACCTTTATATACTACCTAAAGAAGATTAATAGAAGGGCTAATATACTTTTTTAAAAAGAAAAGAATCTACTAATAAGCCTAAATAATAAGTATATAAAAATAAGAGAATTTTAGCTTCTATAACTATATATAAGAAGTTAACTCTAACTTAAAGAAAAAAAAGAGGTAAGTATTTTATTCTACTACTAAATATAAAGTCTATA